CATGTATACACCGATGTAAGTCCCTATGTATACAATAACTCTTGAAGTGCTGAAAACCACTGCGGGGCAGTCACGGGATACCGGAGTCTGTCGGTCCGGAACTCCGGTGTTGACTTTGCCTTCCCGGCAGCCTGGGCAGTGGGAGGTGGTGGTGGTGGTGGTGGTGGAAGTGGAGTCAGTCAGTCGGTCACTCAGTCAACCAGATCTCAAGCTTAATAACAAAGATACTACGTATATCTATCTATCTAAAACTATCTAAAACGCGCGTTCGATGCTTTGCAGTCGATCTGAAATGGTAAGAGATATATATGCAAATTAGCCTACCGGTACTTACAGTCCTTTGTCTGCTTATACTACGTATATCATACCTATCACAGTATACCCGGTGCTTGATAATAACTCTAATCCCCGATAAGCTTGTGGTGTCTAAATGTTGTAGAGGCCGCATTCCATGGCTACGTAAGGAGTATCTACCGGTACGTATACCTGCTACCTAGTGAATACTACTGTACTGTACCGTATAGGCGGATTACTCTGGCTGACTATCAAACCCCTTTGTGCCTTTTTTCCCTTGCTGATCGATGGCTAACCGATTGACCTAAAAAGGTCCAATGTTCAGCCGCCGCCACCTACTTTAGCGCCTATCATCACTCCCGTGCCCGTCAACCAAACACCCATCACCCGTCCGAGAACAAGACAGCCACAGGTCCAGCGCAAACGTCGAAATCCTCCCCCTCACCTCCCCTCCCCTCCCCTCGCTCTTCTTTTTATCGTCATCGTTGTCGACTTCGACTTCGGCGATCAACACTCGTTTGAAGGCACCCGTCGCCTCTTCTGTCGCTCCTCTCTACCACCATCCCGGTCAATCAGCAATCCATCCTGTGAAGAAATCGATTGAAAGGCCCCCTTCGATCCTACCCTACCCTACCTACCTCACCGACCAGTGCCATTACTATCTGCGAAGGTGAAGGCGATAGATACCTTACTTGGGTATCTCCGGGCACAGTAGTGACGACTCTGCCATTCGCTCTGCACTGCCGTCTCTGGCCTCGTCGACCTGGAAACCATTCCCCGCTCGAATATTGCCAGGGGTCAGTGATATATCGACAAACACTCTTGTAAATATTGTCGTCGGCCTCCACAACTATCAATGTACGTTTTCAGCCTCATGCGAATATTGACTTGCACACTTTTTTCCTTTTTCTTGGTGGTGAAGGTGAACTGATCGGAAACCCCACCGTTGATCCTGTTGATTCTCTCTCTGGATTCATATCGGTACACTCAACATCTGCCGCGCGCTGCCACAACAATCAGTACACAAGGGGCCAAATTGAAGTAATGAGGGCCGAAAGATGGTACTCTGAATCATTGCTGACAATATATACTCTGCAGAAACATGGCGCCGCCCAGACGTCCCGCTCCTGCCGAATCTCCGGTCCGAGAATATAGCTCGCGGCAACGACAACACCTACAAGATGAGGAGGCAGGGTACTTCGAAGGAGGGCTAGCGTTCTCTTCGAGGCATGCGCGCGATCCGTCGAAATCGTCATACGCAGATACCTTCGCCTCACCCGTTACACCCACACTTTCTGCCGACCCCGTAGAGCAGCCCCTACGAGGAGGGATCCCCGCGCCAGAACTTAGCCGCAAGAGGAGTCTGATTCGGCCAGAGCGGAATCGGATCGATCAGAACCACCCAAATTACCACTACAGACAACACGCCGCCCACATGAATATTCTCCCCTCTTCGACAGGAAACGATCCAATCTTGGAGGAACTGGAGGCAGAAGCTGCTGCAACAGAGACCTCCGGGCTTCGAAGCTCTGGCGATGTAGAATCAGACATATCACCTCCTCGGAAGAAAAACAGACGCGTTCGTGGCGTAGGATCTAAGGAGGGAGCGGCTGCGGAGATGGCTGGCGGGTCTCGGGTCCAGAAGAAATTGAGGAGGGAAAGAACTCGCAAGATGACGAAGGAAGAGAAGGAGTACCGGAAGCAGCTGGACGATGTGAAGCCTCCAAGCTTCTGGAACGTGTACTGCGCCATAGTCACTTTTTGGTGCCCTGCATTTATGATGAAGTGTTGTGGGATGCCTGCAAAGGAGCAGCAGAGAGCTTGGAGAGAGAAGGTGGGATTGATCAGTATCATTCTGGTGTTTATGGGATTTGTAGGTTACCTCACTTTCGGATTTACTGCGACTGTTTGCGATAACCCTGGACTGCGACTACGCGTCAACCACGTCGATGCTGGATACATGATTTTCCACGGTAAAGCATACGACCTTGCCGGTTCCCACCACCCAGTTGCTAGAGGAATCCCGGCTGGCTCAAACGTTCTCTACGACCTGCCCGAGAAGCACGGTGGTCAGGATGGAAGCTTCTTGTTTCAGAAGGTCAATGGAAAGTGCAAAGACTTGATTACCTTGAGCTCGAACTCGGACGTACCGACAAATACTGCCAATGATCTTGCTTGGTACTTTCCTTGTACCACTTTTAACCAAGATGGATCAAGTCCCGTGAACCAAAGTAACCCATACTATCTGGGGTACGCTTGCCATACCTCTGCCGACGGTCGAAATGCCTTCTACGATCTCAAAAGCGCTGGAGACGTATTCTTCAACTGGAACGACATCAAGAACGTATCCAGGAACCTGATGGTCTATTCCGGAAACGTTCTAGATCTCAATCTCTTGAACTGGTTCAATTCGTCCCAGGTTTCCGTGCCCGCGGAGTTTGCTCAACTTGCCGACCGCTCACACTCGTTGAATGCTGCCGTTCATGGCAGAGATATTACCCACTCTTTCCAGACCAAGGACCAGAAGAAACTGGCCCAATGTCTAGAGCAGATTATCAAGGTCGGAACCGTGGATACTGAAACTGTCGGATGCATTGCCTCTAAAGTCGTCCTATGGGTGTCGCTGGCTTTCATCCTGTCCATCGTAGGAGCGAAGTTTGGGTTGGCATTGTTCTTCCAGTGGTTCATGGCCCGAAAATTCGCAGCCGCAAAGACCTCGCAGTCATCTGATAAGAAGAAAAGGGCTCAGCAAATCGAGGATTGGTCGGACGACATATACCGTCCGCCCCCAAGATTTGCAGGAGATGTTGGAAGTACTGTCATGGGATCGGACAGGACGAACAGGAGAGGAAGCACGTTCCTACCGACAACCTCTCGATTCACGAGTCCGTACGCAGGAGAGAGTAACAGACTATCCCGTGTGGGTCGCCCTCAACCGGTCACTATGGTCAGCCAGGCTTCAACAGCGCCCCTTTTCGCCCCTAATCCGGGTTTCGGGCAACAGAACAGCAGCCGGCACAGCCTCCTTCGATCCGACAATGGGTTCGGAGGCTCTGGAAGCGATCAAGAAGGTCCTGCAGGCTTCATCCACGAGTCTGTTGTCCCTCAGCCACCATCCGAATGGCAGCCTTTCGGATATCCTCTTGCTCATGCTATCTGCCTTGTTACAACTTATTCGGAAGGAGAGCTTGGTATCCGGACAACGCTTGACTCGATCGCAACGACTGATTATCCAAACAGCCACAAGGTCATTCTTGTTATCTGTGATGGTCTCATCCAGGGCGAAGGAGAGACCATAACCACCCCAGAAGTCGTTCTTGGTATGATGAAAGATCATTCGGTCCTTCCGGAGGAGGTTCCAGCTTTCTCTTACGTGGCTGTTTCCAGTGGCTCCAAAAGACACAACATGGCCAAGGTCTACTCCGGTTTCTACGACTACGGTGCGAATTCTGGCGTCCCACTCGACAGACAGCAGCGCGTTCCGATGATGTGCGTCGTCAAGTGTGGTACACCGGATGAAGCCAAGAGGTCCAAGCCCGGAAACAGAGGCAAGCGTGACAGTCAGATCATTTTGATGTCTTTCTTGCAGAAGGTCATGTTCGATGAGCGGATGACCGAGCTTGAATTCGAAATGTTCAACGGGCTATGGAAAGTTACTGGGATTTCTCCCGATTTCTACGAGACAGTCCTTATGGTTGACGCCGATACCAAGGTCTTCCCAGACAGCTTGACTCACATGATCTCTGCGATGGTCAAGGACCCACAGATCATGGGACTCTGTGGTGAGACGAAGATTGCGAACAAGCGGGCCAGCTGGGTTTCAGCTATACAAGTGTTTGAATACTTCATCTCGCATCATATGTCGAAGTCCTTCGAGTCCGTCTTCGGTGGTGTTACTTGCCTTCCCGGATGTTTCTGCATGTACAGAGTCAAAGCGCCCAAGGGTGGACAAAACTACTGGGTTCCTATTCTTGCCAATCCTGATGTCGTAGAGCACTATTCGGAGAATGTTGTCGACACCCTGCACAAGAAGAACTTGCTCTTGCTAGGGGAGGATCGTTACCTTTCGACCCTCATGCTTCGAACTTTCCCTAAGCGAAAGCAAGTCTTCGTCCCTCAAGCCGTCTGCAAGACCACTGTGCCCGAAGAGTTCTCCGTTCTTCTCTCCCAGAGACGTAGATGGATTAACAGTACCGTTCACAACCTCATGGAACTTGTTCTCGTCAGAGATCTCTGTGGTACTTTCTGCTTCAGCATGCAATTCGTTGTCGCTATCGAGCTCATCGGAACTGTCGTCCTGCCCGCTGCCATTACTTTCACCGTCTACGTTGGTACGTAGAACTCTTATCCTATCTTGGTGTGGTCATGCTAATCTGGTCTGCAGTCGTCGACTCAATTATCGGACCTGTTCAAACCATCCCTCTGATCCTTCTAGCTCTGATTCTCGGTCTCCCTGCCGTACTCATCGTTCTCACCGCTCACCGCTGGTCTTACGTCTTATGGATGTTGTGCTATCTCCTGTCCCTCCCGATCTGGAATTTTGTCCTTCCCGTTTACGCATTCTGGAAGTTTGATGATTTCTCCTGGGGTGATACTCGTAAGACTGCTGGAGAGACGACCAAGAAGGCAGGTATCGAGTATGAGGGCGAGTTCGACAGCTCCAAGATTACCATGAAGAGATGGGGGGAATTTGAGCGCGACCGCAGAATCCGAGTTGATGCTGGGTGGAGTAGGACCGGAATTGGTAGTAGGGAAGGAACCCATCTCAGCGTCCAGGCGTATCCAGGGCAATACCACCTAGGTTCTGACGAGTACTCGGACCTGTGAGCGCAATGAGGCGTGTACTCGGACGTTAATCTCTGAGTACAGCTGGAGAAATTAATACAAGAAGAATGAGGTCGCACGCATCCGTACGGCCAGGCTTGGTCATTGGCGTTTGGACAGAGCGATGTATTCTAGTGAACTTGGTGAAGCGGTCTTTACGGCGCATCAGGGGGTGTTTGAAAGGTTTTTGATGATCGACTTTTCAGACCGTAATTAATGCATATTAGTAACTTTTCGATTCTATGAACATCACCTCTCTCTCTCTCTCTCTTCTAGTCGTAGTCGTAGTCGTGTCGTAGATGGCAACCAGTAGTACAACTTGGGCCCATATCCGCGTCCCAGGGCTACGAGCGAAGTAGGTAGCTATCACTTAGTGCTATCATACCGACGCGGCGAGATGGAAATCTAGGTGGGCAGGAAGGCAGGGAATGAAGAGGAATTTCAAAGAGTGCATACATATCACTCACTCACTCACTCACTCACTCACTCACTCACTCACTCACTCACCAGTGGGAAGCTAGGAACAGACGAAGGAAGCTGACGACCGCTGGTCGGTTAGCTGTTTGCCAAGCGAAAGTGTACCGCAGTGATTTTACTTGTTTGGCTTGAGCTTTACAGATGATAGCTAGCTAAAGAAGAGGGCGCGTTGCGAGAGCGCTTACGTAAAGTAAACAACAGGGTAGGTAGAGCAGAGCGGACGGGGACCATATCTGTATGTTCCAAGGGGAGATTGGATTCGGAAATGCCATGCCGGGGTGTTACTTACCTCCCTCTACTGCTGTGGTCGCACGCGGGGAGACGATACATAGAGGGTGTAGACATGTCATCTTGTTGCAGTTAGTGAAAATATTGATTAGGTGAATGCGGCTATCGCTGGGGTTAGGGGAACGCCCCGAGAGAAGGCACGCGGCTAGGATAGGTAGGCGCTTACTTGAGGGACAGCGGGCGGGTGTCTAGGATGGAGACACAAGGGGCCTCTGCCTGAGGTGTTGCAGAGGGGGAGGGATCGAATTATCGAAATTTCAGTGTCAGATATTTTACAAGTACGACGAGGTAGCTCCTCAAATCGAAGGGGGAGTTCCCGGGTTAGTCCATTCTCACGTCGGGGTGGTTGAAAGTCTGTTTACCTACGGTTACCCGAGACTTGCTGAATAGCGGACGGTTCGCCAGGTCCTAGGGTTAGGTTGCATGTCCGGCTGGGTGTTTATCACGCACGTTCTAGTGAACGAGATTTGAATGGAGTGGAAGGTCTAGGGGCCGTGATTCGGCCTGCTTGATGCCAAGGTTGGGAATGTTGGATCCTGCCGCCCTATGGTTTGTTGACAAAATAGTCAATGACTTCGCTTAAACCCTTTTTCCAGGCCCGTAAGAATCTTTCAGGTCGATGCGGTATTGGATATATTGTCCTTCCACTATATATAGAAGTGCAAATTCCGATCACTTTTTTCCCGCTCAAGCATAGAGTTGTCCTTATAGTTGAACTTCACCCTTTAAGTAGCTCTTGAATCACCGGGGTGGACGTGAAAGCAGTCAAAGTAGCGCACCTATCGCCCGGAATCTATCCAACGCGTAAAGGGAGGCCGCGGGAGGTCGAGGCTGGCTTTGATCGACGACCTGGTACGTTGACATCGAGATCTCCAACTTGAGCTGCGTCCTGCATCACCCTTTTGCCTGTGGAAGATAGCACATCGACTTGCATGCAAGATGCTGCAGGCTCGTCTCTGACAAGTACTCCGTATATGTATGAAACGGAGTGCACGTGACACCCTGGCCAGATTATGTGATGATTAGTCGTCCCGACAAGATAAAATGGAACGTAGATGGCCTCATGGCGTCTCACCGCTATTTCCCTAAGGATTGCTGCGTTGTTCTTGTTACTTCTTGAGACGAAAGAATGTGATATACTTGTTGGCTGCTTGGAGACGAAGCATCAAAAGAAGCGAACGAGATGGGAGGCTGCAGCTGCACCCAGCCGTTCAAAGATGCTTGCACAATCCGAGGTTGGGTCCAGAATCAGGCTACTTGTCTTATTCTGCGGATGCGGGGGATATCAATTGAGAAATGTATCATATTCTGCACCTCTTGCTTCAGAAGTACTTTACTTGCTTTTATTGGAGCCACATCTGTCAACATCTCCCGGGAGAATAGAATGCGGGGGCGTGTAACGGAACGTGGAGATAACGAGATGAAGAAGTATAAGGGTTCTGCCTCGTTGTGCGGCTTCTGCTTCAGCTTTTGCTTCTGTACAGCTTCTGCAGTGTCCAGTATGCCGTTGCCTCTCTTTCCGATCAGCTGACAACGCATCCCATCCCATCCCACTCGAGGAACTTGGGAGTCGGAAGGGGATACGATTCCTGAGGGGAATTCGATTCCTGATAGAAGACGGCGCAGAATCTGAGCAGTCAAGTTTTCGGACCCAGGAAAGAGAAGACGAGCAAACAGGTCATAAATTGGGCCTGGTGTGCGACTCGAGCTTCCCCATGCTCCCCGGGTGACAACGGGAGCACAGCACGACACGTTTTTCCAGCACGAATAATGCCATTGCTCCGAGAGGCAGCAGCGGCTCCACGATATTTATGGTGGAGCGAAGGGCGAAGGTCGTCGATCAGTGCTCGGAACGGAGAATGTCTCGGCGAGGACTGACGACAGACAGGGCGTGTTGGGCCTCGATGGATGATGCACCGATATGTTCCGTGGCTGCTTGGTAGCTATGTACCGGTATTGCCCTCCTTTTTCCTCGTAACAGACAACGACCTTCTCGTAAAGTGATCCATCTTCTGATGCAGTTGGTGCATCTTCGTTCGCGCGTGAGTGTCTGCTTTTGGTCTGCCCTTGATGCGTAATCATCTCTGGCCGGGTGGAAATGCTTCTAATAATATGCCTCTTATGGGTTTTGAGCAAGGTTTTTGGATTTTGGGTCTAGATGGACTTTATGTTCCGACTCAGGATCCTTGCTGCATGTTTATTAGCCCAACATCGACTCGCGTTAATGGAGTAAACAATAGAAAAGTCTATAAATCGGTCATTCTGACAGGATCTCCGATTCACTAGGAAAAGAGGACCGTGTAGTATTATTGGAAAAGCCAAGGACATGAACCTGGTCTCGATATTTGTCGAATCTTTGACCATGATTGTTACTCATATCGATTGTTCCGTCGCAGTTGGTGAAAGTGTAAGGATATATCCGATGTAGGAACATTCAGTAGAAAGGATGGAGAAGTGAAAGTCGACGATAGAGAGATGGAAATGGCGCTAGCCGCTCTCTTATCGTAGCCGCAAAAGGCAGCTCGATGCTTATGTTTGTGTCTGTGACTGTACTGTGTTCCTACATTCGGATACCTACGACGTACTTAGTTTATAATACCGGTAATTATCTGGATATTCTTAATCATGAACTGTCAGCCTAAGCCCAAGCCCAAGCCTACCCCACGTTGCGGTTTCTTAATCTAGGTATCTACTATAGGCACCTAGCCTAGTACCGTACCGATGACCCCAACTTCGTACTGCCATCCAGCCAAATCACTTCGCACAACACCACCAGCAACGACAACGACACCGACAACGACAACGACAACACCAGCACCCTCGCTCTCGCCCTCGCCTTCGCCCATCTGCCACGACCGCTCCCGACCGATCTGCGAGACGAGCCAATCTCCTCCCTCTTCCATCGCCTCTATATCTGGTATGCTCGTCGGGGCCCCATCCCCTTCGCATCCCCATCGCCATCCCCATCCCACCTTGCGCTGTGCTGGGTTCCGCGCTTCGTGTACCTCGACTTCCCATCCCGCCATATCTCTCCCTCGCGAAAAGGTCGGATCCACTTGGTACTCCGACGCTACACAAGGTCACCAAAACCCAACCTTCCTTCCTTCACATGGGATATAAGGAATTCCAGAGGAGATTCGAGTAGGAGATCGATATGTCGGGGCAGAACCCGTTGACTCCCCCCAACGGTGCGTCAACCGAGGCTGAAGCTACGCTCAATGCTACGATCCTGACAGCAACAGGAACAGCAGCAGTGCTGTACTCGACGCACCAAGCCCCCGGGACACCCGTCAGTATGGGTCTCGAAGGTCCTGAGGAGAGACCCGACATGGCAGAGAGACAAGAATCGCTCCCTCTGAGCGACGAGGACTACGACATGTCTGATGGAGGTGCTGCCTTGACAATGACACTCTCGCACGCGGAAGCGCTCAACAACGAGATGGACCTGTTGGATGCTGAAGTAATGGGTCACGACAACCTCATCGGTCTATCCGGGCATGAATCCTACTTTCCCGAATCTCCAGCTCTTCCAGATCATTCCCCAGACGATGAGCCGCCGGACTGGACTTATGGTGCGGAGCATATCTACACGCAAGAACTACTTGCTGGGCCAACGAGTATACCAGCCGCCATGTCAGAGCTGTCACAGCAGTTACAGCACTTACAAGAGGGGCAAGATCATGCAGACATCGCAGGCGTGGCGGACGATATACATGGTGCCATCCACCATCATGATCACAGTACTCCCTCCATTCTCTTACCCATCTTCTCGAATCTTCAGAACGGAGGTCTTACCCTGGCAGGAGCTGGGACTCAGCCGAGTTTTGTCACGATGTCCCAAGTTACTCCCAGTCATCTCTCGATGTTCCAAGTCAACCCTAGTACTTTGCCCACCGCGCAATTGCCTTGGCAAGCTGGGCCAGGGGCAGAGATAACATTCCCAGCAGTGCTCGCTCAGGCTTCTTCTCAAGCCCAGCCACCTTTTCATAACCCTGTCTGGGATGACTTTGACGATGAGGATGCTGACCAGCCTGAAGTCGACGACCAGTTCAACCTCGGTCTCCGTCACTTTTTGGAGAATTGGGGAAGGTCTGCATTACGTACTCAGAACGAGGCGTCCCGGCGTCATTCTCGAGGGCCAGATCTGGTTGCGATTCGTGAACACATGTTGGAAGTTCTTGATCCGGTAGAACGCAGCGACCTCCAAGGGGACAGGTGTGATATCCAACGGATCAACTGGGCCGATCTTGGAGTGACTCCGTTGGCCGCTCGGCAACAACGTCGAAACACATACAGAAATTACACCAACTTGAGGCCTGAGCAGGGGCGGTGGCATGTAGGTGATAAACTGCTTCACGTTTTGTATTAACCACTAATTCAAGAACAGCCTCGTGTATGCGGCTCCATACTCGATGATGACCAGAACTTTTTCAAATTCAGACGCATGGACTTCAACCATGACATCAATTTGTCACACTTTCAGCTCAGAAACCTCATTGCGTGTGCTTCTCGTGATCATGTATTCTACGCTGGCAGAGGACAGGTGATGCACTGGAATCCTCGGAGCTCCTCTGCCGAACCGGATGTCGCCATGGACCTTCGTAATCCTACTGTACAGCCTGTCAACTTCATATCCGGTGCACCTAATGGCATTCAAATATCAAGTTTGGCGGTCGGTCATGATATACTTGTTGCTGGTGGTTTCGCTGGGGAGTATGCGCTGGTCAATCTAAGGTCGCAGAAGGACACTAAACACACAGAAGGCCTCGTCACAGACAGCAGCCAAAGCATCACCAATTTCATTCAGGTACATTCTGCTCGTCGCTCTCATGGACCTCTGGCTGCCTTCTGCCCGAACGATAACTCCATGCGGATTCTGGACATTAGTACGAACAAGTTCATTGCAGATCACAGATATGAGCATGCTATCAACTGCACAGCGATCTCTCCCGACCAACGTCTTCGAGTCGTAGTGGGCGACACTAAACAAGTCATGATATGCAATGCCGAAACTGGCGACATACTCCAGAGTCTCGATGGCCACCGAGACTTTGGCTTCTCGTGTGACTGGGCAGATGATGGCTGGACTGTTGCTACTGGCAATCAGGATATGCAAGTCAAGATTTGGGATGCCAGAAAATGGACGAACAGTCAAGGCTTGGGCCAACCAATTGCCACCATTGCGGCCGATACGGCATGTGTCCGGAAGCTAAAGTTCTCGCCCCTAGGATCCGGAAAGAGGGTTCTGCTGGCGGCTGAGCCGGCGGATATCATTAGCGTCATTGATGGGGGCTCATTCTCGAGCAAACAGACTCTGAGCTTCTTCGGGGAGATCGGAGGCGTTGACTTCACAAACAATGGCCAAGAAGTTTTCGTGGCGAACTGTGACGATATGAGAGGCGGCTTGCTACAGTATGAACGATGCGGTCTCGCAAGCCACGGTCGCTACGGCCTCGAGGAGGCATATGACCTGAAGCGGAAGAGCCGAAACCGAAGACGAGGCGAGGGCCACGACTGGAAGGGAACCGACGAAGAGGTCGCTAGACACCACAAAGCAAAGGGGACCGAAATGCAGCGGATCAGAAGAGCTGCAAAGCTAGGCTTTGCCATGGGCCATTTCTGAGCACATGAGTATCACTGTACAGTCTCACTAATTCCCCGTCGGAAACAGGCAGGACCCCTTGTCTTCAAGGCTGATCCTCCTCTGCGATCTTATATACATTTTCATTTTGTCACGCGATGATACCATGGGCTGGGATAGAACGATTGGGATGACATGGGAGCCCTGGAATCGTTTTTCACCAATTGGGAGCGGACGGCGAAGCACTGCTGTTCTCATACACCTGCTGCCATTCAAGCTTTACGTTCCGAGTATTTTTGCCCCCGCATTTCAGGCGTCATGCATCTGTTCTATGAGGGGCTTTTTTTTTTTTACGGCATTAGTCTTGCATCTGGAGGTTTCTCTGCATGGTGCATTGAGCGAAAGGCGGCACTTCCTGGTTCCTGAACGGTGCTTCAGGCCAGTTTTGATATCTGGATATCAAGGGAGACCAGGCAGGCTCCATTGATTTAGCGTGGAGTTTGGAGGGGTGGGCTGGGGTGGAGGATTCATACTTTGGGATATCATGTCTTTCCTTGACCATGGTTCATGATGGTATCGATTTTATCGATTTCTCATTGGTTTTTCTGCAGTACTTTGCTCCCACTTGTCATTCGCAATCTGGTCGGTTATCCGGTGCGATGAGGTGGGACGTGGATGGTGCAAGTGGCAGGACTAGTACATATTTCACTCTTCCATAACGGTTGATAATAAATGAAGCAAAGTTTTCGCTGCGGTCGAAATTCCTCGAGCCATCATCCCCTTGTGGTTTTTGGATTTCTAGAAACCCTGGACCCGTAGGCAGTGGTAGTTGCATCGCACGGATAGCATTGTACTTCTGCATCTGCCCGTTCCGTTTCCTCTGGCCCTTGACCGAGTTCTGCATTCGTTTTGTCAGGCCCATACCAACTACCAACAAGCCCGGTCGGTAGGTACTCTGTATTCTCAGGGATGGATGGATGCAGGATGCTCTTCTCCGATAGATTCAAAATCCAACCTGGAGGCTTACTCAGCCTTGGCCTGGTATTATTTATGTAGAGAGATGCAGCGCCGTGACGATCCGTTGCACCCGTGATTGAGCTGCATGTTCCTGCAAAGCCCTACACCCGTTCGATTCGCAAATAAAGAAGCGAACACCCGACCGTCAAAGGCTGTCTCTGAGAAACAACGACGACCAGGATGCTCGGATTCGACTGGCCAACCCTGCGATTTATCTACCTCCGTCCGATCTACTCTCCACGCGAGTTCCAGAAAACTACCTAACCATCTCTCCGTCCTTATCCGTTGTAGTTTTCGACTGTCAGAGTTGCTACCAGTGCCGGCTACTCCTCTTGAGTTTCCCGGAATGTCGCCCGATCTCGAAACTGAAATAATCTCCTACTATACCCCTTGGGTTTCTGTTCTACGAGGGCTCTAATCGATGCACAATAAGCTTATAGGTGTTTACTGGTACAGTAGCGTACTAGTTTTGAACGGGCTTCTTCAAGCAAACGAGTAGGGAAGGTATTTAGTAGTAGTTAGTTTTGTACACGGTGAAGTTTGATGAGGTGTCACTACTGTAGGTAGGCTTTTCCAGCGTTCAAGGCTCTGCCCCTCTACGAACTACAGGCCTCTACGAACTACAGGGAGCCAGGTTTTCTGTTAATAATATTATACTAAAGAAAAACAGCTCGGGTACATACGACCATAGACTGAGGAGAATTGGGCATCCCGTTCGCTCTGCCATACACAAGCCTCAGATCGGCAGATTAGTAGTTGGGTGGGTGACCACCAGCGAATACCTGCTGTTGTATGTTTTTGATGTGTTTTTGGATGAGCCTATCAGAGCGAGTATGTACGTATCTGCACTCATTTAGGAAGGATGGTGGGTGAGACCTGTACAGGAGAAGGCCATAGGTGACATTTCTCGCACAAAGAAAACTTTAACTTCTTCATCGAGTGACACTTTTGCTGAGATATGAATCTTTTTGGATTAGTATTTGCGAGTATTCTATTTATCGGTTATGATAGACCCTCGTTCGATCAGCCCTTTGGTCTTGTACTGTATTTTTGGCGCTCGATGGTTTTGAGTTGACATGATTAACCGAGGTGGGATTTCATTTGAGATCGTTAGGGTGCATATTGCCAAATGGTTAGCATATCTTAAAAGTCTCGCTTTAATACTTTAGTATAAGATAATGACAGTGATTTTACTCGACGTCAATCTTGAAGGTATGCCAAAAGTGAAAGAGAAAACGCAAGTGTAAGTGAGTCTAGCGAACTCGCTAACTTGCTATACCCACCACAACCCTCTCTTGCAAAAGCTCAACGTCATCTAAAAGTATCCCACCATCTCAGCGAACTTCTTGCTAGGCCATATTCTTGCTTCTCCGTTCTCTATTGATACCTATCGGAATACAATTGACTGGTTGGGACAAGGACAAGGCACAGAGAGTTGGCCTTAGGCCGCCAGCCGCATTAGCTCAAGCGTAGGTTGCATGGCACGTGACCGCGCGACTTCCTTATAGGGAGCTCAGCCACTCCTCAGACCCTCTAGAATAATCATGCATCAACACCACACCACACCACCAAGACCCAAGTCTAGACTTAGCAACACCTACGATAGCAAAAGCGATTGGTGCTCGCTCGTCCCGGGGATTGGTTTGTCGAGAGCTTTTAGGACGAGTGTCAGTCACGGAAAGTGATTTCGCGCAGGCGCAGTGCCCGACATCTCGGCTTCCGAGGAGCTCGCCGCACAGTTGCCTCTGGGTATGATCCGGCCGGGCGGTCGCCGGTTTTGTTTGTGAGGTTTGGCGGTAGACGAGGCTCGGAGGCGAAATCGTTGGAGCTTATGTATCTCTGTGAGGCTGCTGCTCTAGAGCGCGAAATGCCCAAGCTGGTGGGGTAGGCGGTGCCTCTTTCAAGACCTGGTCAGTTAGGTTATTCCAAGGCAGATCTCTTGGGCAGTCCGATTTCTTCCTCGGGATTTGAAAACCTTCCCCAGTCGTTTACGCGAGCAGATATCAAGTAGACCAGCAAGATTTTTTAGCTATATCCCTCTAGATCCTACCACAGAAACAGTTCTCGCTGCTCCAGGAACACTCTCGATGACTGCACTGGTCTTGAAGAATGGGGATTGAGGTTGTGTACGCGTCTGCTACGCTGATAACTCGCTAGACGTTAATAAATACAACCAGAACAAATGCTGACCTGTGCCTCGCGAACACTAATTCAAACAAGGAAATATCGTAGCAGCAGCTGTGATCGGTAAGAGCGAGACAATTACATTCGAAACCCCAACCAGCTGCCCTCCTTAGGCTTTCCCATTCCCGTTCGAAGCCTCTCTCCTCGCTCTCATCTCGGCTGCCATCACTTCGATCGGATCCGACCTCTCCGCGGGATATTTCTTGAACAACATCGCAAATATCACCGTCGCTACACACACAGTTCCTAGCCATGTCGTTGTGGTGACGAACCCAATGATGTATCTCGGAGCATCGCTCTTCGGCCAAAGCCAGGTGGCGTAGATGCTCGACGCATTGCCGAGAGAATTGATCAGAGCGATCGCAACGGCCCGCTTGGCAGCGGGCTGGGGTATAACGTCCACCGCCCAGGTTTTGACCAGCGGAGAGCACCCGTAGATGGTACCGAAGGCGAGGATCGTCAGGACATATTGGGCCATCTTGCTCTGTGTGACTGTGACGGCGATGAAGAGACAACAGCCGATCGCCGAGAGACCACACAGGAAGGGCCATTTCTACATGAGGAGGGTGAGGTTAGCAACTGTCGCAGTAGAGCTATTGGGGAGGAGGGAGAGCGAGACACGGCATTCATAAATCGCAGAACGAGCAGATAGTAAGGAAAGCTAGCTGGCCATCTCCTTACGGTTTGATATTTGTCTGCCAGCCAGGCGCAAATGACAACGTAAGCCAGGGCAGCCATGTACGGTGGGATCGTGTAGTCTAGCATATGTTAGAAGAACAGTCTTCTGTCCTCGCCAAGTCGAGGTCGCTTCGGAGCCGAGCCGAGCAGAGATGGCCGTATTACATACATTGAGCTGTATACCCTGTCCATCCAAAGCTTTTGACAAGGGTTGGGATAAAGTACTGCATTGTCTGCGATCCAGTGACGAGAACGAAGATGAAGCACCTGGGAGATCAGAAGATCAGCGATAACTCGATCGTATGTTGTCTCGCGAGAAGCATCGGTATTGTAATGTGATCACGAGATCCTCGGCAACAATGGTTTGCTTAACTTACTGTGCCCAGACTCTCCAGTCTCTGACTGTCATCTTGAACACCGCCCAATGACCAAGCTCTTCACTTCCAGTTCCCTGAGCTAGAGCAATGCCGTCCATCGCTAAGCGATTACAAGCGAGAATGGTCTCCTCCTCGTTGAGAAACTTGGGGCTATTGATAGGGTAGTTGGGCATGAGAAAGTGGATGCCCATGGCTGCAACAACAGAGCCGAGCCCCTCGATAATCTAACATGTGGTCAGCGCAAAGATCAGTAGGGAAGAAGGGAAACTCACGAACAGCCAGCGCCATCCCGCAAGTCCCGCAAGTCCGTCCATATGCTGGATAATCACAGCTGCAAGAAGACCAGACATAGCCCCGGCCAGTGGGACGGAAGTATACATTATAGCATAGCGCGTTGTGAGCTCATAGCGTCTGTACCACGAAGAAAGGAAATATGCGCATCCAGGTGCGAAACCGGCCTGGGTGTACCGTATATGTCAGATGCAGAAAGTAAGAGTAGTTTTGGCCTTGGCCCACATACCTCGGCAAAACCAAGCAAAAACCGCATACCAGCGAGCTGTTTCCAGTTTTGAGTGGCAGCCATCAGCATTGCAAAGCTCCCCCAGAGGACCCCGAGACCGGGGAGGAAGACGCTGGGCCTGACGCGTGTGAGGATCATGTTGGCGGGAACTTCGCAGACGAGATATGATATAAAGAAGACCAGCACAATGACCGAGTACTGGCTACTGGTTAGGTTAAAGTCATCCTCCAGCCCACCTGTCTTTGCATTTCTGGCAGAAAATTAGCAGATTAGTTTGCATCAGAGTGGGATCGGAGTCCATGTAAGTACCCAATGTTAGCTCGGTCCAAAAAACCTAGAAGATACAACGTCCAAAGACAAGGGAGGATACGCCAGTCCACCTTCTTAATCAAGTCTCTCTCTGCCTGAGAAGTTCCCGTGGCGTATCGATCAGCAAGTTGCTGTGCTTCCAACACGTCGGCCTCACCATCGACGGATTTTCTGTCATCTTTCACCTGCTCAACATTCAGAAGGCTGGTCTTTTTGCTAAGAAGACTCATATTTTCAATGCGAAGCTCGGGATGAATGAAGATTGAAAGAGGAAGGTTTCAGAAGTAAGGAGAGAGACATCAGGGCTCAACTAGATATAACAAGTAGGCCGGCCTCAAGTGACTGATCGAGAGTAGTACCCTGTCAGCAGTGGAACCAGGGTATCCAGCCAAATTGATGTTAAAAAATTCCAGAGTGACCCAGGGCCCACTTCCCCATGCATAGCAGTAGACAAGCCTGCAAATCGCGAAGAACATGCTCAGAGGATCCGCGAGCGACATATTCAAAGGTGGGAGGGAGTATGACCAAGAGTTGTACCCATATCGGCAGAATCTCCGAGTCTCGAAAGTTCTCCTTCCTAGGCTCGAGATTTCTCGGATCCTCACGACAGTTGCCGACATGAACCTCCGAGTGGCTGCCCTTCGCCTGCAGATAGATGTAAACAGACCGCCTGACTAGACCCACCCCAAAGTCATCCAGATTTTTCACTTTCATACGCTGCTCATAAAAGTGCTTGCAGAAAAAGTGGGAGGAAGCTTTCATATACCTCCAAGCGCTTGATCTTGCCTCTGGCCTCGATCCTGGATGCACGAAAGATCTTACGATTGTGCCACGAACTCCTAGGCTGAAAGAGAGCTTAAAAATGAGTGACAAGAAGTGCATATTTTTGAAATGGAGATTCCTCCTGCGCAATTCAATCCCGATTGCTGAAGCAGCCAGCGGCCAATGACGGCGTTTATCGCCGCGAGCTGCTTCCCCTCATGCGTTCCACCAGCGACCCCGCCCCAAAAATTGCCCAGATGTTTGCTCGGGGTCCGGCAGCTTCCGAATCATGAGTATAGAGTCGGATGATGTATCGCGTCAACTGGGAAGGAAGGCCATGAATCTGGATGGGCCTAGCTATTCGGCAGTTTCGCCGAAGTTGTTTCCTCTGGCAGATCAATATCGATCGGTCCGCGCCGTCCAAAGCCCAGAAATGATCTTGTTCAGCATACATCTCTATGAGGATTGAATCGCTTGAGACACCCAAATATTGAAGTGGTTCAAAAGCCTAGTTGGGAAGTTCTGGTTGGGCTGTTTCACCCCGGCTTTGCCAATCCAATGTAAACAAACTTCAGACCGGCTAAACTTCCCCGGCCCGAGCATTAAATATTATGATTGGTTAGACTCAACGTGCAGCCCAAAGTAAGGGATGGGGTACATAGTGGATTTCGCCTCGGCAATCGCAAGTGAGATCCCTATTTCGACCACATGGCATGAAGTTCCACGTCGAGAGCCTACGCGACAACTTTCAACAATCGATAAGTGAAAATGAGCCTCAACAAGCGTCCTAGAAACGATCAAGATCACGATACTGCATCTTCGGCTGACCAGCGACCGGCCTCCAAGCCACAGCTAACCCGAGCGTGTGGGTACTCAACCGATCTGCCAAGGCGTCGCGACTGACACATTCTCCCAGGCGCAGAATGCAAAAAGCACAAGATCAAATGCTTCGTCCAGCCAGGGGCTGAGGCTTGCCGGAAATGCCAAAAGAGTGGAATCCAATGTGTCCCTCATAACCTGAAACAGAAGTTCATAGAGGAAGATACAGCGTGAGCAATCGATGTTGACTTGGGCAATCTTTGGATTTTGTGCTCACATGTGCGAAGCTGGAAGTCCCAGGCAAGCGCACAAATCGACCAGCTCAAAGCCGCCGTCGCACAGTTGCTGCAGCAAAGCAACCTGCCGAGCCTCTCTGGCTACCAGACCAATCTTGGTTTGAGCCGACAGACCGTCAGAGATGCTCCTATCTTCCCGGAGACGGCTTGCAACTATAACACCGCTGGTGCTGTAGGCAACTTTACATCTGAGGGTTCGTCGGCTTTACACAGGAAGGATGATTCAGATCTTGTGCCTTTGCCGATGAACAACCTGTACAGCCTTACCGACCCTGGAAAATCTCGACTGATCCTCGTCGACTCCTCACTCGTAAGCGTGGATCTCGTTAATTCGTCCTCACGCAGCTTCGGCTGCTTCAAGACCATGGGAAACGTCGTGAATTCTCGCCATACGGCTACTCTGCTGGCTCGATGTAAACATCCCACTGGCAGGTGAAGGCTAACCACGTACAAAGTAGGTGAATGGACCAGACTTTATCAGCCGTGGCGTAGTCTCCTTGGCCGAAGCGGAGTTTCTCTTTGCGCATTTCCAAAGTCGCATCAACCCGCTTCTCTGGAACGGTATTCTCTGCTCCCATAAAACGCTGGCTACAGCGCGGGAGTCTTCCTCGCTCCTAGTTGCCACGGTACTCACCGTCGCAGCACTACACATGCCGAACCGAGAGCAGTCTCTGCGCGCTACGTACGATGCATTTGTGATGCTGATGCGAGATTCGTGCATGCTCCGCAGCCAGAATCTGGACGACATTCGGGGCCTGTGCATTGGCGCCTTCTATCTCACGAGCCTCAGTTGGGCCTTGTGCTCACGGGCTGTTCGAGTAGCAACGGAGATGAACCTACACAAGTCATCCTTGCAGTTTGCTCGGGGCTCACTTGCTTCCTATGAACGTGTCAGGCTTTGGTACGTGCTATACGTCTGCGATCACCAATTCGCTCTTGCTTACGGACGTCCGCCCATGATGCATGATTGTGCGGCCATCAGAAATGCAGACAAGCTGTTGACGAGCGAGCTATCTTCCGAAGGGGACCGCGGGCTGGTGGCTCAGGTTAAGCTCTTTCGAATTCTGGCCGGTTGCTACTTCATGTATGGATGCGATGCTGATCTTGTGAGTCCTCGTACCACGACAGCCCTTGAATCAAATCTCTCTCTCGGTCTTGGGAGACTTGGAACTGACCGCGATTTCTCCAATAGGAGCTCAGTGGGCAAGATTTTGAAATCCTTCAGTCTCTCAATATTCAGCTCGACCAGTGGCGACTCGAGCATCAGCCGAAGAGCGTCGATACTTCGAGAGACCCTCTCCTACCATCGAAGGGGATCACGTTATATTACCACCTAGCCCGCTTCCAGCTCAACTCACTATCTCTCAGAGGAATATCTGCAAGCCGAGGACCCGGAGGTCCTGCTATGAACTGGGAGAGACAAGAAGCTGCCAACAATGCAATTGCGGCAGCGACTTCTACCATGAGACTCCTGATGATCGAAGACAGCCAGCTGCGCGACGCACAGATTGGAATGCCCATCTTTGTGCATGCGATGATCGCCGTTTGCGCGTCTTTCCTCCTCAAGATGGCAGTGGTGTTCTGCGAGCCAGCGGGCGTCAACAAGGCTCTCCGTCTGCCGAGAGATCTGGCCAAGTTCGGCTTGAACTTCCACACGGAAAGCGTATTGCGGGAGGTGGAAGCACTGGTTGGTATGCTGAAGGCTATGGCGGATAGAGCTAGTCAACAGCACGTTGCCGGTCACGTCGTGACAGGTCTACGAGAACTGCTACAGAGATTCTCTCCCGGTCCCGAGCCGAGCACTTACCTCTATCCGCGAGGAGCTGAATCAACCGGCTCGGCTCCTGGTGTCCACGCACAGAACAGCAACTCGAATGCCTCGTGTGACGACGCATTTGTCACTGGCCAAGCAGACACCACGAGTTGCGGCGCAACCATCACACAACTACCAGGCGGGCAAGACGGTGCATGGACGCAATCTATGTCGTTGGGTCATCAGCAAGATCCATTCGATCTCCTGGGAGGAGATCTAGATTGGCGCTTCAATGATGCTTTTCTCCTGGGCATTCAGACAGAGGACTCGTATATGTAAAGAAGCAACCGTGACAATATGATTAAGAACGTGAACTTCTGCCTCTACGCTTTTCCAGCACTACCGAGGATCCTCATATAATTTTCGACCGCTTTCTGCATCGCCAACGTCCCAGCTTCAATCACCGTCGTCAGCGGCTTTCCGCGCATCTCCGCTTGCACCTTCTCGTAGTGCTTGTTTACCCCTTTGTTGATGTTGATCTTGGTGACGCCTGCTCGGATACACTTGGTGAAGACCGTCTCGTCGAAAGGATCTGCGCCGTGCAGAACCAACCTCACCCGGTCCCCCACAGCCTTGTGAACGGATTCCAGACGCTCATACTCCAGGTTGATCCCCCTGGGGCCGTATTCCCCATGGACGTTCCCGAATGCCGGCGCTAGCAGTTCGATGCCCGTCGAGACAAACTCTTCCGCCTGCTCTGGGGTCGTCAAGACCGCCTCCAGATCCACGGTCGCGGCCACGCCGTCCTCCCCGCCCTCGATCCTGCCCGGTTCGGCCTCGGAGATGATGCCGCGCCGATGGCAGTACTCCGTGAGCTCGCGCGTCAGCTCGAGATTCTCCTCCTTTTCGTAGTGGCTCATGTCGCACATGATCCCGTCGAAAGCAGCCGGGATGTCGGCGGCCTGGCGGACCAGCTCCGGCGTCTGCGCATGGTCGAGGTGGAGGGTCACGGGTGCCGAGGATGAATGCGCGGCTTCGGCTGCGGCAAGCACCAGCGTTGATCCCGCGTACTCGAGTGCCCAAGGGAAGAGCTGGACTATTGCTGGAGAGCGGCACGCTTCGGCGGCGCGGACCGTAGCAATAATACTCTCCAGATTGTAGCAGCATACTGCGGGGACTGCGTAGCCGCCGTCACGAGCGGCGTTCAAAATTGCCATGGTGCGGTTATCTTTGAGATCTGGACGCGACATGTTGGGGGAATATTTTATCGAGGTATCCCAATATACGAACGATGCTCTGAAAGCTTGTTCAAGATAAGCCGAAATGATTGCTCCAGATCGTGAGCAGGTTTAAGGTCCGAATATATCGTTCTACGTCTCCATTGCCACCCAGTACCTCAACGATAAGTGGGATGGGCTTACTCCCACCTTCGATAGATTCTCTGTGATAGAAGAAGTGAGAATAGAGAATGTTGATGTATTAGCGTACAACATTCAACCGATTTGGTATGTTGTACCTCGCTTAAAATTCGATCCTCTAGATCTTGACGAGTTGGGGATGAAACTCGAAGAAAATCATGGACGACGGCAACAATCTCCCTTCCACCTTGCAGGTGCGGGGCGTCGAATACTGCGAGTCAGAGCTCTGCATCGTGTTTTGGCGCGGAGAAGGGCCTCATCGGCGTTGGGTGCGAGAAGATGCTGCCATACTGCTGATCTCGGCGAAAACGCCGATGCGATCCACACCAGCATCCTTCCGACTTCACAGACGAATCGAAGGCCACCCCGATGGCAGAAGACCGAAGTCGAAGACCGCAAAATGAACCATTGCCATATGCATCTACATACTGACATTATATCTCGCGGCCTCCAGCTCGGTCTGATTTCTTACTTATTGTTTGCTCAATTCGCAATCACTCCCAGATCTTCTCTTCTTCTCTATCCACCGGTTCCCTGAAGTTTAGCCTATATCCTTCTTCATAATGGGCTCCATCGAATGCAATAAACACTCCCCCGGAGCGAGGCCCCGTCTTGCAGTGATCTTAGGCGACCCTTCAGGAGTTGGGCCCGAACTCATTGCAAAGCTCCTGAGTAATCCCGCCAATTCCAAGAAAGCAGACATCTTTCTCCTCGCCGACCGCTCAGAACTCGACTCGGCCATTACTGACGCCGGCAACGTACAAGTTTTCCTCTCGGATATTGCTGGTCCCAAAGGGGCGCAGCTTCTCGATGACAACACCGCTGCTCTCTACCCCACGGCTCGCTCTGAAGTCTCCAAGGCCAGTGGAGAGCGCGTGATCCATCAGCTGAAGCGGGCGCTCGCACTGGCTCAAGAGGGAAAGATTGACGCCATTGTATTTGGCCCGCTGAACAAGAGCTCTTTGAAATTGGGCGGTATGAAGCAGGAGGATGAATTGAGGTGGTTTGCGGACCAGCTCAACTTCAAAGGAAGAACAAGCGAGATCAACGTTGCCGGGTCGTTGTGGACAGGAAGAGTCACGAGCCACATTGGTATCGAGGATGTTGCTGAGCGTATAACGGCAGAGTCTACCCTCGAGGCCATCGAGCTGTTGAATAGACTGAGGTATGTTCTCGTACCCACAACGCTCATATGAGAACGACACTCACGTTGCAAAGATGGGAATCGGGTCTCTCCTCACCTCGCCTCGGGGTTTGTGCTTTGAACCCGCATAACGGCGAGAATGGCTCTTTTGGACGCCAGGAGATCGACCACATCGCTCCAGCTGTCGCTGCCGCCCAAGCAAAAGGTATCAACGTGCAAGGTCCTTTCCCTTGCGACACGATCTTCATCAAGCGCGATAACTTCGACGGCATCGTCACCATGTACCACGACCAGGGTCAGATCGCCATGAAGCTGCTCTCGTTTGACGGTGGCGTAACGATGCAGGGTGGGCTTCCTATTCCTGTGGCCACCCCAGCACATGGCACAGCTTTTGATATCGTGGGGAAGAACTTGGCGGCTATTACAAGTACCCAGAACGCGTTTGATATCGCGTGCACAATGGCTGAGAGGAGAGTCTCGAATTTAAACGGGAACGGGAACGGGGAGGCGCACAGCCTGCCGGAGAAGAAGGGCCTGCTGCCAGAGATTACCGAGGTGAAAATACCTCCGTGTTGCTAGACAATATCCAAGTTCCGGTTGAAAATCACACATCCTGTAACATGCAGCTCCAGCAACCCCCTACTGCCATCGTCTAACGCGTGCATACTCGTACGCACGCTCTGGGTAGTCAGCCCACACTCTTCCAGAGCCAGCAGGAGAATCAGAAATCTTCCGCGCAGTAAAAGGCACATCTTCACCAACGCAGGGAAGGTCGACCTGTCCATCGAAAGCTGACCAAGCTTTTACCGCCGAATTGGATCGTTCCTTTCTCCGCCGTGTAATGTACCTCTCCCGCCGCCGTCTCGCGAAATTTCAGTCTGACCACGTACGTGAGGGAAGCTTCTACCTTGGACTTTTTTGGGCGGCCTCTCGGCCTGTAGAACCTCCAACTTTTCTCTCGGAGCTTGCGGTGGGCTTTCTGTCCTCGTCCTCGTCCTCGTCCTCTTCGCTCTCTTCGCCATCTCCATCCTCCTCACTGTCATCTTCTTCCCCAGCCCCAGCATTCCGATCTAACCGAGAGCAATGCAGCTTCAAAATATTCTCCTCGGTACGCATAATCACCATACCCTCAAGGATCCCGAAATCGAAATCGAAATCGGCTTCGAATACACCCGGCTCTGTGGTTCGGCGCATGTCGAGACCCAGATCTTCTGCCTGTTCCAGACATCCCCTTTCGACCACTTCGCAATCGATCATGTAGCTGCCGCCTGGCGAAGGTGATGTGGGAGCCCTTGGAGCCATTTCCACTTCGGGACTTGAGGTATCCCGCGTGGAGAGCTTCACGCTCGCGCGCCCGCTTGTCCCCCGCAGCCTTGCGAGCCTTCTCCTTCCTGGGCAGAACGACCCTCCGCGGCTTCGTTCACGGCGACCGGGTCCCAGCCCAGGAATATGGCTTGCGTCTTAGGCCCCCAACCCAGTCTCGCGGTGCAGACCTACGACTCTGTGGGCGGCGTCGCGCATGTCATCCGCACGATAGGAGCTACTCTGTCAGTGAGCCCCTTGCACCTTCGAGGATTCCCAAGGCATGAGATAGTTCCATTGCCAGAATTCCCGCTACTGTCAATCAATTTGGTACCCCGCAGTGCTCGCGTTGGTTGCGATAATCCCGTATTGTTGTTCGTCTGCCTACCGGTAGCAAAACCCTGCACTGGACGTTCTCAAGGCCGTGGTGTTCTCTCTTCTCCCCATTGCAACATCGCAACAGGAATCATCCTCTACGCACGCACGAGTGTGGCAGGTACGTCTAGTAGCGCGAGTCGCCACCAAAAAAAAAAGAGAAAAAAAAAAAAGAAAAGGGACCTGATAGGTTTCTAGCTGCATGCTTGACATATCCTTGACTACCAGCAAACTAAAGGTCATACGATCTACCCCCACCCATCAAACAGACACTCATTCCATAGCTTTTCACACGATGTGGTTTTCGAGGACGTTGGTGCTCCGAAATGATTTGCAAGACTTACCGGTACAGTACAGTACATACATACATACATGCATACTTACTACACCAGGCCCAGACCCATAAGCGAGAAAAGAGACCAAGCGAAGGGCCCTCCCTGCCTGACATGACAATAGAGAGGCAGTCGTCGTTGCGATGGATAGACAGACAGGCACGAAACCGCTGATGATAACTCGCGCTGCCCGTAGAACGCCGCTCCAGCTGAATACCGGACAAGCATCGTCGGCGATAGAAAGCTGTTGTTTTCCACATGCGATTCTAATCCTCTGAGGATAAACCCGTCGCGGTATTACTCATCCGTGACTACTCGTTCCTGCTGGTATCATGGACTTTGACCTTGACTTTGATATTACGCATACATAGCGTCTCCGTGAGCGAAACATTCTAAGCGATAACGGAGTTTTGGTTTATTATTGACTTCACAAATGCGCGAGCACGGGTAGGACTGAAGAAGTACGTACCTTATATATCTTCCCCCCCCCACCCCCAAAAAGTTCACAGATACACCAGCAGCATGATTTTGAACATTCGTGATTCTCTTTATTACTGCTTGTACAGCGATAGAACGGGAGACGGCGCACTACCTACTATTATCGAACATAAAACCCCCATCCACTTCATTACTAGTTGCCCTCAGTCCCTGTCCCTCAACCACGCGTGCTTGCTTGCTGCCTGCCTGCCATATCCAGGTCCCTAGGGATCTCATCTAGACCAAGACCTATCTCGGCAGCTTCCGCGCCACGCCACGCAACGCAGCGCGTCAACTAAAAAAGAAGCAGCGCCATCGCTCCGGGGCCCCATCCATATACTCCAGCCCCCCAATTCTACAATAAATACAGATGATCCTCTTTCCTTCCTCTCCAGGAAGGACGAGGCCCAGACGCCAGAGACTTTTGGTCTTGATAAAACTTTAACCTAGCAAAAACCGAGAAGGAAATTCATTCGCTTGGGCCACGTAACACAGCGCGACCATCACTGTCTCGGGTGGTCCATTGAGGAATCGCCACTGACCGGGCCGTCAATAACTTCCGCCGAGCTGCTCAGGAATTGCGGGTTCTCGGACGGGTTGACGGTCTGGATACTATGCTGGTGCACGCATCCCATACTAGAAGGTCTGTCATCCCGGATCTCAGCTGATATTCTATCCAGCGCAGACGAGGCGTTTCGGGCATGTCCAAAATCTACAGGTCCCACGCCACTCGACTTCGTCGAGAACTCAGAGTCTCGCCCATCAGAGTTGGAGCGATCGAAAGTCCGGCGCGAGCTGCCTTCTCCGTCGTCCTGCTGAGACCGAAGGAATAGGGCACCGGGTTGCGTCACGTCGAAGTAGGGAGATTTTCTTCGTGAGCTTTTGCGTGGCACGGTGGGCTTATTCGAAACGCGTCGAGATGGCATGCCAGGCACGAGAGGTGCATCTGACAATTTTACTCTCTGTGAACTGGCTTTAGAGGTAGCTTTTGAGGGGAACCGGGAGGGAAGCTCAATGCCACCGCCTGGTATATCGAAGCCTGAGAGGTTTGGTGGTAGATCCGATATCCTCATTATTTCGAACCCGTCATCGGATTCCTCCTCTCTCTCTGACTCTTCGTCAGAACGCAGAGCCTCAAACAAAGAGCTCTCTGCCTGCGGAGCCTGAGATTGTGATGGCCCCACCGCTGGCCCCGCCGCTGGTCCCGCCGCTGATGGCCCAGCTTGAACGGGATCATCGTCATCTGAATCAATCGGACCATGTCGAACACCGCCAGTAGCCACAGGAATACCTTCAGGTGGAGACTCTGCACCGGGTGCATTTCTCGCCTGCATACCTGGAGGCATCCTCGAGCTTCGGACAACTTCAAATCCCTTGCCCTTTTCCTTAGTTTTACCCCCAAACAGACCCTTGAACCACCCTGCCGCGGAAGCCGGTATACCGGTCGGATCTGCAGGGCCGGTCTTGATCCTCCGACTTGGGATGTTTGCATTGAGAGCTGGACCACGCACTCCGTAATAGAAGTCCACCTCCCGAGTTGTATAATCGGCCTTGGATCTTCTCGGGTCATTGGGGCTGCCATCAAGAGCAGCAGGCCCTGGCTGTGTTGGTGTATTTCTCCCGGAAGCCGAGTGGCCTTCTTCAGTCTGCACAGGAGACTCGGCTTCAGGAGAACTAAGGGCGTTCTGTCCCCAGTCCCCACTAGTCCAGGAACCTCGGCTCTTCAAACCGGGGGACTGAGTTTCTGTAGTTTGGCGTCTGAGTCTTGGTGGCCGGTAGTAAGGATCTACAGCCTCTTCTGTAGCTGCCCCTTGAACAGGAAGTCGTCCATTTTGACCTGCAGCAGTAGGCAGGGAGAAGGCACCTACCTCTCTCGGCGTACTCATACCGAGAGAATTGCTCCCGCTCGCACTTCCACCAACCCGTTGCGCTGGCATGGCTCCGAATGCCTCGAAACCATCATATTGAAGACCCGCACTCGGTCCGTTGAGAAGCATAGTACTGCCGGCTGATTGACTTCTCATCCTGCCGTCGTGTTCGAGATACGACTTCCTTTCATTATCCATATTTAGCATGGCAGCATTGGATAGCTGACTTTGCCTTGACGCGGCATCACGTCGTGGAAGCCTCCTGGATAGTTGTCGCATACCGAAAACCTTGACCAAGCCACCTCTCTCTTCTGTGCCAGCACCGGCCATCCGTGCTGCAACTTCAACGATTGTTTGCATGGCGTTGAGGAAAAACCCTAGGATAAGCACCAAAGCATGCAGCAAAAGAATTGCATATCCAATCCACCCTTTGGGACCTTCGGTAACTCCCAGCGAAGGGGCAAATGAAACCATTAAAAGAATAGTGGAGAACCTGACTGCCGAGAAAACCGTGTGAAACGCGTTCATGTGAGTTGGGGAATGAAAAGGTCGAAAAGCGTGTAGCGTGAGTATATTGATGACTTCGCAAATAGCGAGGAGGATAATCTGGGCTATACCGGATGCCTGTACAGCACCGATTGAAATACCTCGAAAGATGGTTAAAAGAATTGGTACGAGCGCGAATGGCGCAGCGTTGTCGGAATATGTATTGTAGAGGGACCCGTAAAGAAGAACGGTTGGCAAGTCGTCGAAAAGGTAAGCCTTGGGCCTGGTACTGGCGATGACATATAGGAGCCATACGGCGAATCCAATAATGAAGATCAACATCAATACCGCAAGACCGACAGTAACCGCGAGGGAGTTTTCGGCCACCACTAACTGGAACATGGACAGAGCGACTATCGGCAGCAGGAAGTAGTTGAAGACAATGCGGATGACATTGCCCATCGAGAATGGCAAGTTCTTTGCCCTCAGATCCTCTTCGTATGTACCGCGGAGATGCCGGTACGTCCATCGAATGAAGAAGCCAATTTGGATCAACACAAGTACTGCTGCAAGGATGACTAGAAGCCAGATGGTCATGCCAGTCCAAACATCGTCTACTGCATTTAGGCCCACCAGCTGTCGGAGTTTGTCGAGACCATACTCCCCGTGAGTAACATATATCCCGTCTTGCAAAGGATCATACTTGGACTTGCCACGGACAAAGCTTTTATGGAACATGAGTATAGACCAAGAGGCTTTGCTGAGAATCGGTTGGTAGAAGCCGGGGTAGTCCAGGGTGAGGCCCGCGGTCAAGACTACAAATTGAATGTATTGCAAGCAGTCTCCGAATCCAGGAGTAACCAGGCGTAGCAAGTCCGCATCACGACCATAATTGGTCGTCCAGCGAAACGTGTCGGTCGTACCCCATGGACTATAGATCGCTGCAAAGGCTGTAGCAACTGCTACCAGTATCAGGATCACGGCAGGAATGAAGGTGATGACGCTGCTCAAGGTGCCGCCAATGTCTGGTGTGATGATCGTGGAAGCGCAACCAATTGGTGTTGCCGCCGCATCTCCATACTTAATGAGGAGGGTTGCAGCAAAAGAAGTAAAGGAATATGTCGAAAAGAAGTTGTTCGTCAACTGGAAGGCAGGGAAACTATACGGGTCGCTCCTACAACGAGGTATTAGTATGATGCAACATTTGGTGGAAGGGGAATATCGTACGCATCGCCGTTGAATCTCGGTCCCAGAGGGCATGATCCATTGATGAGCGAGTTGCAGAAATCCAAATCCTGGCTCCATGGCTGATAGGTCAACACATTGACCTTGTTAGAGAGCGTCGTGAGCTTCGGGCTGTCCGCCTCGGGAAACGGGATGTCGACAATCTTCCCCCCGTACACAGTCGAGTTACCAGTCCAATAATCCGAAGTATTCGCGGGTAGAATAAGCCTAGGAGACGTGCCCACGGTCGATCCTGTAATGTTACCCCATACCGTGACTTGAAGCTGGTGATTTGGATCCGTATTGTTGAATTTGGCATCGACGAACAAAGGCACGAACTGTAGCTCGAGAGGAATATTGACCTGCGTACCCTGGGACAAGCAGTTCTGGAACTCCACCAGGACCGCAGAAGCTGGCACAACCCAAAGAATGGCTATCAGAAGCAGCCCGAACGGCATTATCCCCACCGGAGCCTCGCTCCGCCGCCTCGTCTTCCATCCATCACTTCGAGTTGTCGAGGCCTCCCGAGCATCCCAATATCCATCTCCAACAGCACCCCCATGTTGGCGTGCCAGCCCGGCACGTTTCGCAGCCGCAGACATCATCATCGCCCCGGCTCGAGGATTGTGTCGCCCCCCATGGTCGCCGAGGGGAAGTAGGAAGGCTTTCGGAATGGCGGTTGTCAACTTTTCCATGGCCCTGATCTCACTTCCGCCGTCCCATGGACTCGCGCAGCTCGCGTGGGCGGGAGCAAACTGATTGGGATAGCTACAACGGGATCCGTGTCTCTAATTCAGAACACCATGGTGATTGCCATGAATGAGCAGCAGGCGGGCGTCACGCAGGGTTTCGCGAGATGAGGTGGCAGTGGTGACAGTTGTGGCAGCGGCAGCGGCAGCGACAGCGACAGTGGCAGTGGCAGTGGCACACGGGGAGTGGTCCGGTACCACTTGAAGTCGAAATCTTTTTGGTCTGGCTTGTTCCTGGCCTGGACTGGCCTGGCTCACTGGGGTGGGGAGGGTGTTCGCTGTAGTTTGCTAGGTTGTCGCTAGTTGTAATTAGACGATCAGATGGAAATAACAACTAATTCAACCACCGGAGGTCCAATGCAGAGTGCGGAGACAAGATTTAGGCGCAGTCCTCGTATCTGGCAGGGCTATACGGTATGCCGTAAGCAGAGACAAACTCAAAACTCCATACCTAACTCACCATACCGTAATCCAAGAAGTCCGTTCGTACAACGTAAATAGATACCTAGGTAGATAAAGGATCGGAAAATGGGCCGCTTTATACTATTACGTATAAACCTTACAGATCCATCCGCATTTCGTTGAGTACCTACCGGTACTACTACGGTACCGGTACCCCATGGGAGGTCCTACTCGTAGGTAGTAGGTAGGGTCCAAGAATTGCGTTTGGGATACCTACCCGCCCGACGTAGATAAATACCACTACCGGTACTACTTTAAGTAAATCGAAATATGTATATTCAAATACGTACAACACTTTAGTATGTGAGAATTGCCCTCCCGAGTCCCGAAGTACCTAACGGTACGGTACTACAGTACTACCAAAAGCTTCTTTGGTCCGTGTTTAGCATGATGATTTGAACGCTTCAGCACTTGCTGATTGGATCACTAGTGGATTGGATGGCGAAAACTTATTTTAGGATACGCCCGGACTGGATGACGCCGCAGGCATGACCGTTTGATACTTTTGAAGATACCTACCCTCCGTAGGGAAATAGGGAGTCCGGTCTTATCTTGCATAACCCCCCCCCCCCCCCAACGATCTATAATCCCACACATCCAGACCTGTCACCTACGTAGTACTACCTAGGTACTCCCCATGTCCTCATTTCATAATCAAAATAACGCCGTTGGATATCGTCCTGCAAATGCTACACAATCACTCCTCCCAAATGCTCAGGTGCAATGCCACTTACTTGGCAAATGAATCAACTCATGCGGCAACTGATGGATATAACTCCAATGCTGATCATCGTCGACCTCTATCTCCGGACAGATCCCATGCGTGAGGCCATCTTGACGGGCGCTGGCAATGCTTTTGTGAACGCATCTCGAACTGCAGATTGTGAGTGAGCATTGGGTCCCCGAAATATATAGACAGGGGAAGTAGCCGAGGACTACTTACCGGCTTCAGTATCAAAAACGATGGTCACGTCGTCATGCTCGCCAGGGTATTCTGGCATGTCCAGGCAAACAAACTCGTGCTCGATCCCAGCTTCAACCCCTCGGGGATCTTTTGGCAGAGCAAATTTCGCGTCCACGATTCGCAAGGAGAATGTCTTCTTGCTGCTAGACGCCTCGAAATTATCCGTAGATTTCAGAGTGAAATTCATGGCTTTGCCATGGTTGAAGTTATCAAAGAAGGCAACAAGTTGAACCACCTTCTCCTTCTGGACAATCTGCACTCGGGTCGTAGCTGCATCCCACTTCTTGTAGATAGGAACTACCATACGTCGGCGGGATATGTTGAAAGAACAGGCAACGCCATCGAAGGCCACCGCAAATCCAGTCAGAGAAGCTTGGAAGGAATGTAGAGCGGCCAGCGACGGAAACGTATACTTGCGAGTTGACTCCGACTTGGCTATAGATTCCAGCAGCATGGTGAGGTCTCGTGGCAACTCTTTGGGAACTTGGGATTCTGCGACTGACAAACTCATATCCTGCTGAGGCAGGCGCAAAACCTTAATTTCGTTCAAAGCTTGCACATCGAGCCGCAGCTTAAGCTCCCCAGGCTCAACGTTGATACGATCTGTGATACTGCCGCCTTTGAAGTCTATGACGATGCGCAGATTCGGCGAGAGGACAGTCTTGTGGTCTTGCAAGTCTCCCTGGTCGTAGTTGATGAATCGGAAAGCCTGCCACTCGAGAGCTTGGAGGCAGGCTAGTTCTGCTTCGGAATCTGCGATGGACAAACCTTGGAGGGTGTTTTCCGAAATTACGTCTTCCCCGTCATTAAGTGCGATTCCGGTGAGCAGCGTGTGAAACCGGGTACGTTCGTCGATTGTTTTGAAAGTGCACACTACTGTATAGCTCGATTTCTCGTCCAAAATCTTCAGTAGAATGGCGGGAGCCCCCCCTTCGCCTCGTAGGAATCCGAACTGGATTGGTCGACTCGGTAGTAGATCCTGATCTAAACAGCGCAAATTTTTGGACTTCGTGCTGGTATTCAAAGCCACACGGAATCCTCGGTGCATCGTACGAGGGCCGGTTGCTGCCTTGATGACTGCTGTCTTCTCAAATAGTTTCATGTGACAGTGGGGTTGAGCTTCTTTAGGAAACGAATGCTGTGGGCTTTGACCAAAGTATTGTAAGGATTGAAGCACAGTCTCAAAAACAACCCGTTCCGCCGACTTTGGGATTAGGACAGCTCGTGTTCTTGTCTCGTACTCGTGTACGTTCCACAAAAGTCTGAAGTCCTGCTCGGTAAATTGGAGATGGAGCACGAATCCTCGAGGTAATTTGACCTCAACCAAATTTTGGCTCGCTCTCCATCTTATGTCGTCCCACGTCAGGCCCCGTGCTTTGTCGGCTTGGATCATAAGATTCAAAAGACCATCTTGACTGGAGATGACAGCGGTGCCTGAAGTGTCTTTGACGCCACGTACGATAGAAACCAGGACCGGGCATCGATACGTTTGAGGAGCCGCTGCTTCCAACAGTGTAGCCTCAGCAAATACCCTCACGTAATGAAAGGTTCGGGTCGTATCGCCCAAAGGAAATGCTTCGGATAGCGATCCCACCGAAGTTAGTCTTTGGCTGTAGGTGAGCGACTTATCGCCGTCGCCTTTCATCCAAATCGATGGATCTAAACCTTGGGTAAGAGGAGCATCTCGAGGATCGGGAGGAAGGAAGTTGTTGCGTTTCATCGACATGGTTAGTTTCCTCAAACTAGATAGAATGCCTTGCCGAGCATCTAGAACGTCGCCCAAAGATGGATCGGAGCCTGTCGAACCCGGTTTTCTGTAGCATCATTAGCGACCTTTTCACCATATAGTAAGACCCTAAACAGTCCGAGAAGCCTCTCTTGTGCCATCAGGGTCATCTAGGATATGAGAAGAATTGCTTTTACATACAGTTGAGTTTCTGGATACTTTGAAGTCACGGTCTCCGTGATCCAGAGTGACTTGGCGAGATCAGCGTAGGCCTGGGCACGGATGAAGTAATTGGCCTGTTGTGCTTGAAGCGTGCCTGGACGCTCCCTGACTGCGGATTCCAGATTCATCCTCCCCTTCAAAAACCACCACAAGGCCACGCGCACAAGTTCTTCTAAGGAGCATTGCGAGAGTGGCTTCGTAGCTTCTGTAGAAAGACGGAACAGGGTACACAGGTGTGCCGTTCGTCTCGAAAATTCTTTCAATGCATCGTCCCCTACAGCAATTGCTGCATCTTGGAGACTCAAGGTTGAGGTTCTCGACAGAGTAGCCGGGCTTTCAGTCATTTGGTGCCCAGTGATGGGAACAGATGGCTGGAGACTTTTTGGCACAGTTAACGTGGAGGTCCGGGAATCGCTTGCAGGGCTCTCTCCCGAATGACCTGGTGCTCGCTCTTCGCTTGGGGTCAAGGGTCGGCTAGAGCCCGGACGGCTCGAGTTGACACTGGGCGCGAATCCAGGAGATGTGGGTATTTTCTGGTTGTTCATAGTATTGATGTGGAGTTCTTCAAACTGGGCCGTAGGGGCAGACGCTCCCGCCGTTTCTGACCCCATAAACAGTTCGTCCGGACTGTCTCGCCCCTGCACCAGTGCCTGACCCTCTCCAGATCTCATCTCGGCCCTTACCATATCTGCAAACGAGCGCCTGTCGGCATGATTTCTTGTGCTCAGGACTTGCACATGGCCATCTTCTGCGTCCTCCTTCGATACGTGTGTTGGCTCGGGGCTCGGTTGTGGATCTGGTATGGACTGGAAGCCTGTTTGTGTACGCCGAAAAGGTCCAGGTTGGAATTCATCCATGTTGCTAGCATACCCATACTCTGCCGCCTTCGCATCTTTCCCCGACTGCGTTGATTGCTGTTCCAGCCTTGGTTGAAACACTGGCGGATCTGTGTTTGCTCTCCTTCTCATCCCTATCTCAGCAACGGGCGAGGTAGCCTCATCACCGCCCTCCCCAATCACCTCTGGTTGCGCGTCTGAGAAACGTACCACAAGCCCCTTCCTAGTTCGTTTGGTGCTGGTTGAATGACGCCTCGTGCTTCTAGATGCTTGGAGCTGGGAGGGTGATGGCCATCGACGTGCGTTTGAGGTATTGATTTGTATCAACGGCGGGGGGAAAGACGGACTCGTGCCCACCATATGCAGCTCATCCGAAGGGCCGTAGAGAAACTCGTCTACGTCTTGTCCGGAACCCTGAGGGCCATCCTCGTCTGCAGCATCCGCTTTGTCCTTGAATAGTTTTCCCATGAAGCGGGTCCTAGACTTCTTCTCGCCATGCTTTCCATTGCCCGGATTGGCCTCCATGGTACGCGATCACTGGTGAATGCAATTGCAAGTAGGAGGAGGTTCCTCCTGACTGAGGGAACCGAGGATCTGGTCCGAGGATCTGGCACGACGCGATACGACGGACGCCGCTGGAAAACGAGGGGTTTACTTATCGTATAGCGGCTAATGTACGCTGCAATCAAAGGACAGTCAGGGTCGCATGTACGCATGTACGCATGTACGATGAGATGGGGGTCGATGCAAGGCCTCGGAAAACAATGGAGGGAGCGGATAGGGTGGGAATGTTTGTCTGGGGGTGAAGAAGGAAAGGTACCTTGGGAGTGGGTAGGTAGGTAGGTTGGGTGCGTACGGAGGTACTACAGTACCGGTACGTATGTCTGTAGGTTGTAGATTGTAGGTAGGTGGCATTGGACGAAACGAGTGCCAAGACCGATTTGCCTTATCGAGATGGACCGTTGATTGTTGATTGTTGTTGATCGTATCGTATCGTGGGGGAGGGGGACAAGGCTGAGCTACTGGTACCAGTAGCTCAAGCACCACCGAACGTCCGGGCTGGCTAAACGGTGGTTTACAAGTTACAACTGTATGCGTAGTATCATGCCTTATTTCCCTAGATTTCCATACAATATCATGGTACAGTAAATGCAACACCATACAGACAGCAATATGCATCCCACCCGGCCCTGATGAAGGCATACAGGAAATTTACTACTACTTGCGCAGATGGTACACTCAACTACCGGTACGGTAATCGGCTGGCGACCGACCGACCTACCTACCTACCTACCTATGGACAGATAACCTTTCTGTGGTCGGGCTGAGAAGGACCGGCGACCGGCCAGAGCTTAAAAACGAGACGCATCACAAACACTGTACACCAGCTAACACCCACCGGTACTCCGTACTCTGCGCAATACGGATAGTGCATATCTGTCCCCATGTCGGAGATCATTCCAAATATAGCTAAATATCCGTAGGGAGGAGAGTTGAATCGACGCTTAGCTAAGCATTCCAAGATCACCGTAGAGTACCTCGAGACAGGACAGATACTGTACCGGTAGATGTGCTGGCCGCATAAGGAACCGGAATGGACTTGGGGAGACGGGATGATCATTGTCACACCTTTAGTGTTTAATTGATTAGAGTTGTCGCACCCTTTCCAACTCGTGGCCACTGCTGAGCGGCGGACAAGAGTCAGTCGTAGTCGTAGTCGTAGTCGTAGATAGGTACCTACAGTAGTGGTACGTCTTGATGCGCTGTTGTTGTAGGTACCTGGTTGTTCTCCTTACTTCAGGATCGTCATCCTCACTCCGCCTTCTCTCCTCTTCCCCTGTCGCGGATGCCGTCAATCTTTTATTCTATTACTTCTCTTCTACGGTACCTAGTTGTACTCCGTAGCATTACAAACGAATCCCTGGGGCCTCAGCGAGCATCGTTGTGCTTGCACGGAAGTCGTACCCACTCTACGAACGTCCACAAGAAATGGCAGGGAGCCAACGGACGATGCGAAACGAATGGAACGCTGGACCAAGCAGAGATGTGTGGTTACCAAAAATAACCAGTCTCAACTACCGGGATAGTAGGCAGGTCAGTACGGAGGTACCTAGGTACGGTAGTCAGTTAGTTGTACGGAGTACATTGTTGTAGGTGCAAAGGGAAATTCGAGGTCCCCGAGTGATTAATGCAATGCCATGTTGGTGAGCTGTGAATCAACTACATCCGAATCCGTCGTGGTCTCAGTTCTTACTAATCAATCGTCCAACCGTCCAACCGTCTTACCGTCTAACCGTCCAACCGTCTTTTCTAGCCTCAAACTCGAATCTTTTTTTTCTTTCAAACTCGACTTAATCCTCCCTTCAAACCCAAGCCGTGCCGTGCAGCAAAATTCGTCACATCCAGCCGCTAGCCGCCAGTCGCCAGTCACCAGCCGCTAGTCGCTAGTCGCTAGTCGCCAGTCGCCAGTCGCTAGTCGCCAGCCCCAGCCTCCAGCGCCCCGGGACGGCAGGGATCTGTAAACTAACTCCCTGACACCGAGCCAATCGTTCTGCGGGATCCACCTCTCTGACTCCACCGAATCCACACTCCAGCTCCGCCAAGCCTAAACCTTCTTGATCGGAATTACTTTATTTACGGAGTTGCTTGCAAATTGCTTCTCATCTCTCTGCGCCACATCATTACGTCTTCTTCGTCTTTTCCCATCCCTTTCTTTCAGTTTTGGACCGACCTGCCATTTTATCTCCCGAAGTTCTTTCACCTCTACCTTGTTGGGCCCGACTACATGGTCGCTGGCAAGAACAATTGACGACGGATCTGCGTCAAGACAGCGATCCTCAGATCAGATCGGCTCGGCTCAGTCCAGCTCAGTCCAGCTCAGTCCAGCTCAGTCCAGCTCAGATCAGCTCAGCTCCGCAGCCATGAACTCCAGCTCGATTGCCGCTGATTTGAAGACTCAGGGTGTCCTGGAAGCTGCCCGGGACCCGAATAGTTCGGTCACTGCGGCAGATCTGGAGCGGAAGATGGTGATTGAGAGCGAGAAAGCTGGAGTCGCGGCCTTCGAATTTGACCCAGACGCAACACCTGAGCAGAAAGCAGCGCAAGCTAGAGCTGTAAGCCCTGGTTCCTTCCCAGTTCCTCCTTCTACTCCTCCTTCTCCTCTTTCTCCTCCTCCTGCTCCTCCTCCTCCTCCTCCTCCCATCCTGATTAAAATTTGCTAATAACAATTAGCGTGTACCTGACGGATTCCACCATGATCACAAATCCAAAGGCGTTGCGATCCCTACAGACATCGACGATGGGAAACCTGGCGCCTACGACCTTCCCTCACCCTCTACAGCCGGAGCTATCGCAGTCAACGGACTAAAAGGTGAAAATGGCAAGCCTGTATCCAACGGGATGAGTGGCCAATTTATTGAGGACGACGACAACGAGCGATGGGTGGAAAGAACAGGCTGGGCGCCACGGTTTGGCAACGGCGCATCGAGTGATTCCATGCAGGAAGAGAGTCTGGCAGACCACCAAACTTGGGTTGAGGCAAGGCTGGATGATAAATTCTTCGGGGGTGAGTTACGCTTGGGATTACGACTTGGAAATGCGCTAACCGAAATCTTGCAGACTGGTACCATAACACGGGGGTGATCATATTCGCGTGTCTTTCCTCTTATTTCGTGGCAGTATTAGGAGGCGGGCTTGCATGGGTGTTTCTGATCATGTCCATCTGTGGGACATACTACCGCACTTCGCTGCGCCGAGTGCGACGAAACTTCCGCGACGATGTCCACCGCGAACTCGCTAAAAATAGGCTGGAGACAGACAGCGAGAGCCTAGAGTGGATAAACAGCTTTCTGGTGAAGTTCTGGCCCATCTATCAACCGGTTCTTGCCGAGACCATCATCAACTCCGTAGACCAGGTTCTGAGTACTTCGACGCCAGCTTTCTTAGACAGTCTGCGCATGAAGACGTTCACCTTGGGAAACAAGCCTCCTCGCATGGAGCATGTCAAGACTTATCCAAAGGCAGAGGATGATGTTGTGCTCATGGACTGGAAATTTAGTTTCACGCCCAACGATCATGCTGACATGACTTCGCGCCAGATCAAGAGCAAAGTCAACCCCAAGATTGTGCTCGAAATCAGAATTGGCAAAGCCATGATCAGCAAAGGTCTAGATGTGTATGTATATTCCGCATCGAGTCTCGGAGTTTTGGATGCACACAGCGCGAATGCGAAAAATTGCTTCCGAGCCCCCCTGATCATTTGCTAATACGTGGTACAGAATTGTTGAAGATATGGCATTCTCGGGTCTTATGCGTCTCAAGATCAAGCTACAGATCCCGTTTCCTCATGTCGAGAAGATTGAGATGTCATTTCTAGACAAGCCTACCATAGACTACGTTTGCAAGCCTATCGGAGGTGAAATGCTTGGATTCGACATTAACTTCATTCCCGGTCTGGAATCATTCATTCTGGATCAAATTCATGCCAATATTGGTCCGATGATGTACGCTCCCAATGTCTTCCCGATTGAGGTTGCCAAGATGCTCTCAGGATCCGCAGTTGATCAAGCCATCGGTGTTATGGCGGTTACCCTCCACGGTGCGCAAGGTCTCAAGAACCCCGACAAATTTGCGGGAACTCCTGACCCATACACGGTCCTGTCTTTCAACAATGGAGCCCCTCTTGCACAGACGAAGATAATCAAAGAGAACGCTAATCCAAAATGGAACGAGACAAAATATGTTATTGTTACTTCGTTCACCGAGAGCCTTACACTCCAGTTGTTCGACTACAATGAGTATCGAAAGGACAAAGAATTAGGAACTGCTACGTTCCCCCTCGAGAGGATACAGGAAGTCAATGAATACGAGAACGAACAACTCGAAGTCATGGCAAATGGCAAGGCACGTGGTATGATATCTGCGGATCTTCGTTTCTTCCCTGTGCTCGAAGGGCGTGACCTCCCAGATGGCAAGAAGGAGCCCCCACCAGAGTCCAACACCGGCATCGCTCGCATCACGGTCGAACAATGCAAGGAACTCGATGGGTCTAAGAGCCTTCTCGGAGCCCTCAACCCCTACGCGGTATTGCTGCTCAATAACAAGGAGATTCACGTCACCCGCAAGTTGAAGCGAACCAACAATCCTATTTGGGACAACGGATCCAAGGAAGTCCTTATCACTGATCGTAAGACTGCCCGGCTTGGACTTGTCATCAAGGACGATAGAGATCTCTCAACAGATCCTATCCTCGGCACATATCAAATCAAGCTAAACGATATGATGAATCTGATGGAGAAAGGCCAAGAATGGTACAATCTTGCGGGTGCCAAGACAGGCCGTGTCAAGTTCACCCTCCAATGGAAACCTGTGGCCCTGTCCGGCGTTGGCGCTGGGACTGGCGGCTATGTGACCCCCATCGGTGTCATGAGATTTCACTTCCAGAACGCTCGCGACCTGCGCAATCTTGAGACTGTGGGGAAATCGGATCCGTATGTTCGGGTTCTGCTTTCTGGTATTGAGAAGGCTCGTACTGTTACATTCCAGAACAACCTGAATCCCGACTTTGATGAAGTCATGTACGTTCCCGTGCACAGTACTCGCGAAAAACTCACCTTGGAGGTTATGGACCAGGAAACCATAAACAGCGATCGGACACTGGGCTCAATCGAGTTGCTAGCCTCCGACTATATCTCCCAAGCTGAGAATGGTGAATATCTGGTGAATGACACCAAGAAGTCTCTGGCCGGCCCACTACGAATCCACGGAAAGGGCTCCGCCAGGGGTACTCTCAACTATACTGTGTCTTTCTTCCCTTGTTTGAATGTCGCAGATCCAGAGGACGAAGAAGAGGCGGCTGCTCGGAAGAAGTCTGCCGAAGAACCCAGAAGTCCCTCATTGATCGGGAGCCCTATAGATGCAGTCACTGCTGCAAACCGCACACTTGAGAACGGGAAAATCGATACCACGCTTGCGAGTACTCTTGCAGAGGGCGAGAAGGAGCAGACAGAGGTCGAAGAGGTAAACAAGTTGCCTAAGATTCACCTTACTCCCCAGGAGCTGGTACAGTACGAATCCGGGCTCATCATCTTCAAAATCATGGATGTCGACCTCACACGTAATAACACACACGTGGATGTTTTGATGGACGACATGGCCTTTCCCTCTTACTCCTCCTCCATAATCAAGTCGAAGAAAGTCACGATTGACGAAATCGGAGACTGCTTCGTTCGAGAACTCGACTTTTCTAAGATCACTCTTCGCATCCGCGAAAAGGGCGAGGTTAAAGGAGATGCGAAGAAGGATTCGGAAGACATAATCGCGAAATTGACTGGTAACACCCTGGATACGCTCAAGCAGTGCCTCGTGAGTTACGATCCATAATTCCTCGTGAACTGATGCTGACGGTAAATTAGAACAACCCCACAGTGCTCAAGCTGAAGGACAACCAAGGCCAGTTTTGCAGCATTAAGGTCAGCCTGAAATACATACCCGTCAAGATGCAGCTTGACCCAAGTGAGAGTATGAACAACATGGGTAAGCTTCGAGTGGACGTTCTCGATGCCTCCAATCTTCCCTCAGCAGACAGAAACGGATACAGCGATCCATATTGTTTGTTCGAGCTCAACGGGAAGGATGTCTTCAAGACCAAAGTTCAGAAAAAGACTCTCCAACCTGCTTGGAATGAGTTTTTCGAGGTGGACATTGTCTCACGGACTGCTGCCAAATTTACATGCAGGGTTTTCGATTGGGACTTCGCAGATAAGGCCGATCTTTTGGGCAATGCAGATATCAATCTTGACTTGCTCGATCCCTTCAAGGCGCATGAGTACAACCTTGACTTGGATGGGAAGTCCGGATCCGTCAGATTGCGCTTGCTTTTCAGACCAGACTATGTAACTCGGTCCCGTCAAGGATCGTCCACTTTCTCTGGCACGTTTGCGACGCCAGGTAAGATTGTGACGGGTGTTGCCGGTGCTCCCATCAAGGGTGTTGGCTTTGCTGCTGCAGGTGTTGGCAAAGGTGCATCTTTCATTCGTCATGGATTCAAGAGCAAGAAGAAGGATGAGGATGCGAATGGAGCCGGTGCCGCTGAAATGGAAGCAGAAGACTCCAAGTTCGCCAACGGAAGAATCTTCGGGAGACGCGCAAGCAATTTGCCGCCGCCCAGCATTGCTGATAACCCAGTCACGCCACCAGGTACCGCCCTCAGTCCATCAGGACACGTCCGCACGAGGAGTTTTGGCGCCTCCTCGGTGCACAGCACAATTCAAGGAGGCTCTAGTGCTCCCCCTGGGATTGCCAGCTTCACCATCCTGTCAGCTTCAGGCTACCCCCCCTCTTCCAATGTCATGGTGTATATGAAGCAACTCGGCACGAAGCCGAAGACTATTCACAAGACCGAACACATCAAATCCCCCTCTGGGACGGTAACCTTCAATGAAAAGAAGGAGAGTTTCAAGTGCTCTTGCGCTGCAGACACGCAATTCCAAATCCAAGTGAAGGGTCGCAACACCTTCGGCAGCGACGACGATCTCGGAGAAGGCCTCTTCTTCGTTGACGAGACTGGGGCTGGGTTGGAAAAGTCTGTCAGGGCAGGAAGCGGCATTGTTGTCCTGAAGAGCAATTTTGTGCTCAATCCTGTGACTGAGAATGGCGATAGTCCCAGAGCGAGTAGCGGAGGTGGGCTTCGGAAGAATTTCCTGGGCAAACCTGGGAGGGGCAGTAGGGAGGCTACCCCCTCCTGAAGCTTTTCATGTCGATTCTTTTTGCGAGGACTCCCCTTAGGTTCGGGCTTCAATGGGATTTAGGGACAGAGGCAGCAGGGGGTAGGGAGCTCAGGATGTGCTTGTTCATGGATGCATTGTGCTTTTCCCCCTTTTTTTTCCTTTTCGATTCTGATACCACAGCGACTGCGTTGTTTACTCCGAAACCCCTTTTCCCTCCAAAAGACAAAGTACCTGGACTGCTTGAAGGGAAACGATTGGGACATGGATGAGGCTGGCGAATGAGACGCCATGTCTCCGAATGAAAAAGCTCTCCTTTTAAAACTTTCCACGGACGCTGTGCCAATAATGTTTTGCGGTGAGCCCACGACGAGTCGTCTGATCAAGGTTTTGACTTGACCAGAGAAAAGCTGCTTCGTGACTCGCGAGAGCGTGAAAGGTAATATATGCAATACCTACTTTATGAGTGAGGATAGATTAAATATTATTAGTAGTTGCGGCACGTCTAGAATGTAATACACAGAGGTTCCTAGTTATCTTTAATTCTCTTTGAAGAGCAGAATCTTTGCGTGTCCTGACTTGTTTATGAGTGAAGATTTATTACTTACTACCTCTGGGCCCGGACGGTTTGGCCCCTCCCCCCTTATGACGCACTATAGTGTCTATCTCGGTCTTACTTATTGAACCAGCACATCCAACCACTTCCACCTTCACGTCCACATCAACCTACTACTTCACCTCTCTATCTAGAACAGAATACGTCGTCGGTACTTCACTTCCTCTCGATCTCTGGGTACCTCGAACAAAAACGATATAGAAATATAGACATAATCGTGAACAGGAAGGCACGTTCAAGGATAAGGATAAGTAAGACAAGGTTCATCTGGCGAGCGAAAATGGTCTTGGGACATTCGCATCGCCGGGCCTCCGCAAGTAAGTTACTTACCTTACTTACAACGTACTTCTCTCTTGGCCCTCCGCTTCCTCATCGCTCTCTCCCCCTCCTCCCCCTCCACTCTCCTTGTCGACGAGAAACAGAAAGAGAGAGAGAGAGAGAGAGAGAAAGAGAGAGAGGTCACCATAGAAAAAAGAACGATTCCGAAGCTCGAATGCAGCCATGCTGATCAAAGTCTTAAACAAAACAGGCGCGAGGTCCTCTGTCGACGAGTCGAGATCGGATGGCCCAGAGGACGAGACCACAGTCGTGGAGCCCGACCAGGGAAATGGTGAGGCTCCTTACATCGCTTGCCCAAACATGGGAGCAAACTCGGGGTGAGGAGGCAGTGGGCTAATGTACACGGGTGTGCGCAGTGCTGTCGCATATTATCTCGCAGTTGAGGCCCGGTGCGGATCTGAGTCGGGTGGTGCTGCCAACTTTTATTCTGGAGCCTAGGAGCATGTTGGAGAGGATTACCAAGTATGTTTCCTGGTCATGGCTGTGCTACAGGGAGAGCAGATGCTAATGGGTATTATGTACAGCTTCATGGCGCACCCCGAGACCTTACTGCCTATGCCAGAAATCGACGACCCGACTGAGAGGTTCGTGTCAGTGGTCAAGTTCTACTTGAGTGGATGGCACATCAAACCTCCGTACGTCCTTTCACCACTTGGCCTTCTGGATAGGGTTAATAACAGCTGTATAGGGGAGTCAAGAAACCCCTTAACCCAATCCTGGGCGAGACATTTACCGGCTACTGGACCTTCCCCGATAATACGAAGGGCTACTACATCTCCGAGCAAACCTCGCACCACCCTCCCAAATCATCCTACTTCTATATGGCTCCTGAGCACCACATCCGCATCGACGGCTGCTTGAAACCGCGCAGCAAGTTCCTCGGGAACTCGGCAGCGAGTATGATGGAAGGCATTGCTATCCTGCGATTACTGAACCGCGGACACGGTCCCAAGGGAGAACGTTACATTTTGACACAGCCCAACATGTACGCGAGGGGTATCCTGTTTGGCAAGATGAAGTATGAGCTGGGCGATCATAGTTTTGTGCGGTGTCCGGAGCTGGGTCTGAGTGCTGACATTGAGTTCAAGACGAAAGGGTACTTTGGAGGAACCTATAATGCTATTGGGGGTGTGATCAAGAATCAGGATTCGGGAGAGGTGTTGTATGAGTTGTCTGGGATGTGGACCGGGGAGATGTGGTTGAAGAACCTGAAGGTTTGTTCACTGTTCCTTTGCGAATCACGGCTTGCTGATGTGGAGATCTAGACTGGAAAGAAGGAATTGCTGTTCGACGCCACGAAGGCCAAACACACATCACCGACCGTGCGACCTCTCGAAGAGCAAGATGAGCGCGAGTCTCAAAAATTGTGGTTCGCGACTTCAAAAGCAGTCAAGGAGCGTAATCACGAGGTAGCCACAGACGAGAAGACCAAGATTGAGGACATGCAACGAGACGAGGCTGCTAAGCGTGCACAAGAAGGCGTTGAATGGCACCCGAGACTTTTCAGAACTGTGAAGGGTGGTCCTGGAGGACCAGAGGAAGGCGAGGAGGATCTCGACTTTATCTTGAATGCCTCTATGTAGGTTTCCTCCGCAGACCGAAAAATCGATATTCGGCTAATCTTGATTTAGCGATGGAACAACACCGGAGCAGCAAACAGAGCAGATCCTGGCCATCACGCCTATCCTACAAGGCCAAAAGTCCAATGAGAAAAACCCCATCCCACTTTCACATCAACGCTCGGAATCCTACACCTCCCCCCATACCGAAGTACCAGCTGCAGTCGTCGCCCCTGTGCCAGCATTATCAGAAAACGAACCTCTCAAGGCCGCCCCAGCAGCAGCGCCTTTCTCTAACGACCTCATCGACATTCACCAAGGCGGCCCAGCTGAAACACAGCAAACATCATACCAAGTACCCGCCGACCTGTATGCAGCGCAAACTCTAAATAACGGCCAGCAGCAAAAAGACTTAGAGAATTTGTTGCGCTCGACCAGCTCGCCGAAGCCGAGTGAAGGCCCCCTGCTGAATTTCCACGACGATTTGAAGATGGATTTACCGAGTGCTAGTGGTGGAAAGGCAATTCTCAAGCGGGAAGCTACGGATGGGAGCATAGATGAATTTGCTGATGCTCAGGGCTAGATTCCAGACATCTCTGAGGTGTGACGGGGATCAGAGATGAGATGACATGAGTGGATAAGGACCAGGTGGTGCGGGGTTTGCAGGTAGTCATGAACATATGTGACCGGCGAATTATTAAAAACTAGGGGCGTTGTGCTTTAGGGAATGAATGGATGATGGATGAATGGATTGCACGTAATTCGCCGGTCTAAGACGCATGCGTGCAGGCTGGGTGGTCCTGATATCTTGAAGAAACGTAGAAACCTGAGTCAGGTAGTTAGCTAATGTGTGAACTTGAAAGACAGACGTTGAAGGTTCCCTCTAATTTTTCGAATTTCATCCGGTACCTTGGTAGAACATGATGGTACTTTGAAGAGGATCTCGACCCTTTTTTTTTTTTTTCGTTTCTTTTTTGGTTCAGAGGCAAGATAACTCCTGTCTTCCTTCGGAAGCAAGCGCTTTTTTTCGTACTGTACATACATAACACAATATATGCTATGCCATATTTGCTTGCTTTTCTCTCCTCGGTGATTCTCATTCGCGCCACGTATGTGAGACCATGAGGCTGCTGGATGCCAAAGATGCCGTCCGCCCCAAATAAGGAAAGGGGCGCACGCTTGTGCGGAATCTCTCTATCCTCGGTATTATCTCCTCCATATCATCCATCATCCGTCATCCATCATCCGTCACCGAGCTACCACCCCCGGGCCCAGCGTGTCCCATCCATTCCATCCCTGCCGATTAAGGCCCAACTCCACCTACCGCCGGCAAGATTGATCTCCCACACCACACCGGAACAAAGGGCCAAACCAAAAATCCATCTAATCTAGTACCTCTTCCTCGTCGGCTCGGGGCTGGGGCTGCGGCTCGCGCTCCGCTCGTCGCGGCCGCGCAGGCGCAGCCACTTCTTGGTACTCAGCTCGATCTCGCGGTCCAGCTCGGGGCTCGGGTTCTTGCGGTGGATGAAGTTGCAGAAGCCGCCGCGCACGCAGCCCTCGCCCGAGTTCAGGCGGCAGCAGGCCTCGCGGAAGTCGGTGACGGGCGAGAGCTCGCAGTAGATGGGGCGCGCGGCGTACCAGCGCGAGTTGAGGGCGTCCGAGGCCTTCTGCGCCGAGTCCTCGTACTTGAAGCGCGCGTAGACGTTGCCGATGAGGTGGCTGTTTTTAGGGAGGGGGCACATGGGTCAGCAAGAGCGGGAGCAGGAGCAGGAGCAAGAGCGAGAGCAAACGCTGCACATTTGTCTTGATTTTTGAGATGGAAGGGAAGGAGATAGAAGAGGCTTGCGCAGGGGGAGGGAGGTGGAGGGGAAACTCACTCGTTATTATTGTCACATACGACGACCTCTTCAATCTCCCCGAATTTGCACATCTCGCACCAGAAGTCCTCGTAGAAGGCGTCAAAGTGGTTCTGCAATTGAGACGCGTTCATCTTATTCTTGGGGTCGTAGGCTGGGTTCTGGTACAGGTTGGGCAGCAGGATGGTCTGGCTGTAGGAGGGCTTGACGTGCTTGCGCGAGCAGCGGTCGCCGTGCCGGCATGCGCCGATCTTGTAGTAAAAGGAACAGTTGACCTTGTCGGCTTCGGTGCCGAAGATGCTGGCGAGGTAGTTCGCCATGATGGGTTATGTTTGCGTTGGTGGTGGTGGTGGTGGTGAGGCGCGAACTGTAGAAGGCTGTCTTGGTCGTGATGAGGTATTGGTATTGAGTTTTCACTTTCTCTGATTTGGTGGTATTGATCACAGGTTTGCAAGGAAGGTTCAGAAATTCTTGCGCTTTAATCTGAGGTTGAGGTATTGCTTGATTCTGTTGTCGAAGTGGATGGACGGGAGTTGGCATGAATTTGTGAGTTTGTAATGGAGAGGAAAGCTCCATCTCCATATACGGAGCTCGGGCGGCGCGATACCCAAAAAGAACTAGTGTATTTACGACATTATAGCGAGGCTGACCAAACATCCGTATTAATTCGTGGTCGATACATCGCGAACTTCACTTCAGAGCAATCGGAGTCATTCATTGATTACATGTTTCCCTCGCTATCGCCTCCAAGGTTCAGTCCTAGTATTCCTCCATTTTCAACCTGATCTTGGACATTAGCACTCCTCCACTCATTCCACCCTCAGACCAAGAAAATGTCAAGTCCCCTGTCTTCTCCGTCTCATCTGCAAAGGGATGAGGGTACATGCAATAGAAAAATCCTCCATCATTCGGCTGGGAAAGCCGGTAAAGAGCGACTGTTGTCTCTTTTATATCCCAGGGACCTTCTGGAGCTGGCGCTCTGCCCATCTGAACCTTGCTATCTCCCCATGCACTGCATCCAATGAAAGCCCAGCGGTACGGAGAATCTGGTCCAAACATCGTTGTTGGGAAGATTTGTCCATGCTGCATGGATATCATAATTGGGTCAGATGAGGATATGCTTCTTGTCCAGCTCTGCCCGTTCCAGAATTTGTATCGGTTCCTGTCTGCGGCATGGTCCTTGTGGACACTCGCAATACAAATGTCTTTGTTGTTAGCTTTGTGGCCATATACATAGACGATATCCTCATCTCGGACAGTGCAAAAGTCTCCAAATCTTATCTCATCCTGCTGTCCATTCTGTCAGCTAATTTTCAGTGGGTTACTGCACAGCTCTAGGTAAGCCCCCAGAGTGTCATGGGCACACTTACCTTGAACAATGCAGGCTGTTGATCTTCGAGGCGCTCAGTCCAGGCCCTCATATTTATCGGGTCGTAGTGAACTTTTGCAATTGATATATATTTGTAGTCATAGTCAAGCGTGTCGGTCATTGGCTTTGTCACTTCGAAGTATGTCCATCCTTGAAATAAGTTGACCTCGTGGTTGATGTCTTTCTTGACGACTCCACCGAAAGACCACAGCTTCAAGTCTCTCGAAAGAGAAGTTAGCAATGACTCGGTGAGAGGCCATAAACATTTTTGAGCCATCGGGTTAGACAAGGCTGGAATCTAGAACTACTCACTGGTTCTCTTCAGACTTGAGCTTGTGAATGAAGGGATGCTCCGTGACCTCCTTTCTTTGGTCATTGGGTCTGTGAGACGTGGAGGAAAACGAGAGGCTTGGATTTGATTTGTCGATTCCGATGGCGCTTGAAGGAGTTTAGCAATTTTCACAGTCCCCAAGTGATTTGGGGAAATAGGATCAGAAATATTGATCAACAAATTACGGCGGACCCGGTTACTCACTAGGTATTATCCACCAGACCTGTGTAATTTCCGTCGAGATCATGGAAGAAGGTATCGCCAAATCTTGTGCAGGATGTTAGCCGTAACCGTCTGAAGCTGGCTCATCCGAGGCGGCCAGCGTCCGCAAGACCAGGCACAGGTTGACTGACTGGTAGATGACTGCACCGTGTGACAGGACAGAAGATCTGCCAATATCTCGCGGGTACCAGTTGGCACTCGCTGGGTGCCGTCAGACCTTGCGAAACATGTCGCGGGAGAAACTGACCATCACGCAATTGTCCCATTGGAGTTTCGTGCAAGATGCTGGGAGGCCATTCAACTCGTTTACGTTTGCTATGGTGATCCATAGCTGCGGTGGTGTGCGGGATGAGAGTTAGAGGTGTAAGATGGGAGATGGGAGATGGGAGATGGAAGATGGGAGATGGAAGATGGGAGATGGAAGATGGGAGATGGAAGATGGGAGATGGAAGATGGGAGATGGAGGTTGAAGAAGTCTAGGGATCCTGTGCTACACTAGCAGCAGTCCGACTGCCGCATCAGGTATCAGCGAAGACCGCACCTTCTACATCGGGCAGATCTGTATTCTCTCACGTGGCCAAAGTGGCTTTGCCAAGAACAACGATTCAAGAAAATCGAGGCTCTGATCAGGCCGATATGGAGACAGAAAGTTCCATCAATCATTAGGTATGATTACAGATCCAACGATGGCTCGCAAGCGCACCATGCTCTCAGATCTACACCCAAACCCAAGAAGAAAAACCAAATGGGGTATAATACGCTCAAATCATGCTAAAAGGAGAATTCACATGACCAAACACTTCCCTTCCCTCTTCCCCCCATTTTTTCCCAGTGTACCCGAGTCCTTTGACACATCAGCCCACCCCGCACTACTCGTGTCCTCCACATGTTTATCCTTCTTCGTCTTCCGCATCGTCCGCCATCCCTTCTTCGCATCCTTTATATCATGCACCGCCCTCCTCCCGGCGCGACCGGGCTGTCTGCCCATGGAAACTGATCTCCTAACAAAATATGGAGAAGGCTCCCCTACGCCTGACGTGTGAGAGTGGATAGTCTCCAGGCGGGACAATCGTGGCCGGAGACTGGGAGAGTGGGTCGCTGGGTTTCGGGAGTGGGTATTGCCGCTAGGACGACGAGATGGGGAGGAGTAGAGACTACCTCCTTGGGGAGAATGTGAGAATGGGCTACCCTGGGGTGAAGTTCCGCGACCATGGCGCTGGGGTGATGTGCCGAAAGCGCCGACGGCGGCTCGAGGTGCTCGGCTGCCATTAAAGGCTTGCTCGGGGATCGATTCTGGAGATATGTATTGGAATGATGCTCCTAAGGAATTTCTGCTGTGGGGCCCAGCGGAAAGACGTCGAGGGTCTGCAAGGCCTACTGGACGGCCTTGTCTGCTGTTTAAACGAGCAATTTGATCTGGGCTGGGCATAGACAGCCGGAATGAGCTTTGACTGCTTCGTGACCTGGGCATAGCTGGTTCTGTCTCGGCTCGTTGCGATATTGTGAATGGGTCGCCATCAATATCCTGAGCCCGTGGTGTGATTACTGGCGAAGTATCGCTTCGTGTTGGAGGCATTTCTTGCAACTCGATGATCTTTCGTGGTGTTTGAGACATGGGCGATAGTGATGGTGGCCCAAGCAACCGGTGAGCGTTGTCAGGTCGCGGGGGCACTTGCGTGGCCCTCCTGGCCGCTTGAGATTGTACTCGTCCGCACCCTGATGAGGAGTGATCCGAATCCGTGTCTGAGGACAACTCCCCTTCGTTGATTGTCTCGAATGTCCGCTCACGTCGTTGCTGGCCTTGTCGAAGTGGCTTGGGCTGCGGAATTGGCGACGTAGGCTGCTGTACTGTCGCCTGCATTACTGGTGGCGGACTTGAGGAAGCTACAGCAGCAGGAGCTTGTGACTGTGCACCAAGTTGTCGTCTAGGAACTTGATTCATGGATGCATTCTGAGGCTGGGGAGACGACACTGGCGATATTTGGGGAGAAACGTCATAAATATCATCATAGTCGTGAGATAAAGGAGAAGTTACAGGCCGGCGATCCTCTTCAAACGAGATACGATCCGAGATCACGTTTGTCGAGTCGCTCAAAGCTCTGTGAAATGGTATGCGATCCCTTCGAGATTCCATTGTACTCAAATATGGCGCTGTCGCAATTGTCCGAGGGCGATTCAGAAAGCCGGAGTCGAGGTCAGGAAAGTCAAATCTCGCAGGATAGTTTCTTCTTGATCGCTCTAATGGGGCGGGAGCAGCTTCAGCAAGAATAGATCGTTGTATATGTTCTGGCAGGAGGGGAAGAGGATCGCGGGTATAGGGAGGAGGTGGTGGGACCCAATCGTCCGCATCGCTTTCATGGGGATGCTCTTCCCTTCCATCAGCACGTCGGTATTGAAAATAATCAGGTGCGACAGGGCGGAATCTTCTATTGACAGCGGCGGCAGAAGCAGCTCGGCGGAGAGTTATGCCAGATCGTGGGTTTGTCTGAGAATATGGAGCGTCGAAGGCTTCTTGGTCCTCGTCCGTGGTTTGCGATTGTCCGGTAAATGCTGTTTGTTGGCTGAGTGTTCTCACCGTCCGGTTGCCCAGATCTGGGGTAGCTGGCATAGGCGGCGGCCGGGGAGAGCGAGTCGGTACAGCCGCTCGGGAAACGTGGTTGCGATCCCCTCCTCTCTGAGCAACGGACCTTCTTCTGATAATGGCAACCTCGGTATCCAGGTCTCTATGCGCTTCTTCCAGTACCTCGGGTTCCTTGATACCAACTTCAATAGTTGAGACGATTCTCTCGCCATCTGACGGACGATAACCGAAGTCCATTATAGATATACGACCTCCATCCGCGGGAATCATGCCATCGTCCCCATTGACGACAGCTTGAATTCCGACGCCAGGGGCAACAGCAATCAGTCTGTTCCCCAAAAATTTTGTTGACTGATTGTTTACCCAGGCCAGTGCACTGACACGATCAAGAGAGCCCACCATACGGCCTTCAACAAATGTGTTCCTCAACCTATCGCCGAGATTTTGCCACTGCGGAGTCTTATTGATGCCTTCTCGGGTTCTGTCCACGAAGCTAACGCAGGGCTCGCTATTTCGACGCCCAAAATAGGTTGGAGGGGTGCTCACTTCACTCTCGGAGCTGTTCGCTAGGCTATCTCTGATGTTCCGCGGCGCCTCAAGATCTTCGGGCACCCCATACAGCCATATTGAACTCTGGAAGCCCGAGGCCACCATATCCCCGGATTCAGTCGCCGTTGGTAAAGTGCTTGGGAACAATCTTGAGGCGCAAGCGGAGTCAGCAGTAGGGCCAGTAAAATATGTTGTTCCGTTTCGAAGATCATTTACGCGCACAGCGCGGAACGTCTCGAAGATACGATCGTACGTAAAAGCCCAACTGACTTCTCCATCGGAGGAATTGGGGAGGAGGACTGCATGGCTGCAGTCTCGGCTGCCGTTCGGGAAGAGAATGGATGTCGTCCATAGAGAGCTGACACTATTTTCGGGTAGACTTCCACTAGGGTCGTAATAAGGAGCGGTGAGAATCACAGTGCTCGAGTTTCGGGACTGCATAGTTGTCCCAAGTAGCTGCGTACCGTCCCGAGAGAAAGACAGAGAATCGGCAGCATAACATTTGACAGATCGTCTATCTGTACTAGCAAAGCTCGGGTCCAGCGATGATACCTCCACACCCGAGTCGTAGGCTGCAGCAAGGACAGAGCCGGTTGGAGACAAAGCAATGGTCCGTGGAGTGTGGTTTAATGCCACAGCACGGGTGTGCTTCGGGTGCTCTCCCGACAAATCGTAGAGGTCCACTTGCAAATCCGTGGAAAGCACTGCCAGAAGGAGTCCATTATCGGTTATTGTAGTGGAAGCAGGTCTCCGAAGTATCTTGAGCTCTCTCTTCACCGTTATCTCCGGCCCCGTCACATCTATGACATGGATACGAGAGGAATTGTAAGCAAGAATATGGTGACCTCTTGGTGAGAGGCTGAAGTGAAAAGCTTCCCCCCCAGGGGCTGACGACGAACTAATTGATGTTGATACCAAGTTTATGATCGTTTCTCGTGGCCGCAGATACGCATCGAATAGATTCCGTTTTGCCTCCCGTGCGAAGAGTCTACGAAGACGTGGTAGACTCTCCTCGTCCTCTGGAATTGTAGCTCCACGGTGGGCTGCGGAGTAAGAAGGACATCGAGCCAAGTGGTCCGCATATAGATGTGCTTGCTGAGATACCGTCCTCCATTTGCGATTCAAGAGAACCAAAGACGCGAAAACGTTTGGGGTGGTGAGTCGCAAGATTCTGGGGACGAGTAAGTATCAATAGGGGCTCAATGACTACATAGTTTGGGTTGATTGAAGGCTCACTGTTCGATAATTTCATCAGGTAGTCTTTCGAAGGCTGATGAGCCCTTAGCCGATACAAACGAGGTGGAGGGTTCCTTCAAGCTCTCCTGGTAGAATAAGATCTCAGTGCCATTCATTTTCTCGTGGGCGTCCTCGGTAGTGTTTCTCCTGGATATCGGGTTTCGAGCATGAGCTCCCGATGCTTGTCTTGAGTGTTTTGGAAGACAGAAGGAAGGAGATCAAGAGCCTGGTTATGAATGATGGTCGAAGGTTGCTGCAGGGAAGAAATTCAACCATGAACACTTGCTCTTGGCTGGTATGGGTATGGGTATGGGTATGGGTATGGGTATTAGTATTGGTATTGGTATGGGCATTGGTATCGGGTGTTTTGGTTTGGAGGGGCTAATGATTGGAAGAGCCGAGGCCGAAGCCCTAGGTCATTACTCTCCGCACAGTACCGGTACAAATACGTAGTAGGTACCGGTATACACATCCCTACTAGTCTGGTCACTGTAGCGCCCTATAAATGTCGGAAAAACTTCACCTCAACAAAAACCCCGTCAGAGACCTTGAGAGCGTGCATCTTTTCTGTTCTATCTATCTGCCCTGCCATCTCGGGGCAACATGCCCTTCAGTGATGTTGATTACGAGGACCTTGTCGGAACTTTAACGGATAATTTCAATGTTCTCGCAGATGAGGTCCAGCTCCTGAGCGACCGGAAACAGATCTTGGAGCACAAACTCCGATTTGCCCACGAACAAGTCAGTTGAGTACCCAGTCAAGCCTTTCTTGAATCTTCCTCCTTTCCACCCCAAGATGATGAGAAACATTAGCTCTAGATCTGGAGCTGCCACAGGCAGCGACGACTGACAACCACCATGTATCCTGATTTGCAACCATGTTCTGCTGCAGTGTTCATTCTATCCACGTTCCTTGCCGGTGACTAACACAGCATTAGTACCAGCATCTGGCAGACAAATACGCGCCAGGCGATCCCGAAACTTCGAATGTCCTAGCCAAGCTTCAACCTCCCACTGACCTCCAAATATCGGCATCCGATCGAACGGGTGTTGTCCCACTTCCACAACGAACACAAAGAAGTTCAAAGCATCAAACAGCTGTTGCTATAAGGGACGGGCGACGGGCGGCACAACGGCTTGCAGGTACCGCAGGCAAGTCGAGCAGGTCTACACATAGCGGAAAGAGTTTATCCGGTACGAGCAGTAATGTAAAATACTCAGCACGAAGGACTTCGCTCTCTACTGTGCTTGAGCAAGACTTCACCGTCGCGGGGAAGAAGAGCTCCCTGCTTTGTCCCTTCTCCCGCACCGCGAAAGATATCGACGCTGCGATGGATCCCCAAAGATCTCAACGTTCTGGCACCCATGAATCAGACCTACCATTGAACCCATCAGATGCGAGAGATCCTACGCGTCACCAGTCCGCAGACCCAATATGTGCAGCCCTGTATGCCGAGACCATGAACTCCCCTCCTCCATCAGCCACTGGTTCCGGTGCAAAATGTCCCATCCGATACATGGACCAGCACTCTCCTGAAGAAATTGCCCAGTACTTTGAGTCCCACAAACATGAGATCCCACGAAGCCACGAAGTGTGTGTGAAGCGTTACCAGCGGAATGAAGATGATATTAGGAAGCTAGATGCGAAGTACGGAAGTCTTGTCAGTATGATACAAGGCTTAGGCCAGAAGCATCAACCGATGTTGCCTACGAAGGAGGAGGAGGAGGCTATGGAACTTGAGCGGACATCGAACGAACGAGTCGAGAACTGGGCCCACGCTGTCAGTGCGGATGGTGTCGAACCGGACGAACATGAACCTGGTCCGGACCACGAGGAAGAGAGGGAGAGTAGGTTCGATCGTCCATTAAAGGAGGTTCGAGTTGGCGAATCACCAAGCCGCCCGTGGGGTATCTCGGTACCTTTATTCGAACCGGATGGAGGTCAACGACCAGTCTCCCCTCCCCCAGCTCCTGTTTCGGCTCAGCAGCACATGCCACAATCGGCAGGGTGTCCGTTTGGACACGGTCCCAAGGTGCAGATGGAGAAACCGCCAGCATCGCCTCCGTCCCAAGAGAGGCCGGCAGGGGATTGTCCATTTGGTCACGGTGCTGGACCGGAGGAGAAACCAGCACCAAATTCACGTCCGCTCGAGGAGAGACCCATTGGCAAATGCCCCTTCCCGCAAGCCGCCGCACAGAAGTCGAGAGAGGAGCCCCAGCCGGCACCAGTCTACCACAACCAACCAACCTTCATTCAACCGTATCCGGAGATGCAGAAGCATGGAGTGCTTCCGCAGATGGTTTTTACTGGCCCAGTCTTCATTGGGTATCCCATGGAGCAAGCCATTACTTTCATGCAGCAGTACAGGGAGACGCAATGAGTTGCGGACTTTATGCATGTTTATTTGTAAGGGTTAGCGTTGGCGTTTGGATTCGGATAACATGGCGTGGCATTTGCCATTTTGAATGCTTCTATCGACAGATCAAGATGGAGCGTCCCTCTTCACCATGCAACTTGCGACAGATAGGAAGCGATTCATAGCAGCCTGGAAGACCAGATACACCTTTGAAGATCTCCTCACATCGTTTCATTCATGACCTTGAGCTCTATATTTCTACAGTCTAAGCTGCCAACAAACACCTAATCGAGCGAGTCTCGTCCCAATGAGTACAATGTCCTAGATACCTCTTTCTATTCATGAGGCGGATCTGGCTTTCTGGGATCCTCTTCAATGTCCCCACTGGCAAATACATCCTCATCGTCTGTGAACTCGTCATGATATGTCGCATCCCTGCTGCCATCGTTTTCCCATACTAGATGACGGGGGAGTCAGTGTTTGCCAGATATGTATGTTTCGGGAATCTGTTCTACCATGGCTCCGAACCAAAACCCCAAGACCGGACTGGTAGGGAAGGGGTATCGGCCCCCGTGGTCTTACTCACATGAAATATCATCATCTCCCATCAAAGCTACTGCGTCAGTCACATTCACGCCATCGTCGCTATATCCCCTCCCTTCCACAGCCAGCACGGCACTTTCCCCTGTCCCAGCCTCCAGGGCCTCTATTTCCAACTCCCTCGCTCTCGATATCGTCCGCTGGTAGATGAGCCACCCAACGCTGGCACCCATGGCTGCCCCGAACAATATGCTCGCGTAATTGATGGCCTTCGTTTTGCCGTCCATCTTGCCGCCGCTTTCAGCAATGCTCGCCAGTCTGCTCCCGATGAACACATGGATCAGCAGCTTCGGGCTTGTCAGTGCTGTGGCTAGTGCGAAGGACAGCGGGTGCACCGTTGGGAAGGTGGAAATGGCTGCGTTGGACAAGCTGTACGGCAAGGGACACAAGCGGATCATGCACAGGATCTTGATGCCGTCATGCTTCAGCGTCAAAGCTAAGGCTTCGAAACGCTTATCCTGCCCTACGAGCCGGTGTACGTATTTCGATAGTATGGTCCTGCTGGCTAGGAACGACGCGGTCGATCCTACTATCGTGGCGGAGGCTACGATATACCATCCATTGGGGAACCCGTATACGAAGCCGGATATGGTGATAGTCGTGCTGTACCCTATCAGCGGCGGAAAGGACAGCACGCACGTCAATAGCCACAGGATCGTCCAGCCTCCACGGACATCGTGCCACTTCTTCGCTGCGGGCGCGAGGTACCCGAATACGCGCTCGTTATAGACGAGGAAGAGGATAAGGAAGACGATGAAGACCACGATGGCCGTGATGGCAGCTATTCGCTGGCTGATAGAGAAGGAAAAGAATGTCTTGACGACCTTGCGCTGAATGTTGTTCGCCGAGCGCAGGAATTGCGTCTTGTATGATTCGGTGCGCACGGGGAGGGCGTAGGGCGAGGAGTTGAGGTGGCGAGAAGGGTTCGTGGAGAGGCGGCGGGACCAGGGCGGGCGTGTTGATTGGGAGAGTCGGTCTGGAGATTGAGATACTCTGGGGGAGATGGGGAGGGCGAGGGCGCGAGCTGTGGAGGTGTAGTCGGCGGGCATAGTTGAGCGGGGTGAGAAAGGTCGGTCTATGAAGGTCAGTCGGTCGGTCTGCCTGCCTGCCTGCCTGCCTGCCTGCCTGCCTGTCTATCTGTCTGTCTGTTTATATGTTTTGGTCGTGAGCAGTGATCCGATGTCACATCTGTATACTCATAGAGAGATGCGCTGGTGATGTAATGTTGTTGCTTAGTTGTTAGTGCATGTCAGAAGTTGAAGTAAGAAGCGAAGAGGTGTCTGAGCCGTGTTTGAAACGAACGCCAACCAAAGCCCACCGTCCAGATGAAGTGAAAGAAGTGAATCGAGTCTGTTGTCTGTGGATTTCAAGGCGAAGATGGAAGATCGAATCCACCTCGCAAGGCTGAATGTTGCTAGACCGAGGGGTTGTCCAGGAATTCTCGGGTTGATGGCTGAGTCCAGTTTTTAGTGTACAGTAGTGCTATACCGGTACCATGCAGAGATATAGTATCTGGAGACGGCGAATCGGGAACAGGGTAATCAGGATGGCAGACGGGGTAAAATGGAAGAATACATATGTGTGTGTGTGTGTGTGTGTGTGTGTATATACCATATATATATGTGTGTGTGTGTGTGTCTGTGTGTGTGTGTGTTTTTATAGATATGAATATGTATATGTATACCTTTACGTACCGGTATACCGGTATATCACCTCAAGTGAACATGAGACGGTACCCGAGACCGAGGTCAAGTGTGAACTACGTCAAGTAAAGTAAGTACTTACTTATTAAGTACTAGCGTGCCAGACCCCGAGCCCCCGAGCCCGACCAGCCAGCCAGCCAGCCAGCCTCACCTCCCCTGGACCCGAACCTCCCTCATTCATCCATCCAGATCCCCCACACTTCATAACACTCAACTTCCACCTCACACCTCACACCTCACACCTCCCACCTCACACCTCCCACCTCACAATATCGCTGTCTCTATGATATTCGCTGGCAACTTCAGCGAGACAATGTAAGAAAGAGCCCAGTGCTATCCGTCGTCGACCAGCTGCTGCTCCACCTCCTCCTGCTCCTCCGACTCTTACTAGAGTAACTTCAATCATCATCGCGCTCTCAGACTCGGTCCGGCCTGCATCGTTTTCCCCATCTTGCGTTGCCCTTTCGACCTGTCCCTCGCATTTTGACCTTCCTACATCTTAATCACCCTGTGATCTTCATCGGAGATCATAGCCAGCAACCCATCCGCCCCGCCTAAACATGGTGTCCGACGAAACCTACGAGCTCTGCCTGCCCCTGCTTCAGGACGCGAATCTCGAGGATGAGGAGAAGACGGACAAGCTGGAAGAGTTTCTCCGAAAGGAAACATCCTTAGTCGGCACCTCTCTCGACAATGCCGTGCTGGATGTGCTGTGGCGCCATCGGGAGTCGTTGACAAATCCAAGTTCCCCTCCGCCGATGCGACACACCGTCTTACGTCGAGCCGCATCTCCAGCTCCCTGGCCGATACCCAGAGTAAACTCTGGCACGCCGGTATCGTCTTCTCCCCGTCTTGGTGTGAGCCCCCTTGCGCCGCCAGGATTCGTACCGTCCTCTTTCAATAGAGCCAAGTCATCGGCAGTCTCTCCTTTCACCTCTCCCCGCCCCTCCCCCAGACTTGCCTTTACCAGTCCAGCCATTCCTCACAGTCCGAGCCTGAACGCCTACGAATTCTCCGAATCCGCCAGTCCGATGCAGGACATATACGGGGACTACGGTAGTGATAATGTCGACTGGTTGGTAAATGATGATGGTGGAAGTACTACATCCTCTTCTGCTGGCGGTGGGCAAAGTGGCCTCAATGCAGCCGCCGCTGAATACATTCAACCTCAGCAGAATGACATGAGCCCATACGATATGCTCCGCTCCATACTTGGTCCGGCCAAATCAGATGAAGAGATTGAGGCAGCCCTCGCTGTACATGGCTATGACCTGAGCGCAACTATCATGGCTTTCATGGAAGGACAAGCTGGCGATGCAAACATCGCGCAGGTTACAGAAACCAAGAGCGCTATCCTTATCGGCAAGTCCATGGCCCCCAGCGTTTCCCGTCCTATGACTCCTGCTGCAAACCACAAGAGTGGCGTCGTCTGCAGGTTCTGGCTCTCGACCGGACAATGCCTTAGAGCAGATTGTAGATTCAGCCACGACCTTAGTAACCACATCTGCAAGTAAGTATTGGTGGTTTGGTTCATTTTTCACATGCTAACCTGGAAAAAGATACTGGGTTGAAGGTAATTGTCTTGCTGGAGACACGTGTATCTTTTCCCACGACCCGTCGCACTTCTTGAATCGTCTGGCTCTAGCAGGAAGCAGCACACCACCACTTCAAAATGCCCAGCAAGACTTCCAGTTTCAAGATTTCAATGCTTTCCCTTCGTTGCAACCCGTGCAGGATCAATGGGGCTCCTATAGCTCAATCAATGTTACCAACGCTTTTAGTAATTATCAAGGAGCAAACTTCACCGCACAACCACCCGGGTTCAAGGGCATGCAGGGGTACGCAAGTGATGGATCGAGCCAAAGATCACGACCTAGTAGCCGACATCAAACCCGAGAAATCCCATCAGCCCCAGCCCTGGATGATACAGAAGCATTCCCTTCCCTCGGTGCAGTCACTATCAAGGGCGGTAAGAAACACCATGGAAAGAGAGGTGGTCATGGACACGGGCACAAAGAGAACATGACTCCGAGCTCTCTCGCCGAGGTGGTCAAGATGTCACCTTCTCCTGGCTCAGGTATGCTCAGACAGGACGTAAAGAAACTTGGTCGGAATGGCAGCTCCACCAGCATTCGCAATGGCGAGAATAGTGCAGCTGCACAGGCCATTCCAAGCCCACAGCATGTTCCTTGGCTGGAGACAGGCGAAAAGGCCAACAAGGCTTATCTCAAGGCTAGACAGGATGCTATCAAGCACGGTGGCTTGAGAAACAAATTTTTGCAAAGGTATGTACAAGTTGGCGACACACAATTCTCGGCTGGCCTGTTAACCCTCCATAGCGCCGCTCAAGCATGGAACCGCAACGATGCTCGGGCTGCCAAGGCACTCAGTCTTCGAGGACAGTCAGAGAACGATCTGATGCGCAAAGCACATCGAGAGGCGGCTCGTGAGCTCTACGAAGAGCGTAACAAGGGAAGCTCTTTGAGTTCCGAGCTCTATGTCGATCTTCACGGTCTCCACCCGGAGGAAGCTGTCGAGTATCTGGAGAAAGTCCTTCTGGAAAATCAGAAAGAGACCCGACCTGTGTATGCCATCACTGGCACCGGCCATCACAGCAAGAATGGCAAGGATAAAGTCGGCAAGGCGATCCGCAACTTTCTGAACGAGTGGCGCTACGCCTACCGCGAATTCTCTGTTCCAGGAGACAGAAACAACGTCGGTGGCATTCTGGGCATTGATGCTAGATCTTTCTCAAAGAACGGCGTTGCTGCTTCGGTGTCTGCGCCTGAGGCAGAGAAAGAAGAAGTTGATATTCTTAGCCAGGGCCATGAAATTGGTCAAGGAAAGGTCAGACTGCTCGTCAGAGATCCGCCGAAGGGTCCGAATGGGAACAGATGACCAGGACATAGATAAAAAGAACAAATAAACTATTAAAAATTATGCCTCGACCAGGCGATGTGACAAACAATTGTTCAATCGGTCTGATCCGAAATATATTGATTAGTTTCTACCGACTTACTCAGAGGCAAATCGCGGACGGAGCCAGGAGTTTCTCTAATCTGAAAATACCTAGGTTCTACTCCATCTTCAAGACCTCGAATTGCTTAATGGTCTCCTCGAACGCCTCGGCCTCGGTCTCCAGATCCGCCAGTTTCTTGATCTCGACTTCCTGCAGTTCCTTGCTTACCTTCTCCTTGTATGCCTCGTCGCCCAAAATCTTCTTTTGCTTCTCGATGCCGAGCTTCGCCTTCTCGAGCTTCTTGGACGCCTTGATGATCTCGGCATCGATGTCGACGCGGCCTTTGACGTGCAGCAGCACGGCGGTGGAGGCATTTATGGAGAAGACGACGCAGCCAGCGGGGCGGGCGGCATTGGTGGACAGGATTGTAGTGGTGGAGACGCCCTTACCGGAGAGGGATTTGATAGAGGGAAGTTGGGCAGTGATGGTGCTGTGGGAGGTTTGGTCGGTGGTTTGGATGTAGACTGTTTCAACGTCAAAAGGTTAGGAGTTGTACTGACATGTGAAAGAGGGTTGACGAACCTTGAGCCTCGTCTCTGAGGGAGTACTCTGCCATAAGCGACCGGATGCCCTTTGAAATGTCAAGCACGAGCTCGTACGCGGCTTCGGAGTCGGGACGGTCCATAGAGACATCGTATACGGGGTATCTGGCCAGAGCAATGGTGGCGGTCTTGTCTTCTGGCCGGCGTGGAAGGCGTTGCCAGAGCTCTTCGGTCAGGAAGGGCATGTATGGGTGGATCATGGTCAGGGCGCCTTCGAGAGCTGTGTAGAGCGTATTGAGCGCAGACAGCTTTTCCTCTTCATTTCCATCTTGGAGGATTGCTTTGGAGTTCTCGATGTAAACGTCGCACAGATGGTTGTACCAGAATTGGTATACTATGGTCGTCGATTTTTGGAATTCACGGTCAGCGATTGCCTGGTTGATTTCTTTCGCTGCAATGGTCATCTTGTGAAGAACCCATGCCTCGGCCAGCGACTCTTTGCCCGTGAGCTTGGTAGTCTTGTTGGGTACGAAATCCGCCGGTAGTTTGCCCAATACGAACTTGGTTGCTTGGTAGATTTTGTTACAGAACTTGCGATATGCGTGGATAACCTTGACGTCGAACAGAATGTCTCCAGAACCAGTGGAATATGATACCAGAGCGAATCGTAAAGCATCTGTTCCACACTGTGGAATTCCGTCTGGGAAAGCGGTCTTCTGGTATTTGGTTGCTCTCTCCACCTCGTTAGGGGCCAAGTTTCCGGAGGTTAACTTCTTGTGTAAATCCTCCAAAGAGCATCCTTCGATGAAATCTTGGGGATCGATAACGTTGCCTAAGGACTTGGACATCTTTCTACCCTCAGAATCGCGGACCAAGGAGTGGCAGTAGACCTCCGTGAACGGAACCTTGCCAGTGAGCTTGAGACTGAACATAACCATCCGAGCGATCCAGAAGAACAGAATATCCCAACCAGTCTCCAGCACAGATGTTGGGAACAAGGTCTCGAAATCGTGGGTCTTATTGGGCCATCCCAGAGTGGCAAAGGGCCACAGACCAGAAGAAAACCAGGTATCCAGGACATCCTCGTCTCTCTTCAGAACGAAGGTCTTTCCAGGCAGAGCTTTCTTAGCTTTTACTTCGGCTTCTTCCTGTGTCCGGCCTGCAAACCAAAGACTACCATCAGCTTCATCATGTTCCTCGCCCTCAATTTGAGCAAAGTACATAGGTGCTTGATGACCCCACCATAATTGCCTCGACAGACACCAGTCGTTGACATTATCCATCCAGCGAATGTAGCTCTTCTCTGCAGTCTCCGGCAAGATCTTGATCTCGCCTGACTTCACGACATCGAGAGCAGCTGCTGCCATGTCTTTCATCTTCATCCACCACTGTGGCTTCAAGAGCGGCTCGATAATGTCCTTCGACTTCTCGCACATAGGTACGGTCATGGGATTATCCTTCTTGCAGACGTACAATCCTGCCTTCTTTAGATCTTCCTGGATTGTGTAACGTACGTCAAATCGCTTCTGTCCGGCGTAAGGGCCAGCATTCTCGTTCATGAAACCATCATCTGTTAGAATGTTGATTCGCTCAAGATGATGACGGGCACCCAGAGCAAAATCGTTAGGATCATGGGCAGGTGTAATCTTAACAGCACCGGTTCCAAAATCCTTCTCAACATAGGTATCGGCAACGATTGGCATTTTTCGGCCTGGAATGAAGGGGTGGATTGCCATCTTTCCCACTAGATGCTTGTATCGCTCGTCGTCAGGATGCACGGCGATACCAGAGTCTCCGAGCATAGTTTCTACACGTGTTGTGGCAACCTCAATTTTCTCATCCGTGCCTTCAATCTCGTACTTGAAATGTACAATGACACCGAATTCAATCTTCTTGTCGTACCCCGGTACGTCGAGTTTTGTTGCACCGGTGAGCTCCTTATTGACGACTTCGAGGTTAGAGAGGGATGTGTTGAGCTTTGTGCACCAATTCACAAGTCTATTCTCTCTGTAGATGATTCCCTCCTCGTGAAGTGTGACGAATGTTTCCGTAACAGCTGCTGAGAAGTTCTCGTTCATAGTGAAAGCCTCACGTGTCCAGTCCATGGATCCACCCATTCTCCGAAGGACGGTATTGATCTTTTGATGATACTCGGTCTTCCAGTCCCATATAGTCTTCACAAACTCTGATCTGCCCAAGTCGTGACGGGTCTTGCCCTGGCGACGCCACAGCATGTTCTCTACTACACTCTGTGTCGAGATACCCGCATGATCACACCCGGGAAGCCACAGGGTTGTCTTGCCATGCATACGATTCCATCGGATCAGAACATCTTGAAGAGCATTACCCAAGGCATGGCCTATATGAAGTGCGCCGGTGACATTGGGGGGCGGTTGGACAATAACGAAGGATCCTTCCGGCCTAACCTTGCCGTCATCCGTAAACTCGGGCAGGAAGTGACCCTCTTTCTCCCACCACGCGTACCAAGCGGATTCGACGGCCGTCGGGTTGTAGGCTTTGTACTGGGGGTCGTCGAATGACTTGATGATTTTCTTCTCGCCAAATGGGGTGTCTTCGACGTAAGGAGGCAATGTACCCTCATCTGCTTTCTTGTCTGCCTTCGCCTTCTTCTCCTTTGTCTTGCTAGTTGTCGCAACGGGTTCTGTCTTCTTGGCCTTCTTCTGCTCGAATTTTGCTTGCTTTTCGGCCTTCTTTCGTTCCCGCTCAACTGCAGTGACAATCAGTTACCTCGAGCATGATTCTCCAGGACCTTGAGGATACACGTACGTTCTTTCTCACTCTTCACCTTTGGTTCTGCTTCGGCAGTTCCAACCTTGCTGGCCGCATCTTGCCCCGCGGCATGGGTACCTGTCGGGCTGGAGTTTGTGGCTTCTGCAAGAGCAGCTTTCGTCTCGTTCGACAGCGGAGGAGGTTGTCCAGAAACGGGGCCGGTCTCCTCTCCAACTGCGTACAGAGAAAATTAGAACTATCCGTCCAAATTGGCCAAGTGCACAATTTCCTTACTTGGATTATGCGACGCGGCGTTTGTAGCCATTCTAGCAAGAGGAGGAGTGAAATGAAATCTGTATGGCGACCTGCGCACCCAGAGTGCTCTGGGTAGTATTCTGGACGTCGTAATTGCGGATGTTGCGAGTGGTTGAGCAGGTCGGAGGCTTTTGGTGGGGTTCACCAGACTTCGAGGGGTATCAAGAAGATGGAGGTGAATAGATGGCTGTCGGGGGACAAAAAGTTTGGAGTCATCGTCGCTTAAACAGCTGTTCCGCTCCGGTTCCGCTCCGGTTAAAGCGGGCACTCAGCCTCATGCAAGGCTACGGATGCACATTGATGAACGAACTACTTCGTCCTCCTCTTCCTGCTCACATTCTCACATTCTCACATTCTCACCCATAATATCTTAAATGTCACTCCGTCAATTGGCATATTCCAATATCCTCATTTAACCTCGCTTGGGCAGTGGAACAGGGCAATCCATCTTCATATCCGGAGATGGCTATCACTGCACTTCCCCAAGCAACTATCCATCTCCTGGGCTCGGCCCAGGCACTTACCACCCCAACATCACTTGTCAAAGAACTCGTCGATAACGCTCTTGATGCCAAAGCTACATACATTGACATTCTTATTTCTCCAAACACGATTGATAAGATCGAGGTTCGGGACAACGGCCATGGCATCCCCGAGGAGGACTTCGATGCCCTCGGAAGACGTGGACACACCAGCAAATTGAGGTCGTTTGACGAGCTCAAATCTATCGGAGGTGTCACCCTGGGATTTCGAGGAGAGGCTCTAGCGAGTGCAGTACAACTGGGCCAGGTGTCAGTAACAACCAGGACCGATGGACATCCAGTGGCCACCATGGTACAGCTGAAGGCTCCCGGCGGAGTCGCTAGTCAATCAAGGGCATCGCATCCTGTTGGGACTACAGTCTCTGTCTCCAAGTTCTTGTACAAGCTTCCTGTCAGAAAACAGACGGCCGAGAAAGAAGCGGCTAAGACCTTGAAGAAACTCAAGGATCTTCTATACTCTTACGCTCTGGCTCGACCCAAGGTTCGACTCAGTCTCAAGGTTATCAAGGGAGGAAAAGGCTCCTGGTCTTTCACTCCCCGCCCTAATGACGGAATGAAGGAAGCCGCAGCCCAGATCATTGGGAGAGAGGCCGCAGCTCAGTGCATCAAGAGGTCATTGGCCTTTTCGGAGCAGAGCTGTCAAGACGATAGTTCCAAGCATAGCGATGTGCCAGGGGCAGGGGCAGGTCAAAATAGCAGCCTTTCTGATGTCTCTGGCCAGTTTTTCGTCGAGATATTGGTTCCAAAGCCAGACGCAACATCAGCTGGACATGGCCAATACACATCGGTAGACTCCCGACCAGTGGCGCATGACAAGGGGACCATGAGGAAGATTGTCAGTACATTCAAGTACTATGTCAAGAACTCTCCCTTAGGAGGCGAGGAACAGCTGAAAGACCCTTTCCTTTGGCTCAATATCAAGTGCCCGGTCTCAAGTTACGATGCGAACGTGGAACCTGCGAAGGACGATATCCTGTTTGGGAATGAATATCTTGTGGTGGGATCTATCGAACAACTATTCAAGGAAGTCTATGGAGAGCCTGTTACTAACACCTCTCCTGCTGCTATTCCAGACAGTGTGGCCAAAAAGCTTGACAACTTTGAGCTTCTCATGTCTCGCAAGACGACTGTCCCGTCATCTGTGTCGGCTGTTGCTGGAGATACTGAACCCACCGGGCTCTTAAATGTAGTAAAACTTGTCACAGGTACAGGTACAGGATCATTTACGGGGGCTAGGGGTGATGAGCTCAGAGATACTGGGGACGATTACAACGAGGATATCCAGGGTTTCCGGAGTCCCAGTAGCCAGTTCCGAAATTCGGCCCTAAATCACCACACCAATCCCGCCGTGGGTGTCGATGAGCTGCTAAACCCCTGGATTATCGCCAAGTTGAACGCGCCCGTTCCACCCAGAGGTGACTCTAATCTCCCAGCGTCAACTAGCAGCTCGAGCGATTCTCCAGGATTTATGCAGAATCATCTTCCTACGCCACAGCAATCTTCTGATCCCATCAATGCTGTGTCAGACTTGCTCGATCCAACAAGCCCAGCTCGGCATCGTCAAGTGTCCCATACTGACCATCTCGGTGCACCGGCTCCAAATTTCGTTACTCCTCTATCTCACCAGTCTAGGAGACAGTCTGACAATCAGCTTGGTGTATCAATGACCAATAGAATTTCACTGATAGCTGACTCCGACGATGCGCTTTTACTTGGAGACGATTCTGAAGTATTCAGACGCCGAAACGACTTCAATAGCGCTAGAAGTCTCTTGAACGGCTCTATGCCAACTTTCTCAGCTAACAGTGGTTCCAAGAGAGCTAGAGGCATCAACAAGCCGTTCGTACAACCGATGAGAACAAGCGAGGGTACTTCGCCACAGGATAGCCTTCAGCAAATGAAGCTGACGACGCCAATTGACCAAAATCTGGCACAGGACGCCAGCCACCAGGGGGGGCGGCTTCAGGATCTTGCCTGGACGATGGATTATGAATATAGGAAGGAAGATGCCAGTCGTAAACGCCGGATGGAAGTTCGAGCTGCTCGTGTGGAGGCCAAAGCGGATGCGAACAAACGTCGCCGCACAGAAGATGAAGACTCACCCATGCAGACGAACGATCTTCGTAGTTCAGCAAAGCAATCGCCACACAAAAATCGGTATGGTGCTGCAATTTCTAACCTTGAGATCAACCAACAAGAGCCAGCTAGCAACGTGATTACCAAGCAACCTTTCAAAACATCGATACCTGAGGGCGACCCCAGAGCATATCTTATGAGGCGGCAGAAGTCCATGCAATCATCCGCAAAGCGACCAGGCGAGATTTCGAGGCCAATGCGGGCAAGGTCTACCCGACTTCCACTGGAGAGAATCCCAGATGATGAACAGGTACACACGTTGATGCTGAAGTACACGATTGACATGGGTTTTGTTCAGAACGCTCTTCTGAAACTTTCTGGTTCGGATACGTACGTGAGTCAAGGGATACAGTCTGCTGGCCTTGTGATGAACGCTGCCGAAGCGAAGCTGGTACAGAAGATGGTCCAGGCAGCCGTGGAGAAGTGGAGAGAAACCGAGGCGGGAAAGCAATATGATGTGGAATATAAGTGCGACAATCTGACCGTTATTAATTAGCTCTGTACTGGTCGGCATTTGACACGGAGATGATATCTGATGGAAGACATCTTGCTAGGATCACTATTTGGCGTTCGGATTTGCTACATTTCACAAGATACCCATTTGCTTTCATCGCGCTTAATGCTTCAAGAAATATTCGCATGGCACTTACTGCAGTGAGTGATACAGGTGGAGAATTACCTGGTGTTCAGGTGGTATATAACTTCGCTATGACGATGTTATCTTAAGAAGCACGGTAGATCAGCTACTTGAGTTTATTCAGCGACACATATCAACAATGTATTGTTCTCTTCCTAACAGTCATAAGCGATAGAGTGAACGGTGTTCTTAGAAGTTCGATTAATATGGTACAACTAGGACTTGCAAGGTCAGATGCACACTTTACGAGATTTACGTGCACGAGCCATACAGATTGCTCAATTCATGCATCTTGACGCGCAACTTGGAGAAGCAAGAAATATTTTGGTGGTGTAACTCGGCTTGCATCTGCGAGCCAAACACACCACCACGGACGCTAGTGAGACCCACGTATTCACTCCGAAGACGCTATCTCTTACTCCACTAACAGCTCCAATTCCAATATACATACTAAATCAGTTTCCTATTCATTCAGTCCCCATTCCAGCCCATATCATTGAGCCCATGAGCACAATGGCCAAAAGGGTTGAGAAAAATAGAGTTGAGAACACTCAGGACCACAGTTCCAGCCATGGTCTCGCGAATCTGTCCCTCGCCTCCAAAGCCATCCATGCAGACGATTATCTCAACGAAGGCTCAGATGTTGCGCCGCCTATGCACGTTTCAACTACATTCAGATACAACCGAGATTCTACCGCTTTAAGAGCTTGGGGAGATCGCACTGTAAGCTCTCTTCCAGTCGAGAAGATGGGCAAATGCGCTGACCAGTGACGAAGCCAGCAGATTCTACAGACGAGGGTCACATATACTCCCGCTACACAGCTCCAAATACCACTCGCTTTGAGGCCATCCTCTCTGATATCCTGAAAGGTCCCACTCTGACCTACGGATCCGGTCTCAGTGCCTTCCACGCTCTCCTGGTTTTCCTCAACCCAAAGCAAATTTCAATCGGAGCTGGCTACCACGGCTGTCACGGCGTCATTGCTATTCACCAGAAGCTCACTGGGTCCAAGAAGATACCTCTAGACTGCGCTGCTGAGGATCTCCAACCCGGTGACATTGTTCATGTCGAGACTCCGCTCAATCCCACGGGGACAGCTTACAACCTCAAAGAATATGCTGACAAGGCCCATTCGAGGGGGGCTTTCCTGACGGTTGATGCTACGTTTGGGCCTCCACCTTTGCAAGATCCGTTCCTGTGGGGTGCGGATATCGTCATGCATTCCGGCACGAAGTATATTGGTGGTCACTCTGATATGCTGTGTGGTATCTTGACAATCAATCCAAAACACCAGGATTGGTTCGAAAAGATGCACAATGAGAGAGCGTATCTTGGAAACGTAATGGGATCGATGGAGGGATGGCTGGGTATCAGAAGTGTCAGGACGCTGGAGGTGCGGGTCCAGAGACAGGCTGCCAATACGGCAAAGCTGGTCGCTTGGCTTGATGGCATTCTTCGCCCAGGGAAGGCTGGGGAATCTGAGAGCATCGACACCCGGGACGGTGAAGCTGTCCGGAAAATCCTCGCCAAGGTCGAGCATGCCAGCTTACAAGAAGAGGATATCAAGGATGGGTGGCTGACGAAGCAGATGCCGAATGGCTTCGGCCCAGTCTTTTCCATCTACTTGAAGGACCTCACCTTGTCTCGCCAACTCCCGAGCAAGTTGAACCTGTTCCATCATGCTACTAGCCTTGGAGGAGTCGAGAGTTTAATTGAGTGGCGGGCCATGACTGATTCTAGTGTTGATACGACATTGCTGAGAGTCAGTGTTGGCATCGAGGGATGGGAAGATTTGAGAGATGATCTGCTACAGGGTTTCAAAGCGCTCGCTGCGGATCTGCAGTGATGTAGAAGCGTGGTTGTTGGGCTTGGACGACTTCGGCTGAGTCCTAGGAGCAGAAGCAGGCTTCTGTCCGTGGATGATGATAAGTTTGCATGCATTCAACATATCCCTGGAAAAGAATTTTCAAACCAGGTGTGGCTACCCGGGAAGTAGTTTCTATCTAGCTCTAGGTTTTCTGGCGTCTGGCAGCAATCGTGCAATGCAAGACCAATACATCATTTCAAAACAAACGCATCCGATCTTAAGGCGAATTTATGAAGGCGTGAGTGAAAGGGCAAGTCGTAATTTGTTTCACCCGTCCTAAGGCTTCGAGAGGTTCGGTGTGATCGACGAAGAAGCCGGTATCAACTGAGGATATGAGGCCGCTGGTGTCATATGGGTCGAAAACGCTACCACGGAGCTTGGCATCCTTAACATACGGGACAGGTGAAGACTTCATGACTTTCTCGGCGGAACGTCTGGTGCAATCGAGTAAAATAGTGCCGATAGATGCTCATATGGCTGTCAGGGTTTGCTTTATAATGCAAGGCTCCAATATGCTTACTTGCAAAGATGCGCGCAGCCGCGACACAAGCAGCTGGATGTGAGCTCATCAGGCCATATATATCAATGTCAACCTCCACGAGATGATCCAAGAGGCGCCTCGCTATGCCCCGCTCTCGATAGCTGCGATCGACCAGTAACTGGGTGATCCACAACACATTCTTCTCTCCGGTGGTCCAGCGGAAAGCGAAAGCGTTGCCAGCCAGCTTGCCATCGACGATGGCTCTAACATAGACGACACCCTCGAGAAGGTATTCAGTTCGGAGTCAGTTTTTGCTGAGGCGCACGCGATTGCCTGTTTTCTATTAGCAGACGAAAGCGATAGAGTTTGAGGTAACGACCACAGGCACACTCAACGTTCCTGGACAAGACCAAATCCGCTGCTTGGAGGAGGATTCCAAGCTCATACCTGCTTTGCGAAGACGACCGGGCTATTCCTCTTGCGCTCCAGGAATTGATGGTCGATAAGATTAAGGCCGAAGGAGGGGAGGTTGAGACTGAACGAGTTCCAGCATCTCACAGCCCCCATCTTTCGATGCCAGACAAGGTTGCTGAATTCTTGAGGAGAGCAGCAGGTGAAGATCTGGAAAGCAGTTGGGTAAAGAAATGAGGAAGACTAAGAAGAAAGATTCTGACGAGACAAGACCATGGAGGAACTCTATTTCACATATATAACAGAGAGATAGACTATGAGACAAAGTTCCTATTAAAGCAAAAAGGGGCTACAGGTATTCATGTGTCTCACTATGCAAGGGGGTTGTTTGTATCTCGGACTATTTTCTGGGAGTTGATCACCGCGTGTGGTTCTCAGCAGTGTCATTAATTGGTTTATATCTCGATTGTTTATCAGAGAAGATGACATGAGACTCGCATGAAGTGTAGTTATTTTAAGTCAAGGCGATATCAACATTGCACTTGGCGAGTCTCGCTTCTCGCTTCTCGCTTCTCGCCAAAGGCGTCTCCTGATGGTGACTCCACACCATAACGGCGCCATATGAACAGTCCTCAACAGCCCCTATCAAATTAAATTAGATTGATGAAGCGAATCGAAAGCCATCTCTGATAACCTCTTTGAATATATATATGATCCAGTCGGTCTTTGGAAGAAAATGCACGCTCGTCTGTTGCAGCTTGTAAGCATGTCATTGGTGAGCCCACTTCCCTCATCTGCATGCAGGCACGATTACACAGAACATCCATCTTCAACACCACCTCATTTTCACAAATGAGGGGATCTACCCGGTGAGACAGAAAAGGACAGACCACCCATTGATTATCCCGGATATTCATTTTTTTTCCCCCTCTTCTTTCGATCCTCCTTTTCATCTCGATACAAGAACACAGTCTCCAGATCCTGATCTGCCTTACGATATTAGCATCAATAAAGTAGCTCTTGTGGGTTTGAGTAATCCCGTTACTCTTCCCAAAATGTCCGCGTACTCACCTTTCGACTTGCTCGGGCTTCTGGCACCCTCGGCACTGCGATCCTAAAGGAGCTTCTCGATTCCAGGCTCTTCGAAATCCCCGTTCTCACTCGCGAAGGCAACAGCCGAACCTTCTCTCCCCCGAAATCAAAGTCGTGAAGGTTGACTACACAAGCCTCGAATCAATGACGGAGGCTCTCGCGGGACAAGATGAGGTTGTATCGGCATTTGCCAGCCAAGCCGTCGCTACGCAGAAGGTCCTCATTGATGCAGCCGTCAAAGCTGGAGACAAGAGATTCCTCCCGTCGGAGTTCGGCGTGGACCTCAGGAATCCAGGCCAGAGCTCTTCCGTATACGCCGCCAAGGTCGAGATAGAAGAGTACTTGGATGCACTGGCTGTGAAAACCGAGATCTCCTACACTCTTTTATACAATGGACTCGTATACAATGGACCTTTCCTTGATTGGGTTCTGAGAAATGAGATGCTCCTGAACTTCAAGGAGCGCAAAGCTGAGATCTATAATGGCGGCGACCAATTCTTCAGTACGACTAGACTATCTAATGTTGGTAAAGCAGTGAGGGGGATACTCGTATGTCACCGAGAAATCCATTCCTTTCCTTTTGAAAGCTTCGGTATCTTCCGGTGAAGTGCGCTTTAGCACTCCTCCCGGAACATTCTGGAGGCAACCAACGCTGACTCCTCTGTCGTGTAGACACACCCTCGCGAGACAGCTGATCGAGCCATCCGGGTGAGAGATACCGATATTTCGCAAAAAATGCTGCTGAAGCTGGCTCAACCATTGAGCCCTGGTGAAGAATGGCAAGTGACGAATGTAATGCGGCGGACTTTGAGAGGGAGTCTCTGGCGCAGATCCAGGAAAAGAAAGTGGGCCCGTTAACGATGCTGTCTTGGAGCGAACTATCTTTGCGCCCGTGTACGAGAACAGATTCGAACGGGTTCATAAAAAGATACTGGATATTACGAGTATGCCTGAGCAGGATTTGGATGAGCTGATAGCGTCCATCTTAGCCTGGCGAGTAGTTCGGTGACTTACTTCCAAGCAATCGATCATTGCTGTAAGATTCCTTCGTCCTGGAAGATTACCACTGTAAAATAGCCCAATCCGAGCTATTATTGCAAGTAAACTACCGGTACGTTGATCCTTTTACATCGAAAAATGAAAGATTGCAATTGTCAGTGCGCTGACTATCATTAGCCGCTCGATTATTAATAGCCGACGTGCAAAGTTCGAATACGGTTCAGGAAAGAGGTATGTATGTATATATTTTCTCTTGCACCTGCTGTGAATTCGATTCACTATCTTCTTCGTCGATTGCACATTCTCCATTTCTACTTTTCTACTGCAAGCTCATTTCCCTCTTTGTTTAGCTCGCATTGTTCAAAGACTTATTTATACAAACACGATGCCACAGTCGAACTCTATTTTCGCCCTCTTGCTAGCTTTAAGCTTGCTCTTTAGCCGAGCTCAAGGGGGTTTTTGGCGTAGCGATGGACGCCAACTCATCGGCTATGCAATAGCTAGCGAAGTAAGCTTCACTTGGTTTTACACGGAGTACTATCGCACAAGGAAGCTTCTATTAATCAGGCGGAACTATAGGAGCAGGCGAGGCTTATCAATGATGGCCATAAGCCACGACTCCTGCCACCAGTCGAGGGATCCGAACCCGCTGGTGCATTAGGAGCGGGCTTTTATATGCGTGAGTTGATCTACCTACAAGTATAGATCGGTCCCTATTACGACGCGAAGCTAAGGAGTCTAAATAGTGAACAAGCCCTCTGGCTGGAGAGCTACAGAAGAGAGTTGGTATTGTGCTATCAGAGCGAAGAAGAGTAAGATAAAGAAGATCAGCAAAGTCTGGATCCCGAAAGCATATGAAAAGAGAACTGAGGAGGGTATTCTGGATCAGGAATTATGGGACCAGAGCGAAGACGTCATTACAGAGTACATCCAAGCAGAGGCATCGATAGATGATCCCGAGGCTGCGGAGAAAGCGCTGCGCTTCTCATGGGTTATGGGTGCCAGCGACTGGCAGCTGCAGATGCTCATTCCAACGAATGTGCTAAATAACTATAACCTGGATTTATGGGCCAGGTGCTTTGACTCAGAAGATGAACTGAAGAAACGTTGGAACTATGTCGTTCCATGGGACAGCAGCAGTAGATGGGATATTGAGGGAATTCGTGGAAATCCGAACTGGTGGTTTGTTGCGGAGCACACTGAACGAGTGCCCGCTGCATCACGCTGAAGGGGGCTACTGCTATAGATTGAATGGTCGAAAGAAAGATAACTGCCTGCATCGCACTTAAGAGGGCTATCATGACGGAATGAAATCAATTGCTTGTATCGTATGTAAAAAGGCTACTACTAAGAGTATTATACCGTGAAAGTCCGGAAAACTTTACCCCTCCGCAAACGGGGCAAGTTTTAGTTTGCGGCCGGGTTGAAGCTTAGAATTTCAGAGCAGTACTTTAAGACTTACGCAGATCCACATGTGCGGAGTAACAAGCTCTACGGAAGCATATTTTTCACATTCCTCTGTAATCTATACTTTAATATAATATTCTTAAACGGATTTAGCAGCCGAGTTAGCTCACTCGGTTATCGTAAATAGATAGTCAGCGCCACAGCCAAGATTTCGGTATGGCGGGCTTCAAAAGATAAACGATCACTGACCTGCCGACCTGCTTATAGTACTACATAACGATAATGGATAAACTCGGTGATCATATAGGTACTTGAATTTTCGTAAAAAGGACCTCGATAATGATTGAATCCAGCCCGCACTCGCGTTGAATCTAGTGCTGTACTCAGCGCTATATTCGTACGGAGATACCTATCGATCTACTCTACACTTGTAGCAGAGATATTTTCCACTTTTCTCTCTTTCCAACGAAATGTTTTCCACTCTGCTCTCTCCTCAACGCAGGCCAAGGCGTTTCATACTCCCAGATTGAACTACCCAAGTCGCACCAGAAGGTCTTGCATCGGACGCCAGATTCAGTGTTCCACCGGAGTGACCTCTTGGGAGAGGTAGAGAGGGATTGCACCTCCACTCGAAACTGAGCGCCGTAGCTCAGCACAGCCAACCTGCCCTTTGTCGAATTTCGAGGGTTCGTAGGTCCGTCAAAAACCCGAAATGATCGAGGGAGATGATCGTCACGATATCCATTGTGGTCCGGTGAATGATGCCATATTCCTTTGTTCGCCTCTGCGGCAAGCTGGTCAGGTGCGTATCTGCCAGAGACAAAAGAACAAGAGAGCAGTAAACCTCTTTGTTCCATCTCGCGTCTTGTTAGCCCACTCAAATAGTCAGGGTTATTTTCCCAACATGGAGGAGATAGATAATGCGTCCGTAACCCCATGCCCAAAAACGCAGGACGGGAGATTCATCGGTCGTTTTCTCTTCAAGCCGTGGCTCGGAATCTCAGATCAGACTGAAGAAGGATAGAGGCCCAGCAGTACGCACCAGGACGTTGGCATGGAGGGCTCAGATCCACCCGGGAAAGAAGCGCCTCGCTTTGCTGCTGCCAGCGATGACCGTTGCGAGCTCCCGCAGATTCCGAGTAAACATCCTCGACGGACTCGGGTCTGGAACGAGGACGAGAGAGTCTGGGAAACGGCGGTCTCCAGCGATATTCCTCCTTCCTCGCCGCGTACCTTTGGTCGATTACGGGTCGATCCCAACTTTCTTCCGGTGAGATATGGCTCACAACCATCACCCTCGCCAGTTTCTGCCTCGAGCTCAACGACGAGGTCCGTCCCTCCGATGACGAAGTCCTCACACAAGATCCTTCAGCTTACGGGCTTCGATCCTCGATTCGAGCGAGCCCTGCCAATAGGGCATCAGCAGATTCCCGGATCACCCTCCTCGCCCCCCTCGCCCCCCTCGCCTAGCTCTCCGACCAGCACAGCCAGTGTATGGAGTCAGCCCGAAGCTGGGAATGACGAGCAGGAAGCATCGCCCAAGAATTCGAGCATGTCGGTCGGGCAGTCGATTATCCAGTCACCCAATGGCGAGGGGGAACGACTGACCCCGTCGATATACAACATCTCGGACCGTAGCTCGAGATCTTCTCGCCAATCTCGCGAGCCCGTGAAGACCCAGATGAGCACTGCGCAAGTCTTGACACCACAGCAGCCGGTTCTGGCGCCAGAACAAGAAGAGCTCCGACGCCCAACCTCCCCGTTGACGGGGCCGGCGAACCATTCAACCGAAGTCCTTGCTCTCCCAGAAATCCTTGACCAGGATACCCTCCGTGAGCAGATGGGTGCCGAAAGGAAACCAGGCAGTGCACACAAACACTCGGTCTCCAAGGCCGCGTCCTCGACTATTCTCCCCAAGCCCCTGGCTATACCGCTAAAATCAAGTTTGAAGGGTAAGGGAAGGGAGAAAGGGAAACCTCAAGACATAGATATCACCAATCCTCCGAAGAAGGCTTCCTTCTTTCGCAGATCGGCGAAAGACTCTCTGGAATGGGATATCTACGATGCGGGCTTCAAAGAGGATCCGAGTAGAAGCAGGCACCATACTCCCACTACGCCAGTGAGCCCGATGTTCAGCATGGAGTCCGACCACCTGGTCCTCGGTCCGCCCCTGGGAAGCGGCGAGAGCCCGAAAACAAGAGCGAGGATTTGGGGCACCGGGAAGCATCCCTTGAAGAGCCCGTTCCCATTCACCAGGAGCCACCACGAGACAACAGCCATAGGAGACGGCGACGACGAGGCGGCGGATACTGTGCAGTCGCCCTCGACGCCCCGTAGCTTCACACGCCGGCTGTCGAACACCATGAAGCACCTGTCCCCCACATCGCCAGTCAACAAGAAGAAGGCTGCCTCGGTACCTCCGTCGAGCAATAAATACGTGATTACAAACGGGGCCCGGAGAGCAGATGGACCAGCCACGCCCCTACCTCCCAAGAACGGCTTGAGCTTCGCGGAGGGCTTGGTGAGGGGCAAGGAGGTGGTCGGGAAAGTGAAGAAGAGTGTCGGCGGTACCAGCAAGGAGGAGAAGAGGAGGGAGAGCTTGAAAAAGCGGATCGTCGTCGTGGGGATTACTGACCAGAGCCCTGGTATGTACGGACCGCTCTGGCTGCGAGATGAGACGTGATGCTAATCGACTGTCATGGCAGACGGAAGAGTTTCCGAGTGGTTGTGAAGATTCAATGAGAAGAGGATGGCATAGATGGCATTGTGCAATATGGGAGTGGGTTTTTGTTTCGCATCTTACGACAGGGCCATCTAGACTTTTAGGTAGGACTAGGCCTGTTCCCGGGGTTGGGCTTGATTTCTAAACGCATGTCCAGTTGAATCGATAGGAATATACCACGCGTAGAATGACTGCAATGAGGCTGCAGATAGGATTCTGGCTGCGAATAGACTGAAATTTGGACATTGAAAAGAAAAAAACTCGCAGAATATCAGGATCGGAGGCCGGATTAGAGGTCAGACTTCGGATGCGCTAGGCCCCCGAGAACAGTCTTTGTACTTGAAAATTAGAAACTTATCTATCCCGGGCTCCCGAGCCCACTTGTTGGTACATCAAAGCACTTGCCAGAGATCTGAATGTTCGCCGAATATGGAAAACCGTGCACCAACGAGCTGAGGACAGCTCGATCATTGTTCAGAGTGCCTAATTTAATCCTATTCCCGATTCAAAACTTCATATCCCGTAATGAGTCACATTCCTGGACCGAGCCCTTCCACAATAGCTATCATGTCGTTATACACCTACAGCTGCAGTCTGAATGTTGCAACCTCAAAAGGTTTCAAGGTGATGTCAACCTTGCCCATCTCAACCTTCAGTTCACTCTCATCATCCTCGAGGACGTTGGTCTTCCAGACTCTCTTCACATCCAACGATGTCTCAATGGTGCCCTTGCTCGTCCCTCCCAAGCTATCGTAGATACGCAAAATCACACTCTTACCCTTTCGCTTAGCCAACTCACCTCTACTAACATCCTCGTCATCTTCGCCTCTCTTGACGCAGTCGAGAATCAAGGAGGGGTTGCCAGTAACCTTGATAGGGCTGCTGAATGCTGAAGCTCCAAGGGCCTTTGATGATTGAGCAAGCTTCAGTGGGTTGTTGAAGTTGTAAGCGGTACGGACTGTCGTGGATCCAAGATCACCTTGATGAGGCAGGATAGCCCAGCGAATGTGGTGACGGCCCATGTCGGCGTGGGCATCTGGTGCTTTAGGCGCACGAAGCAGTGACAGCCGCATCAAGCTCCCACAGGTAGCAAAGCCGTATTTGCTATCATTCAAAATTGACACACCATAACCATGCTCGGAAAGGTCGGCGTATTTGTGGCAGCATACTTCGAACTTTGCCATATCCCAGCTGTTCCAGGTTAGCTGAGTTCTTCAGATGTATCAATACAGACTTACGTAGTGTTGTAATGTGTTGGCCTTCGCACAATACCATACTGGGTCTCGTAGGAAGCCTCGGTGTTTCTGACATCGACAGGGAATTCGACCTTCAAGAATTTCATGTCCTCTCGCCACTCAACCTCGCTGTGCATCTCAACATATGATTGTTGACCGTCGAAAGCAGCAGAGAGACTAATATAGGTCTTCGCCCAACTCTTCTCACTGATCTTGGTCTCAGTCATAACGCTGACTTTGTGAGCGTCCTGCTGGACGATCTTGGTAACGCCAGATGCCAGCTCCTTTCGGGAATCCAAATGGTAGACTTCAACATCCCAAGCCTGCCAGTAGAGGGGTTTGTCGTCGAAAATGACGAGCTGATTACCCTTCTTACCCTTCGCGATGACTTCCCTCTCAGCCTTCAGATCGTATAGAGAAGTGATGGTGCCGCTGTCAACTTCTACTCGCAATTGATCGTTCTGCAAAACAAATACGCCACCCTCAAGTTCCCTAACCGTGACCTCGGGCGTCTCGGCTATTTTAAAGGATTTGACGTTCAGCAGTTGGCCATCACCACAAGCAACTCCGGCTTTGCCATCACCGATCTCAATGACCTCTCTTCGGTGCCATGGCATGGTATTCAAGGCGACCAGGTTATCCATAGATTTAATTTTATCGCCACTTTGTACGCCCAGAATCTCCTCCAGTTCTTTGAGAATCTTCTCGCCAGTCGCGAAGATCTTCGCGTAAAGCTATAGACAATATCAGCTCTGCCTGGTGCTTGTTCGCTTCTCGGATAGCAGCCTACCTCGTCACTGTCATCATAACACATCTCAATGGAACTTCCAGGAAGACAGTCATGGAATTGACAAAGAAGAACTCCCTCCCACATGTCGTCGATCTTCTCCTTAGGATACTTATATCCCGATCTTATGCTTGCAAGAGTTGCCAGCAACTCGACATCTCGGAGCATGATCTCTGATCTTCTATTATTACGCTTGTTGTTCGCTTGAGTCGTGTATGTACCTCTGTGTAACTCGAAGTAAAGCTCACCATACCAAGTCACAAAGTCGAGACCGTTTTCCACCTTCTTCTCGAGGCGGTCAAAAAAGTCTTCCACAGAGTCGCCCATGTGCACTCTGGGTAGCATCCCAACGGTATCACTCATTCCACGACATCTTCGAAGCTTCTCCAGATGCTGCCAAGTGGGTCCTCCACCTCCATCACCCTTGCCAAAGACTAGAAGTGAGGTCTCATCTTGATCCATGGACTTGTGTTGGGTCACAGACCTCTTTACATCTCCGAAGTTGGCTTCCGCAGTGTATGTTTCCGCAGGAGCCATGTGACAAATGACCTGACTTCCATCCAAAGCTACCCAGTTGAAGGTAGTGTGAGGAAACTTGTTGATGTTGTTCCAGCTCAGCTTCTGAGTGAAGAATCGAGTCATACCGGCCAGTCTACAAAGTTGTGGCAGCTGGCTTGAATAGCCGAAAGTGTCTGGCAACCAAAAAGTCCGACATCTCTCTCCAAAATTACTCTCGAAGAATCGCTGACCATAGACAAATTGGCGGACAAGCGATTCACCGCTCGGCATATTGGTGTCATGCTCGACCCAGCTACCGCCAACAGGCTGGAAGCGACCTTGCCTAACCTTCTCCTTGACACGGTCAAACACGTACGGGTAGTACTGCTTCAGCCACTTGTACTGCTGGGCTTGTGAGACAGAGAATCTGTGCTCGGGGTAGCGATCCATCAGATCACACTGGTTCGACCATGATCTAGCGACCTTTCTCTTCGTCTCAGCCCAAGGCCAGAGCCAGCAAGTATCGATGTGGCAGTGGCCAATGCCGTATACAATAGGAGCAGTTCCAGTCTCGTATACTTTGGAGGAGCTGACGTTCTTGCCGAGATATTCTTGAGCAATCTTGCGGCCCTTGATGATAGAGTCCTGGTTGCCGACTTCAAAGGCTTCGATTATGGCAATGGCCACTTTTAACGCTTTGTGCTGCTCCCAAGAGTCCGTAGGGAACTCTCGAGCGGCATCTCCAATGACCCATATATCTATCCAAAGCTGGCGGGCCTCGACATTGACCGCAACAATATCTGCTTTGCTAAGCTGGAAGTATTTTTTGGGGTCTGGAGGTTGGATCGAGTCTCCATTTCCATTTCCGAACATGCCATTACAGGCCATCTCGATGTATATTGTATGCTGCTTCCCATCTCTGAACCTGTCTGGGATAATCCACTCGATGCGTTCACCGCCTCCAGTCAGGCCCTGAAGTGGGTTGCCATCCTCTGTCCAGACCATCCCTTCATTGTTGGCATCCCAGTGTAGTTCGAGCAGGTCTTTCTGGGCAAGGTGGGAGGGTATGGTGAGCTGGACCTTGAACCAGTGCGTCGCCCATGATGGCCCAAACCATTCCCCCACGGATGTCTTCTTGAACTCGTGGCTCGTGGCTTCTTTGAAGGTTGGTCGACTAAGATCCGGAGCATCCCAGACTGAGAGCTCAACATGCGGAGATCCAGACACAACGCCCTCGTCCATCATACTTCAACCATTGGCTTAGCTTTATGAAAATGTGCTGGAAGTTTGTCGGAAGCTAAAAAAAACTTACGCTCGTAGATTCTGAGATTCATATTGTCCCCCGCTGTAGAAGGCTTCGATACGGCTTTTATAGATGTTTGGAATCCATTGCCCGACGGGATGATCTGAGAACTTTGGGTAGGTGCTCTTAGGCCTCGCGGTTTCGACAGTTTCGCCTCCCATGATTGTATTCTTGAAAATTGATTGTACGGACGGACCTGAGAGGGTGTTGTGGAAGAAAGCTGTATACTCTTTAAAGGAAGTGTGTTGGAAAGAAGTACGGGGTTGGTCTGCACTGGAGAGCTACCCAAGCCAATGCGGGGGCCGGGGGAGCTCCGTATAGCGCGATCTCGAGGGGCGGCCGTGACCCACTGATGATCAGGTACCGTCACAGTCCGGTACCGTTACAATATGTCCGTTTCTCAATTCTCAGTTCTCGTGGGTTTTTTTCCGTACACCCAGCCACGCCACTGATAGCCACATCCTCCGGAATCAGCCCGCCATCGAACAAGTAGCATGGCTCCGTTGACTCCAGCCGCCGTTGTAAGTGCTACTTCTAAGATAGACAACAGGACAGGATATCTCCGTACTGAGCATGATTGATACAAGGCCGCAATTGCTCGACTGAGAGCTTTCCACCCGCCTCCGTTCTCGACATGGGACCATTTGTCACTGAGCAGAAAAGCTGCTGTTCTGATCTTACTATTCGCGGACAGGAGAGGCGATCTCCGCGTAGTTCTGACGATGCGTGCAGCGAGTTTGAGGAGCTATTCAGGTATCTGCCCCAGATGGGGGATTAAGTAAGCATGGGCTCACGACTGTAGGGCAAGCTGCGTTTCCAGGTGGGAAGGCGGACACCCTCGACGAGGATCCATTCGACATAGCGAGACGGGAAGCATACGAAGAGATTGGTCTTCCTCGAGACGACTCCAAGATCCCGTCTCCTTTTCGGATAGAACATCTATGTCAGCTTCCTTTCAGTTGTGCAAGGACTGCGCTCGCAGTGAGACCTTGCGTGGCATTCCTACATTCGGACGACAACGGAGGGGGGGATGCTGCGAGTGTTGAAGAAGCCATGATTCCCAAATTGGATGCAAAAGAGGGTGAATATGTCTGGATGTTATGGGCACATTGTCGAAGCAGTGATCGCTGACTTCCCATAGTCGCGGCAGTTTTCACGGCGAGATTCCACAATTTTCTCAGAGAAGAGGACGAAGTCCATGATGGGGAAGATGTCCCTGGGTCTCGGTCTGACTGGTACAGGGGAGCATGGGTGGACTTCAATCACAGCCGGTGGCGGATGCACGAATTTTACGTTCCGATCAACAATCAACTGGTCACCAAGCCCAAGGTGCGCGAAGGGGGACCGGCAGCTATCGCCGACTCGTTAGATGAGGAGGAAGGGAAGGATGAGGCCGGCATGATGAGATACAAGGTATGGGGAATGACAGCAAGGATATTAGTGGATGCTGCCAGGGTGGCCTACGGGGAAGAGCCCGAATTCGCGGTAGGGCTCCCTAGTCCCATAGTGGGTCATAACTGCTTTCCTCCCGGCTCCGGTATGCTTAGGAGGAGGCTGACGGAATGTTTCAGCATAATACCCATTTAGGAGACGAAGCGATGATTGAGAATCTGTATAAGATGAATCGCTTCGGAGAGAAGGTCCCCGGTGGGCTTACGGACGCGGATATTCAAGCAGCCCGCGCAGGAGTGGCGCAGACCAAAATTTAGACGAGAGATCACGACGATCACGACAACGACAACGACAACGACAACGACAACGACAACGATAACGATAACGATAACGAAACACCAGACGGACAATGAGTACCGGTAGGCAGTGGTCGGTATAGTACGGTACTGCAGAAGGGAGCTCTAGCTTATCCATAGCGGGCCGTGCAAACAAACCCAACCTACGGAGTATGCACCTATGCACCTACGGAATGCATACGGTCGTAAACTGCAGTGCACTGTACTGCACCGTGACGCGAAGGAAGAAGCAGGAGTGGGGGCTGGAAGAGCCAAATGGTAAAAGTATGATAGTACATCGATTCGTCCGTCACCTAGTCGATTCGTGAGTCGCTTCAAAGTCATCGATTTACTAATAGACTGAGAGGATAAAATGAGGCAAGCCGACGATAACCTCGCTCGCTTAACTGCGTTTGTTTGAGGAGCCGAGCAGGACGTCCGCAGCGGCACCACCACCCTCGATTGATATGTATTTGATGATTACGGGAGTCTCTTCTCACCCATTGGGGAGCAGCGTTTCCAGGAAGACTCGCAGTCGCAACCCTTCTCGGCGGAGTCGACAGCCACCCAGTTCCAGTTCCAGTTGCAGTTCCAGTTCCAGTACCAATCCATCTCAATTAAGCTTTGAGCCCAAGGACTATTGAAAAAGCCAAGACTTGCCATGGCGCGAAGGACGTGGCCAGGAGTGGGCGTCGTGTGGTCCGTCGGAGGCTGTGACGAAATGGAAAAGCTCTGCCACCCAAGAGATTTGCGGCACCTTTTGCGATTCATCATGTCGAGGCTGGTACAGTGGTCGTATGAGGTATTTTGCGGTGAGATAAGGGCGTAGCATGCTTGTAGGCAGTGGAGGTAGTGGGAGTAGTGGGAGTAGTGGAAGTAGTGGGAGTACCGGTAGTGGTCGTCGTTGTGGGTAGGCCGAGGGCATTGGCATTAGGGTTGGCATTAGGGTTGGCATTAGGATTGGCATGATGCCGGCACGGCATTGTGTCGGCAACGTGGACCATGAGCAGTTTGGGAAGTTGCGGGGAGGGTTCGTCTCCATCGGTAAGAATGAACTCCCGCACGGAACATGTGATACTGTACTAACTACTACTAACATGTGACGTACACAGAACAATGAATAATACGGACAATGCCCCCCTCCCCCTTCTCCACAATTTCAAGCATGACGCGGAATCTATTCTGATTCTTATTATAATACGGGATCAGACGGTCAGCTGTCTTGCACATGACTATCTGGGTCTGGGACCGAAATGGGCGTGAATGGAGAAGCCGAGTAGATTCCCGTGATGTACTACTAGTAACATCGTTAACAACATCAAGAATAACAATATCAATAACAATCCCAAAAATAGGTCGTCCTCGAAGTATCACAGGTTGTTCCTCTTAGCGCGCGAGACGAGGACCCGCTCCGCCCTACTCCACTCCACTCCTCTCCACTCCCCTCCACTCCCCTCCACTAAAGGATAAATGCTTGGCCTCGCCGGCCAGACCAGCGATCCGTAAACTTCCAGCCTCCTACTCCTACAAACTCAGGCCCGCCGTGCGCAACACCGATAAGTACCGGTACACAACTGTCGCCGTTCGGACAGGTACAACGACTCTATTTGACGTACACAGCCACCACTTAATTTGGTTTTGGGCATAGTAAACAACATACTGTATATACCTCATACATTTAAATATCTACTCCGCATAGCTCTCCCTTCTCCGACCCGGTCACGACGCCTCTGCTGCCTACTCCTACTGGCGAGTGCCTGCATCTCAAACTCCATACCGGTCTGTCAGGACCTACCGAACTGTCTGTCTCCGCCCAATACCGCTACACGCCCAAAAGCATCAGACCCAGCCATGGCCGACATTCTAGCAGCATTTGACGAGTTGGACAAGAAGGACAAGGCCAGCAAACCCGTCAAGTCAACAAACAAGAAGTTTGTGAACCCGCTCAAGACATCGTATGCTTCCCTCTCCTGACCGACCTCGTCTCCCTGCCGTCGCGGCAATGGCAAGCAATCCAGTAGTCCATTTACTATGCTAACGCCGACGTCAACAGCGGCTCCCGGCGCGTAGGAAGATCTCAATCCCGATCGTCAAACCCGGGTGGCAGAGCCCCGAGGTCCGTCGACCAGATCGATGCCCAGCCTTCATCCCAGGCCGAACGCTCTCCCTCCAGCGTCTCGAACCGCCGGATCTCGTTCGTCGCTCCCGACCTCCCCAACCGTGCACCGCGGCGCATCCGCGTCCCCACGAAGAAGGACTCCCTCGCCTCAGGCTTCCAATGGGAGCCCATCCTCTCCGCGAAATACGGCGTCTCCGAGAACGAGTGGGCGACGTTCGGCAAGCAGATCATCGACGCGGCGGAGCTACCCAAGCGGGCGAGAATGATGTGGTCGATGGTCAAGCAGGACGTCGTGGCCAAGATCAAGCGCGACCTGGACTTCGGCGGAGAGGTCAAGCAGCAATTGAAGGAGTGGAGTCTGCACTTCCGGGCCAAGGGCTTCACGGTGAGCATGGAGCTACCGGGGAAGGTGCGGTCGAAGGAGGACGATACGCAGGAGGAGCGTGCGCTGGCCGAGAGCTATGCCAATCGCTTCAGGGTCGTCATCTCGGAGAATGCTGAGAGGAGCGCTAGCATCTACTCCCGATCCTCGAGCGTGTCGAGGAGTGTGTCTGGAGAAGGACTTGCTGCTGCGGGTAGCCCTCACACGACCGACGACGATGACGATGACGACGTCGACGACGAAGTGAAAGATGTGAAGAGTTGACAGGAGGCAAGTTTGAGATAGCGAAAGAGACAGATGGGCGGAAATGTACATTCGGCAACGACTTTATGACTGTACCCTATTATAGGATAATTTAACGACGATCGGATTTCAGCGTTGGTTTTGGGCTCTTGGGCTGGGGCGGTACTTTTCTGGAGCGGGGTCTGCAGTATCATGGGATTTGGGTAGCAAGTCGTCGCTGAGGCTATGCAGCCAAAATAGCAATTCATCCGACAGGGTTATCAATATCAAATCCCTTCTGCTCCCCCCCTTTCAAGCAAATCCCTCCCGAACTAACTCATAAAACCAACTGGTCAACTTTAGCTCGCTGTATGTGCTGGGCAGTAACAGCTGATATCACAATTTCAACTCCTTTCCCTCAATGGCAAGCCGTGTCCTTCGTCGCACTCGTATTGTTCCCAAACACCAGGTATCCCACGAATGATCCCACCGCCATGGCAGCCATCACCCATCCATTATAAGTCATGAACAATAACCTGTGCGCCGAACCCCTCTCGTCAGCTCCCAGCTCTGGTCGCCTCGGGAGAAAGAGAGCGAGGGAGTAAGGTATAGCACTCACATCAACATAAAAGCGTAGAAAGTCTGCAGCGCGTAGAGCAGGGCTTTGATCACATGCGCCTGCCGGTTAACCTCGACCTGATTGCGTCCTGTCCACAGGAATGGCGTCCTCTCAGTAACAGCTTCAACATCTTCTTCACGGCGGGAAAGCACGGGTATATTCTCAGCTTGCTTCCTTGTTGTAGTCTGCATTTCATCCATATCGAAAGTGAAAACGAAAGGGAAAATCTGCTTGGGAAGGGGGGGAGGGGGGGGGGAGAGAAGGGGGAGACTTACGAGGCGCCTCCCCGGTCTTGCGAGCGACGATGTTCTCGTACCTGCGTGATGCGGATCGGATGGCTTCGTAGAACGCGGTGAGGCCGACGACGGCGAGGAGGGAGATCAGCAGTCCGCCGGTGCTGCGGATGTGCCACCAGCGGAAGACGAGGCAGAGGTTCGTCGTGTCCCAGGTAAACAGCATCTGCCATCACCACAACCACAGTTGATCAGCTCGGATCCGCATGCATTCGCAGAAGCCAGTTCCTTCTCTGGCTGGCTGGCTCGCTGGCTGGCGGCATGGCATGGCACTCACGTTCATATTGCACATATCCCCCATATCCATGCCGCCGTGTCCCATGCCGCCGTGTCCCATGTCGCCGTGTCCCATCGCTGCGTGGTCCATGTTTACTTGCGTGGTGGAGGCTTGGTTGAAGCTAAGCTATGGTTCGAGGTTTGGGGTTTTGTGGCAGAGATGCGGATGTTGAGCGAATGTGGACGATAATGGGACAGGTCCAACTTTGTATATATATGTACCGGTAGAGGTATGTACCGGTATATAGAAGTAGGTGCTGTACCGGTATATGAGCTGCCCTTCGTCGTACCGGTACTTTCGTCGTCCCACCACTGCCAGTTGAGTCGTTCAAATCTCTCAAATGTGCTCAGACGAGACGTCCCAGACAACGCTCTGGCCCGTAATTGGCCGTAGCATTGGGCACGTGATCCTGTATGAAGCCTAGCCCCATATTTGATCTTCTTCGACTCAGGCGCTTTGCTCGGGAGGTTATATGCGGATTGTTATACCGGTACATGCTCCTTTGTTTTGGCGATAGTATCTCGAAAGCACAGGAGGTGAAGTCAACAAGTATCGGCAGTGAGGCTATGTCCCTTTTATGCCATGAGAGGCTCATATAACATCATGGCGAAATAGGGCAACCTGATCGAGTGTCTCGCGCGGTCCAGGTAAATCAAAGCTCAACTCGTGTGTCCGGAAAGAAAATTCGATTCCCCAAGAAAAGGACAGGATGAGTAGCTGGCTAACTTTGCGAGAAGATGATCCTTCGCCGTGGCGGATATACTCAATACATAGCCAATCTGAGTGCAGCTGGTACGGTTGTTGTCATTGCATTTGTTCACAGCCCGCCCGGGTGAAGTCCGTCGATGATGCTTTGATACCGGTACCTTACCTATGATACGAAGAGTCGGTAGAGAGATGCTCGGGAGAACTCGCTTCTTACAAATATCCTTTCGGGATTTATCGGATCGAACAAGGCTACAAGAGCGTCACACGCAAGGCTGAGCCTTGGAGGCAAGTCTTCAGTCTTCAGTCTTCAGTCTTCGTCAAGATATCCCACCACAGGATTCTTTTTCTTCCCTGTCCCATGTGTGAAGAAAAACGAAGAACGAAAAACGAAAAACGAAATGAAACCGAGACAAATACCTAGTCTGGGATTGGTCTGCAAGTGCCCGACCCTTTTGCGCCGCAGCGCAGAGCCTTTTTCTTTTTCTTTATAAGAAAGAGTTGGTGCCTCACTCTCATCATCCATACTCTTGTGATACCGATTTCTCTACTACTCCCCCTCCTCTGCATACATTCTCATTCGGGCGTGACTGCTTGCTAGTCATCTTCTAATGTCCACGAGAATCGTGCCAACGAAGCTACCGCTCTCTAGAGCTGTAGCAAGCTGCTTCTCCCAACTCCATGGAGTCTCGAGAGGCGCACCAGGCTTCCGTTTGACCAGTACACACTTTCAGTCTCGACGCCATCTCTCCTCGACGTCTAGAACACAACTTCGCGACATCTTTCCCTCTCCAGATCATGAACACATCAAGAAGACGGAGGCGGCATGGCCACATCCACCGTAAGTATACTTGCCACTCTTCTGCCAATACTATAGAAGCCAATCCCTCCCTAATAGGTACGATGTCGAAACGATGAGAAAGGACATCTTCTATGCCCATCGCAAGCCCGAAGACTTCTCAGACCGTATCGCACTCTTCATGGTCCGCCTTCTACGATTCGGAATGGACACTGCCACAAGATACAAGCACGACGTCGAGGAACCCAAGAAAGTAGGAGACAGCAACGCTGTGGCAGACACCAAACCATACCGCATGAGCGAACCCAAGTGGCTCATTAGAATGGTCTTTCTCGAGTCAGTTGCTGGTGTTCCCGGCATGGTAGCAGGCATGATCCGCCATCTACACAGCCTAAGAAGATTGAGGAGAGACAATGGTTGGATCGAGACTTTGCTGGAGGAAGCTTACAATGAGCGTATGCATCTGCTTACGTTCATGAAAATGGCTGAGCCCGGTCGGTTTATGAGATTCATGATTCTCGGTGCCCAGGGTGTCTTCTTCAACTCGATGGTCTTGTTCTACCTCATTTCGCCGCGAACCTGTCATCGATTTGTTGGATATCTCGAGGAAGAGGCTGTCCTCACCTACACCCTCGCCATCAAGGACATCGAGGCTGGAAAGCTGCCGAAGTGGCAAGACCCTAAGTTCAAGGTTCCGGAATTGGCAGTCAACTATTGGAAGATGCCGGAAGGCAATAGGACGATGCGAGATCTTCTGCTTTACATCCGAGCTGATGAGGCCAAGCATCGAGAGGTCAACCATACATTTGGTAACTTGGACCAGAAGGAAGACCCAAATCCATTCGTCTCCGAGTACAAGGACCTTGATACACCACATCCTGGCAAGGGAATTGAGCATCTCAAGCCATTGGGATGGGAACGACAGGAGGTCATCTGAGTGACTTGAGATGAGATGAATGGACCGGAACGAAACCTACCCCCGATCAACTCAAACCAGGACCTCACGACCTGGCATCCCTACACGATACAACCTCGCCACTCTTGTACGCTATGACTCGCCGTAACGATTTTCTTTTGTCACAAACGGCGTTTGAGTAGAAAGATCTCCTACCCTCAAAAACCTAGATACCATACCCCTGCTGCGACTGAATTCGGCGTTAGATACTCCTTGGTCTTATTAGAATGCCAAGCTAATAAATATTTCGGGAATGAACCAAAACCTCGCTCCTTTCTTTCCCACGCCATTCTTGATGTCTCCCCAGATGCTAGATTTTAATATTCAGCATCCTCTTTGCAGTGCGACAAACTATGATAGGTGTTCTGCACGATCGACCTTGGGAGGGGGGGGTGTAATTGTGATATGTTGAAGAGAGGGCACTAAAGAGAGGGCACCCCACCACGCCTCTGACCCCCTGGCTGAGTGTCTGTCGCTATTCACCGTTCCTCAATCACCCATTCGGTATTTATTTTTTTGTTTTCGTTTTTGCTAATCGTATAAACCGGATACACAGACTACGCTAGACTAGACTACATCACCTTACTTACTTAAAACAGATCTTGGCTGTTATCGCCCGCCTCGCTTAACGCCGCCAACATCAACATCAACATCAACATTGATAAACCAAACCAAACCAAACCAAAACAAACCAGAAACAAAAACAAGCAAAGCAAAACAAACCAGAAACAAAAACAAGCAAAGCAAAGCAAACGCACGCACGCACCCAACCCTCCAACACTAACAAACCACTGAAAGAAAGGGCACTTGTCTAACTGCACTCACTCACTGCCTACCTCCTCAAATGAACCAACCTATCTACACGCCAAGACTTCTCGTCTCTCGATTGCGAGCTGTCGATGTGGTTGGTTATGGTTGGTTGGTTATGGGGTCATCTTTAATTCAACAGGTTTTTGTTTCTTTCTCCTTCCCAGAAGAATCCGCTCGTCAAATTTTGGAGGGAGGGACGGACACACGGGTTGATAACTGCATCCGTGTATGGAAAAATCCCAGACAGCTTTTGGCTAGCTATAATGAACCCGGATTACATTTACGTACATCCTTCACTCCCCGAAAAGGCTTGCCCCGATACATTCCCTTCCCCCCCCTCCTATCTGGACGCCGAGCACATGCATACACATACATACATGGTATTAGTGGCTCTGTGCTGCAGCCTCAACGAGACCCAAGAAAATCGCTGCGCAACGCCATGATCCATGCTTCTGACAACCAAGCAACGCGCCATTAAGTAACGCTATGCACAACCTCTCTCTCTCTCCCCATATGCCTTGGACCTGATCGCATTGGGAGGAGACCCCGAGAATAGCCGAAAAATTATGTCCAGAAATCGACCGCCAAAAATATGTACAGCCGTTAACGCCGACATCGTGCACTCCTCATAACCACTATGCAAAAGTCATCTCAATCTCCTTTTCCTGCCCAAAGTCCTCGTCATCGTCCGCCCACGCGTTGTGTCCGTAATCCATAGGTGGCAATGTAGCTGGCACCGAAGTGCTGCTCTTCTCTTCGGGTCTCTGCAGTGCTACCGTACGTTCTGTGAGATCTGGCGTCGGCGACTTCAAGGGAGGCGGTGATCGGAGTGGTAGATAGTTGCTGGAGGTAGCTGCCGAGCGAGCAGGCGAACGGTAAGTGGTATCGAAGGTCATTTGGACCTCCTCGCCCTCCTCGCCATAGACGGGAGTGTGTGAGCTGCTGGATGGTATCCACTCGCTGCTGGAACGCCTGGGCGAATGGGCGGGTGATGGTCTACTGACTTGCAACATTGTGGAGGATCCATAGGACTTGGTTTCTTGGAAGGAATTACGCTGATTGGATGAATTGGGTGCAGACGCACCCAATTCGAGTTTCATAGGCGGAAGTGTGGATTTAAGCTCCTTGACTTCCATATGCTCGCTAGCAAGCTCAGCGCGAATGGCGTCGATGTCGAAAAGAACGCCATGATTATTGCCGCGGCCGTCCTCTGTTTTAGAACTCGGCGGGTCGCCCCTATACTCTTCGTAGGTCTCCCACTCCTTCCGTTCCGCGACAGCCTTCTTCTTCCGACTGAAAAAACCAAACTTGCCTTGGGATTTTTCCTCCTTCTCCTTCCTCTCAAGCTCCTTTCTTGCTTCTTCGATCTCGTTGATCAGCTCTCTCTGGCGTTGTTGGTGATTGTCGGGATCTGGATCCTCAATCTCCGTGAATTCGTCGCTGTCAACAAGCCAACCCACCTTACGGAGTAGCTTCGGCATTGCTGTTCGATATGCCATGTGTCCGGGGACAAGCTCTGTTACGTCAACATTCTCAAGGCCTGGAATATCTTCCACGGGCGCAAGTCCAGTGACACGACTGATTCCACCACTCGTCAAGCGGAATAAGTAGCCCAGAATCCAGTCGTTCCTCGCGTAACCGTTCACAAACCGACCTGCAACAACGGATCTCGCTTTGAGGTACTCGTCCTTCTTCGCTACAATTGGGGAGCCAAAGAGGTAGACATTCTGGACGAGCCCGTAGGCACCTTTCCTTGCTAGCTCTTTCAAGCACGCAAAGATGACTCTCGACCCAAGGGAATATCCAACGAAGGTGATAGGCCGGGTACCAAGATTGCGGTCAATAAGAGAATCGGCCAAAATCAGGCCAGCAGCGTTCGCTCGATCGAGAGAAACCGTCCAAGGATTGTCAATGAGGTAAGACAGCTTTGTCAAGACAACAGGGAGCGTGAGTGCAGCCATAAGACTGGTCAGTATTGTACTGGCGAGAACTTGCTGGAGACCCTGAGTCAGAGCCTAGTGCTGTTAGTACGTCGAAAGAGACCACAGACGAGTGACTGACCTCTGTAGCCAAGATGTTTATTGTGTCTCCCATGCTTCGTAACATTTCAGGCTCCCAAAGTACGGAGTATATATCTCCCATGATAGGATCGACTGTACTGTACGGTAGTCGTACGTCATCAACTTTTCCAGTCATCCATCCTGAGATGGTGACGATCAGATTGACTCGCTTGTTGTTGTGGAGGGGTCGATACTCGAAGGTCTTGACAGCTCCCGTCCTTCGATTTGCGGCTCGTACGGCGATGATACCCCCTGAAGCGGCAGCACTGGAGGTGATAATAGCCGCACCTCCGGCGCCTGCAAGGAAAGTACCTGTTCCTGCAACACCAATAGTCGAGAATCCGGCGGCGAGTCCAGCACCAATTACAGGAGCCAACAACCCGGCAGAGAGACCAATAACTAGACCGCCTCCGACGGTAGCAAGACCCATCAACATGTACCTCTTATTCAGGGCCAGTTTCCTGCGACTTTCCTTGTGCTCATCCTCGTTCCAGTTCTCTTTCTCGGCGGCTTGTTGCATCTCCAAGGCGTCTGTTACCCGCTTCTCGAATCGACAAATCTCAAGCCAAGAGACATCCATATTATCTCCTACTTTCTCAAGTAAGACTCTGGATCGAGCATCGTAGACCGAGTCAGAAATAAGAGTAAGGAAAAGGTCGCAAAGCACAGTCCAGCGCAGATCAATTTCGAGATTTGCCGTTGTTGGGAGCTGTGAAGGGGTCCGCACTTCAGGCAATTCATCACCTTCACGCTTATCGTAGGGAGGTGGTGCCGGTGCGGGTATTTCATCATCGTAACGATACGGAGTCGAAGGCTGCCGTGGAGAAGACACCGAGGGCCGAGATGAAAGAGAAAGTCGAGAACTTCTGCTTGTAGAAGTGATCGAATCTGGTCTGGGTGAGGACAGTCCTGGTGTGGAAGGCTCTGCCATGGGATTCTTGACTCGGGCATTCTGCATGAGAGTAGGGGTCAAATCTTTAGGCACAACACCATGCTGGGCCAGTTGCTCAATCATGATCTGCTCAGCGGTGCTGATCTCCATGTGGGCATACAGCCGAACCATCATCTTCTGACTCCACATCCGCATAGCTTCAGCTGCCATCTGAAGTTCCTTCTTGCTGCCTCTGCTATGAGTCATGGCTTCGGCAGCAGTCACCATATCCGAAAGAATCAACCTGGTCATTCCAACGTAAGCGATTCTTTGTCCCTCAGTCAAGAGTCCTTTGGTCGCCGCCATTTGAGAGGTGGCATCCCGATATTCTTCGTCCTCCATTTCTCCAGTATCCGTAGTCCCATTGGGTTCTTTGAAGAGGTACTTGGTGTTTTCGTCAAGACTTGTTGCCGATTGAGCATCCTCGTCTAGCTGAACTCTGGTGTACCCTTTTCCTGCTCCACCAAGTCCCTCATATGCATCTGCCTCATCATCAGAGTCATGCGCTTCTCTTGCGACAAGTCTATTATCGTCATCGTACATGTCGTATGGGGCAAACGCTGGCATGGTCTGCCATTCGTCGTCCTCTTCCACTACTGGTGACTTGGTGTCCATCTGTGTACTGTGTTGATGCGACCACTCTGATACCCCACCAGTCTGCGAGCTTCGTGAGCGAGCATGTACGATTTCTCTCTGCTCTTCCTTCTTAGCCTCCGCCATGTTCTGCTCTACCGCCCTATCCTTAGCATCTTCCAACACAATGGGAGGCGTGGTTGATTTGGGGGAGGGCTCTGCTGGTGTGACTATTGCGGGTTCTTGCTGAATCGCATCGCGAGCCTTCTGGGGCTCTTCGCAGTCGTCAAGGTGCTGTTGAGGCTCTGGAGTCACAGCTCTTGTTCCTGCCTGGGCCTTTTCGCCGATTTCCTGCAGTTGCGGAACCGGGGTTCTAGATAGTAACGGCGTTGGCCTGGTATCTTTGAATTCCTCATCTTCACTGGATTCCACACCTGGAGGCTCAAGCTGAGCCTTCGCAGAGCCGATCAAATCCTCGGATTGAGAAGCTTCTTCCATCTCCGCATTCCTATTACTGACCCCGGACGCTGCCTCCTCGTTATGGTGGTTTTCCGGCTCAACCGGCGTGGTGACTTTGTGTTTGACAATCGGGAGGCCAAAGTCGTCGACCTCCGCTACTGCTACTGCAACACTGGGAACCACATGGTCGTTGGCGATCACCTCGACCGTTTTTATATCCACAGCCTGTCCGCTCACAGGCATGTTGCTTTCCAACTTGTATCGCGACGCCTGCGGTTTCTCATCCAAGGTCTCTTTCTATGACGATGTTGTTTGGAGAAGGGAGTGCTCCTCTTGTCTTGGTATGAGGTTCGTAATTCGCAGCCTCATGCTTTCCGACGCCCTGGTCCGGTCTGGGTCTGGTTTGTCTGGTCGGGTCGAGAGTCTTTGTTTTGACTGAGATGGAACTGGTGGGAGAAATGTCTTGTGAGGGCAGGGGTATTGAAGTCCGTACTCCGTACACAAAGAGTAGTGGGGCTGCGGACTCTTGAGGGGTGGGGGCCTGCCAAGAGACGGCTAACTACTAGTAGCATTAGGTATATAAATCAATATAAACCAACATATCTCATTATAAATCAATTTAATCGTTATTTTACCTAGGAACAAGAGGCAGGTAACTTCTTGAGAGATACCTAGAATGCCATATCATTACATACATAGTTGAAATGTGTCTCCTCTTATTATTTATTACCACAACTAGCTTGACCAGCCAGCTCCTTCTTTCCATCACGGTTTCTTCCCTTCCACCCCTTCTCTACGGTCCGCCCGTTATATTTTACTAGTACCCGTCTTACTCTTCGCAGGAATTTTCTCTGATCCGACAGCTGCAGCCAACACAATGTGATGGCTCAAAGCCACAATCTCACCCGCTTCGTCCATAACCACAAGCTCCAGATCCATCCTGCCGTTCTTGATCTGCTTGATGGCAGTTCTCGAGAACAACCACTCGACCCCTTCCTCTGGCAATGCCTTCTTGACATCCACATTCAGCAGCACGGTCGGATACCATAATTTCACCGGAGGCCCTTCTGCTTTCCCTCTACTCTTCGGGCCATTGGGGTCCGTCTTCCTGGGATAGTTCTCTATAGGCATGGCGAACATGTCCGCAACATAGCCGAGCGAAGTGTTGGTCCACTTCTCTCCGTTCTTCCATCGAATCCACTGGTCGCTCAAGCTTCTGCTCTCGTAGTCCTTCCGAGGAAAGTGGAACTGCGTCTTCGTCGCCGCCTTCCGGAAGCTTGCAAAGGGCATTTCGTGAAGTCTCGCCCAGTGCTCGTCATTATCCTCTTTGAGTTGGGATAAATCGACCGGTGGAGGGAGCGGGTGGAGAGTGTAGTCTGTGGAGAATGTCACACCGGACTCGGTAAGAAGATTACCCTGCGTTATAGAAGCGATCACCTCTTCGTGGCCACCTTGGGTAAGTACGATTTGTATGTTGGAAGTCTGATGGCTGCAGAACCAGAAAATTAGGACGAAGCCCCATGTTGATCTGTACTAGCTCCCAACGTACCCGAGTTTAATGTCTTTGACCGTGAACAGAGCCGCGCCCGGTTGCGTGCGACGAAGGAAGTCGAGGTGCAGGCCGATTGTATGAGGCTGATTCTGAGAAGAGAGGGTAGTCTTGAAGTGGGTAGCGGCTACTTGAAGGAAGACCGCGGTCATGAAGCCTCCATGCGGCACTGTCTTGGTTAGCCTTTGATAGCTTTTGATTTGGGATATGCAGGTTCTCTGGCCACCAATGAGCTAGGTCAAGGTACCGTACAGAAGTGTGCTACCGGCACCTGTTCACAAGAAAGAAAGAGGTGACATGACTTGAGATCGACGTACTCGTTGTTTTCTTCGACTTACCAAAGAAGCAACGTCGGTACGTGAACCAGTGAACCAAAGAAGAATTACCTCAGCGGAATGATGGGTATCTTCTTACCTGGGCCAAGACACCAATCTCCAGGAAAGTGGGCGTTGTAAGTATGAGAGCTGGCCGCCTTCACAGCCGTGGCTTGCGCAAAAGTCGTCTCGGAAGTGGTCGAAGCCATGATGGCAAATGATTACTGGTCTGGTCAGAAGTCGGAAGTCAGAAGGCGGAAGTCAGAAGTCAGAAGTTAGGAGCCAGTATTGACGAAGTTTTGTTGGTTGTACTACCGGTACTACGAGGTAGTATATGTTTTCCTTTCCTTTGCAGGGGGTGCTGTTGCTACCTGCCTCTTCCATCGTCGAAGGGTGACAGCCGAGCCTTTAGATTTCCAGAAACCGGAGGTCTCCTGAGTATCGCGAGCAATATCATGACAGCATTAATCTCAGATTCCACTTATTTTCTTGGGACCTCGACCAAAGTGGACCAAAGTGGCCGAGCAGGTGCTTGGTAGCCGAAAATGCTTGCTTCCGACCAGGCTCTCCCTCGCCCTTGCCCTCTCCCTCTCCCTCTCCCTCGCCCTCGCCCTCTCCCTCTCAAAGTTGATCGGGAATTGATCGGGAATTGATATCCAAGGACCACGACACGGAGAGCGAACCGAGATGGAACTGGAAATGGGAATGCCACTAGGTACCTGCCAGTACTCGACCTACTACCCACCTACCTACCTCCTAATTATCTACCTACCTTACCTACTACCCGTACCTCACTTCGACGTTGCTTTCTGGAAGCCACCAGTGCCACCGCATGATGCGCAATCATGTCGTGCACCTGGCATTCCGTGTCCAGGTCACAAACCCAACAGGCATCGCACAGCCATCATGCAATGTCAGGCTTCAGCCTCCTCATGACCGCTGTCAAGTCGTCTGGCAGATGATCTACGGTACCTATGCGGTAACAAGCAATACCTACCTACCTACCTACCTGTCCTGTCCTCAAATACCTATTCCGTAACTACTCCGTAGCCCAACTACCTAAGCTGCCTTCAAAGTCTCGGGCCATGGTGATGGGATGCTGCGTCGTGACAAACCGGCATGTAACGTACGAGGTACGGATGCTAGAGTAGAGATCAGAAGCAGAGATCATAGAGATCGCGCATCATGCAGGCCATACTGCGGTACTGTACCAGTACATGAGCAAGTCTCGGTATTCCCTATATACAAAGCCCATGGAATTCAATATGCAGTGAATACGTACTTGCATTCCTCCGGGTTGGTCCCCCCCACTATACTCACGATACTTGAGTACTTCTTTTTCTTCTTTTTCTTCTTCTTTTTCTTCCTTTCTCTCTTCTTTTCTGTCTTCTTTTTTCTTCTTCTTTTTACTTTTCCTTTTTTCTTTTCCATTTTTCCTTTTCCTTTTTTGCATAACCCCTGGATAAATGACTCAAAATGCCGAAACGTAAATTCACTTGGTCGAGTCCCCCTTCCTGCGAATCACAGAACGCCTAGGCTGAATGAATAAATCCGAAGCGCGTCGACCCGTTACCCTGGCGAGAACTCAACCTTTCTTCCACCTCCACCTCCATCTCCAGGTCCACGTCCACGTCCACCTCCACCTCCACCTCCATGTCCATCTCCTTCTACAACTTTACCTTCATCCAAACCCGCATGCGCAATCCTTCCTTTGAATAAGCATAATACCAGAACTCCCCTGATGCTTGGACCGCCTGCTTGACTGCGCTCGATCGCATCTCCTCCGGGGGAGCCCGAATCCCGATTTCTATCCTCGAGCCCTCCACCTTGGTGGGGCAATTCGTTCGAAGATGGGAAACGTCGCTAGCAGACCTGAAGATGGTGCAGCGCTGTGCCTCAGAGACCAAACAAGGTGTGAGTACAGTCGGGACAATATGGGGACCGGGACGATGCTCATAATTGTATGCGCCCAGTAATGATCTCGTCCTTGACGGTCACAAATTCACAACGTCGAACCGTCCTCCACGTCGTGCCAAACTCCTTTCCGGCGACAAGGGTGTCTGCGTCAAGGGATTTTGGGGATAAAAATATAGTTGAATATGTTCAGGTACTATACCGCATGCCTAGCAATCGAGCAGGTACTGACTTATTGCGCGCAGGACCCTGAAACGTCTTCTGGTCCCTCGCCGAACTTTTTACTCAAGCTTAACAACGACGACGAACTTCTCTTCAAATTTGCCTTTGTTATCCGACAGACCCAGCAGAGTGCAGCTGCAGGCAATGGCGCGAATGATACGGGCAGCCCGATAGACACGGTTGTCAACGGCCTTACATTTGTATCAGCATCAACAGCTAAAGAAGTCGAGACTCTCGTCACTCGAGAGTTCCACGCGGATCCAAATTTACACAAGAATGCAAACGTACAGCTAGTAGGCGATTATGCAACTGGTGGCAACCAGTCAGTATCCTTCGAATGGTCTTGGAAATGGCGGCCTCCAAAGGTAGCAGAGGATAGAGGGGGAGGCTGGAGGAATGACTGCAGTGTAAGTCATATCACGAACCTGCAAACACAATACCTGTACACTAACGATTTGAAGTTTGTAGAGTATGACCAACGAGCCCACCGCTTGAATACGCTTGCAAGCTTCTCTTTCTGGATTTCAAGTAAATATTCCGAAATCCATGAACTTGAACATAGACTAACCTAAATTCAGATAATCAGATGCTTACAAGCCAGCCGAATACACCATCTCAAACATTCAATTTAGCACCTCCACCGAAGCCTCGACTCCCCTCTTCTCAATCCATTGACTCCAGAGTCAGTGGCACAGAGACTCGCGATTTTGATGACCCTCCATCCCCATACCTCGCCCCAAAAGAATCTGCTTTACCAATCAATGTAATACCAAGGAAGGACTTGGTAAAGGTGGATGTTTCATGCCAACGTCCGGGTGAAGACATGAGCGCCACTGAAGACGGTCCCTTGTTCAGAGCTACAATGAAGTCTCTGGAGCAGAAGACTGGCAGTATGCGAACTCGGATGAAGAAAGTCCTGAAGAAGGCAGAGGCTGCACACATGGCACAAATCGATTGCAATGATGCAGTCCAGAGTTTTATGGACGCTCTCCGAGAGGCATCGGGCTCAAACGCAAATGCAGTCCAGCCTGCTTTGGAGCACTACTTTGACAAAATCGCCAGGGAAATTTTGGGATATGAGAAGCAAAATACCATCAACCTTCAGAGAATCATCATTGATCCGATGGCTAAATTGTACAACCTTGATATCAAGCAGGCTGAAGCAAAGAAGCGAGATTTCGAGGAGGAGAGCAAGGATTACTATGCTTATGTATCCAAGTATCTCGGTCAACGACAGGACTCGATGAAGCAAAAGAAGAAGACAGAACAGGATACCAAGTACCAGACCAAACGTCGGGATTTTGAGCTGAAGCGATTCGATTATTCTTCTTTTATGCAAGATCTCCATGGTGGTCGCAAGGAGCAGGAAGTGCTATCTCATTTAACGAAGTACGCCGACGCCCAGACGAGGAGTTACTTGGCTACGGCCAAAAAGGTCGAAGAACTGCTTCCTCAACTCGATGCTCTAAATACGGAAGTCCAGGAGGCTGATAAGGAGTTCCAATACCAACGGACTGAGCGAGAAGAAAAGCGGAGGAATCTTGAAAAGAGTAGCGTCGCGTACGTTGAACCTGACACGGTTCCTGCTGTGATGATCCCACCCCCGACGTCGTACCCTACGACGAATGGCGGCGCCGTCATATCCGACCCGGAGCTTGGCCGAGCGGACAGTACAGCATCGCAGCTTAGACAAGTATCTTCGAATGGCCCAACGATGCCATCAGCCATCAACGGCTCCAACACCGAATTCTCAAGATCGCCCGGAAGCCTCTCTTCGCCATTTGGCCCCGTTCATAGCCCAGGTGTGAACTCCAAGTTCAAGGGGATTCGGGATCTCGAGGAGAAAGATCATAGTCTGGCGACAAGCACCAATGGGCAACGCAAAGAAGGCCTTTTATGGGCGCTGAGTAAACCTGGCAGCCATGTTGATCCTAGGGGGCTGAACAAGCAAGCCTGGCACAAGTGAGTTTCTTGGACCCGCCTTTGGAGTGGAGGACTGACAGATCTAGGTTCTGGATTGTTCTCGATGCCGGAAAGCTATCCGAATACAGCAACTGGAAGCAACGCTTAGACTTGCACATGGAGCCTATTGATCTTCGGATGGCGTCGGTTCGGGAGGCTCGCAACGCCGAGAGACGATTCTGTTTCGAGGTTATTACCCCTCAGTACAAACGGGTTTATCAAGCAACATCCGAAGAGGATATGAATAGTTGGATCTCGTTCATCAATAACGCCATTCAAAGTGCAGTCGAAGGCAGAGACATGCGGGATGCGCCAAGGCAACCAGAGCAACAGTCTATCCGAAGAGACATCGGCTCAATATTGACCGGAAAGAGCTCGTCGATGAACTATGGAAACAACTACTCCGCCAACCAGAGTTCTGCCGCCGCCAACAATGGCGTTTTCAGACGGACGACAGTTGGCGCTAGACCTGCATACCAACGCCAAGGTAGCGGCGGGTATGACGAGAGCCCCGACAAGCTGTTGCAGGTGCTACGAGAGGCGGATCAGGGCAATTGTTGGTGTGCTGACTGTGGCTCTGGTGTGAAGACGGAATGGGTCTCTATCAACCTGGCGATCATCCTCTGCATCGAGTGCAGCGGAATTCATCGTTCGCTTGGAACCCACATCAGCAAAGTCCGATCTCTTACTCTGGACATCAACTCATTCACCACCGACATTGTCGAACTCCTTCTCCTCGTTGGTAATCGGGTCTCGAACATGGTCTGGGAAGCAAAGCTGGACCCATCAATTAAGCCCCTCCCACAGGCGACTCGCGAAGAGAGACTGAGGTTCATCACAGCCAAGTACGTCAACCGGGCATATGTCGAGCCAATTTCATCAAGCTCGTCGAGATTTGCCACTGCAGACGAGAGCCTTCTGGCAGCTGTCAAGACGAATGACATCCAAGCAGTCATTTACGCACTGGCACTGAAGGCAAACCCAAATGTTCTTGATAAATCAAGAGGCGCTCACCCGGTATTCTTGGCGCTTGCCGCTGCGGATCCCGCGTCGCCATCTCCCATGGCTCCAGCCCCCCGAGCTGAGAGTACGGCGAAGATTGTGGCATTCCCAATCGCTGAAATGCTTGTCCTGAATGGCGCCGAGATACCTAGTACCATGCCAGCCTTCCCATTGAGTCACAGCGCTGCTTTATACATCGAACAGAAGAGTGGTCGAGGAGGTCCTGCACTGGACACAGTGGGCTCATTGCCTGGTGGGAGCACTGCTGAGAGACTCGCCCGAGAACGTGAGATTCGTCTTCAAAAGCGGGTCAGCGCTGGAGGGCGTCTTGCAAAGGCGCCAATACCAGAGCGGTAGATGAGCATACGTGGGTGGTAGTAATGAAGCGATGACTTGGAGATACCACGGGCAAATTATGCATTGTTTGGCGTTGTGTGTTTGGGTAACGTGGCTAATGCCGACACGACGATGGCACGCAGACCTTGGCTTTCATGTTGGGCCTACAGAGCAGGTTGCGATGATGAGAGCAAACCTGGTTGGAAAGGCTATTATGGATACAACTAATGGATGGAGTACTTCAGACACCATGGTAGCTCTGGGGCTGGAAATGTCTGAGATCAATGTACATGAACTTCTACCTCGCTGGACGACCCGGAGCCTCGCTTGGGTATGTGAACTGATCTCTCGATTATGAAATGGAATCAGCATATGCTGAAAGTTGCAGTCTGTTGAGTTTTGATGGTGAGCGGTGGATGGATGCATGTTAGGAGTGGCGGTTAATGAATGTAAGTACTTGGCCGCTCAATTCAACCAACTTGCGGGCAGGCCTCTGTATGATTATTCTGCATCAAGTTCCCCAGAAAACCGAGCGTCGCGTGTAAGGCTTGGTCCTCTTGGCGATAAAGCTTGGTAACTGTCAAGTTGACGTCAGCCACGCCAGCCACGTCAGCCAGCCACATCCAACTCCATCTACTCGCAGGCTCTGCCCTACCACCTTAACCCTCAACCCGCGGCGAGCCGGGAGGGCCGAAGTTGCCGCCAACGACAACGTCCGGTGCGACTAGTATGCACCGGAGACACAGCGCCGATCTAAGGGGCTCTACGGAATTTGGATTTCTCTCAACCCTCCGCTCTGCCGAGTCTCTCCAACTGTGTCCTGCGTACGTACTACACCCAGCTTTTTCCAAGCAAAGCAAAGCAAAGCAAGGTCAAGGTCAAGGTCAAGGTCAAGGTCAAGGTCAAGGTCAAGGTCAAGGTCGAGGTCTCAGCACTTAGACCACATTGTCCGCAATGGCAGAGGAAGACGGAGACGGATCAGGATCCCATCCCAACCGGCAGCAGATAAACGGTGCTCTCAACAACGAGCGTAATGGAGGCGGCACGCATGATCCCGAGAAGCAGGAGCATAAGCACGACTATGCTCACGCCAAAGACAAAGTGAGCAAGGAGCAGCAGAAGCTGAAGGATAAGGCGAACCCGCCGGGAGGCTATGATGCGACTCCCATACCTTCTGCGCCGGACGGTTACACAATTAAATTTACGTTCCACCGCGCGACGAACCTGCCAGTTTCGGATCTGCACACCCGCTCCTCCGATCCGTTCATTCATGCGACATTAACCTCTGGTCTCGCGAAGCGGCACAAGGAAGACCCGGACTTGAGTATAAGGACGCCGACCATACATAGAAATACGGATCCGAAGTGGGACACTCAATGGATCGTGGCAGGCGTACCTTCGAGTGGGTTCCGCTTGAAATGTAGACTTTATGATGAAGATCCATCCGACCACGATGACCGGCTGGGCAATGTGACGGTACATGTCGATCGTGTTGGGCCGGACTGGCAAGGTATCAAGGACGAGAGGTTTTATATAGAGAAGCGCATGGGGAGCAAGCGGGCCTATCTGCTCCGTGGTTGCGCTGCGATGCTCAGCAATGTCCATGTGAGCGGGAACCTCTGGCTTAGTGCTGAGTTAGTCGGCGAGTCTGAGAAGCCGCATGGCAGGATGTATACCGTGGGCTTGACTTCCTGGGTAAAACACTATTCCCCTATGATTGGGAGAATCGCTGGAACGAAAGCTCCGGGAAGCTCAGAAGGTTCGCAAGAAGGAGGGCCGAAAACGGAAAAATATGAGTGAGTTCGGCTTCGCTTCGATGTCGGGTCGAGAATATTGACATTGGATAGTTTTCAGGCAAATGAGTTCCAATTGGAAGGCCCTGTTCCAGCAGACTTATACCATCGTTTCGTTGAATTCAAACCATTTGTTAAGGGCATGTTCTCGAAAGCTGGCCTGCGAGGACGAGTCCTTAACAGAGCCCTGCGCCACCAACACGCCTCCGTTTACAACTTCAGCAGCACCACTGAATACGGAACTGTGGAGCCGAAATCCGAAGAAGCGGCTCTTCAGTTCCTTAAGATGGTTCACTACGACGAAGGCGGTCGAATCTTCACTTACGTGCTGACACTCGACGGCCTCCTCCGCTTCACAGAAACCGGCAAGGAGTTCGGGATTGATCTGCTGTCCAAACACACCATGCACAGCGACGTCAATACCTACATTGCCTACTCCGGCGAGTTCTTTGTTCGCCGACTCAAGAAACCCGAGATATCTGCTGAGGCGCCAGACCAAGAAACGCATCCTGCTCATGACCTTCCTGGTGGCCCACCTGACTCGCCTCCCCCTCAGAGCCCACGCAATTACGAGCTAGTAATTGACAACGATAGCGGTACTTACAGACCCAAAGGCTCTCTCTTGCCACAACTGAAAGCCTTCCTTAGAGAGCAGTTCCCGGGCTTACATATCGTGACAAAGGAATGTACAGATGACAAGCTGATGAAGATGAAAGAGGGGCAGCGGGAGCGCAAAAAGAAGGAAGGAAAGACCATCACGATGGTGCAGCACTCGGATGATGATATCAGTTCCAGTGACGAGGAGGCACTGGACAACCATAGCAAGAAGACGACGAAGCAGAGGGCGTTTGATGCGCTTGAAGATCCTGGGAAGGCGGCCAAGGATATAATACACGGGGTGAAGGGCAAGCGCGAGAAGGAGGAGAGGGAGACGCTTGAAGACAGGGCTGAGGCTGGGGGTGCATCGTGAGTGTTATTGAAGTGGAGCAAGGGTGGTGAGTGGATGCTCTTAACGGCTGTGTATATTTGTAAATTCGGTCATATTTGGTCAAAAAGGCGAGGCGCGCGCGGTCTTCTGGTTAGACTACCTAGGTAGTAGTTGGCTACTTTCTTTTCCCCTTCTCTGTTATAGCCGCCGCCGCCGCTTCTGCGTACGTATTATAGACTTGCTCCTTCATACACACCTTAATTCAGCACCGATCAAACACACAATCATCATCATCATCATGCGCTTGTGAGCCGTCTCTCCCTCGCTTTCATCCCATTTTCAATCACGCATCTACTTTACTACCTTTGTTGGATCCGGAGAGGGGGTCGGGGGAGGGGAGTGGGAAGGGGGGCTTCCAAGGCGAGAAGCGGGAGATGTCATTCTATCTACGAAGTCTCATCGTTCTACAAGTCGATGGTAGATAGAATGGGTAGTTGAAGCCGCTCTGCTTGAGATCTCAGATGAGAAAGGGGCGTGGGCGTGGGCATAGGCACAGCGACGAGAGATGGAGAGTTGGAAGAAGATGGCGGTAGTAGTAGAGACGTGAGATAATCCAGCCAGAAGCGAGGGGATCTGTTGGACCATCTGGCACCTGGCACCTGGCACCTGGCATCTGGCACCACCTGGCATCTGAAGAGTCGACGAGCGGAGCATGAGGCGTGTTTTTTTTCTTTCCCTTTCTTCTTCCTCTTTTTTCCCTTTCTTCTTCTCTCCCTTCCCTTTGCTACTTGCTTACTCAGGTAGGTAGGTAGGCACTCAATGTGATACCCGGTATGGGTCTCCTCGTCGATACGGTGAGACGATCTGCTTACTCTTGGAGAGAGAGAGAACCCATCACACACACACAGACAGACACGCGTTCGTACGAAGAAGCCAGACGCGGACGGGACTGGTAAGCACTTCTCGTTTGCCATGTCCATTGCCCCCTCCGCTTCGTCTACGCTATAGCTGCTGTGTCTACCCTCGTGCCTAACCAGAAGAAACAGACAGACAAACAGACAAAGAAACAAACAAACAAGCAAAACAAAATAAGAAAAAAATATCCCCTAGCCATTGGCATGTAGTCTATCTGCCTGCTATTATGTACAGCATATATATCTACACACCTACGAAACCCAGAAAAGGCGCAAACGAATGCAATGCTGGACGGTAGAAGGGGGAAAAAAAAATTATTATACCAAGAAGAGAAGCCACCAAAGCCCCCGGGGAGATGAAAACGACACACCGCTAAAATACTCGACATAACAAAAAGACACCCATCACACACGTCAAATGTACATGCACCTCAACGATTCTATCCTCCTCGCTTCTTGACACCGAGGCGAGAGGGGGCATGCACTCGGGAATACTCAACCATTTACAGACGATCCGTTGTCCCCGGCGTATCCGTCGCCGGGAACAGCTCTTCGACTTCCTCAGGGCCGATTACAGGGCTAAAAGCTTCAACCTCTTCTACAGCATCCTCGTCTTCCTCTTCGATGATTTCACTGCTGCGCTTCCCAGCCACGCTGGTACTACGACTGTGGCTCCCGGTTCTTGTATGGCCCCCTCCAGACGGACTGGGCGACGAGGTGTTGAGCATGGGTCCCTTGAAAACATTTTTCTTGCGCTTAGCGAAGACAAGACCGCCGGTGCTGCCTGAGCCAAAGGAATTGCCCCAGGGTACTTCGTTGTATGTTGATGTGGGAGCTTGGCGCACGACGCGGATGTTGGAGGGGAAGGTACCAGTTGTGGGCGTCGCAGGCAGAACTTTGACTGAGTGATGGGGGCTGCGGGGAGGTATAGGACCTTTGCTCATGGGCATCGTCCCTGACCCGTTGGATGACGTGGATGAGGCTTTGGAGTGGCTGTGGTGGTGATGGTGGATGCTACGGATGGAGGAGACTGAGGAAGATGTAGATTTACGGCCTCGGAGACCTATACTGGACCGGCGGAAGGTCGACCGAGGAGTCAGAGGCGATGGTGAAAGAGAGTGGCGCTTGCTGTTGGGCGTGGTATATATTCGCGCTACCGGTGGGCGGCTTCGAGCCTCTGGCGCTAAAACGAGCCTTGGGGCTTCTGATGTCTTTGAAGTTGCAGGCCGCGGACTTGATTCCTTCCCACCAGTCCTCGAGCTGTTGGTCGACTTCTGGTGAAGATCAGGTGTTGAGTTTGTCATTCTCTTACCGGGAGACTTTGTACGTTTTGCCGAGTCTAGAAGCCAATGTTTCCAATTGGCGAGGTGGTTGATAAAGGCGTGTTGATGCTTCCGCCGTGGAGGCCTCAGATTACCATTGGGTGGCGCAGCTAGGAGATCATGATTTGATGTGACAAGCTGCAGTGTACTCCCACGAGATCGTGCACTACGTAGCAGCATACTTTCTTTGGGCGGTGGGATCGGACGCCGATGCCGTGAAGAACTTGCTGAGCTTATCGAGTCTTTGTCTATCGGCGGAGGGGGTGTTGCTGAGCCTGGAGAGCCCAGCTTGGGGTTTTCAGGTAGACCAGGAAGATCGGTTAGAACAAGGTCTGGGTAATGTGCACTTCGTCTGTCTTTTCTGCCCCTACCCGGTGGTGGATCTCTTAACCTGATTTCTTGTCCTTGCTCATTAACACCTGTTAGGATAGGGGCCGTCCGTTCAAGCCGAGTGCTTGCACCACTTAGTCTCCGCGATGTCCGGTTTTCGGCTTCTTTCTCCTTCCGTTTCCGCTCTCTCCGAGCTTGTTTGCGTTGTTCTTTCTCGAGGAGAAGGGTCCACCAGCCTGCCAGAGGATCGCAACGCCGTGCTAGTACATTCTCAATGACTTGATCTGTGTCAACCCCAGCGCTGCGCATGCGTTCAAGCGTCTCTTTTTCCAAAGGGGTGGTGAACGGCGCTGGTTGTTGAAGCTTTAGAATGACTTGTTGCGCAGGTGCAAAGTCCGCCAGAAAAGGATGAGCCAGGATATCGCTCAGCGCAGGCCGGCGCAATGGCCGCTTGGAAAGAAGTATACCCAGTAAAGAGCGCGCCTCTGGTGAAAAATAGTCGGGCCATTTAGGTTCCGCCGTCAAGATTTTAGTCCTTGTCTCGTTGTCGTCATCCTCGTCGAATGGTAGTTCGCCGCTCAGAAGAGCGTAAAGTATCACGCCTAGACTCCAGACATCGACCTTCTCGCCCGCGTATTTCTCTCCTTTTAGCATCTCCGGTGCGCTGTAACAGATAGTTCCACAAAAAGTCTGTAAATAGCTGGCCTTTCCTTCATACTCCCTAGTAAAACCGAAATCGCATAGCTTGACGTTCTCGTTCTTGTCCAGGAGGATATTTTCAAGTTTCAGATCCCGATGCACACATTGAGAATTATGAACATATGTGACAGCCCCCACAAGTTGGGTGAAGATCTTCTGGACCTTCTCAACCGGAAGCGCTCCATGATTCAGCAGGTAATTATATAGCTCATCGCCTATTGATATCAGCAAGACCTACGCTAAACGACTCGGCCTCCTTACCTGGACAGTACTCTAGAACTAGCCACACCAGATTCTCCGTAACTATCACTTCGTAGAGCCGCGCGATATGGGGATGTATAAATTGTCGATGGTGGTGGATTTCCCGCGCAAGATTTGAATCGTCTTTGTTTGCAGACTTGAGAACAACCTGCAACATACCGTCAGCTCTCTACTCCCTTGGTCTGCTCCATCTCTCGGCGTACTTTTGATCCATTCGTGAGTTTATGAGTTGCCAGGTACACCTTGCCAAAGGATCCCTTCCCGATTAAACGTCCAAGAGAGTAGTTTCCAACCGACCGGAGGTCTTTCGACGAGAACTCTCTGCAACGCGCAAAACGTTAGCTGATGTACTCTTCTTCTGAGAAGAGGCCACAACGTACTCCAATAGCTCATGATATGAATTGGCAAGCTGTTACACAAGACATTAGCTTTGCGACCCAGTAGGACCGTCCGTTCGTGTTCGAGACTTGCGTCGAAGTTTATAGAGGGGTTACCTTAGCTTTTCGACCTTGCGATTCAGCCTTTAGCCTTGCCGCCTGCATACCAGTCACCGTTGACACCTCCTTCTACTTTGTGTGATGAAGGCTATGAGCCCGGACATTCAAGGGGCGCGCCGCGCTGGACCTGTCGGCTCGGATTCCGGATGATAGGGATCGCTGGGTCGTAATTCGAACGTTGATCTTGAGTGAGAGCGAGCCTGCAGGCGAAAAGAATCCGGTCTGCGCATTTGAATCTGGGTGGCGGAGCTTGGCGATGAATCAGGGTGGGGGGGATTCATTGATTATGAGAAGAACTGGAAGCCAAATATTGATACTACTCATTGCGCAAGGACTCCTTTCCTAAACAAACCTTCTGTCGACGCCTCGCTTACATAACGCAATAAAATTTAGAAAGCATTGTCAGCAGCAATTAGCACAAGGTCATAATCATAGTCACGATTCAAAGTGATCAAATTCCCCTCGCCCCGTCAGCAATAATTGCGGTGCTTCAATGCGGTTTGGAAATCTGGAAAGTCAGGGAGCCTTGGTCACTTCACGTCCGAGCAGAAATATCAAGTTGCAAAAGACATATTGGTTGCAATGGCAAGAAAGTCCATCAGGGAATCCGGATAGTCTCCGTTTGCATTGTTCAGAGCAATATCCGATGGCTTGAATTCATGCCTCGCGCGAGTTTTCCATCTAAAAGTACAGAGCCCAACCCCCCCCCCCCCAGCCGCTTAGTTGACCTGTGTTCCATATCCGCGAATTTGATCGGCGCTGCAGCTTTCTTAGTTTTGGTCTGGAGAAGGGGCGGGGGAAAGAAAACTTACAATGCCCAGCTCTGCTTCTCAAGCTTCTCATCCTCCTTCAACTCAATACCAGCCTTCGAAACGACTGCAATCGAGTACTTGTCCAAACTCCTAGCATCTCTGTAGAACAATACCTTCATGCTCTCCTTCACTGCCTCCAATGCCTGCTCCTGGGACAGTTTAGACGCAGCCTCCTCATCCGGCGCAACCTTTCTCAATAGCGGCTGAGCCAAATGCGCACCGAATCCTGTAGCCAAACTGGGCGAGCTGAAGGCTGTACCCAGTAAATCGGTGCTTGCCAGGAAAGGCTTGCTCTCTTCATCCAAGCCTGCCACCAAGACCTGGTTCCACAACGGGTTGAAGTCAGACCGACGCTTGTAGAAGACTTTGGTTAGGTAGGTGTGGAGATTTTTAGCGTTGAGGGTGTGTCCAGCTGGGCCATATGCTTCATCGATATCTAAGGAGTTGAGAAGTCGGTCAAGGTATTGCATGTCCGAAACGTCACCACCGAAACCAACAACAGTCGTATCGGCAAACTTTCGCAGGCGCTTAACATCCGTGAATCGTGCAAGAGATCCGTATGATGCTGCGAACGAACCAGAATATTAGCTTCCTGGTTTCGAACGCTGGGCTGGTTGGGGGTCCCGCACCAAGATTGTCTGCCGCAATCACAACACCGTCCTTGAACTTCAAAGCGAGTACTGAGGTACCGGTGACGATTGGAGATTTGGTGTGTTGATTCGGACCATGGCTTTGGAGGTACGAGCCGTCGTAGGCACCGTAAACATCGTCTCGAGGCTACAACCGGGCTGTCAACCGTTTGGTCAAAGTGATTTCCCTGTGCGTTACTTACACGTCCCCAGGCTTGCGGAAGATGGTTCATGGCGAAGGCGTTGATGAGTATCTGAGTTTTTGGGAGAGCGGGGGAAGAGACGGCTTGTATGGGTAGACGGGTAGATGTCGTTGATGTTGTCGTTGATGTTGTCTTCTGAAGCTCAAGCTTAAGCTCCCAGGTGGCCCAGGTACCAGCTTGACGCGGCGCCGATACTAGCGCGCCTCTGCAGCCGAACGAAGTCCAGTATAGGACGGATGAGCCTTTGTTTTCCCGTTCTGTGTGTCAACGACCCAACCTTTTTACTTTTTTCAGCAGACAATTCAGAATGGCAGGCTTGGTTGGATACGGGAGCAGCGATGAAGAGGATCATCCAGAGCTTGAGAGTTCGAAGCTAGGCGTGAGTATTGGCCTAGGCACAAACCTCGTCTTCAAGACTCTGGAATCGCGCTGACAACACAGGTCAGCAGGCGGACGGACTCGCCGTACACTTTGGCGAGGGGTCTGCATCTGATCCAGTCTTGGACGTTATGCAAAACAGTAAAGCTATAGGCCCAAGGTTTCCTGAAGCAGATGCGCCGTTAGTTGGTCCAAGTCTTGGACCTGCACCTGGCGAACATCAACTACTAGAAACAGACGATCCAGCTATGGCTCCTCAATCACCTTATTCCGCTAATCGAGCTCTACTGAGAGACTTGACCCTTCCGACCCTTCCCAACTACGACATTCCGCCTTCACCTCCTGGATCACCTTCAGAGAGTACGAACGCTAAGTTCAAGCATTTTCTTGAGCTGAAGAAGAAAGGCGTCCACTTCAACGAGAAGTTGGCAAAGTCGTCAGCACTGAAAAATCCGAGTCTGATGCTGAAGCTTATGGATTTTTCGAATATTGACGAGGCTGGTCAGTATGCAACAACACTGCCGAAGGACCTCTGGAACCCTCATGATTTTCCTGCTTATGCCTATAAGGAGGAACTTGCAAAAAGCCAGCAGAAGATATTGAAGAAGAAGGAAGAGGACAAGGCTCGAGGTCAACGGGATAGCTTGGACTTTGTACCTGCAACCTCAACAACAGAGATGCTGAGTCGGAACACGACTTCTTCGAATGGTGGTCGGCCAGGTCAAATGAGTGCCGCTGAAAGAATCATGGCTGGACTGGATAGAGGACGTTCGAATTCACCCAACGTTCAAGGCACGAAGAGGAAGTCGAGATTCGATGGCTGAAAATGGGCTAGAGGCCCGTAGAACAAATCGCACGCCTTGAAGGACAGTTCATTGCCTGGGTGAACACAGAACTACGACTCAAAAGGGGTAGTGGTCAGGGCATACCACGGATGTCCATTACCCTGAGCTGGTGAAGACAAGCTGCCTGGTCAGAAACCTTTTCTTGTACTGCTCCCAAAGTCACGCGAACTGCGAGGCTGTCACAAGGCTACGACAGGAGGTCTGATCGGCTGCGATCGTTACCTTCTTACTACATTAGTCAAGCAGAAAACTGCTCATGTAGAGAATTTATCTATTCATCCATCGCCAGTAAGGTAATTTCCGCCAATGGAGATGTGTTGACTTTTCGTGACGCTGTGGTTGATTTTGGTAAGTTAACGGTTCCTATCAATGTCGGCGGCGTATGCGGGTCGGTAGTTCGATCCCCGACTCCCTCTCAAACTCGACCACAGGCAATTTCTCTTTCCACACGAATTGAGGCAGCCAGCTGCTACTATCATCCCAAGCTTTTCACGACGGATTGCCACTTTCCAACCACAGCTCTTGACAACGGCAATCTCTCTATTCCAGTTGACTTTGCACGCAGACTCCTTCTTTTTGGCGCCAAGAGCCTTGAGCCTCGCCTTACCCTGCCTTGCGAATATGGCTCCGAAGAGAGGGAGGGACAAGGAAGGGAGAGAAGGGAAAGTCGACAAGAAACCGAGAAGATCTACCAGATTGGCACATAATTCTCCAGTTGTCCAGCAGCAAGGACTCCCTAGCCCCATCACACACCAGACCTCTTCATCTCCCGAAGCTGTTAAGGATGGAACGGTCTCTCCGCCCGCGCAAAGTCAAGTAGGATCTCTGCCCGAAATTAAGAAACGACGACTAACCGGTTCAGGTACACCACAATGGCCCTCTGGATGAACATGCTGAAGCTGGCCACAAATCGAGTCCTCCTGCGGACACACAATTTACACAAGCCTTCTCGACCCAAGAAATTCCTCAAGATGAGCCTGAAGACGATGACCTGTGGGGCTGGCTATTTCCCATGGACCCCAAGCTTGGCCAGAAGATCGCTTTAAGGAAGCGCAATGGTACGAATCTTAATTACAATCCCTTAGCTAATAAGCTGGCTGACCGACGTCTTACAGCTTGTCCACTTCCGGGTAAAGATGACTTTCAGAGAGGGCCAGATCCGAAGAGGGAGGAAGAAATGTACGAGGAGACCAAGGTGAAGGGAATGGCCTCTGGTGGCTTTATTATTGGTAGGCATCCAGAATGCGACCTCATCCTAGATGACCCCATCGTCTCCAATAGACATTGCCTGATCTTCACGGAGAACAAGGGAAGAGATACGGTTGCTGTGGCTGAGGACTTGTCGAGCAATGGCACATTCGTCAACGAAGCTCTCATCGGAAGAAATAAAAGACGAGAGCTTGAGGAAGGGGATGAGATCACCATTCTGGAAAAGGCGCGATTCGTTTTCAGATACCCTAAGAACCGCCAGACAAGTCCTTTCTTGCAACAGTACACATTGCTGGAAAAGCTTGGGAAGGGCCATTTTGCAGAGGTCTTCTTGTGCGTTGAGAAGTCAACTGGCACACGATTCGCGGTCAAGATATTCACAAAGCAACGTGGCATTGAGGAGCGATCGAAGACCGAAGGCCTACAGCAAGAAATAGCAATATTAATGGGAGTAAGCCATCCGAACTTGCTGTGTCTGAAAGATACATTCGACGAGCCGAATGCTGTCTACTTGGTACTGGAGCTGGCTGCCGAAGGGGAGCTGTTCAACTGGATCGTTATGAAGCAGAAGTTGACTGAGGAAGAAACGCGGAAAGTTTTCATTCAACTGTTCCAAGCAATCAAATATCTAGTGGGTCTTCCTAATTTGGACCTAGTTAATTTGGGCTTACAGTCAATAGCATGAGCGAGGTATCGTTCACAGGGACATCAAGCCTGAAAATATCCTATTGACTGATAAAGATCTCCACGTCAAAGTCGCTGATTTTGGTCTGGCAAAGATTATTGGAGAGGAATCCTTCACCACCACTCTATGTGGAACACCTAGCTACGTCGCCCCTGAGATACTCGAGGACTCAAGACAGCGTCGTTACACTCGTGCGGTCGATGTCTGGTCTCTAGGTGTCGTGCTCTATATCTGTCTCTGTGGCTTCCCTCCTTTCTCTGACGAACTCAACACTCGAGAAAATCCATACAGTCTCACACAGCAAATCAAGAGCGGGAGATTCGACTACCCTTCACCATACTGGGATTCCGTCGGAGATCCAGCTCTGGATCTCATCGATCGAATGTTGACTGTCGATCTGGAGAAGCGATACACTATTGACGACTGTCTCGACCATCCATGGACAACTAACAAGCAATTAAACCCTAACGATAGCACAGACGGACTCGTCGGCGGCATCGAAAATCTGGACTTCAGCAAGCGCAAGCTTGCTCGCGAGCGCACCCTGCTGAGTACTCTCAACGACGTCAAGATAACCAGGGTCATCGGAGTCGAGCCGTCAAAAGATGCCGTGAAGGTATACGTGAAGAACCCCGACTCCAAGAAACCCCAGAACAGAGTCAACAACTCTACCCTGGAGATCGGAAAGAACGGGGCCCCTAAATCTATCCCCGGCCCCCCGAAGCAGGAAGAGACACCCTCGGAGACGCGAGATCCGAAGGATTTCATGGCACTTGGAGGGAAAGGAGACCAAGAGCTTTTCGGCAACGAAGGCTCAATCTACTCGAAGGAAGATGCTCTGCGCACTAAGTAATTGATCGGAATGAGAGTTCCTAACTATTTGTTTTGGCCGACCGGGGGCCTGAGCTGCTTGCTACCTCGAGGGCGTGCGGGCGGTTTCCACAATAATGGGCTAGATCTACCATCTTCTGGTTCAGGGTCGATGAAACTTTCCCCATCGTGTGTAATGGATTTATTGTAAATAACCGATAGGGCCAGCTGGGATTGGGAAATAAAAGCGGTACTAGGAGTTTCTTTTATTGGATTTGGCACGGATGCGGCGCAGTATATTTATGTGGAACGAGAGAGGAGTGGTGCAGCCGCGTGAAAAATGACACCAGATCCTTGAAATTATGTGTTTTCAATACTTCGCATTTCTCTCCTGATATTATTTCTAGAGCTTGACGCTCTGCATTGCATGATGTATATCAGATCTGCACCATCCCCGAACTCCATCTATGCAGAAAACCCAAGCCTAGCCGTGGCACCAGCATTCCAAAACACCGAACCATGACCACCATCCGTTCTTTTCCCAGTGGCCCAGCTTTTATACATATTCGTCAAGAAAGAGTGAGGAGGATCATTATCATCACGCCACATTACCCGCCATGCCCATGAATAGGGCCTGAATTGCCAGCGAAATCGACCAGAATCCGACTTTCTTCAACCGTCGTAGCCTCGCTTGGCTATCTACTACGTCTTTAGCGAACGCCTCGTATGTCTCTGCAGACAAGTCCTCCATCAACCCACTGTCGAAAATCGTCCAGCTGCCGTCGAACTCGCTGGCTCGCTTCACAATCCGGCAGTTGATCGGAATGAAGGTGTTGCGAGAGTTGATATAAGCCACGATGGGCCTGATGAGCGCTTGATTGATGTAAGACAGATCGCGAGTGAAGAGCGGAACTGCAGCCCGGACGTCGTTGAGATGGACTCGGAGGTCCATGACAAGAAACCGTTTGTCTTCTCCTCTGCTGCGCTGCTCTTGATACTCATTGATCTGTTCGGGTGTCTTGAGATCTGCTGTTCGTGGATTTTCAAGAATGTGGATGTAGCGGTTTGAAGTCACCGTGGCCTCCATGCGGTCATAGAAATCCGACATCACTTTCACGATGCTATCATCCGTCTCAGTTGGGAACAATACGTCTGCTACGATGTCCACATTTCCTTCGTGAATCCACCCGAAGGGACCCTCGACTCCTCGGTTCAGGTGGTCGATTTTCAAGCCGTCGATTCGGAGGCGGCTTTGCTTCTTCCAGGGGCTCGGCTCGCTGCTTCCCTCCTCGTGGTGCACGTTTGCAAACCCATGCATTTGCTTGGGATGGATAGTGAATAGTGATCCGTCGAAAGCTCCTGACATATTGTTTGCCGAGAGGAAATCGTAAAATAGCCATTGCTTCCTCAGCTGTGGCAACTCGCAAGAGAAAATGCTCACAGAAAACGGTCTGAATCCCTTAGGTTGGTGAATCGTGACCAAGAGATCTTCCATCTTAAAGGAGTCTATCTCAAAATCTCCCGGATTGTGCTCATGTCGATAGGTCTTGGGATCGATGTACTCGCTGCCCCAATGAACTGAAGTCCTATCCACCACGCCTCGTACACCCTTTACCTCCACGTCTCGCAGGAGGCCCTTTCCGTTCCACCATTTGACGAAAGAAAGCGTAACATTAACGGTTCCGATCGTCAAGTCAAATTGGGTATAGTTCGTATCTTCCTCCTCTTCCTCCTTTCGTCCTACTACCTCGGATTGTCTCTCAGCAGCAGCTGCCGCCGCGGCACTCATCGAGGAGCCCTTGCTGACTTTCGTCTTGCCTTGCCCGGGCCTTCTGGAAACGAATACATTGTGAAAAGTTATCACCCCATTCTTCCACTTTGGTACAATGGCGGACTCGAAGACCACCTTAACTCCAGCTGAATGTGTTAAATAGTCGCCGACCCATCTCGCCAACGTTTCTGAATTTTGATTAGCATGCATTCTCTTACTCGGTCCATTATGCACGAACCTTGTGCTACAACAGTATTGATAGACAGAATGACCAAGGAGAAAAATGTGGTTGTCCCGACTAAAACCCAGACAATATTCCCCAACACAAACCATGAGACGAAGGCACTCCAGTCATCAACATTCCATGGCCGAGCACTTCTGATAGAGAACCATTTGAATCGCATCTTTAGACGTGACCAGAATCCAGTTGCAGCTGCAAGAAGTTCCTCTTTCGTCGGTCGATGCATGTGAGGCAGATGCAAATAGCCAGTTGCATTGGGATCCGGTACCGGGGTCTCGGTTTTCTTCGCTATCGGCGCAGCTTGAGGGTGGTTGGCCCCATTTGGAGGGGATTTCCGGGTGTTCGGTGTATGAGTTGCAGAGCTCTTATTCCTCTTTGCACTTCCTCTTTCCCGCCTCCGGGCACTCAGATGAATTTCCCTCCGCCATGCTTGCTGTGCCAAGGAAGTAATCGTCTGTCGGGGAATCTTGGGAGACGAGTATAGAGACTTTTCTGCGGTTGCTGTGCATGACGCAAGCGCCGAGGTCGTTGAGGTTGTTGTAGGGTTGATATCGATGAAAAGAAAGCTGCAAGATGCAAAGCTTTTCGAGGCGGATCTCTTCGAAGGTGTGTGATGGGCGCGCGGCCGAATCCAAGAAAAGCCTCGATGTGGATTCTGTACAGAGGTCGGATTCGAGATGGGACTTTTTTGAGCTAGCCCGGATGGCTTCGAGGCCAGGAAATGGCTTACTGGATCCCGTAAATGGGACCACAGTTTCTGGGTTGTGTTTGGAGACATGCCAGCCAGCTCATTCTGATTCTGGATGCGTACAGACTGTCGAAGTCTCGTCGTCCATGGTCGGTACTCAGTGAACTTTCTTTAAGGACGGGGAGCACGCGAGTCGAAAGGGAGAAAGCTTGACGACGGAGGCTGGACTTTTGCCCATCGACAACGCTAAACTGACCGCCCAGTATGTGGTCCGTGCCCGACAGTGGGTCTTTTTTCATCACCCACGGATCCCTATCTACATCTAATCTGCATCTCGTCTACAAATTTATTTTCCCCACCAAACCACGTCGTCGAAACAAAACCTGCCGCAGCAAAGATGCCCGCCCCAACTGCCTTGAAACAAAATTCAGAGGCACTGGCTGAGCCGGCCAGTGTGCCCCTGCCACAAGGTAACAGAGCCTTAAATATCTGTCGAGAAAAATCATTAACGAGGAGCAGCACAGGATGACGAACTTCTACTCGATGCGCCGGATGTGGAACCAACAGACCTGGCTGTCCAAATCGCCGAAGGAGACACTGAAATGCACATCGATGAGGAGGGAAGACCAAGATTTGCACCATCCAAGACTCTTGTACGAGTCCTCTCCGGACCACAAGATATGTATGTATACGATCGACTAACCCCGCCCAGGACGAAAAAACCCGCATAGAAGTGCGAAAGATCCCTATCCCACCTCACCGATTTGCACCACTCAAGGCAGCATGGTCAAAGATGTACCCTCCACTCGTCGAGCACCTCAAACTCCAAGTCCGCATGAACGTTCACGCCAAGTCGGTCGAGATCCGATCCTCGAAACACACCACCGACCCAGGAGCGCTGCAAAAGGGTGCCGATTTCGTCCAGGCCTTCTCGCTCGGTTTCGATATCGACGATGCCATTGCTCTCCTCCGGCTAGACGATCTCTACATCCAGACCTTCATGATTCAAGACGTGAAGTCGCTGCAGGGAGAGCATCTCGGCAGAGCAATTGGTCGAATTGCTGGGAAGGACGGAAAGACGAAGTTTGCGATTGAGAATGCGAGTCGGACCAGAATCGTGCTTGCGGATTCAAAGATCCATCTTCTGGGTGGGTTCAAGAATATCCAGATTGCGAAGACGGCGGTTGTGAGCTTGATTCTGGGTAGTCCGCCCGGAAAGGTGTATGGCAATCTGAGAACCGTAGCTTCGAGGATGAAGGAGAGATTTTGAGGTGCTGACGAGAACTTGATTGCGGTTCATGGCGTTCAGGGGGGGGGGCCTTCATTTGGATGGAGTTCATGAGGACAAAATTATGGCATGTGATCTTCAATGCACTGGTGATAGGGTAGTGTGCGTGGAGTTGAGAGTACTCTCTACAGAATCACAGGCTATAAGTGCTTACACACAAAGTAGTGGTAAGCTGAAGATACTGGGGTAGGTTAAGCATTCAAAGCTGGGTTTTGCAACGCCGGGGTTATTCAAGTGCTTTCTGTGCTTGCATTTCTGAAATTTTACAACAGCATCGTTAGCGGTCATTCAGGTCACCGTGAGGAGGAGAAGCAAAATCGTTTTGTTTGATGAGAGGGTTTTGCCATTATCAGTTTGAATACAGAGCCAAAGAAAAAGCTTTTCATATCCTCCGCAATCAGCTGGATATCAAGTGCAAGCAAGGCACCGAACTCCACGCTGCAATTTCCCCGTTACATCCCGTGCGAGAAAGCAAAAACCAACGCAAACTCAAATCCCCTGTTTCCTGCAAAGCGAACCCCCTCCACCCTTCCCCGCAAATCCATCAGAGTTCCCTCCTCCAACTCGTCCAATCCCGAGAAACGTTGGCGGCGGTAGGTAGATTAACCGATTTAGGTGATGGTGATCTTGCGAGCCTCGTGCTTCTTGGCCTTGGGGACCACGACGGTGAGGACGCCGTTCTTCATGCTGGCGGTGACAGCGTCCTGATCAACCCGCACGGGGAAGGTGAAAGAGCGGGAGAACTCGCCGACGGAGCGCTCCGAGACCCAGTACTTGGCTTCTGGCTGCTTGGGAGCTGCCGTCGACTTGCTGACCTCGGTGGACTTCTGGGGGGTAGCGACGACAACTCCATCCTCGTCCTCGACGGTGGCCTTGTGGGCCTTGGCAGGGTGAGACTCGCCGCCGGAGCCCTCAGTGCCAGCGGCGGTAGCGTTGCTAGAGGTGTAGGAGCGCTCGGTGCGGCCGCGGATGGTGATTGTCTGGATGTCGGTGAACTCGATCTCGACGTTGGTCTGCTCGATTCCGGGAAGGTCGCCGTGCAGCTCGTAAGCGTTCTCGACCTCCTTGACGTCGAACTTGGGGGTGAAGGTCTTCATGACGTGACGGCCGGAGCGGGACTCTATGGTGGCGTCGCTCTTGGAGTTTTGAGTGTGTTGCTCAAAGTCATCGAGAAGACGGAAGAGAGGGTGGAAGGAGGTGCGGTCAGAGGCAGGGGCCGAAGCCACGAGGGAGCCGGGGAAGAAAGACATTTTGCGCTTGGTGGTTGAAGGTATGCGTAGAAGTGTTTTGGAGTATTGCTTGAGTGGTGTCTTGAGAGTTTGGTACGATCGCATGAAATTGTTGATTGATTGATTGATTGATTGTGTATGATGAGGAGCAGAGGAGGGAGTCTCAGCTGGCCTTATATCTTCATAGAAAAGATTCTACCGATTGCTGGAACATGCGAGAGTCCGTGCTGAAGGAATATTCTGGTGCCATCGCGAAGCAGAATATCGAAGGGCGAGAAAGGACGAGAAGCGCGTGGTTGTCTCCTGATGCCGATGGCATGTTCTCCCGCTCGCTAGAACTTTCTACGCCTATATGCGCATGCATACGGAGACACGAACACATTACAGTACTCGGTGGAAGACATCCATGTGTAAACTGGGTTCACGATTTCCCAAAGCCCTTCCTGCAATTGATTTACTGGATCCGGAATCACACAATGTCACCTTAGAAAGCGGAGGAAGTGAGTAACTTGAAGTGGGTGCAGCGGCCTGAGGTTCGTGATGGCCAGACGTCGCTTATTATTAAATATTGGATTTGCTCTTACTTCTACAGTATTCGAACCTCAGAATCCCGTGTCCACGCATATACCACGCTCTTTGCTCAAAATCGCCAGTCCAACCTTCGACGAGGTCGTATTAACACGTGGCCCGGTTGGATGTCTGTTCGAGCTGCGTCCACATCTAATAAAATGCAGAGAAGTCGCAACTTAGATTCCCAATATCTCTCTAGCGTACCGCATATTTCATAGTGCAATCGGTAAAATATCATCGTTGTCCTCCGCAACGTCGTCTCCAAGGAATGGACTTGGTGAGGCTCCTGGCAATGACCAGCAAAGTAAGAGCCATAGATAAGCTTCAAGCACGTAGTAGCGAAGTAGAGAGAGATCTTTCAGCTCCGAGCCTCTACTGAAATGGACGCATCTCAGGATAGGCCCCTATCACGGGCATGCCCCCGTGCAATGGACCAGTAGGCATGTTGGGCGCCACAGGACTTGGCAGTTGATGGAACAGAGAAATGAGTCTTTTCCCAACGCTCGTCTCCAACTCAGTCCCATCCCGCGCAATTTTGACCTCGCGATTCGAGTTCCAGGGATTTCGCAATCCTCTCGTCCTGTAGAATGGGAGGCGGGCCGTGCACATCCATTCAACTTGGAATGGCTTACCCCATGCTTTCGACGAGGATTTCGAATCTGTTTCCTCATCGCTCCGGTTACTTGGACTCTCGTCTTCCTCTTCCACTCCATCAATTTCGTCCTTTTCGACCTCCCAGAATATGGTACCTCGCGCCGAGTCGTCTATGATCCGGCCCTTGGGCGCGAATTCCGAAGCGGGGGTTGGTATTGCTTTAGGAAGTTCAGGGTCTTCGACCGTATGAGCTTGTGGTGCGAATTCAATGGCCGCGGCTGGGTCGTCGTTGATCGGGGATTTCATTTTAGCGTAACCGAAATATTCGCCTGATTTATTTGCAGAAAATATCAAGTAAACGTTACCAGCGGTCTGCGTATAGATGTCAGGCTTTTGGTATATGTAAACTGGATGCAGGAACTTACCTGGTAAGCTTCGTTCAGCGCATCTTCATTGTGTGATTGGGTAGCCCATATTCCATTGCGCACACTGAGGTCCATATCCTCTACAGTCAAACTCTTTACAATGAAGAACTTATCTTCAGGAGATCCTGTTCCGTCAACCTCCGCAGCACCAACGACTTCTCCGTCCACTTCCTTTGAATTATTGTCGCTGTCCAAAGGAGTGCTCCGGGTATTCGAAGAGTCCGTTGGGGGAGATAAAGCTGCTGGGCCCGTAGGAACCACAACACCAGTCGCAGTACCAACGGAATTCCTTCGCAGTCGGCTGACCAGCCTGGCTGTCTGAAACCTAGATTCATGTATCTTCGCCTGTGCATTAGAGCAGGCCTCCTCATCCTTGAAGTTCGCAAATGCGCAGTTGCTCTTCGAAATCAGGAACAAAGACTCCAAGCCTGGGGCTTCCTTGCAGATATGGAGGACGAGGCTCATCAGATCCGTCTGAGGTGGCAGATTTCCGATCCAAATCGCATGCCCTGGACACTCTAATTAACTCATGACCCAAACACAGCGAAATACTTACCACTTCGACGCGGTTTTCGAGGCGGGCCTCTGACAACAGTAGATGGACTACTGGGGCCTATAAGGAAAAATACCATTAGAGAAGCACTTTTCAGTTAGGAAACTATGTCTGGTCTACTGCTGGTGCTCCACCTTTTACTCACCGATAGTACTTGATCGTAGGGTTGTTCCAGACCCCGAAAGATTGAGATAGTCGTGAGCGCGTTGCCCCGGAAGTCGTACATCCCCTGACAATCCGCTTCTTGCACCATATGGCCCGGTTGTGGCAGGTACTGTGAAAACCTGGCTGTACTGCCCCGGCTGTAATAGGTAATTTGGGCTCAGCTGCTGTCCCATATATACTTGGCTTTGGTAGTACTGATTCCCGCCGCCCAGAGTGGTTTGTATGTTGTGCGGTGGTTGCACATGATTAGGTGTATACATCCCTGGATACTGAGTCTGGTAGACCATCGGCCCAATCCCGTACTGCATGTCTGCCATAGTATGACTCATTCCTGGCTGTCCGGAGAATCGTGGGACATCTTGAAATTGTTGGTAGAGCGGTGATGGCAATAGCGCCGAGGAATATCTGGGTATACGACCATAGTTCTGGTGCGTCGGATCGGGAAGCGAATTGGCGAGTGGGATTAAGGAGAACGGGTCTTGCGAAAATTGCGTGCTTGTTTGTAACTGAGAATATATATACGGCCTACGTCCTTCGTGCTCGCTGTAATGACTCTGTATTGATTGTCTTTGGCCCTGTGAGCGGTTCGCCAAATCGCCAGAAGGCGCTCTACCCGGTAAGTCCCCCATGTGTCTTTCGTATATCGTCGGTAGCTGTCCCAGAACTGGACCAAAAAATGCCATGTTAGCATTCTATTCAAGTCCCCGAGAGACAAACCCGAGTCAAGGGTAGTTGATGGTGCAATTGATAAGCGTAAAACCGAACGAACATGCCATGGTAGTCGCGGGAGTGGTGCAGAGAGACGGCAGCATTTCTCGTACCTAGTCCTTGCGCTTGGATCTTCGCGATATAAGCTTCTGGTGGCTTTCAAAACGACACAATGCGGTGGCAATAACCTGTGAGATACACTTTCCGTTTCTGCCAATAGAAGCAAAGTCAAGATGGGGTCTTCGGGTGATTTGTGGTAATAGACGCAAGGAGGCCCAGTACTACAAGACATGTCAGTACTCCCGTCTGAGATGACCACGGAGAGGGCCAGTGCCCGTAAACAAGGGCAAGGGCCAGGGCAAGGGCAAGAGCAAGGTAATGGTGAATGGTGGGGATTGCGGAAGGCTCTCGATGACATGCAGGATGGGGTCCATCAGCAGCAGCTTGCTACTGCTTCATCTGCCTCTGGTGAGATAGCTGCTGGTGCTTCTCATTTGAATACTGACTTTGTAGAAGGGGCCGAGATTGAGTTCTGGAAGCTGGAAGACCCAGGCGAAAATGCGTGTGGATGTGGGTGTGGGTGGAAATGGAAATGGAAATGGAAACGGAGATGCTAATGCTGGCTGCGGGCGAGAAGTCCGGCTACACAGATGATCATAGAGAGGTCAGTGTTGTAAGAAAAGACGGAAGTATTAGACCGGGTTGGTTGAATAGCAGTGATAGATGTATAAAAGGGACGCCGAGGACCTCGAGTTCTTCCGACTCGAGACAGAGAGATATCTACAAAGGGAAGATGAATAGACAGAAGCAAAGGAAGAGGCGGAGGAGGAGGAGGAGGAGGAGGAGCTGGAGGAGGAAGAGGTGGAGGAGGAGCACTTTACTCGCGGTAGGTAAGGAAGCTAGGCCCGGTCTAGTCTGGTCTGGTGGATATCACTCCCGCGCGTGGAATGGAGATCTAGATAGAGTCGAAGAGCTGCAGAACAGATCTGGATGGGGGTCATTCTACCGGTAGGTAGATAGTCCGTTGGCATCGGTAGGTATTTGATTTTGTGATGCCGCTCGAGTTGCCGTAGCTATGAATGCGGTAGAATGGTCATGGTAACAACACAAGGGTAATAAGTAAGGTATAGGACTAATAGTTCGTAGTAGGTCCCGGTACCTCCCTTCGTATAGTCGCCGTCGTAGGTAGGTTGGCAGTCTTGGTAAAGCCGCAGCCACGCAGCAGACCAGAGGGATGGATGGGATTTCAAATATGCATGATACTTCATTTACGTACTATGTCCTATGTCCGTAGCAACGGAGCACATGCTGCACCGAATCGAGCCGTGCCGTGCCGCGCCGTGCCGTGCCGTGCCGTGCCGTACCGACCCGTGGATAAGCCTGTACGGAGTGATGATACGTACAGTAGATACCATCCATGTCATGTTTACGGACAGGACTCATACCGGTACTGGTAAGTTGGCAGCTGGCAGTTGTGCGAATGCCTACCTATGATATTATTGTTGACCCCGCTAATCCAAGTTTGGATGAGCGACGAGGTAGGTAACATTCCATTCTCCCAGTCTCGCAGGAGAGGCCTCCGTCAATACCGAGTAAAGAAAGTCGGTTGCATTCGGTCCAGTCGGTGAAGTGACGCCATCTTGTTGGGAAGTCGGATGCTACTACAGTACAGTACAGTGCAGTACAGTAGAGCTGCACTTTGAACTGACAACCTCAACCTCCAGATTCAAGAGTGGCAGTGGACAGTGGGCAGTGGGCAGTGGGCAGTGGGCATGGGCAGAGTGGCAAATCAGGAAAGTAGAGGCGGGGCGGGGCGGGGAAGCAATGCAGTGCAATGCAGTGCAGGCCCGTGGCAAACGGGGAGAGGTCCGACGAGATGCAATGATTCGCTCGATTCGCTCGATTCGCTCGATTCGATTTAGGGGTCCCCCCGCCGCCCAGCCACAATGCACACTCGCCACAGATGACGCAGTTGTTTGCTCAGCCACAGAAGCCATCTCGACTTCTTGGCGCGGGCTGTCCAGTTGACCGTACCAGTACATCAACCATGGGAGTCCCGACCTAAGTACCTTATCGATCGCAATGCTTCCTGATCCACACGGCTCCAACCCTACAGAGCGGAGATCAACGACGTCGAAATTTGAGTTGCTGCGAGACAGAGCGGTTCAATCCCAGACAACAACAACACTTCTTCTACCTATACATACCTTCCCGAGAGTATTGCCTGCCCCCGTCATGTCAGCCCGTATGTTTTGAAAAGACAGACCGAGGTCATAAGAACAGCCTTCTCGCCACCGTCTGCCGTCTCCGAGTGGCAATGGCCACGAGTGGCCACGACTTCCTCCCGTACTACGGTCCAGCAGCTCTCACATGAGAGATGTCGGAAATCGTATGCTGTGCGACCGGGAGATCATTCCTGAAACAAGAGCAGCAGGTCCGTACGAACATGGGCCACGCCGAGAAGGTCCAGAACGCGAGAAAACCCGAACCAGAGTTGGGCCAGCCCTTGTGGCTCTCAGTCACGGTCACGTTCCGGCTGAGGCGGGGCTAGGTGGCGCGTGAAAATGCCCCTTGTGCTTCGGCGTTGGATGAGCCGAAGCAAAATCCTAGAAATGGCCGTCCTGATGGCTTCTTGATAGACAAATTCGTGGAGAGATTTCCTTGGGCTGTGTCGCTTGCTGCTTAAGTATGAATGAGGATATTGAGCCCTCCCAATACCTATTTCGACCGACTCCGGGCAGCGGGTTATGGTGAAAATGTGGTATTTTCTACTGTGCATTTATCGGTATGATTTTTGGACTTCGTCATTACAGGTCACCTGAGGAAAACAAGCATCCACCTCCGGTGTATGTATCGCGCATTCCTTTATCGAATCAGTTAGGGGACATTAGAGACGTGTTCCGACTCTAAAAGTCGACCGAAAAATCCGATTCGGCTCACCTTATCATACGCATCCACCTCTCACGATATTTCTTGTTGCGCATCCCACCAAATGTCGATTCCGGCTCCGAGACTTTCGAAATGGGGGTTAGATAGCCCCCATCCTTGCAACGGTTTGTTGTTACACATCGCAGGAAACGTCGAGTACATGCTCGGTGGACATTGGCAGGCGATTTCGATACGGTATTTCCGAGTTCGCGACTACTTTGACAGTGACAAGAAGATGCCCAGGTCGTAATTCATCCTTGAAATTCGGCCAAACTTAAGGGGGTCCTGTCTCGTAGACCTCGATCCAAGATTGGGTTACACAATGTCGATCGAACCGATGTTTCTAGGGCTGAGTTGATGACTCTGGCTTCGCTCTCCAGGTCAATACCATTTTCAAGCGCTGCTGCTTCGATTAGCTACTCAATACATGCTTCAGGAAATCTTACTTGTGCAAGGCACTCGGCTCAAGGCCGACCTTCCCCAATATTTGGTTCCAGACTCTTTTTCGGCTTAACCAGCTCGGCATGTCCGAAGACTTTGCAAGCTGGAACAAATGTCGAGCTAGACTCGAATCACTGATCGAATACGTTCAGCAAGGGACTCATGTTCGTCCACCAGGCATGTTGCTCAGATTCCATGCTATTAGTACAACCGGGCCGTAAGCGCCATCCCATGCCCAAAACCATTCTCTAATCCTTCTTAAGCGGCTTGTAAATCTCCTCGATTCCGTTCTTCGTAACAATCAACATCTGTAGACCGTCACCGACCTCAATATGTCTCTCCACGGCACTGTCAAACGCATCCTTGACCAGATCCTCCACCTCGCTTCTCGGTAAGGGCAGCTTCTCTCTCTCCTGCAGCGCATGGCCAATTCCACTCCCTGGGATGTACTGATTCTTGAAGTTGACTTGGTTGTCCAAGAAAGGCATGATCAGACTGGCCGCTGCACCTGCTGCTCTGCATTGCTCCCGCTCGTAAGAGCCCACTGGGTCGTAGGAGTACACCGCCCCTCTTCCCTCCTCATCCAGGCCACCCAGAATCGCAGTGACGTAGTATGGGAAGAACCGCTTTCCGTACAGGATAGTAGATAGACGTTGCGCGCAGGCCTTGACGCTCATGGGCTTGCCGTGTTGGTATCTGTACATCTTCACAACTGCATCTAGGCGCTCCTTCAGTGCTTCTCCATCCGCGGCAAACCCAACGACAGAGAGAACCAACGTAGCGTCGTCTTGGGAAGAGGTTGTTCCGCCGATCTTGAAGACCTTAGGTGCGTATCGAGTGTTAATATTGTAGCCAGACGTCGAGCGGGTGTCGCCTGCCATGATTGTGAAGTCTGCGCCAGAGATTGCGAGAGTAGAGCCGCCGTTGTCTGTGTAGCTGTATAGACAGTCAACAAAGGTGACGAGGTAGAAAGCAGAGTAAGATCTTACGGATAGAAGCCATGTTGTTTGTTACCACCTGATGCGGTCGCAGGAGCCTGGTTGAAGGAGTAGTTTGGTCCGTTCATTAACGGATTCTGGCTGAACATTGCGGACATTGTAGATTCAGGGTCTGGAAGCTGAGTTGCAGAGTTGCAGAGATGTAAATCTGTGGAGGTGCGGAGTTGCGAAGTTCGGAAGTTTGGAAGTTCGTCACTTGTAGGTAGCTTGAGGTACGCGTGCCTGTACGGGTACTTAGCTTCAGCCTTTAGCGTAGATTTGTTAACAGGGGTACAGTTGCATGGCTAAGCAAGTAGCGCCCCGACCGGCGACCGGGAATCTTGATACTTTAGTTACATGAACATAGTTGCCTATGCTACGCTAAGAGACGTTGACTTGCGATTCTGGAAGGAAGTGCAGGAACGGGCGAATAGGCATTGAAGGCTTACTATGGATATGTATAACACCTCACTCGAATATAAATCTCCATTGTGCATTCTACTAAGATCAATGCAGTACTTCCAGCAACATCCGCCGAAAGGCTCTACAGAAAATCGCGGCCTTGTCCGCAACCTCATCTCCAACTACCTTCGAAAGTTCAGATCTCGAGCGGCTCTGCAAAGGCTGTCCCGCAAAGACCAATGTAAAATCCAATGGAACCGGAGTGGCTGGACTGCTGTCAGGTTCACCTATGGTATGGCCCAGCTAGGAGACGAACACGATACAGACTGATTGGGACATAGAACATACGGGAGTTCGACGTCCTGCTGGCTCTCTGCAAAGCCGCGCCGCTCTTGGAAACACCCCAAAGTGCTCAAAAGCTGGTGGAGCAGCTTTCTCCCTACATTCTGGAAGCCCATACACAAGAGTTTGTGCCTTCGCCTTTCTTCCGCGATATCGAGCCCTCCCCGATCGAGGCTCTAAGTTATCACCTCACTACGGCTCTGCTCTCGTTGGGAATCAACCACAAATTTCTAGGAGGAGCGGTTTCCGAGAAGCTATGGGGCTATCTCCGTCACTGCTTGACTGCCGCTGAGGCAGCCTCCTCCCTTCACGTCGCTGGACTGCAAGACGGTAGTGTAACCGAAGTAGAAGATGCTATGAACGTCGCAAGTCTCACGTTGTCAATTCTTGGATTCCTGGATGCGGCCGCGACATATGCGAATTTCTGGAACCCAGCTGACAGACTAGCGTTGATCGAACGTACACAAAGAGTTCTGTCCGAAGGCTTCTTGCTGGCCGTTGAGACGGCATTCTCAACTATCAGGAATTCTAACTCGCAACATGTGAACATTAGAGAGTGGAAAAGATACGCCCGCCATTATGCTGCTATCGGACGCCCTCTTGGAGCCATGCTTCTTCAACGAAGCTTGATGTGGCTTTTGGTTGCTGGAACCTCACTTCTCGTTGCTGATATTTCTGTACTCAGGGGAAGTGATGTCTTGGACCTACTAATGTCGGGTACCTCAATCTTGAAATCCGATGCTTCTGGAGCTGATGAACCAGATTTCGCAACTATTGAGACAATGGCGGATATTGCTGCTGAAGAGATGAGCCTTCTTGAGGACGGTGCTGACTACCTGCGACTTGGATCGGCGTGGCAAAAAAGGCTGGCATTTTCTGTCAAGGCTGGCGCATTGACAAGCTATTTAAACTGTACTCTGCTCAACGAGGATGCCGCAGACGCTGAAATATTGATGACCTGGCTCGAGGAGACCCTTGCAGATTCAGTACAGATGGCTGATGAGACGCTTGCCAGTGTGGTACTCCGCTCCATGGCCTTGATATCTAAATTATCTCCTGAGTTTGCTCCTCATGTAAGTCGACTGCTACCACGGTTCATCGTCCAAGGTGGTGCTCGAGGCCAGACCATTGCCGTCGCATCTACTTGCCTAGCCTACGTTCTGCAAACACTGTCCCAAGATGCTATCATCACGACTCTGTATACTCTTGGAAACGTTCTCAGCTCCAGGGCGAAACCAGAGAGAGCCCTCAACGGTGTATTCAACGGGGATTTGAACATGGAAGGAAGCCCCAACTCTACCTTTTACCCCGGAAAGCAATCCACGGGAAGTTCGATATCGCTGGTAATTAGTGGAGATGAAGATACCTCGGAGGTGTATGAAAATGTGGTTCAGGCCGTATGTGGTGTTGCTGACCGTTGCAATGATCCCAAGATCACAGCCTTGGCCCAATCTATGCTTCTCCAGAAGATTGATAAGGTCAGTCGGTCCGTTGACGCAACGATCATTACGGAAACAACAGCGTTAGCTCTACACGGAGGTCAGCTGGAATTTCGCTCTCTGCTCAAGCTATACGCTCGGATCAGCCATGATGGGATTATGTCAAAGAATGATGCTTTAGTCAATGCAGTGAGCACAGGAGAATTTGAAACCAAATAATTTTCCTAAACTGACTATTGCAGGTTACGAGAGGTCGTAATTACCTGTCGGCCCGTCTGAAGAAGGAATCGCCACTCTACGAGATCTATCTCCAGCATCTACTGGAATCCATCATTAGCTTGGGAGATGTTCACCAAGCTCAAAACTCGGGAGAAGCAGACGTTGAAGTCGCTGCGAACGAGATTGCCCAACTGCTACAACCTCTTGCAGTGCTAATGTCAAGCAATAACTTGGCAAACGAAGAGGAATTGAACGAGGAGACAATATCAATGATCCGTGATGCCTGGTTCAATGTCGTCGTTCACGGTTTTAGTACCGCTACTGAACTTGGCAAGAAATACCTGAGCGAATTGAGGCTCATCGCCATTCATTCGCAGCCTCTTGTTGCTGAGCAAAAGGGAGACCAGATCGAGAGCGATATTGAACTGAACACCATCCTTCGCCGTGGTATGAGCTCAGAGCGCGAAGCGGCTCAAAAGAAACGTCTTACGGCGCTCATTCCTTCAAAATCCTCGGATATAAGAGGCCTAAGCTACCGAAAAGTGATTTTCCTCCAAGCTGCGTTCCTTGTCGAGACACTGCGAGCCGACTCAGGCGATTGTACCAAGGCTTTTACATATTTCCTGGAGCCCAGTATGAGGAAAGGAGAAATGAGCAGTGCTATGGATTCCATTATGCAGACTGTCATGGATATCTATCTGCACAAGACTATGACTGGGCTGAACCCAACCTTTTCGGCCCCTTACGTTGCGAGGCAATTGGCGTCCATATTCAGTGGTTGTTGCTATCGTATTGAGAGAGTCCAAGAAGCTGCAATGAGCTGTGCTGATAAGATAATCCGAGACGTTCCTTCTGCTCTTTGTCACAAATCGTCGCTCTTCGCACTTCTTGAACTCCTCTCCCTGATGTGGACCAGTTGCTTGGAGGCCGAGACAGACGAGTATGAGTGGAAGTCATCCTTCACATCTACGCGAGGCCAAGTCATGATAGAGTTGTCTGATGACTTTGACCTTCGCCGCCGGACTCTCAACAGCCTCTATAAACAGGCCAGAGCATGGGTGACGTCCGTGATAAATATAGCTCCTCAGGATGTCAAAGGTCTCCTCCAGACGTATCTCTCTGAGTATGATGACGAGGGAGCCTATGGGCATGTCTCTTTGGGAAGGTCTTTCGCAACAGAAATGGGGTCGCTCATTCCCGGAACAGATCAACGTCTCGGTGCTATAGACCGCCATGGAGATTGCAAGATCAACACAGCCTCTGACTTCATAGCTCAGTATACCACTCGGCAGGAATATCGGCACGCGGAAGCTCTTCCAGATCACGACGCAGAGTGGCTGCATTTCATGCACTTCGACAAGCGACGGGACTCGAACACTTCGAAAATGGACAAGGACCTTGAAGACGCTAGTACAGTGCTTTCGAATTTGGAGGCCCGAACCCTGCAGCACAAGTACATCCCCATCGGTGAGCTTCGAGACATTCTGAGGAGAGCCGCTGCGTTGCTGTGCAGAACCAGGAAAGATGAGTGTGCCGTTGTGCACCATCTCGTTGGTATCCCGTTTTCAATCTTCACCAAACAGTCCATCAAGCTGGGTATCTCTCTGTGGCTAGGAGTGATCAATGAGAACCCTCGAATGGAGCCACGAATTCTCATGGAAATTGCTCAGCAATGGGAAGCTACTGTCCATAAACGTTTGGGTATCTTCAACTCAAAATTCCTGTAAGTCTTCAGCTTTACTGTTGAAAATTATCGTTACTAATCCTCAAAGTCATCCTGATCCATTCTACATCAAAGAAGAGTTTGCACCTAGCGACAGACTCTCTTTGTTGAAGAAGCAACAGATTGCGCACAATTTACTGGCACCACACATGCGCCTCCTCCAATTTCTAGGGAGCCATTTCAATGCAACCCGTCGAGGGAGCCCAAACATCGAGAAAATCTTCTTAAGACTTTTGGACGTGACCCTTGATGGTCTCAAGCACGCTACTGGCCACCCTCTTGCACGAGAAATCAGGTTCCAGATCATCTTGTTCGCTCTGAAGGTATTAAGGCATAGCATCGCGCTCAACTTCAGTTCCAGATGCTTGCTGAAGGACCGAATTCTGTCGGCTGCCCTGACTTGGTTCACTTTCCCACCCTGTTGGTCTTTTGGTGGCAACAGACTTCGGTTGAAAGCCGAGACCCGTCTTCTTTCGGACGTGTCCACGGCGCTGAAAAATGTGCAGCTGTTTGGTGGCAAACCATCGCCTCTTTCCAAGACACTTGAAGCTAAAGAAAGCCTGCTTCAAGTTCTGATCGAGAGCGAACTTGTGAGACTGAGTGTTTGGCTGCATCCTCTGAATGAAGCCAGAGATGCCTACGGCCCAGGTCAAAATTCCAAGGGCCCTACCGAGGCCGCTTTGCTTGGACTTGTAAGGACGGCATGGGCCGAGAGTCCATCACTGGCGGTTCAATTAGTCTCGAGATTTCCGTCGCCCAAACTTCACAAAGAGGTTAGATGGCTTCTGATCAACTTTCCCGACAAAGCTGTCTCAGAACCAGAAGCTGTCCAGCTTTTGTTAGGACAAACTTTACCCAGCGATGTTTCCTTCCAGCTAAAAGTATGTTCATCTGGAATTCTCACTCTGAATCCACTAACATCCGTAGCATCTCTTATACTGGTCAGCGGTCAATCCAATCACGGCAGTCACCTTTTTCCTGCCCGCATATCTAAACAATCCGTTTATACTTCAGTATGCGATGCGGGCTTTGGAGAGTCACTCGGTGGATGTGACATTTTTCTTCGTTCCGCAAATTGTCCAAGCTTTACGTTATGATGGCCTAGGTTATGTTGAGCGATATATTGTCGAGACCGCGAAATTTTCTCAACTCTTTGCCCATCAAATCATCTGGAATATGAAAGCGAACGCGTACAAGGACGAAGATTCACAGATTGTAAGCTTTGAATTACATTTGCAGAGATAGAGTACTAATTGCGAGATAGCCGGATGTCGTAAAGCCAACACTCGACAAGGTGATGGATCGCATGATTAGTGGGTTTTCTGGAACTGACAAGACATTCTACGAGCGGGAGTTTACATTCTTCGATGAAGTCACAAGCATCTCCGGAAAATTGAAGCCATTCATCAAGGCGCCAAAGCCCGAGAAGAAGCAGAAGATTGAAGAAGAACTTCGCAAAATCAAGGTCGAAGTTGGAGTATATCTACCGAGTAACCCCGATGGTGTTGTGATAGGTATCGACCGAAAGTCCGGCAAGCCACTTCAAAGTCACGCCAAGGCTCCTTATATGGCAACTTTCCGGATCAAGAAGAATATTGGAGATATGGAAAGCACTGACGAGATGTTGGAGGAGACCAACAAGACTGACTCCGTGCCCCGGGAGAATACTGTTGAAGTGTGGCAGTCTGCCATTTTCAAAGTCGGGGATGATTGTCGGCAAGATGTCCTGGCTCTCCAGATGATTGCTGCCTTCCGGGGGATCTTCCATGATGTCGGCCTCGACGTTTACGTATTCCCCTACCGGGTCACTGCGACTGCTCCAGGCTGCGGTGTGATCGATGTCTTGCCAAACTCCATTTCGCGTGATATGGTTGGACGAGAAGCTGTCAATGGGCTCTACGACTACTTCGTCTCGAAGTACGGCAATGAAGACTCGCTACGCTTTCAAGAAGCGAGAAGTAACTTCGTCAAGAGTATGGCCGCTTACTCGCTCATCTCCTTCCTACTCCAGTTCAAGGATCGTCATAATGGAAACATTATGATCGACGACGCAGGACACATCCTCCACATTGATTTCGGTTTTTGCTTCGACATTGCACCTGGTGGTGTCAAGTTCGAAAGAGCTCCATTCAAGCTTACTTCTGAGATGATGGCTGTCATGGGTGGACGAACGGATCATCAGGCGTTCAAGTGGTTTGAAGAGCTTACCATCAAGGCTTTCCTGGCTTGTCGACCTTATGCCGAAAAGCTATCTCAGCTTGTGCGCCTGATGCTGGATTCTGGACTGCCCTGTTTTAAGCCAGAAACTATTCAAAATTTCAAGGATAGATTCGTGCTAGAAAAGAGTGAAAGAGAGGCTGCCGACTTCATGAAGGGATTGATCAAGAGGAGTTATTCCAGCTACTCCACTGGAGGTAAGCTGAGACTCTTCATGTCCATACTGACTTTTGCTAACGTTGCCTTCTTTAGTCTACGATCAGTTTCAACTAATGACTAATGGCATTCCCTATTAGTAGTCTGTAGCCAGACCATGAAAACTTGTAGACGAACTTTGCCAATGAATTGGATGTACTACCTGCCCACCTAACCAGGACGTTCCTCATAATATGTGTTAGAACTCATGTTTTTGAATGATTTTTGTATAGGTTCTGTATAATTTTGTTTGGTGATATCTGTCTATGTCCGGTCAATAATCCTATCAGCTTGAGTTTATTCAACTAAAGGCCGGCTGCTCCTGGGACTTATAAGTCTCGAGCTCCACTGAGCACTGGGTACTCTCACTACCCAGACTGGATCACAAAAATCAAGTGTTGATTTCAGAATGGATGCCCCTTTTACGCTCGACACTCGGGCAGCAACGGGTTTCAAGAGGCCTCTGCGTAAGACTACCATCGGCCCTCGTACCTCCCTGAAGCCGGTAGCAGGTCTTTTGAGGGACAACATGAGTCTACGCCGTGATAGACCTTGAAGGATATTTTCACTCACAGCTTTCCGTCCTTCTCGTTGCCAGTTTAAGTATAACATTTCAACAGTGCTCAATGTCGTATGGGATCAAGGACATCCGATTCGCTTGGTGTGAAATCGGGATTGACTCTTGAGATCAGGGATTGTCTGGGTAAGTGACGAGAGTCTATGGGCTTAAATTGCCATCTTGATTGGAGAGAGAAAAGAAGGCTTCCGCAAAGAAGTTTAGCTGCTTTGCAGATATACGGTGAGAGGAATGCAGAGGGAGAGGTGGCATGCATTGCATGGCAAATTTTCTTGCATGGACATCTCGAGTGAATTGCTTCAAGAACTTGTCCCAGTAAATGCATAGACTTCGTTCCAGTTTTCAAGAGCCGCTGTCGCTTTTGCTTTGATATCGGGCGGGCATCCTTCTGTACTGCCTGGGAACTTGCTCTGGGCGTGAAATTCCACCTCTATCAACGCCCCATATGCCAGATGACTCCGTGACTCCCGTCCAATGCTGCCTTCAAGCCCCATCGTGCCTTGCGAAAACGTCTCACTCAATCCGCAGAGATGTACATCACTGTAGCGAGTCGTTAGCATTCCCCCCTTCCAAATAGGACCAGAAAGAGAAGGCTTGCCGTTGTTCCCCCGTACGAAAGCATCACCATAGCTTCTCCTCTTCACCCCATCGACATGCTCTTCGCATTTCTCTAGCGCAAGGTTCATGTATCCATCTATGCTTTGCAACTCTCCTTAAACGGGTATCAGGACAATGTACCCGGAGAAGAGGCTCCCAGACCAACCTTTGTACACAACCCCGCTGTTCAACTTCACAGTCACTGAGCTTCCGATGATCTCGCTGAGGAACCCGGACGGGTCCTTGCCCTCACCTTGTGTCATGCCGTTCTCCATAGTTGCTTGCGGTGGTGGTGTCTCGAGGACCCGTTGAGGTTCAGATTGGACAAGCTGCCGCAAAAGTAACTTAAGGTAATGGTGGTGGGTTCCGGCCTTGGATCGCGATATTTGCTAAGGCCTCGGATCGGAATTGAACATGGGTTTCGTAGCCTGCGGCCTTGTCACGTTATCGCGCGTGACCGCGGGACCAATCCGACCTGAGTAATCTATGACACTCTCGTATTTTGCACAACACTTGCAGGCTGCCAGCGCAATGGAAGACGACGACTTTGGCAATATGTCTGCTGAGGAGGTGGCCCCAGTCAAGCCGGCGAAGAAATCACTTTTCAGCAAGAGAATAACAGTCAAACCAGCCCCCGAGGGTGAGGGGGAGGGAGACGAGGTCGAGTTCTTCAGCCGCGCAAAGGTTCTCTACCCTGTGAGAGCCGCAGAGCAGAAGCGCAAGCAGCAGAAGAAACAGGTGAAACTCGAGAGGAAGAGATCATCGACGAGCGCGGAGACTACGCTGAGTCCGTCTGGAGAGAAGAGGAGGCGTGTCTCTTCGCTGAACACAACATACTCGTCGGACGAGAATGTCGTGAAGAAAGGTGAAGGCGCGACGCAATATCAGAGGTGAAATACAATCATTCGGCATACTCGAGCTGCTTCTGAGTTTATTTTAGTGGATCTATTGAAAGCAAAGCCCACGGCTCCCCAACCTCGCTCTCTGCCAGATACAGCAACGAGTTGCGCAAACCCCGGTTCTCGAAGGACGAGGCACCAGCGAATAGGAAAGGATATCTCTCTCTGAGTGATAGCGAGAGTGACAGCGAGAAGGGACCCGCCGAAACATTGCCTGTTCGAATCCCAGCCAACCGACCGATAGATCTAGACAGTGAGGATGATTTTGAAACTGTCTCCAGGAAAACTCCCGCGCCACCTCCGCTTCCGCCCGTTGAGGACAAGACTGAAGAATCCGAGGAAGAGTTTCCAGAGTTAGTGGCTGCAGCACTAGAACGCGAGAGACAGAAGGTTGCAAAGAAAGTGAGCGAAAGCGTGGCTTCACAAGGACAACCCGATGGACATGACTTCGGCGATCCCTTTGACGGATACGGTACAAACCACAATACTGATCCTGTTATCGACGTATTGATTACTTCCCAAATCGAAAACTCGACGGCTTTAAGGGTCAAGAGAAAATTATCGCAACAGCTGAAAATTGTAAAAACTTCCTGGTGCGATAGGCAGCGGTTTGATGGACAGCCTATGACTCCAGAAGCTCGAGATCAGATATTTCTGACTTGGAAGGGGAACAAATTATTCGATTTCAACACATGCAAATCGTTGATTGACCCAAAGAGCCGGGAGTTTTCAGACGACCTAAGCGAGGATGGAGCTCAACTGGTTCACCTTGAGGCCTGGACACCTGAGATATTCGCCATATGGAAGCAACGATGCGAGGAGAAATTAAGGAAAGAGCGGATCGAGGCTGGCGAGGAAGAGGCACCAGTAGAAGCGCCGGTGAAGAAGACCAAGCTCGTAATGAAGTCCAAGGACACTGAGTACAAACTTGTGGTGAAGCCGCACACGACTGTTCAGAAAATGATCCAGGCTTTTCGACGGGAAAAGGAGATCCCAGAGGAGAAAGAGATCACGCTTCACTTGGATGGAGATCAGCTTGATCTAGAATCAAGAGTTGAGGAGCTGGACCTAGAAGACATGGACAATATTGAGGTCCATATCCACTGATTTTCCTTGGGGTCATGGGCCGGCGTTTCCAAGGGGAGGGGACATGGTTTCTATAGATACCCGGAGGTGGTCTTGCAATGGTATTGGCTGGTTATTTGGATCCGATACCGAGATCGTTTTATTGATATGGATGGCTCGTGGATCTTGGATCTTGGTTCTGTCTCCCTGGTGCACTTCGATGTGATATCCGCGAACAGTCTTCTTCACTTTCCGCCAGACGCGAAGGATTCGCGTAAGTCAGTCAGTCATTACGGACGGTGTACGAAGTAAGTTCGAACCGATGTGACCGACAGGTAGATGGATTAGATTAGATTGATAAGATAAGTAAGTACATAAGTATGGAGTTGTACCTTGCTTCCAGTCCCATCGTATTCTTATCTCAGTGGGGACGGTCCCCCCGGCAGCTATACCAAACTCGAGAACTCTGTACGTCACATATCTCTTTTGACACCGTACCGTACCGTACCGCACGGAGGTATGTTACCAATGCCTCGGCAGCCAGTCGGCGGAATCGAAACCTGTTGGGAATTCAGTTCTGCATATCAATCATCTCATCCAATTCAACTTAACATGTCCGAAGAACGCGTCTCTCCGCATGGAAAGATCCATCGTCCGCGGGGTTTCCTGCCTGTGGGCAATGAAGACGGAGCAAGTCCCATGGCTACGCATGGCCAAGGCACTCTTGCCAGCTTGATAAAGTCGCGCTCGAATCAATCTCTGCCGGCCATGCTGCGCAAGCCAGCTTCGCTTCGAGCCAGAGATCCGGCCGATGAGGAGGAAGCGGGCGAAACGCTCTCGCGGGAACTCGACGATAGCGATGATTTCATGAGCACCGACGAGCGACGATTGAGTCTCATCCTCAACGGCCCCCAGATGCGCTCGCAGCGGCTGATCGGCAATTCCAACCCAAGATACAGATGGGGTAAGTAGTCGTGGAGCAGCATCTCGCCGAGCTTTTAGATAGTGAGGAGCGGTTGGGCCGTTCGAAGCTTTCTCTAAGAGGGCTCTTCTGACACACTGACAGAGAGGTATTGGAGAACGGAAGAAGAATTGAAGGGAATGAGCAAACCAATGTGAGCGGTGTCAACCATGTCGTGAGACGTTACTGATTCTTTTTATAGACGCGGGTATTATGAGCGTACCAACAGCCTCTTGCAGCAATACATCTACATTGACCGGTTACTGGACTCGTCGCTCCCTCACGATCTGCTGAATGAATATAATAATACGCCGGGCACTGGTCACCAAACATCGTTGCGCGACGTTGAAGTCCCTGCCACCATTTCGGAGGAACCCTCGATACCTGCGTCGCCTGAAGATGACGATGTCGCCGTAAATGGAACATTGTCGAGGAAGGTCAAAAGAACGCCCAGGGAGCTGTACAAAGTTCCTAGCGAGGTGACGCCTCTGCTTGGACGACGACATGACGAAGAAGAGGATGACTGGGACGGACCGAGACCAGAGATTCCCGGGATGGAAGACGATAGTGTCGAGAGTGGTGACAGAGTTGTTCAGATGGCTATCTATATCAACCTAGTAGCTAACGCAGTCCTTCTCGTTGGAAAGATTGCAGTCATAGTGCTCACCAACTCTCTCTCGGTGCTCGCGTCGCTCGTTGACGCTGCTCTTGACTTTCTGAGTACCGCGATCGTATGGACGACTACGAGGATGATTGAGTCCTTAGACCATTATCAGGTCAGTATATCTCACGAACGCTCAAGGACTGAGCTCATTTCATGGTCCCTGGGAACCTGTATCACGAAACATCCAGCATGCTGACTGTTGTGCAGTATCCAATTGGCCGAAGACGCTTGGAGCCGATTGGTGTGCTGGTATTCTCCATCATCATGATCACTTCCTTCTTTCAAGTAGCACTTGAATGTATCAGCACGCTTAACTCTGGAGACCACTCCATCATCGAACTTACCTTTCCGGCGATCGTAATTATGTCTAGCACAGTCATCGTCAAATTCTTCTGCTGGCTGTATTGTCGGTTGATCAAGAACTCAAGCGTACAGGCTCTTGCCCAGGACGCCATGACAGACATCATCTTCAACATTTTCAGTATTATATTTCCTCTCGGCAAGCGAAACCGAACTTGGACTTGTCTTTCACATCACTAATTGTTCGATAGTTGGTTTTTACGCGAAGCTTTGGTGGATGGATGCCCTAGGAGGTCTTGCTCTTTCTCTTTACGTCATCTTCAACTGGGCAGGAACTTCCGCGGGCCATATTCGCAATCTGTCGGGAGGAGCAGCAACAGCCGACGAGCGTAACGTGCTTCTCTACCTCACAATGCGTTTCGCGAAGACTATCAGGCAGATCCAAGGCCTTCAAGCATACCATGCCGGAGACAAGCTCAATGTTGAGGTTGATATTGTCCTCGACGAGAACATGAGTTTGAGAGACAGTCATGATTTGGGAGAGTCGTTACAGTAAGTACTTCCAGTTTCTGATCTTGTGGTCCCTGATTTTATGAGAGCACACCACTGTCTATTTGCACAATCAATCATGTCGAGTTGGCCCTTGTCTTCAAGCGATGCTGACTTTCAATTATCTAGGTATGTTCTGGAATCAGTCCCAACTGTTGATCGAGCTTTTGTACATCAAGATTATGCGTCCTGGAACTTGCCTACGCACATGCAACAACAGGCAGAGTAAACGGGGATGGTATGGGACAGGATTTGGGCAGGTGCTCGGCTCGGCTGGGTTGGGTTGGGTTGGGTCGTCAAGGTTTGGATGGATGGTCTATCAACGGAGTTGGGCGGACGTGTTACATTGACTTCTCACATTCTTAGGTACGACTGTAAAAAGATTCTAACCCGTGCATGAACAGTATCGCCTTTGCTGTTCGGTTCGGACGTCTGCGGGGTTATATTAGGAGACTATTAGGGGATAGGTGGACGGGTGGACAAGTGGACAGGTTCAATGTCCATGGTGCGCGTGGTCTTTGTTATCCTATCCCAAGCCACTTTGCAACGACATTGTAGGAGTAGTTGTTGTAGGAGTAGTAGTTGTAGTAGTAGCAGTTGTAGTAGTAGTTGTACCGGTAGTAGTATTTATTTACGTCGGGCGGGTATCCAAAACGCAATGCTTGGACCCTAGGACCTCCTACGGGTACGGCGACGTGCTAAGTAGAAGAATTGGACACAAATTAATATCCAATGCAGAGTAAAAATCAGGTTAGGGAAAAGCTCTCTTTTAGATACCCCGGGTTTCTCAGCTCGCAGTATCGCAGACTCCTCGTAAAACCCTTAAAGCGTTTTAAAAAATCTGCATCGAGTTGTCTCTCAATAGCTATCGAGAACGGGTGGCCCTACGGGCTGCCTCGGTGCGTTTGAATGTACAAACATCGTTCTCAATATTATCGTAGTGCGATAAAGGCCCCACGTCCGTAGCCCCTATGTCGAGTCGGTGTGTTTGCAGAGCGCTTTTAGCGAAGGCGCAATACCGTGTTTTCGATCGATGGAACTGAGCCCTTCCCATCTCCCATACCCATCCCCCCCTCTCTCGCAAAACCTCTTGGGTCTTTGCAGTCGGTATGCCCATCAGGTATATATCGTGGTCGACGCAGTGTTTGAGAAAGAGGCAGAAGGGAGGTTCGGAACCGCCGGGAAGGGAAAATCTCTTCGAGGAGATACCGCATGTCGACGATCACTCTCTACCGCAGGAGAGGGAGCTGCAGGTTCGTAGGAGACACCTCGTTCGGGTGAAGAATCGTAGCCCCCTCGATGCATACTCTAAAGGATGTCGGATGCGGCTATAACATATACGAAGTCTGGACTCTGGACTCTGGACTCTGGAATTTACACCCGCACTTGGCACTCTGCACTTTACACTTTACACTTTACACTTTATACTTTGCCCTCTGCATTCCACACTCTACTAGAAGTACTACTACAGTACTTACTACATTCTATACCCTTGTACTTGCAACAGATACTACCTACTACCTACCTTAGTTGTACTACGTACTTAACGAGTGACTATTTATTGCTTATTGACATGCCATCCTTTAGTGTGCGCCGCACGTATGCATGAGTTGACCCCTGGAATGCACGGGTAAACTACCTAGGTGATGGCAATGATACCGTACTACTACTAAGTACTAGCTTGCATGGCATGGCTTGAAAGAAAACAACAGTGCGGTCGGGAGAGGGATGAGAAGGTGGTCGGCTACTGTAGCAGGCTGGCAGGATACCGGTACTAGGTAGTAGTAGTAGTTGGTTCACGGATGATGCTCTTTGAACTTTTAGTTCACCGAAATTGGGAGCTCATTCGCTTAATCTTGTTTTCGTTCCCAAATGAAGCTTCAATATCCCAAGTTTGGGTTTAAGCAAGACTCGAGAGGTTTCAATTTCCGATAACACGGCCGAGCCACATTGGGGAGCCACACTGGGGTGGAGACTTTGGATGAAAGGTCAAAGGTCCACGTTGATCTTGGTTGGGACTTGGAAGTCTATACTTAACTGTCAGGACTCAAGAATAGTCAAAGTATATACTACTAAGTACCCGAAGATGCCCGTTCCGAGGTCAATGGCATCGCCTTGTTTGACGACGACAGTGACAGAGCATTTCCTGAGCCGTGCTGCTTCGCACCGGAAACAAGTTGCATCAAACAGTTACTAACAAAACACATGTACTTTTTCCTACTGGCAACTAACTGTCTGTACCTGAGGAGGTAATTGTGAGGTCTGGACAGGACAGGACAGGACAGGACAGGACAGGATAGCAAGTACGGAAGAGACTCCTCTCCTCCTCTAATACCAATCGACAATCACAAGGCTGGCTCCTCAACATCTACGTAGACGTGCAAATACTTCTTCTGCACTGCATCCATTTCAATTTCAAGATCCTATATCCTATATCCCCGAGTCCAATATCCACCACGCCTGAATTTTGAGATTGTGGTTCATGGTCCGTGGTCTTGGAAGCGGCTTGGTGGCCCAGGGACGAAAAGCCCACGCCTCCGGAGCTAAGGCGCTGCCCAGCCTAGTGAAAACACGAACGTCCGAATCCATCTAGGTACCCATCCTCCACCTCCTGGATTCTGCTCCCTTCAACCTCGCCGGCGTCGTGAAGATTCGCATCAGTTGTCCCAGCATTGCTATCGCCTTACGCCTTCCTTTACTGTTCTGTCCTGTCTGTCTGTCTGTCTGTCTGTCTGTCTCTGTCTGTCTATCTGTCTGTCCGTTGCCTCTCTATTCTTGTAAGTTTCCACTCTCCTATTATCTCGTTGTTATTGTTGTTGTTGTTATTGTCGTCCCACCTCCCCCCCCCCCAAGACTTGTCTGGACTCGGACTCCCCTAGGAAAACATCTAAAAATATCGCGACATCAATAATCAACAACCACTCGATTTCTCGAATCGCCTCTCCTCTCCAACCTCTGCAACCTCGTCGATATTCCTACTCCAGCAACGATACTGCCGTAAAGGGTTGAGCGCTTGTCTACGGGTCTGAGATCATCTTCGTCACTCCACGTCTGCCCTCGCGTGCTCAACACGACCATTTCCCCCTTTTACCCTGATAGCAAGCTGCCCCGAGGACGAGTTATTGTGTCTGCACGCATCCGGGCTCGATCAATCTCAGCTATATGACCCCACCAGTCCACCAGTCCACCGGTCCCAGACGTCGGATACCTGCATGAGTTGTGGAATCTGTGCTAATACCTACCTGCGGGTTACCTAGCAGAAGGCCTTCTCTCCCTCATTACGATACTTTATTACCAGTCCCTTTACGAAATATCTACCCCACCTCTTTCTGGGCGCCGCAGACTTGGCCACTTTTGCCACAAACAAAATATAATATACCCGTCATTTTTCCTCAGCACTGGGCGACCTGCTTGTCGTATGAAGTCGAGGACGATTCTTGGTCGTTCTCGAATATAGTATATCTACATGCCGAAGTTTTCCAAAGGGTTTGGGCGGCGGAAATCCACCTTAAACGAACTTCACGATTCCCGGGGAGCAGGAGTGGAATCATCCTTCAAAGTGATTGAGCGTGAGGATCCCGCCAGCAACTCTTCAAACGGCGGGAGGAATCTTGGGAAAGCCACCACGGTGCCGCCACTGGGACCAAAGACCTCGGTGCTAGCAGACGATGACAACTTGTTTGAAAACATTTACAACCGGTAGGAATCTCGTGGCACGCAAACCCTCCTCGCACTGTCTGGGGAGATACAGACACTTTGTCGAAACAGTTACTGATTGCTATATAGTGACAGTGGTGCGTCCAACACGAATACCATGTCCACGACTGATAATTCATCTCGCTTGAGTGCAGCGTCAACGGCTCCTTCTTCAACGGATGTGCCGAGGCGCGAAGACTGGAAATCCCCTCACGACAAGCCATTTAGTGACATTCCGGTGCCTCCAGTTCCCAAGTCAACTTCGGCCTTTTCTTTGAAGAACGCAGGCCGCACTCTCTCCTGGGGACGATACAACAAGTCGACTTCACCGCTTCCTGCTAAAGAAACTCCCCCGGACTCTCCAGACATCGAAGATAGCAAATCTTCCGGCAGGGAGCGAGCTGTGACAGCCTCCAGCTACGCAAGCACAGCTACACCTCCGAAGTTGGAAGAAAAAGATTTGGGACTGAGTCTAGGTGGAGATTTTTCCGAAATGTTTAGCGGCGGTTTTGGAACCCGAAGGAGCGTAGTATTAGAGACGGAGACAAACAGAGCCTTGACGAGGAGCCCTGTAAGGTCCCCTGCCCACGTTCAAATCTCCGAAAATTCTGACTCTTGAATAGGAGACAGTGCCGCCGGGACCCGTTTCTGCTAATCGTTCTCTCACAGCAAGTCGCTTTAACCAACCATCCCCTCTCAGCATTGATAGAAACCAGGAGGTCGAGCCCTCGCCATACTCATGGAGCAGCCAGCATTCTCATGACGGTCTGATGGGGAATTCGAGTCCCGCCTTCGCCCGTCACAATACACCACCCCCTGTTCCGAAGCACGCCGCACCACGGCCAAACGATAGCGCGTCCTCGTATGCCAAGATCGAAAAATCTGGGGGAGCAGCCAACGCCAGTAGCGGGCTACAACGGAGTAGTGCCAACATGGAACCAAAACGAAAACCTAATCTGGAGTTTGGGGATGCAGCTGATGAAGAAGCCAGGCTTCTGCGGGAGTCCATGGGGAGTGTGACTCAACACACCAACGAACCAGGCCATGATTCTAGAGTCCATGACAGCTGGACGTTGCCCTCAACCACGGCATACAAGGTAGACGACTCGAGACTAGCAAGCTGGGGTACGGGGTCCGACACAACTCCGAAAGCAAAGAAGCCCTTGGCAAAGATGTCCGAGGAAAATATGTTTGACGTTCAAATTGCTGCCTCGGCAGGTTTGGCTCAACGATTTAACGAAAGATCTCTGTCTCCGCCAACGCAGCAAAATGCCCCGCAGAACAAAGTCATGACACCCGCCCAATTCGAAAGATATAAGCAAGATCAGGAGCGTTTGAGAACCTCTGGAGGACCTATGAAGGAAGAGGAGGAGGAGGAGGAGGAGGAAGAACCATATGACGATGATGAGGATGAGGCTGAAAAGAACAAGCAGCTCGCCAAACAGCGTCGCAAGCAGGAAGCCCACATGGCAGTATACCGGCAACAAATGATGAAGGTCACTGGAGAGGCCATCCCTCCCCCTCGCCCAAGCGTCTTAGCCACGCAAAGCAGTCCGAACCTGGCCCTTCCAGCAAACGTCGAGGAGGCCGAAGAGGAAGACGAGGAAGTGCCTCTGGCAATATTGCAGGCACATGGATTTCCAAACAAGGGGAAACAGCAAATGCGAAGTATGGGCTCAAACCCGAACCTTCGCTCTTCTGCGGGTGGAGTTGTGACTGGTGCAGGTGGCGGCAACCTTCCGGTATTTGCTCGAAACCTGCCACAAGATCCGTATGTTGGCGCGGGACTTGTGAACCCTATGCACAGAGAGTCTTTGCAATACGGCGGCGGAGCCGGCTCTGTGAACGGAGAGCCCCCTCGAGGTCTTCCTCCTGGTGGACTGGTTGGTGTGATAGCTACCGAGGAGAGATCCCGAGCCATGAGACGAGGCAGTCCGAACCCTCAAGGGGGATTCGGTGCCTCTACACAGGGTGGTGGATTCAATCCCATGATGGGAATGCAACCGCCCGCAGTTGGCAGCCCTTACAACGGGATGGGGCCGGCACCTATGGGTGGGATGGGGCCAGGTGGTATGGGCCATATGCCTCCCATGATGATATCACCAGGAGACCAAGCCCAAATCCAGATGTCCCAGCAAATGTCGCAGTTTATGGCGATGCAGCTGCAGTTCATGCAGCTGATGGCTACTGGCGGCCAAAGCAACTCCCCAAACCAGATGCTCTCGCCAGTGGAGAATCAGCGCCCCGGTAGCGCTCATCACACTCGCCCGGGGAGCGCCCACCTTCAAGGTGCATCCCACCAGAGGGCCATGACCCTGTTAGACCCAAACGCCGTTCCGTGGATGAACAGTGGAGGAGGGAGTCAGTATTCCCCCTCGCAAGGCGGGTATGCGCCTTCAATCGCACCCTCGGAACGAAGCAATGTCGGTTTGCCTGGTCGCTATAGACCAGTCTCTCAAGCTCCCCCACAGGTGCAACACAACAAGGCAAGGACGAACACCATGTCGGGCGCTCTTCACGGATGGGGAGACCTGAACGGTACCACTATCAAGGCTGGGAAGAAGCCTGCCAATGTTTCTGACGAGGACGATGACGAGGCCTGGGCGGCAATGAAGCAGAAACGAGAGCAAAAGAAGTCGCTTTGGAAAACGAAAAAGGGAAAAGAGGATACCAACGGAATTCCAGGCTACGCATTGTAGGCGTAGGTAATGCGGATGGGCATGCTGGATAGGCTTGGCACAAAATCTGTTACATATTGCATTGGCAAACGGCGTTCAAAGATTTCTTGGATCGAGGTTTGGATTAGCATGCATGTTAGATGTATGCGAGACCGGGAATATGCAATCCTGATTTTGTAGTAATATAATGCGAGACATACGGTCTTCACTCAGTCCTTCATCTTTACTCGTTCGTGACTAGAGAGAGAGAAAGCTGTGTGGTAGATGTCCCTACACCTCCTCCCAGTATCCCCAAACAACCTGGACCTTGGCTGCGAAGTGCTTTGTCCTGGGTTCCCAATCCAACTCCAAAAGCGGAAAAAAAAAACCAAAAAAAAACACCAACAAATCAATTGATCTTCCCAGCAGCCCACTCCCTCCTCTTGACCCCCAGCTCCACAGCCGCCAAGCCCCAATCCTCACCATGGTTGTGGCTGCCACTGGTCACGCCCGCTCTCGCCTTCGCTTGCTCCTCGTTTAGCACGGTCAACAGTCCAAAGATCAACGGGACGCCCGTGTCGAGCTGGACGCGCATCAGGCCGTGGGAGACGGAATCCGCGATGTACTCGAAATGCATGGTCTCGCCCTTGATCAGGACGCCGATGGCGATGATGGCGTCGAAAGGGCCCGAGGAGGCGGTCGATTGGCCTTTGGGGTCGAGGGAGAGGGAGGTCAGGTCGGTGGAGCTGGAGCCGAGGAGGTCGCCGGCGCCGAGGGAAGAGGAGGTGGTACTCTGGATCTGGGAGGCCGAGAAGAGTCTTTTTGGGGCGCGGGGCGCGGTGGGATACTCGTTAGCGCTTGCTGCTTTTCTTCTGCCCGGGGGGGTCTGGGTGTAGGAGGGAGGGAGAGAGAGAGAGAGAGAGAGACAGAGAGAGGGAGAGAGAGAGACAGAGAGAGAGAGGGAGAGGGAGAGGGAGAGAGAGGTGTGTGACAATGGAATGAATTGCATGCGTACTTGGAACACGCAATGGGCAGCTCCCACGAGCCCGGCACGGATTGCACGACGATATTCGACTCCTTGACGCCGGACGCCAGCAGCTTGGCCTTGGTTCCGGCGAGAAGGGGCTCGATTATGGCTGTCGGGCAGTGTCAGCGTCAGTGTTGACATCGGCATCGGCATCAACTTCAGCTTCAGCATGGTATGGCGGGGTTGAACGCACTGGTGTTCCAGCGGGCGTGGACGATGCCGATGCGTAATTCGCTGCCGTCGTGTTGCTGGGCTTGTCCGGGGCCTTTCAGGGTGGTCATGTTTTGTATCCTGTATTTTTCGGTTCTGTTTTCTCTTGTGTTTCCTTTTGGGGGCTTTTCTTTTTCAATGATATGGCTGTATTTGCGAGTTTATGAGATGTTGAAGAGGGATGATGCTTTAGAACCTTACCCAGTAAGTCCAGTCAGTCAGTCAGTCAGTCAGTCGAGTCCCCCTCAGCACGTGGTCTGTGTGGCCTAGCGCCCTGCCATATTCTCCACGAACGACGGTTTGAAAATCTTTCTTTCTGGACTCAACTCATTCTTATATTGATTGATAGCGAGAGTTCATCTCGCGCCTGTTGGCCCTGGTAGAAAGTAAGGTATTTGCTGACTAGTAAGTATAAGCCTCCGGGGATGTACTAAGACGGCTCGGGGACGGTCGCAACGATACTTATTCGAATCCGAAAATAGGCCCCCTTCCCAAATCAGAGCAGCACGATGCAAAGTCGAGATGCACCCGTGAGGATCCTTCGCTCGCCAGCTGCGGTGCCAGCCCACCACTTACTGATATATCCAATGGATTGCGCCGCCCTGCCGAGATTGGGGAACCGATACACCAACTTCTCCGTATCAAAGGAGCGCTTCACATCGTACAAGCTCTCAGATGGGGGGCGCAGCGGGTACATGCCATGCGGTGAGACTTTCTCCTCGTCTTACAGTTAGTTCCCTTTGGTCTCTTGTTTATGGACGCTGCGATCCCCGTTGCTGCTGGGCTGATACATCGGTCTGGTTCTGGTTCTGGTTCTGGTCTGGTTCTGGCTCTGATTCTGGTTCTAATTCTGATATTCAATGTTCCTGCCATTCTGTTGAGTGACAAGTTTTGTTTATTTTGTTTTGTGCTGTACCACGCAACTGCTATGGTTGTGTTCAGTTTCAGCCTTACGCTCCTGTTGGCCCTTGGGAGCCATGCCGTGAATGATTATAGCGTGGTATTCGATCATCCTCCGCCATATCAATTGAACACGACAACTCGCATTGGCTACAATGTCACCGCTTCTCCTGGGCAGTCTGGGCTATCTCTGTTGCTATTGCAGACCACGGCTTCTGATAACGAGGGCGTTTCATCAAGCAATACAGCGACTTTTGCTGTTGTCCTTCAAGGTGAGCAGAATATGCCTGCTTTATGTTGTGATGGAAAACTCCAAGAACGATTTTGATCGGCCCTTGTTAGATGTGTGTGTGTCTTGTATGGGCACGAGGTGTCTTCCCGGTACTCGAATCTACATCAATACGTCCCAGATATCAATACCAGAATATAAGAGAACAGAAGCCGAATTCCGCCTCGCGAGCACGTCAGGAGATTTGAGGAACTTCTTTTTCTGCTTTGCCAGCAGAAGTGATATGCAACCGGAAAATGACATCTGTAGCTTCTTTAGTGATTATTTCAACATGGAAAATGCGGATGTTGGGGAACAGTCTGGCTCTTCAGGCGAATCCATATCAGCAATACCGCCCCTAAGCATACTACAAACCCCAACCGCAGTCATTCGCAAAAGAACACTCGCGGTTCCCATAGAAGCCATGACTATCACACAAAGCAGTACATCAAACCTCCAGGTAATTTTAAGAGCGACTGAGACAGCAACTCCCGCTTCGAATTCTGCTTCAACGAAAACGACCGCCCCGACGACCACGGAATCGTCTACGACACCCATATTGGCTATCCCCGAGCCGACAGCATCAGGTTCCTCCTCCTCCTCCTCCAACGGCGGCCTCTCAGTTGGAGCAAAAGTCGGAATTGCCCTTGGCGTCTTAGCATTTGCCCTCATCCTCGTCCTGGTCGTTCTGTTCCTCCGCCGCAAGCACGGTAAACGCAGCCAACCCGAAAACGTAAATCTCACAGAGGGCATGCACCAGCACCAGGACTCCTACCCGCAAGAACTGAACGCCGAAAAGGCCAGCCCAATCGCACCCTCTGAAGCCGCAACCCCCATCGTTGAGCCGCTCTCCCGGCACTCCGCGCTCTCGCCTCAAGAGGTTATAGCCTCACACTTTTGCGCTGCTGGCCCTGCAGCTGCAGTCCCCAGACGAAAGCCTATTGCTGCGACAGTAGCGAGGGTCGCGACCATGAGAAGCACAGCGTCTACGACTTCGTCGAGTGGATTGCAGAGTCCGCAATTACCGCATGGGTTCGAGCAGTATCACGATATACCGATCACGTATGGAGATGCGAGGCATTCCCCACAGGTATTTCCCGAGAACTTGAATTTGGTGCGAGCACCATTCCTGTACAGTCAGGAGGGGCTGAGCGCCGAGGAGATGGAGAGGCTGGAAGATGAAGAGAGGAGGATTGATGCCGCGATTGCGGAGGCGGAGCGAAGACAGTAGTCGATGCTGAAGCCTGCGCGTCTCTTGTATTGTTTTGAATCGGTAGCAAGAGTCATTTGTTGTTTCCTTGACGGGGTTTTCAGATCCGGAGAGCCACCTCCCGGTGTCTTGCTGTACTGCAGCGTAATATCGATATAGCGTCTATCACGGCCTAGGAGTTATTGGATGTCTTGATCAAAAAATATGCCATGTCATGCCAAATCACCTACCCGACCTGTCGGCCAAAATCTCGCTTATTCTTCCTCTCGCTTAAACCCCTTTTACCCTTCACCCTTTACCTCTAAAGCGCAAAACTCGTACATTCCCCCTACTGTCTTTTCCAGAAACCAGGCACAGTTATATCACCTCACTCTTTCACTCCCCGTGATCAACTCAATCCAACCCAACCCAGCCCAATCCCGAAACTTGTTCGAGGAGACCTTTGACCCACCGCGGCACCCTTAGAGCGAGGCAATGCTCTGCTCTGCTCTGCTCTGCTCTGCTCTGCTCCTAGGTCTTCATCGATCTCGGGTCGACAAACCAAGCAACGCGTCTCGACAGGAAGAAACAACGCTGCTATCGACCCCTCTACTTTCACGATCTGTCTTCCCCCTCGCTATATACGTTTAGGATAGACAGCTGGTTGAGACTACCAGTAGCTGATAGCACGTCATGGTATACTTTGGGGGCTGTTGGATGGGGCGTTTGAAAGACCTGCTGCGATGGACGTTAGATTAATACAACTACTACGACGACTACTACTACTACTACTACTACTACGACTACTACTACTGCTGCTACTACTACGATCCAACCTAATCCAACCCGACCCAGCCCAATGCAGCCCAGCCCAGTCCCACTCGACGGAGCTTCCCTTCCCTTCAAGACCACACACAGCCTCATCCTCGCAGCACTCCAGCATTCCAGTATTTCCATCTCACCAAACCAGCCAACCCAGCCACCAAGCCAACAACATCAACCCCACCCCTCCCCTCCCCTCTCCTCTCACTCCTCCTCTCACTGCTAATCTCATCTCATCTCATCTCATCTCATCCTAGCCCGCCCAACCGACTGGAATCCATACCCCCTTCACGGGGGATGAACATCGAATACAGATGACACCATACATATACACACCCAAATACACACACACACACAGTAAAATAATAATAATAATAATAATAATCAGTCACCATCCCCACTCTCACCCTCACCCTCAACTCTCAGCTAGTGACTGCTACTCCCTACCTACCTACCAACCAACCAACCAACCAACCAACCAACCAACCAACCAACCAACCAGCCCACCCCCTCACCACCACCAACAACCTTCTCCTCACTTAGAACGGCGTCATTTCTGCACATACATACACGCATACATACACACATGCATATGTCTACCATCCACCCATTCACCCATTCACCCACCCATCCATCCACCCATCCACTCTCACGTGCGCAGCACAGCACAGCACAGCACAGCACAGCAAAGCAAAGCAAGAGCGAGAAGAGAAATACAACAACAGCAAGGGAGAAATCCCGTTCCAGTGAACTTCCCATGCGCGATACTCGAAGGTGGCACATACTGTGGGTAGGTATGATTAGCTCTGGCGTATACACACACATACATACACACACACACACACACACATATATATGTATGTATGTATTAGGCTCCGAGACCAAGGTGCTGAAGGCTTAACGGTGTGTGGCTAGTGGAGAAGAGAAGTGGGCGAGGCAAGTAGGTAGGTACCTAGAAGAGCGTATGCGAGTCCAGCTATCTACAGATATAAGTTGGTACATACAACACGGTGAAGATTTTCTCGCCCGAGGTGTCGAGAGGAACACGAAGTTGATGGAGGAAAATTGTGGTAGGGCGAAAAATACAAATTAATTTATTATTTCTAATAGACCGCCTCTCGATCTCGCTCCGATGACCACCATCCCAACACGATACCATGAATGCGATAGCCCAACCGCCCAATGCACCCCCCAGAGAGCCAATGTTGTCTCGTCTGCTCTATTCGCCGTTCAATGCACAGAATACTACAAAAGGAACGCTATGAAGGCTTCTTCCCAAAGCGTTGTCAAAACTCCGTATGATGAGTCGCTAAAGAAGGCTGTTATTCAAAAGAAGAAAGAAAAGTAAGAACAAAAAAGTTAAAAAAGGCCGGAAGTCACCGCCTTCACCAGCCATATCATAAAATCTCCTTCCAAATGCCGGAAGCAATGCATCTTGAAAAGTCGTGGTACTATCCGTGCCCGCGATATCCTCCGCTCCCATTACCGCGTCCATGTGCACCCTGCTGCGGGGTGTAGTACTGATGTTGATTAGGGTATTGTGATGGCGATTGTCGGCCCTGCTCGATCCCGGCGTAGCCTGGTGATGGTGCTGAAGGTACCCAGCCACCTCCCTGAGCAAAAACACTTGCGGTGGGCGATACCCAGCTTTGCTGCTGCTGCATCTGGACAGGATGCTGCTGAGGGTGTTGACCCACGCCGTATTGCTGAGATCCACCACGATATTGTGCGGCGAGCTGGTCCTGATGAAGCTGCTGCTCGTACAGAGCTTGCTGTTGTCTTTGGGTAATGGCATTCTGAACAGCCGCGCTGTTGATGCCTTGCTTAATTTGCTGCTTTTCTCTCTCCCGAGCCTCGATGGCGCCAACCAGCCCGCTCGGGGTAGCGTGAGCTTTGCTGTTTTGAGCCATGCTGATCAATGGCGTTCCTGTCATCTTCGCTACTTTCTCTTGCTCGCGTGCGGAGAGCGCAGTAGTCATATCCCCGGTCCCAGATCGACCAAGGGCAACGCCTGCACCCCACGAACCCGGTCTCTGAATAATATCAGTGGAGTTGTTCCGCGAATGGCTGTAGAAGTCGCTATTTCGATTCAAAAGAGACGGCGTCGAGGAATTGGCGCGAAGGGTATTACTTGATGCTTGACGTTGATGCGAATAGAGCGGACTCGCAGGTTGCATGGAGGCTCGTTTCTGTACAAACTGCTCGGCAGTGATTGACATTCGTTTCCCTGCGTTGCCGCTGGCAGACATGCCAGGCTGCCAGGCCACCGTGCGGCTTTCAGATGAATTGTTCCGATAATGGGCATTCTCGGGCGTGACAGCCTTGCGTCCCGGAGTTTTTGGTTGATCATAGCTAACAGGTTTTCTGACGGGGCTACCTTGAAACGATGGGTAGTTGAAGGCAGGACTAGCAGCTCTCGCACCAAAAGCTTGCGCTGGACCAGGGCTGGCAGCTCTACTATCGTAAGCCAGCGTAGGGCCAGGGCTGGGAGCTCTATGGGAAGTGAGGTTGTAAGTTGGTCCAAAATCAATATCGATTGGTGGTGAAGTAACCGATGAACCATCAGTTTCACTCGCGTTACCAACCGTCTTCAATACACCCGCTCGGGGTCTCTCGATCGATTGGCGAGGTTCGTCAGACCGATGTGTACTGGCATAATCTGGAGATACTGTTGACGCGCAATCATCGTACTCACTACTGGCATCGGTATCCTGGCGGGAAATTTTCTGCTCTGGTGGTGGCATGCCTCTGTGGTTACCGCGACCAATCATATCAAAAGCTGCTTGGTCAATAGCATATTGTCCCAAGCTGCCTCCGCTTGATTGTGTCTCGGCTGAGACGGGCGTTCGGATGCTCGAGTTCCGGGGAAGAGGTTTTCGAACAATGCTTGCGCGCGTCTGAAGGCGGGACGGTTGGGAGGCAATCCTGGAAGTAGAGTCTACTGACTGCTGGGGATAATGGCCGTGGCCGATGGGTGCAACTGGTGTATTGGAAGATGAAGGAATTTGGTCTGGCTCATACGTACGAATTGTAAATAGTTGATCTCGGGGAAGGGACTGCGGTCCTGCGCTGGAATCGGCCGGCGGATTCGGAAGAGGATGATGAGAAGTGTCAGGTAATGGCAGAGATGGGTGAGAATGATTTGGTTGAGTGTCGAAGTCCGTTCTTGGAACATGTGAGGGCCCTTCGAAAGAAAATCGGGGTTTGGATGCTGTTACCACGCCTTCAAGACCGTCACTATTAGCAGGATTTTCCTTTAGGTTGGCAACTGGCTGTACCCCTCTGTTCCCATTTTCCTCCGGGCCCACGTTCTGGTGTCTTTGATTATGGCCTGTTCCTACTGCATCTCCGTGCGCATTGTATCCCACGACGCCAGCAACACCTGCGGCGCCAGCCAATTGCGATAACGTAGCAGATGACATCCGGCTGTTTTCTCTGAGAATATCTGGAGATTGGTAAGGCTTTGCAATGGGCAAAGACCCTGGGGCGTGTGAAAAGGCTGGTGGGGTCGCAACTGGCTCAGGGGTATTGCTACCCTGAAGCTCTTGAAGTTCTCGGACCGGAGTTGATCTAGCGACATATTCATCCTCAGAACTGACACGGTCTGGAGTGGTGCCCGTCTCAGCCAAGTAGCCTGGAGTCAAACCATGAGCAGAAGTGACTCCAGCAGCATGTGGCGGGGGAGTAGGAGCCATGTCGTAGGCGCCATCGTAAGAAGCCGCTACTGGTTCCTCATACCCAGGAAATCCCTGTATCTCGGAAGCTGACCTGGCATGAGCACTTGTCTGCGCCGTAGGTGGGAGAGCAAAAGCACCCGTGCCAGGTGGAGCAGAATCTGTTCGTGGCACCCCACCAAGAGCACCATCAGTTTGGCCCGGGCCGGACGTTTTTGGTGGGGAGGATCTGATGGAGGCACCATCGTCAAACCTTATACGGCTGTGAGATGGACCAAAGCTGTTTCGTGTGCTTCTCCTGCTGCTGTGCCTGATGTTCGCCTGGGTGCTGTTCTCCACAACCGTCATTCGCTTGGAAGTGAGTGCCTTCATCCTCTTCCTCCATTCGCCCTCTTTCCAGCTCCCACTTCCGGACTCCAAGATAAGACCTGAAACATCAAGAATCTCCAAGTATCCATATCTTCGATGCTTCGGCATCGCAAACATGAGGCTCCGGGAATCTGTTGTGTCGGCAATCAACCGCCCTGGACGCCCGTAGAGGCCAAAGGTATCGAAAACGGGGAATAACCAACGGAGCATCATCTCAAATCCAGTAACCGCGGGATGAACCTCTGGCATCACAAAGACAAATCCTTCAGATGTCGAGGGTGGGCTTGAGTGGATGGTTATGGTGCCCTCTACCTTGACCAAGGTCGAAGCATCTATTAGTGGTTTTGATTGCGGGTATATAGCAAAGGCTGAGTAGGCGTCGGTGATAGTGGCAATCGGATGGACTTTCTTGGTCTTCTTGGTATCATAAAACTTGATGTCTCCCTTCAAAATCGGGGGCCTGGAATGATCGTAGGCGGACTTTTTCTTGAGAAGTTGCTTCTGTATCTTCTGAACTTCCTTTTCGTCAGGAGGAGAGATGACACACCAACACCGCCTCCAAGGAGTTCCAGCTCCAAAACGAACCCGCGCCCAGTCCGCTGTGGGCATTCTGGCGCGATCCATGATCATATTGATATTATTCAGAGCCTTTCCCTTTCCCGCGATTAACGCCCCGGTGTATGCCTCCTGTAGCGTAGCATGCTCAAACATAGAGAGTCGGATACCCGCCACCCACTGAATCAGGGAGTGATGGGAGTTGAAATGTAGAAGGTATCGATTCTTGCCGGCGGTGGAAATGCTCAGAACGTTCTGTAATGGCGCCTCACTATCTGACCGGGTAGGAAGTGCCTCGATCTGGAATATCATTAGCCATATCGAGAAGGTTCCAGGCAAATATTGCGCACCATTTTGATAGAAGCATCGGTGAGATTGATAAACTTGGGAAGCACCTCCCCTTCTTGGCCCGCTTCGTCGAGCTCTGAAGCGTCCCAAAGCGACAGCACAGTACCGACGAGTTGAGCAAAACACTCTGTCCAGCTTCTATCTGCGTTGGGTTTGCCCTCTGTCACACGAATCAGCACTAGCACAAGTCAAATCGGGGCCAAACTCACGCGTATTCTGATCGTCCAACTTCAAGAAGTATCCCTCCTGGTATAGCTTATTCGCATGGCTGTTCAGGAAGGTGAATATTGGTTGCAGTTCAGGCAGGGTATCCTGGGTGACATCCATTAAGGAAGGATGGTATGTCTGGATCATGGACAATGGCCTATTCGACATTGCGCGCTGTCGCTGACCGGGCTGGGTAGAGCTTCCATCGTACTGGCTCTGATACTGACTGTATGGCGTTTGAGGGGTATTCGTAGTATTGCTTCTGATCCGTGGGGTTCTGGGCGTGGAGAAAGGCTCCTCCGCCACACGCGGAGGTGCAGCGGCAGGAGCAGCAGCAGGCGTTGTGTTCTTTGGTGCGTCCCGGTCTTTGAAGCTGGAAATGAACGAGAGAACTGTGTTCCGGACTCCAGTCAGCAATCTCTCAACGCTTCTGTGGGGAACTTGAACCCCCAATTACTACTGACCTCTGCTCCGGGTCGACATTCTGAACGGGCGGCTGGTTTGCAGTAACGAGTGTGTAAAGCTGTCCCTTCGTGGGAAGACTTGTGGCCTCCGGAGTTCCGGATGCTTTTGCTTGCTCTATTCAGTCTCTCGATATGTTTAAAGCAAAGGCGGCTTTAGGTAGCGATCATGCAGTTCGTGGAGTGGATAGGTCAGAGTATTCGGAGAAGGGTGATTCTGCCGAGTGTAGAATACTATTTGAGGATTGCGGGTCTAAAATTTCGAGGAGGATTCAAGGACAGGAGGAGAGTTGTATCCAAACGGGAGGGGATTTTGATGGGATGGTGATGCAGGAATGAAGCAGTTCTGCGTGTCGGGACGGGACGAACGAGGCCGCGAATGCAGCCCAAAAACGTCACTGCTGATCGCGAGACTAGGGATCCAAGGGCCAGTGTTGAAATTGGCGTCCGAAAGTCGTTCGAGGGTGTAGGGACAGAGATCTGATATTGGTAGGCTATTATTACCTATTCACCGGACCGGATGACGGGATGACAGGAGGACATGAATCGAACATCGCACATTTTGAAGAATTTCCCCAACCACTGTTTATTTACAAGAAGTCTTGGCTGAATCATCAAATACTTTTACGCGCTGTGCAGGCCGCTCCGTATGGCTTTCCGCATCAGGCCTCCGTACCCAAGGGGGGCTTGGCCATGTGCAGGAAAAGTGTAGAGAGTAATAATAGGAGTTCCGAAAGTACTACGTACGTAGTACGTGGTACTATAGTACGTAGTACTTATAGTAGTACAAGTACAGTACCATTTTGCAAGGGATCTTTACCAGGGCGGAAACCAATCAACTTGTATGAATGCAGCCTGGAAAAGTATCTTTAGGTCCGTATTTTAGTCTGTGCAATTGAGTTGACAGGGCTCTGAGCCAGTCAGAAACCACCGCTGTAGGATGTATGGGGCTAAAGTGGGTACATTTGAACATGGGCGGAGTGCGGAGTAGGTGGGAGTAGGTGGGAGTAGGTGGGAGTAGGTGGGAGTAGGTGGGAGTAGGTACTGTACAGAACTGTACGTAGTAAGTACCGGGTACTGCACTGCATCAACATGTAGCGGCGCCACGTGTCCGGTCACATGACCGCTGGATTTAGATGTCGATTTCCCCTCGCCGTACCGACGGTAACTTTCCAAGAGGACCGACCGTATGCACAGAAGAGATGCGACTCGAAACCATAAAACATACATACTTACTTGGTACAACAAAAAACACTTTCTCCATTTGCTTTCCACAACCAGTTTACGGATACGTGGCCAAGCCGCGCCATGCCAGCCACGCCACAGGTAGTAGAAGTACAGTACCAGTAGTAGTACCTACCCGTAGCTCCTTGGATGGCCTAGCCTCTTGAGAATTCTTCCTTACAAAATACTTTTCGCTGCATCTCCCTGCGGAACTCGTATTCGCCTCGTATGGTGGGCGCGCTCGGCGTGCAGATGCAGATGTACCTAGTACGAGCTATATAAAACTTGACCTGTAAATAAGTACTACTACCTACGCCTACCGGTACTCTTCCCTCGGCATGGATGCCCATGAAATTTTCAAGGCTTTCTAAAGGTATCTTTATCCTTGGGACAAGTATCTTCTCCGAGCAGCCTGAGACTGAGAAGGCTGTGTGCATGCTATGATCCCGAATACTGTAGCTGCTCCGTACAAGAACAAACAAGGCCGGTCTTCAAGGGATCATGTCTGTCTCTCGGTGCCCAGCAAAAGTTGAAAGGGGAGTTTCCTTGTGTCGATGCTTGTAAGGGTGTCGGACCAAAAGATGAGCCCCACCAATCCAAGCTTTACGGCCCCGAGCTGTCCGAGCGAGGGCCCCATTAGATTGGTGTTGGTACCGTACTTTATCAAATCCAACTGTTAGGGAAATGCATCCGAGAATCAATCACCTCCTGCGAGACCGAATCCAAGTCCAAGTCCAAAAAACACAAGACCAAACCAAACCAACTCAGCTCAGCTCAAGATCATCTACACAGTGCTCCTGTCCTGAGTCACGCCTTCCAACCAACCAAATACACTCGAGACTCCATGAGGCCGGTCTTTTCACTGCCTGTCGCGCGAGCCATACTTTCTCAGCCTCACCGATCTCTCACCACTAGCACTTTACGATGTCGCCCAGAGCTGGTGATATCCTCGACTTCCACCATTGCTGACACACCAGCGATGGGGAAGGAGACTCTGCCATTTCGATTCGAGACCGGCGTTGCGCTGTTTGCGAAGAGGGCCCCTCGACCATTCCCTCCACCCTTCCTCTCCCCTCCATCGGCTTCGTTCTCCGATGCTCTCACTACCCACGATAGAAGTCGAGTCCGGCGTCCTCTTATCAATGGACAGAGGATTCGAGGCTATACCAACGGGGATGATGCAGTATATGCCAGCGATCACTTCATCGCGGCCAACGATGGGGTAGGCGCCTGGTCCACAAGGCCTGGGGGCCACGCTGGGTAGGGAATTTCCTTCTCCTTGCTCCTTGCGCCTGAATAGCACTGACCCGGAATAGGCTCTGGGCAAGGCTGGTTCTACATTTCTGGGCAGTAGAAGCAGAAGCAGATCTGAAACAGATGCGTCCTCTGGGGCAACCATACACCCCTACACCGATAGAATATCTGCAAAGGGCTTATGAGCAAACACTTCAAGCAACATCGTCCCCGGACGAGTGGCAAGGAACGACTACAACTACTGGAGCTCAACTATACTACCAAACTTCCGCCGTTAACCCGAATGCCACTCCAACACCTCTTCTCTATGTCACCAATCTTGGCGACTCGCAAATCTTAGTTGTTAGACCACGAGATTCCAAAAAGATATACAAAACTACGGAACAATGGCATTGGTTCGATTGTCCCAGACAGCTAGGGACGAACAGTCCAGACACTCCTCGAGAGAACGCAGTCATGGACAAGGTCGAGATAGAGGAGAATGACGTAGTACTCGCCATGTCTGACGGAGTTATTGACAATCTATGGGAGCATGAAATCGTCCAGAGTGTGGTAAATAGCATACGGAAATGGGAGAATGGCCAGGGGGGAGAGGGCACTGGGGACAGGAAAGGCGGAGCTGCTGGAGGGATGAAGTTTGTAGCTGAAGAGCTGGTGAAGGCTGCAAAAGATATTGCTACGGACCCGTTTGCAGAGAGTCCTTTTATGGAGCATGCGGTCGAGGAGGGGTTGGCCATGGAAGGAGGTCAGTACAGTGCGGGCATGGACTGGCCTATAGCTAACGTTTACCAGGCAAGCTAGACGATATCAGCGTGGTCGCAGCTTTGTGCAGACGCAGCAAGGGTTGAAATTGGACAGTGTCGCAAGAGACGAAGGAAAACCTGTGAATCAACAAGAGGTCCAACTGAGGTCGGGTATCCTACTGGAAAACGGCGGGCTGAGAGCTTGTCAAGAATTGTGAAGAGGGTCCGATTGGTGGGTCGGTAGAGCAGCCCATCCTGAACTCGACCAAGGATACCTAGACCCATATGAGGAGGGCAAGACGCAATATGGGCACGAATCTGGAGCTTTTGCCTCCGATCAAACGGCGGTGGAAGCTTTTTCAGAGGCGGAACTTTCGGCGCTCGTGGCTCATTCGGCCGAGGTACAGGACAAGGCTGGCTGACTATGGCGGAAATGCCTGGAGGAACTTGGTGCAGCAAATTCTCAAATCAAGAAGTGATATTCTAAATTCCAAATCTTTCGCATGATGATATGAAATCGTACAAGAAGACTGAAAGGATGTAAGGAGGCCCACCTAAGCGAGCCGACGATTACTTTGAATGTCCCATTTTCAATACCTAGGTACTCATCGTCAGCCTCGTCCTTATCTTATCGCGCTAGCACCAAACCTTTTTTTTTTTTCGAGGGCGCATCGCAAACTCTCTTCCCGAACGTACCTCACATCCCCAACATACACAACCGACTCGACATGAGGGGCAAGCGATCCAAACAATACCGGAAGCTCATGCAACAGTACGGGCTGGCCTATGGCTTCCGCGAGCCATACCAAGTGCTGCGTAAGCTGCCTGCCTCACAGTTCCGAACGTCTTCACTACGGGATCATAATATTTGATGCTGGAGCTTACACTGACGAATGGGAAATGCAGTCGATGCGGACATGATCAAGGACGCGGATAAATTCAAGATGGACCTCGTGGGCGGATTGGAAAGGACGCTGCACGGGGAGGTGAAACCGAGTACGTCCATTCCAAATCCTTTGGCCCAACTTGCCCTCTCACCTCTCACCTCTCACCTCACACCTCGAGTCTCCGAAATCCCCAAACCTGCAGTACGCAAGAAGAGCGCGCAAACCCCAAACTAACAGGACTCCTCTCCCCCCCCTCAGTGATAACGCAATGCTCGATGCGCCACCTCTACGCCAGCGCCTCCGAGCCGGGTATCGCGTTTCTAATCGACAAAGCGAAGACGTACGAGCGCCGCCGCTGCGGGCACCGCCCGGAGGAGTACCCGGAGCCCTTATCCACGGCGGAATGCCTGTCCTCGGTCGTGGACCCGAAGGGCGCAAAGACGAACAAGAACCGCTACGTAATCGCTAGCCAGGACCTGGAGGTCCGCAAGGCGATGCGTGCCGTGCTGGGCGTGCCGCTGGTGTATGTCAACCGCAGCGTGATGATCATGGAGCCTATGGCAGAGGAGAGCAAGGGCATGCGGGAGCGGGAGGAGAGGGGGAAGTTTCGGGTTGGATTGAAGGCTGGTGCTGGAAGGGGGCTTAAGAGAGCTAGAGAGGATGAGCATCCTGGTGAGGGTGAGGGGGGAGAGGAGAAGCCGACGAAGAAGAAGAGGAAGGGGCCTAAGGAGCCGAATCCGCTGAGTATGCCTAAGAAGAAGAAAGCGGTCGTGGTAGAAGGCGACGTCAAGGAGAAGAGTACGAAGAGGACGGGTGCCAAGGGCGAGGGGGAGGGTACGGAGCCAGGAGAGCAGGGCGGTAAGAGGAAACGCAAGAGGAAACCGAAGGCTGTGGCCGACGGTGGAGGAGAGGAGGTGGCTGAAGCTGTAGCTGTAGCTGTAGCTGTTGAGCACGATTAAGATACGTTGCTTGGGAGGCGTTACCGGTTCGGAGAAGCTGCACATCACGGGCTGGTTGGGAAGTCGGGTTAGCCTGCCGAGCCTTTGGATCTTTTCTCTTGCAAGAATGGAGAACAAAATACTTCGAACGGCAAAGCCCGAACTTTGCCTCGGCTGCCGGTACAAGATCTGATCTGATCGATGCAGAGGGTCCTTTCCCAATCGGTAAGCTAGAAACAAACCCCTGGTGAAAAATAACACTTGCTTGGCCGGGAGATACTTGCACGAAACCCTAGAACCTGCACGGGATTCACTTACAATGAAGATGTACTTACAACTTAGATATACTTACAACTCAGATGAATTGTATCAATCGTTAATGCAATAGTAGTGATGTATCGTCGTCGTTACCTGCCGTCGAAGTTCAAAGCCATTCCCCATGACATTGTGATAGCGATAACCCTAGCTCTCTCAAAAGCACCCCCTACCACCCAGTTCGCAAAACAGGACGTTATAAAGGAAGGCACGATCAGAATTGTGAATTGGCAGTGATGTAAATTGCACGAATTTAAATCATGCAACCCGGCAAATTGATAAAACACAGTCGAGCATTCTCAAGTTCAAGTCTTCATTATCCTCCATCAAAACTGTGCTCTCGCCAACTCAGAAGCATCAGGCGCAAGATCGACGCACCGGCAAGAGAAGAGCACGCGTTCTACCTACGACATCGCATACATCCAGAACGCAGTATATGATGAAAGGAAAGGCCCTCAGTTCTCTAAATATCTCCCCGTGCAAGCCAACCTCCTCAATCACCCTGTGCCTAGTCGCCCGCCGAGTGGTACCGCGGCAACCCGGTAGGTAAGGAGCGGGAAGGCTCATCTTGGAGTATCGAAGACTGCCACGTATTTTACGGTCCGGTATTGGCTGTTGTGGTATGTGTTTTGTTTGGGTGCCGATGAAGGGCTGTGTGCATTGCTGGCGGAGGTATATTTGAAGGAGGTACGGGTGCAAATACTGCATGGACGTGCTTTGCTTCACATGAAGTCGTCACTTTATTAATATCAGCATTTTTCTTCGAAAGCGTATAATGCCTACTTACTCTCCAAACTCGTCGTCGTAGGCCTGTGTATCGGCGGTAGCGGAGACGTTCCTGCTCGCAACCAGTGCAACCTTCGTCTTCTGAGCCTTGCTCTTCTTGCCTCCCTTCTCAGCAAGCTTCTCCTCCTTCATCTTTTCGTTACCCAGAGCAGTGAGGGTGCTAGCAATCTTCTTAATCTGATCACTAGGAAGTTCCTTGGCGAGCTGCTTGGTGAACTCCTGCAAGAAGATGACGTACTGAGCTTTCTTGGAGTTGCTGGAGATGACTGGGACGAGGGTGTCACGGAGTTTCTCGAATTGCAACTTGGTCTTGGGATCGAAGAGTGGGAGGGCAGTCAAGTCGACGGTCGCAGTAGGGTCCTTGGAATCGAGCTGAACGGCGTTGGCAGCAGTGGTGACCTTGCGGGCGTTGCTAATGCCGATGTTGCCGAATAAATCCTCAGCATGCTTCAGGTCGGATTCCTGCTCAGTGCGGCGGAGACGCTCGCGTCGCGCGGCCTCGTCTTCATCACTGCTCTCGCTGTCCTCCTCTGCTAGTCTGCGCGCCTTCTCGGCCTGCTTCTCTGCGATGCGCTGGGCCTTGCTTTTCTTGTTGGCAGCGGCCTCAGCATCTGCCTTGGCCTTTCGCTCTGCGGCCACTTTTGCCTTCTCGCGCTCGACCTCGGAGTCCTCGGCGGCATCCCAGCTTTCTAGCACATCGCTATCATCTTCCTCGTCGTCGAACTTTCTCCGGGTGGCCGCGGCCGTAGTAGGAGGCGAGGAGGGAGGGGTCGAGCTGTCATCTTCTTCATCTACTCGAAAGAATATCGGTCAGCCAAGTGTGTTTAGGGACATCATGGCATGGCATGGTCTTCTGCAGTGCGGATCTCACGAGCCGCACAAAACCATGCCGGTGTGATTCGTGTCAAACGGGGCGCGCAATGACGCGTTTGGATGGGAGAATGTGGACGAACGTACCCCACTTTTCAGGCATTTTGGCGGTTATATGGAGGATGGAGAATTCAAGGAGTTGATATTGGGTGATTTGATTTTGGAATGCGTTCTGTATTGTCTCTTGGGATTTCTTCGAGTTTGGCGTTGTGTGGGATGTTGTCAAAGAGGAAATGGTGGAAATGGTGCCCGGATGTGGAGGGGGCGAGGGCTCCAGGCCTGATTAGGTAAGTAAGTAAGTGCGGCCCGATCGATCCCACCACACATCAAAAGGTTCTGGCCTCCTTTACCTTAGTTTTCGATCTTCGCTCTGTGGGTTTCACTTTGCTCCTTACATACTTATCAAAACACTATTTCTACCGAGCGCGTGACTTGCTCTACCACCGGTACGTATATCTTAATTGCTGCTCAGATATCTATCTATGGAAATCCGATGATATACATATTCCCGGTGGTTTGAGTAGGAAGTAGGTGCCTACTCGACCGAGATACCTAGCTTGTCCTATGTATTGTAGCACTTTTGCCAATCTGTCTATATTTCTGCCTGTCTGTCTGTTTATTATATCACCAAAGAGTCTTTAATAGCTTTTCGTTATTTTATTCGTCAACATCGCCGGCCGTACTGCAGTCGCATACTTTCTCTCATGCTTTCGCATGTGGGCACTCATATATTATATGGGGGGGGGGGGGGGGTAGAGATAAGAGCACTCTCTACCTGGTTTGAGGCCGGCCAATGATGTTTTGCGAAGGGTCAAATTACCATTTCAACGGGAGGAATTCAATCTGACTTCATTGCAATTTGTACTTTTTGTTCATTCATCATAAAAAGCCATGTCAGAAGTTGTGACTTGGCACTGCGTCACCCATTATCTACCCGTCTCCCTCCAGAATTACAAGTTTACTGAGGTTCTGAAGTCGGTGCCGGCACTGTTCATCAAATTAGCACATGCTCAAGATACAAACACAAATGAGGGTTCAACATACTAGATGGCCTTGTCGCCGAGCTCCTCCTCGATTCTCAAGATCTGTTGATTGTAGTCAGCTTTCATCTTCCTAAAAATCCGCGTCTTTTGGATGCGCATACCTGGTTCAACTTGGCCAGACGCTCGGATCGGGCGGGGGCACCAGTCTTGATTTGTCCAGCTCGGATACCAACGACGATATCAGCGATGGTAACGTCCTCAGTTTCTCCGGAGCGATGGGAAACCATGACACCCCAGCCAGCAGCGTAGGAGTCCTTGGCAGCCTGGATAGACTCGGTGAGGGTACCGATTTGGTTGACCTTGAGCAACAGAGCGTTGCAGGACTTGAGCTCAATAGCCTTCTTGATGCGGATGGGGTTGGTGACGGTCAAATCATCTCCGACAATTTGGAAGTCAGAGGTCTTGTAGAAGTAGCTCCAAGCCTCCCAGTCGTCCTCGGCGAATGGATCCTCGATGCTGACGATCGGGTACTTCTCAGCGAGGGACTTGTATTGAGCGGCAAGTTGCTCGTAGGTGAGCCACTTGGTTGGGTCACTGTCTGGGTTCTTGAAGTCCAGGTCGTACTTCTTGGCATCCTCCTTGTAGAACTCGCTGGAGGCAACGTCCATGGCGATGTTCATCTTGCCAGTGTAGCCAGCGGCTTCGATAGCAGCGGTGATCAGCTCAAGAGCCTCCTCAGCGGTCTGGATATCTGGTGCAACACCACCCTCATCTCCGACGTTACCAGCAGACTGTCCGTACTTCTTCTTCGCAAGAGACTTCAAGATGTGGTAAACCTCAGCACCTTGACGGAGAGCCTCGTTGAAAGATGGAGCGTTGCTGTCTAGTTTAGAATGGGTCTTAAAGCTGGGTCTGAATCCGGGTCAACCGAGGACACTTACGAAGGCACGATCATGAACTCCTGGAAAGCAAGACGTCCGCCAGCGTGGGATCTGTATACTGTCAGTTGGAGTACTGACTTTCTGCGCAATTTCTTACTCACCCTCCGTTAAGAACGTTCATGAAGGGGACGGGGAGAACATATGGCTTCTTAGTGCCGGCAAGGTCGGAGATGTGGGCGTAGAGTGGAATTTGCTACCTAAGTCAGTCACAAACGCATCTTGCACTGCTCTTCGTCTCGTACCTTCTCAGCGGCAGCAGCCTTGGCAACAGCCAAAGAGACACCGAGGATGGCGTTGGCACCGAGCTTTCCCTTGTTTGGGGTACCATCGAGCTTGATCAAGAACTCGTCAACCTTTGACTGGTCCTTGACATCGATGTTCTCCTTGATCAAGGCAGGGCCAATGATCTCGTTGACGTTGCCCACAGCCTTGGTGACACCCTTTCCAGCCCACTTGGTCTTGTCTCCATCACGGAGCTCAACAGCCTCGTGTTGGCCTGTATTGCACACCTCTAATCAGCGGGTTCTTGTAGGATCCGAGTCGAGAGTACGAACCGGTAGAAGCGCCCGAAGGAACGATGGCACGATGAAGACCAGTCTCGGTGACGACGTCAACCTCCACGGTTGGGTTTCCGCGGGAGTCGTAGACCGAACGAGCGTGGATCTTGGTGATTGCCATGTTGACTTTTCTGATGGAGGGGTGACTTGCAAGCTGTTAGTCTCGCAAGGCTGGATGATAGGAGAATAAAGAAGAGCCGGAGGGCAGAGAAGACGGGGAAAGCTTACTCTTGTTTTCCCTATGATAGCTAGGTCTGCAGATTCCAGAGGTCAGTTGATCTGCAAACAAAGTCTGTTACCGGTATTTGAAGAAGGAATATGAAATATGATAGGAGGGGGGAGAACGGGAAGGGAAGGGCGTGGTGGGGTATGCGACGACCAATGTGCACTTCCGCAGCTATCTATCTATCTGCCTCTGGTGTCTGATGTGAAGAGATAATGTAACATCGACTGACCTTGTTGTGATGTTGTTTGTGGAGAGAAGTCGAGTGTTGTGGTGTAAAGAGAAAATCGATGGTGGGTGGAGAAATGGGTGGAGAAAATGGGTGGAGGATGGAGGGGCAGCGTAGAGAGCTACTGTACGGTTGGTTGAGTTGAGTTGAGTTGAGTTGAGAGACATGACCGGGATCACCGAAGGAGCGGTTGCCCGGGTCTTGGTGGCATGCTCTAAGCGGGCGGCTCTCAAGCTCTGAGTTCCACTTTGGGCTTGAGCTCTGATGCCTGCTGGCATCCTGATGGCGCTTCAGCCTTCCGCTTCCGCAACATCGTGACCAGATATCATGTGCTCTGTGCTCCTGGCGGCTGCGGCTGGAAGCCGATGCGGAGCTGAAGCTGCAAACGCCAGTAACTTACTACTACAGTACTAACTTAACGCATCAGAGCTGTGCTTTCCCGGAAGTACATATCTTGGCTGTCAGAGCCAAAGCACCAATACGGTATTCTTTAACCCTTTGAACCCTTTGCAAGAAAATGCCCCGGTGCCTCCTCTCCATAGCACAGAATAGCGGCTTTGTTTACTTAATGCAACTTCGAAGGTTTGGCTTCTGGCCTTAAACACGGGGACTGACTATCTTTGCTTAAAAATACAACATCTGAATGCCCTCAACTGACAGCAATGCGCGTTTGCTCGAGTCAATGCATCTACCTCTCGTTTGGATCAGGACCAAACGGAAAGAAGAAGCTGGAAATCTATTTCGTGTGAGATGTATTGGTTGTCACGTGATACGCTACCTCCTTAGGCAGTCGGCGCTTTCGCGTTTCCCAGTCTGCCCAGCGCGAGATCGTAGGGGTTGCCATCAACCTACCTAACCTGCACCCAACTTCAACCTCGTAATTCTTCCGCATCTCGCGCCTCCGCCATCTCTTCCTTTGACAGATATCTAGAGAACCTCCGTGACGAAAGACTCCATTCCTCAAAATGTCCGGCGATGAGCGTCAGCATGCACTCGCAGCTTTCAAGTCGAAGCTATTGGAATCGAGAGAATGGGAGGCAAAGCTGAAGGCCTTACGGTTGGAGATCAAGGGGCTGCAAAAGGATTTCGACCACACTGAGGACAACATTAAAGCTCTACAAAGTGTGGGGCAGATCATTGGAGAGGTCCTGAAACAGCTTGATGACGAGAGGTGTAGGTAGTTCTCAGCGAGTTACTATCTGCTATGTCTAACGCTTTTCGCAGTCATTGTCAAAGCTTCGTCGGGTCCCCGATATGTCGTTGGATGCAGATCAAAGGTCGATAAGCTTGCGCTGAAGCAAGGAACCCGGGTTGCTCTCGATATGACCACCCTCACAATCATGCGAATGCTCCCCCGAGAAGTCGACCCACTTGTGTATAATATGTCCTTGGAAGACCCCGGGCAGGTCAGCTTCGGTGGAATTGGTGGATTAAATGAGCAGATCAGAGAGTTGAGGGAGGTTATTGAGCTTCCTCTAAAGAACCCCGAGCTATTCCTGAGAGTCGGCATCAAGCCTCCGAAGGGTGTACTCCTATACGGACCACCGGGGACAGGAAAGACATTACTGGCAAGAGCCGTGGCGAGCAGTTTAGAAACAAATTTCTTGAAAGGTAGGATATCCTGCGTATAGTCTATTTACGTACACCCACTGACCGCTTCTAGTTGTGTCCTCTGCGATCGTTGACAAGTATATCGGAGAGTCCGCACGCCTGATCAGAGAGATGTTCGGATATGCAAAGGAGCACGAGCCCTGCATCATCTTCATGGACGAAATTGATGCCATTGGAGGACGCAGATTCTCGGAGGGGACCTCGGCAGACCGTGAGATCCAGCGAACATTAATGGAACTCCTCAATCAGCTCGACGGCTTCGACTACTTGGGGAAGACAAAGATCATCATGGCTACAAATCGACCAGATACTCTTGATCCAGCGCTTCTCAGAGCCGGACGTCTGGACAGAAAGATCGAAATCCCCTTGCCGAACGAGGTTGGTCGTCTGGAGATAATGAAGATCCATGCTGCTGGTGTGGTTACAGAAGGAGATGTCGATTTCGAGAGCGTAGTGAAGATGAGTGATGGTCTCAATGGTGCTGATTTGAGAAACGTCGTGACAGAGGCGTAGGTGCTCCAACGCTTTGCTCCTGTACCAGAAGATCCTGCTAAATGTCTATAGGGGTCTATTCGCGATCAAGGATTACCGGGATGCAGTCAATCAAGACGACTTCAACAAGGCAGTGCGCAAGGTTGCGGAGACGAAAAAGCTAGAGGGCAAGCTGGAGTACCAAAAGCTCTAGGGGGCATTGTTTCTTTCTTGCGTTGGCGCCAAGGCATATCGTTGAGCACAAGCCTTGACTTTGTAACAAAACCACCATACGGAATTCATAGGCTCTATTGCCTTAATCGCTGCGTATTCAAGTTTGCGGATCGTACCTAGTGATACTCCCGAATCTTGGTACATTCTGACCCCTAACGTCCAAATGTTGTTTCATACTTTCGCGAGGTCTTCTCCCGCTCTGGTTGACATTGCAGCCGCATCGCCAAATACCCGTCATGAATAGAATTGCGAGGCGGTAGGATTCCCATCTCTCGGTCTTCGCTGCGGTGCTTAAAACGTCTGCTGTTCGGCCATGTGCTTCTATGCGTCACTCCGTAATATCCACGCCCGCAGGTGTGCACACCGCAGATGTCTACTGCCCGTCTCCCAGGGTCCAAGATCCTGCAACCTCTTCGCATCTCTCTCCATCGTGGAAGCGTGGTTCCCTATCTCGGGTAAAGGGCAAGTCGGCGTCCACCCGGTTACAACTCGGATATTGTCCCCGGATGAAAGAGTAGTTTCTGTTCGCTGTAGCGTGGTATTGGGCAGTCAGTCGGCTGCGGTATGCCTCTAAGTGATGATCTTTGTATTCCTGTATGCACCTTCAAGGCTGGCCAATTCGTGGCTTGCGTGCGTTTGACTCTGAATTAGAATCTTTAAAAAAAAAAGCTATATCAGCGCATGCCTGAGTAGTCGTTGTAAGACATCTCGAAGCTCGGAAAGAGCTCCAAATTATCTTCCAAAACCAAAATGATAACGCGAGTTTGCGATGAAGGAATGGGGAGGAGGGAGAAATGAAGAGAAAAAATAAATGGCAAAACAAACTCCCACCTCGCGGGGGGAGAAGAAAAGCCTGCGTTATAGGTTTTCATTTTGATCCGTATTGTTTGTCGTGTGTGATTTGGTGAATCTAAACCACTCGGCCCCAAATCGTTACAATTCCTCCACACCAGCTTGACCTGAAGATGACAACCACTATGCCACCCACGCTACTGGATGCTGTGTCATGTTGGTAAATCGTAGTATACTACTGAAGTTAATCTTCCGAGGGTAGGCCGTTAACCGTGAAGTGAACAGCTATAGTACGAGACTTTCATCCAGACTACTAGTCTGTTCCATGCTCAGAAACGACACACGAATCTAGAACTAGGTTGAGTGAATATCTTTTGTCTTGTATAATATCCAAATACCGTTGGGGATAGAAGCTCCTGACATTCGTCGTCTATTTTCGTGTATATACTCTCGTTTAGGGTTCAGCCTCTAGACTACACTACCTCCATTTCATGTATAAAGGCCTTCCTCTCACTAGAACATAATGGTTACCTTTCATTTCTCCCATACCAACTCTGCTATGGCAGCTAGGTATGTTCCGAAACCCCTCGCTCTAGTCAGAATCGAGCCCATTTTGATTTATTCCGCTTGAGATAGCCTCGTTGTTGATTTTCATAGCTAACTGATGTCATAAGCAGATACTTGGCGGAAAGAGCTACCCAGTGGAGGCAGGCATTTGGTTATCGACTGACTCCCTCGAATTACATTGCTTCTGTCATACTCTTCTCTCAGGGATCCGCACAATCCTCAGTGTATTTACGCACCTCTAAATCAAGATGAGATCGGCTCCGAGCAGGATAATATATTCCTACAGTATTTCTGCAACGATCTGAATAAAGTGGAATCACAGATGTCGCGGACGGCCTAGGATGGCCACTTTGTAGGCAGGTAAGATTGTAACCTTCTCGTGCGGCTGGCAAGGGAGCTATGGAAAATATACCCTCATCGACTGGGAGTGATTAGAATACAGTCGGGATGTGATTTTTCTTTTTCTCCTGAAGCTTGTTTGAAGCTCGCTTAAGTCTTCTCTGGGGTAAATAACGGAAAGTGAGATGATATCGATTGGCATTGAATCGACGGCTTGAGATATTTGGAAGGAAAATCAATGCACGAGTAACCTTAAATTCTAAACTGTCTGATACATCTTCTACTGAATGATTCGCTGGTTCTTGCTACGCGGGTAGGTAGCACGTCGTTGAACAGAGGGCTTGGAAATGCTCCAAAGATGCGTATAAGGGTAGATGGTGGACTACATGTTGTTATCTTATCAAATAAGCTGATTGGTATAATATGAGTAGAGTATTTTGTTTCAGCAAGAGAAAACTTAGATTGGGAAACGCAGAGGCCCCTTGGCGCTGATAAGTAGCAATGGATGTGCGGCAATGCTAGAAAACAACGAGACTATTACAACTGTGAGATTACTTGCTCAGGGGCTCGACAGGGGAAAGCCCAAGCTGGTGGTAAGCCAGAAGTCTGTCGGTGTCGCTCCCCATAGTATGTGATTGATCCCATATCAATTAGCCAGCGAAAGCTTCATCCAGCGGCCATCAATGCCTATTGTCGCCGCCGGGCCTTGCAGCAAGCAGACTAGATGGTCATGTACTCCAATGTGGCGGAAGACTATCCCTCCTTTCTCTTCCTTCAACAGTTCCATCTATCTGTCAATTCTGCTGTGTTTAGATCCATTTAGACGGGTTGTAGTTCCACATCGTTTAGACACCGACCCACCTACAGACTCTTTAAGCTACGGCTACTGCGAGTAATTGAAAAAGCCACGCCAAGCCAGCTGTGGCTACTGGGTTCAAGGAGCACTGCATCACGAATGAAAGCGTGAACAATTTATTCTCAATATCTCTACTCTCCACTTGTCTCATGGGCGTCTAGTCTTCAACGTTGGAATAGCAACGGCAGTCAAGGACTACCTTGCTATATATATCCGTCAATGCTTGTCTTGTCGTCCACACTGGGGAACAAATAAGCATATCCCCACCAAACCTTCAGATGGAAAGTAAGAATGTCATGAGAGAGACTGTTTCCAAAGCCATAATGTTGAGACGGGCTTGAGTACGACACCTTGCATCCCTTAGTATTATGTTGTTGTTGTCTAAGTTGATAACGTTCAATTGAGGAGATATTGGTCGATTGAGTCAACGTACATCTACTTCTAGAACACCAGAATCCCTCCGGGCTCAGCGGGCTTGCCATGGGGCTTATTCAGAGTTTCGGACGTGATCCGCTGCCATTTTTGCTTCCGTACATATATTTTTATTGCTCTGCTTATGCCGGCAGCGCTCGGTTATGATGTTGCCGTCTATTGACAACAGACGGCCAAGCCAATGAACAAAGCTCCCCACGCCCATCTGAAGTTTAGGGGAAGTTTCTAGCGACACATAGCACGCACACAGCCCGGAAGTGCTCTTAATGGAGACCTCGGCATGTGGGAGAACCCGGGGCGCTCTGGTAAAGTAACTAACTCTGTGCACTATCGATTCAGGAGAAGGAACCCATCCGCTCCAGCTCGTCATTTTTCGTATGTTCGTAAGTTCGTATATTCATACATTGATGCTGAAGATCTCCAAGCACGCCGATCCCCCCTCCTCCTCCCCACCCAGCTGTCTAAATTTAGGATCAGACCCCCTGATGGGCGTTTGCTTTGGGGGGCTGTGAGCTTGTATGGCACGGCGGGCAGCCAATCGTACCGTAGAAGCATGTTCCTTTCAACGCCTCTATCTGGAGAACTTGGGAGCGAAAGCGGGAATAGAAAGGCAGTATACGAAGTAGTGAGATGGAATGCAATGTTTACTATTTGTTGACTGCTCAAAGAACGGGCCATAAACGAAAGGGGGTGCCCCTATCCGTCCAGATTCGCTTAGATGTGCTAGCTAGTTTCAACTTGATAAGAGGCTGGCTCAAGCTTTAAATACTAGGAACCTTCAATTCAGCTCCTGGCCATCTTCACCCCATCCCATCCCACACTGCCTCTGCCCTTTGCCCTCTTCTTTGCAGCAAGCAGCACACATCCAACCTGCAATAAAACTATTCCATCGATACCCCGAAGCTGCTCCTCGAACCTCGACAATCATGTGTGGAATTTTCGGATACAGCAAGTGAACCCCGTCTTTCACTCCGCATGCAGTCTTTTGAGCATGATTGAGAGATCAAGATTCATGGCTTTGGAGCTCTACGAGCCTTTCGGGACTGCAGGCTAACTGGTTACAGTCAACTACCTGGTGGAGAAGGACCGCAAAACCATCATTGAGACTCTCGTCAAAGGCCTCTCCCGTCTCGAATACAGAGGATATGACAGTGCTGGTCTCGCCGTGGACGGAGACAAGAAGAATGAAGTCTTCGCTTTCAAGGAGGTCGGAAAGGTGGTCAAGCTGAAGGAGCTCATTGCGATGGAGAAGCCAGACATGACCAAGATCTTCGACTCGCACGCTGGTATCGCACACACCAGATGGGCAACCCATGGCCCCCCATCCAGACTCAACTGCCATCCTCACAGGTAGTCTTACTGCTACCTTCCACCGCGCACCTATTCTGACCAGAGAATCTAGATCCGACCCAACTTGGGAATTTTCTGTCGTCCACAACGGTATCATCACGAATTATAAGGAACTGAAGACACTCTTGACTTCGAAGGGCTTCAAGTTTGAGACCGAGACCGATACCGAATGCATTGCAAAGCTTGCAAAGTACATTTACGATTCCCAGAAGTCAATTGGCTTCACAGATTTGGCAAAGGCTGTAATCAAGGAGTTGCAGGGAGCTTTCGGTTTATTGATGAAGTCGGTCCATTTCCCACACGAGGTTATTGCTGCTCGGAAGGGCTCCCCCTTGGTGATCGGTGTCCGCACGGAGAAGCGCATGAAGGTCGACTTTGTTGATGTCGAGTACACCGAGGATGGACCTCTCCCAGCCGAGCAGGCATCCCAGAACGTTGCATTGAAGAAGTCCAATGTTGGAAACTTCCTCGCAGCCGGCAACCTTCTTGGCCCCCCCGACAAGTCCTTATTGCACAGATCGCAATCCCGAGCATTCATGACCGACGATGGGGCACCAATGCCTACCGAGTTCTTTCTCTCCTCCGACCCTTCTGCTATTGTCGAGCACACCAAGAAGGTTATGTACCTCGAGGACGATGATATTGCCCACATTCACGAGGGATCCCTCAACATCCACAGACTTACTAAGGCTGATGGATCATCGAACGTCCGAACCATCCAGACCCTTGAGCTTGAGCTTCAAGAAATCATGAAGGGAAAATTCGACCACTTCATGCAAAAGGAGATCTTCGAACAACCCGAATCCGTTGTCAACACAATGAGAGGTCGCATCGATGTGGAGAACAAGACTGTCACCCTCGGTGGCTTGAGATCATACATTGCTACCATCCGTCGTTGCAGAAGAATCATCTTCATCGCCTGCGGAACCAGTTACCACTCCTGCATGGCCGTTCGTGGAGTCTTCGAGGAGCTTACTGAGATCCCGATCGCCGTCGAGCTAGCTTCTGACTTCCTGGACAGACAAGCGCCAGTTTTCCGTGACGATACTTGCGTGTTCGTCTCTCAGTCTGGTGAGACTGCCGATTCGCTCATGGCTCTCCGCTACTGCTTGGAGCGTGGTGCTTTGACTGTCGGTATTGTCAACGTAGTCGGTTCCTCCATCTCCCTCCTCACCCATTGTGGTGTCCACGTCAATGCGGGTCCCGAAATCGGTGTTGCATCCACTAAGGCCTACACGTCTCAATTCATTGCTATGGTCATGTTCGCGCTCTCCTTGAGCGAGGACCGTGCATCCAAGCAAAAGAGACGAGAGGATATTATGCAGGGTCTGGGAATGATCTCAGAGCAGATCAAGCAGATCTTGGAGCTCGACCAACCAATTAAGGAACTGTGTGCCAGAACATTCAAGCACCAGAAGTCTCTTCTCCTCTTGGGCCGAGGCAGCCAGTTCTCCACTGCGCTCGAGGGTGCGTTGAAGATCAAGGAAATATCCTACCTCCATTGTGAGGCTGTCATGTCTGGAGAGTTGAAGCATGGTGTCTTGGCTCTGGTTGACGAGAACCTCCCTATCATCATGATTCTTACCCGCGACGACATATTTGCTAAGTCTCTTAACGCTTACCAGCAAGGTATGGTACACTTTCCTACATACAGGTATTTCGCTAACAAGTTTCCAGTCATCGCCCGCGGCGGAAAACCCATAGTCATTTGTAACCCCGGCGATGAGGAGTTCAAGGCTGGCCAAGCCGAGAAAATCGAGATCCCCAAGACCGTCGACTGCCTGCAGGGTCTTTTGAACGTCATCCCGCTCCAACTGATGGCCTACTGGCTCGCCGTCGCCGAGGGTCTGAACGTCGATTTTCCCCGCAACTTGGCCAAGTCGGTGACAGTGGAGTGAACGGAACGCAATACCTTTGGAACAAGTCTAAGTGGGATATTTGCTTTTAGCGTTTGCTGGCTGGCCCGGGTATGGAACAAAATGGGTTTTGGGATGAACGAAAGAACGAAAAATTCACAGCGAACTTGTATTAGCTTGCGTCTGTAGTACTCCTGTGAGAAGTATTACTTATTCTATCAATTGATTTTGGTCAACAAATTATCCTGTCGCTTCTATCAGGTGTTTGAGGCAGAATAACTATATCTAATCTACTTCCAAAGCTCAAACACATATCCGATTTTCTTGAAATGAATGCACAGAAATTCCGGGAAAGAAAGGCCGGGCCATAACTGCGCTGTGACTTCAAAACAAAACCCTAATTCGACTTGATGCAATATTCTAGATGACGTAATCTTCGATGTTAAAGATTCAGCTCGGTACTGCGTATGAGTGTGAAAGCAGATAAGAAAAGCACCCGGGTCTCTGAGGCCGGGGTAGAAAATAGCTCCCAGCGGCTGGCGAGGAGCTCTCTCTCTCTCTCATGAAGCTGAAATTCTGGCTCTGTGGCAATGCATACACACACACACACACCAGGTGGCCAGAAGGGAGCAGAGATAGATGGCTGTTTCGTGGGTAGAAAGCGCATAAATTTGGATGAGCAGGCAGGCAGGGAAAGGACGGAGTTCCTCACTTGATTTGCTCGACGGTTACAACTTGCTGGGTGGTGTTGAAATGGTAGAATGGGAGCGCAGGCGGGCAGGCAGGCAGGCAGGCAGGCAGGCAGGCAGGCAGCTGTTGGAGAAGACTTTGTGGATTTCGTGGAGGAGGGGAGGGATCGGAGGGAGTGGGTGGGTAGCTGGTGGGAGGAGGGAGGAGGGCAGAGAGAGGATCGTAAATACTCGATCGAGTACAAGTAGGTGGGTAAGCCAGCTCAGCTCCGTAATGTACGTATTTTCAAATGAATAAAATTTTGACGTACGATTTCGTATCGTACGTATCAATCAATATCAATATCAACATCCATATCAATGTCAATATCAATACTAGCAGTCATTTATTCCCCCTCGCTATACTCGAAAATAAAAAGTGTGCTCTGGCTTTCCCCGTCGTCTTTCAATCCCATCTATGTCAAGAAAGAGAAAGACAGATCGATCGATGAATTCAAATACTGATTCAACAATCGCAGGAATACGTATCGTATCTAACCTTAACTCACCCATACGAATTACAAGTACCTTATATACTCCCTTGCATATATGTAGCTTCTCGCCAATTGTGCTGTCTCTGGGTCCCAGGGAAATCCAGGGACTGACTGACTGATTCCAGAGACGATCGATTCCGAGTGGCGTCCAATTTCCGAAAAGGTCGTCTGAGATGTAAAGAGAGAGAGGTGTGCCAAGAGATGGACATTGAAAGACTTTATAGAGAGAGAATGTCCCAACTGCGTTCGTTAGCTGGATCCGCTGGATACGGGTGCCCTTACGGATGCCTTGACCACATGTTCAGTTGCATACATACCGCGCTGATTGCCAATAGAATTTGGAGAGATGAGGATGAAGAGGCCCGAAATTGTGGCCTTGACAAGTTGAAAGAAGTATTGCGGATACTTTGGATTTCACAAAAAATATGCCCTAAAACTACCAGAAGGTACTAGAAAAAGTTTCCCTTGCTCTCGAGATGGGTGAGGTACCGAGTCGTAACACACCCAGACTCCTAACCCCGACCCGCTATCAGAGATCGCACCTCGAAACCATAGAATCAATCGCTTATTTCCCTTCGCTCAAATGTAACTCCTTCCCCATGCCATTCCCAGTCCTCAACACCATCAATTTCACCATTGTAAGTTGAATCCTCCAACGCCAAGTATGCTGCCAGCACACGCTCCAACATACCCTACTTCCCACAAGAGAATAACGAACATTCAACCGCGGCGGTCGTACTGCCTAGGGAGACGGGTGTTTCTCTGCGAAGATGAGATGATGCGAGTCGACGATGGAGAGTGTGAGCTGCGAAGGGGGTCGACGCGGCGGGCGGGCATGTTGCGGTAAGCAGTCATGCTGCGCCGCGATGACGATGGCTCAATATTTCTGGCTTCCTCCGGCTCCTCTTCCTCTTCGTCGTCGAACGAAATCGGATTGTCCGAAGACCCAGTTCCTCTGAGCGCCTGGTGCTCGCCGAAGATCATGCCGAGAGCGGGTTCGTATTGCTGCTGAACACGTATATTTGATTGAGGCCTTCTTCTTTGTCTGCGAGGGGGTCGGCGGATTGAGCTGTCTGAAGATTCGGCATCACGATTTTGCATATTACTGGCTGGACCAAGGTTCTGGCCGCGAAAGTTGCTGCGATTCGCTGCGAGACCTCCGTGTTCGGACATTTCAGAGCTTTCGTTGGTACTGACACTCATATCTCTCGCTAAGGGGGTTTGGTATCCGTAGTCTGGAGTAGCACCTCTGAAGTATGGATTCGCGCTCACACTGCGATTTTCTCTTGGCGATACCGGGCTCATACGGCTCATGTCTGTATCTCCATCATAGTCCATGACCGACTGACCCTCTTGAGAATCGTCTTCAGTATCCCGGTGCTCGCAGAGGTTGCCAGCATGGAAATTCGTCCCTGCTTGAATTCGAGCCTCGTACCCATCATTGACAACAGGAGTTTGAGACAGACTGTCCCGGGAGCGATCGTCCTCATCATCAACAGGGCCGTCCTCTACGGTTTCAGTATTTGTGCCGCTATCGACAGAGTCATCATCATCATCATCATCATCCTCATCCTCATCCTCATATCGGCTACGCCGTCTGGGGTAAGGATTGATAGAGCCTTCTTCATCGCTATCGGGTTCTTGTTGCAGAGGACTCCAACCAGCGGTTCGAAGAAGATCTGCCTGATTCATGTCCCCGGCCTCAGAGCCATAGGTACTGGTATCCGTAACTGTGTGGGGTCCGGGACTGTGACTACCGTATTCGTCAGGTGCGAGGTGAGCACTGTTTGGATCACCGTACTGGGGGCTGTAAGGGCTGTAAGGGCTGTCTGGTGTCTCGGAAATTCGGGCGCGGTCTCTTCGCTGTCGGTGATTATTGATCGCGCCACCTTCATCATCCGAATCATCATCGTCTGAGATAAGATTGATGGGAGGATCTGCGGCGCCGTTTCTTCCCAGACCACTCGTTTGGCCGGGCCCGAGTTCTACGTCATCCTGAACAACAAAGTCTTGCAAAGAGCCACCATCCTCGTCGCTATCGCTTTCAGGAAAGCTCCCATCCATCGAATCGGAGTACCCGTCAATTGAGCCCCCGTGTCGATGGTGATGTTCGTGAATATAGTGGTGCATGTGAGGATCTGGGTGAAAGTTTGCGGCCAAATCCAGCAGGGCGCGAGGGCGACCGTAGCGGTGATGGTCGTGCATGTGATCAAACTCGGCACCCAATTCAGCGTCCAGATCCTGCTCCAAGTCGTCGATTAGGTCGTGGTCGTAGTCGCTTGCGTCACTGAAGCCTTCCTCCTCGTCGACCTCGAATCCACATACCGTACATACGGGACCTCCGAGGTACTCATGGTGACACTCCGGACATCTCATGACTCCATCGCCATCGTCTCTCATGAGCCGTCCCCGTTCTTTGAACAGCCCTCTAAATATCCCATTCGGACTTCCCTTGTCGTTCTCGACGATTGCAATCTCCTCTGCTCTCTTCTCAGCATGTTGCTCGATGGACTCGTCTGCAGGCATCAACTCCAGTCGTTTTGTGAAGACCTGGTCGACCATTTGCTTGATCTTATAAATTCGTTAGCAAGCGATTGGCGTGGGCGGGAAGGAGTACTGCTGACCAGGAAATTCGGAGAAGGAATCTGTTTGACCTTCGCACGGCATTCAGGACAAGTCTTCTTGTGCTTATGTTGGTCGAACCATTGGCAAAGGCACTGCGAACAGTATTAGCTCTGTGCCGCCCAAGATGCGAAGGTGACACATACAGAATAGCAGTATGTATGACCGCACCCCAAAGTCCATGGTTCGTATAGTAGCAGATCGCAGACGGTACAGGTAACAAGGCTTCGAATTTCCGTGAGGTCGGTCTTGAACGATGTTGCAAGCTGCGCAACACATATCAGTAAGGGGGGAAAGTGGGCGAGCGGCAGGCAGGCAAGCTTACCTGAGCGTCACTTCTGGACTTGGAGATGAGAGCGGAGGCATTGGAGCGCGCCATAGCTGGAGTCGCTTCTCTGCTACTCGAATCGCCTCCGAGTCTTCTGCCAGCCGTGAGCTGGTTCGGGGCTGTGGTAGAGGGCGCCATTCGTGGTATGGAGTTGAAGAACTGCGGGCAAAGGTGAGGAGGGGTTTGGGTTTGGGGATTTCAACGTCGGGGCAGGGTGGGTGATGAGTCTCTGGACGAGAGATGCTGAGTGTTGTGTATCTTCAGGGTTGTTTGCGAGTTTGCTATCCCTTCCAGATCACCACAGAGCGCGTCGGCGTGGAGAGGGGCAAGGTTTGCCTGGTTGGTGGAGGTTGTAGATTTGGGAAGGGTTTCGAGGCTGCTATCGCGTCGACGAAGTTCCGCCTCGCGCCTCCTTTTAGCGAGGGCACTATAATGACTAGCCTCTAAGTATTGTACCACTCATAGAATACTATTCCGTATTGATTGTTCGACCATTCACAATAACTGCAGTGAATAGATATTCCATCATGTACAGGTCTTTGAGCCTTATCGCTCATCGTATTCTAATCACAATCAAACCCTAGTAAGAGCGTTTCAACTCCGCATGACAGACAGCCCGACTAACAGACAACAGCTCTCTATATTTTGCTACTCCTCGTCTATATCATTATAAATACCGATGATGACCTAGCAACACCTCATCTCAGATCCCATCCACAATCAACCAATTGTCAGAAAACTATGTGCGTTCGCATCGTCTTTCGACCCGACGGCCTTGGGCTCTGCTGCACGAGTTCTGTACGTGGCGAGCTTCCTGCCCAATGGACTGTCAGCCCCCAGACCCGGGGAGGTAGTCAGAAGAAAGGTTCGTATTGAATGGCTCCATAGATCTGGGGACGAGCTCCATAACGCGTCGAAGATCGCGATGAGATGCAATGTCAGGTGTCCGATCAAATCAAAACCCCCGAGCATGTGTACGGTAACAAGGAATTGGCAATCTAGCTACTCGGAACATCGCTATCAGGATCTGTAAAATTCACCGCCCACGCACGCACGCACGCTTGAACGCTCGATCACTGAAAATCAACGTAAATACAGACTTTGATGGCCAGTTATCCATCCACTTTGATTCCCCAACTCTTACCTCCCATCCTACACATTAGCCCATCCTACAGCTTGACTCGCTTATCCTTAGCGGCCTCTTCACACACCTCGGCTAGTGACCCCTTCTTCACGAGCGATTCTTCGACAATCTCATGGTTGAGGTGCTCCAGCGCCTGGATCTCGAAATCGAGGAAGGACTTGATGGACTGCACGTCGGTGGCACCGGCCTTCATCGAGTCGCGCACATTTTTCAGCATATATCTGATACGCGATTCGGCATTCTCAAGGTTGTACTCGACGGTCTGGCCGTAAAGATCTGAGAGATTAGAAATAGGGCGCACAGTGTTGAGAACAGTGTCATCGCGGACGCGGGGAGAGCGCGGGCGGAAAGAGGTCACCATTGTAATACGTTCTTGGCCGCCGAAGGCAGAGAGGGCTTGATGGTCGATGTAGCGGCCTTGGAGTACGACGGCACAGCCCTGTCAGTGTTAGACTAGATGTATCGGCGAGGTTGTGTTGAAAAGGGAATGGGTGTCTTACCATTGATGGACCGCGAACCTTCCTAATCTCCCCAGTGCCGGTTCTCAAGGCGGTTTCACCGCCAACCATCCCGGTAGTGTCGCTCATCATCAACACACACACGAAGGGGTAGCTATCTCTATGCCAGCCAACGATGGCTCCATCGTTACCCGAGCTCATGTGGTCTTTCTTATCTCCGGGCTTTGATAGGTTGACGTGGCCAATCTCATAATCCATGACAGGAACGAGGTCAACGCCAGCAATCTTTGAAATGATAGCAAGAGTCTCCGGATGCTTCCATGCTTCAAAGACAAACTTTCCATGTCTGCCTCTGTCAGATCCTTTTGCTTGAAATGCGGGCGGAGGCTAACTTACTTTGGTGCATAACCACGGATCTGTCGGGGAGCTATGTCGGACGCATAGCTATACTTCTCTTGAACCTCAGGGTCGAGGACCTCGCTTCTCATGATGCTGATGGCTTCCTGACTAAACAAGGGGAATGGATCAGAAACAGCGACAGGTGAAACACCCTTATTGGCTGAGAATCCTAGCTCTTCCATGGTATGTATGTGATTGGGCTCCTCAAATGCAAGATGTCGAGCAGGGCTGAAAAGCTTTCCAACAGCAGGAGATCCATTGTCTGCAGCGAGGTACTTTTCAAATGATCGCTTGAGTGATGCTTGAGTTTCTCTTGGGGATGGGAGGACTCTTGGTGGGCTGGCAATTTTCGAGTATGGCATATCAGGCGCACCTGACTGCGCGTACACACCGGGAGTGGCCATTATGTTTGATCTGGGTAGATACAGCTGGAACTTTCTGTGAGATATTAAAGTGAAATTCAAGGTCTGTTGTGATCGCAAAAGAGAGAGATGCTCCCAAATGCAGAGAAAGCGTTTTCGCTGACGAGAGCCCCCCCAAGAGTTTATCTTTGAAAGACCGATAGAATTCACAGCCGAAGGCGGATGCGAATAGGGTGAATTCCGACCGATAGACGACGTCCGTTCTAAAATATAGCCTTGGAATGGCGGAGAGAGGTGGCTTACAAAAAGAGCTTGATCACTCCTATACAGATGATGCTTTGACAATCGGTGGAAGTACGTTGAGATAAAGTTGATGCAAGCGTATGCTGAGGCTAATATCAATCCGTGGATGATGTGTGGTGAGGGCGGCGCGGAAGCCCTCTTATAAGTGAGGGCTCCTTGAACGGCGTCTCTGCTGGCTATCACCCGTCTGGCGAGTGCTTTGGTAGGCCGATGTAAACAAACCAGCATTGAAGATACGCTACCGAACTGATCATCCGTGATTCTTGCACTCCCTCGATGCTTCGATCCCGTCTGCCCTTGCTCGGCTCCTCCGCACCTTTCTTGCAGCCAAATTCCACCGTTCAGGAGCGGTGATCAATCCATGTGTGGAGAGCGGTTCACGATACCTCGCGGGCAGTTAGCCTTCCCGCAGTCGCCTTATCGGGGCCCAGTCTACCAATAGGTAGGTCGACCGATATCCAAGACGTCGTGTGCTCCACAAGCCGGACACAGACACACGGCTTTGCTTGTGACCAGAGTATGAACACATGGAAATGCTTCCTCAAAGTGGAAAAGATGCAGTGCAGAATAGGAAGGCCGAATGCAATGAGACGGCAGCGAAGCCACGAGGATGACAAGACCCGGGATTTTTTCACACTCTCTCTGGATGTTCTGCACATGAAACCTGTCAGCCTGAACCGACTTCCCATTAGCAAATTCTGCAGTAGAGGCGCGGGATTGTGGAGAAGACAAGATCGAGAGTGGAGGGCCTGGCAAAGAGGTGTGGAATGTTGAGGGTGGAGGGCTAACGAGACCAGCACGTCGAGCAGACCAGACCAGACCAGACCAGACCAGACCAGATATCTGAACTGGATCTGATGACCCGATTTGGAAGACGAGGCGAGCAGCACCGTGGTCCGTGGTCCGTGGTCCGGGGCCCGTCTCGCTTATAAGCCAAGCAGTGCAATAACTGGCGGTCGTTAACGGATGCATGGCCGGCTCAATAGCATTACAGTAGAGCCATGCTCGAGGCGTTGTAATGTTGCTTTTGTTGTGGATGTTGTGGTTATTTTTGGGAGGGAGACGGGGGGACGGGGAACGGGACGGGGGACGGGGAGGTGAGCTGAGGCGAGGCGAGGTGATGTACGGTACTGTGATGTGATGATATTCCGAAATGCAAAATGAAATGTCCGATATCCGACATTCCCCACGCGATAAGACGATAAGATTCGTTCACCTGCCAAGACTCGGCTCGAGATACCGGTACACTCGAGTTTTCATCCTCCGGCTGTAACCCTCAACTCACCTGCTCACGTGATATCCATCACTACCCCATCATGTCATCCACAAACAAGAATCCCTCTGGAGGCGAAGGCGAGGGTGAGGGCGAGGGCCCGTGGGACTTGAAGACCAGCCAGAAGTTCAACAGGTATGTGGTGGCTGTGAGGCTGAGAATAGGTGGCGAGTTAGGTATCCCATGACAAGACGGCCCCCCGGCTGATTGATACCTCTCCTCCAGTAAACTACCCGGAGAATACTTCGATCCATGCCAGGAGGCCGCGTCCAGGAGTCTGAAGTGTTTAGCCCGGAACAGCGGTGATAGGGAGCTGTGTACAGATTACTTTCAGTGAGTTCCATCTCGGTCTGCTGGCCTACCCCGGAATTGCTTAGGCTTGATAGTTTGATCCCGTTCCCATTGTGTTATTCTCATATCGAGTAAAGATGAATGTACTGACGTTGGCTTAGAGCATATCGAGACTGCAAGCTGCAATGGGTGGGTTGAGCCGTGTTTGCTTCATATACATCTCAGTCTTCGTCTCGGCTTTACAATTTCAACCCCAATGACTGGGCGGCGGTTATGAATGCTGTTGATGTGGTGTTTGAATGAGGCTGACTGACACTTCCATAGCAAACGGCTAGGAAAGAAGCCAAGGCTGCAAAGAGAGCCGAACGTGGAGGGTGGTTTTCATGAGTGTGCACAATGGCGTTGTACACGTCGCGGTATCTGGGCTGGGCTGTAAAACAGGCTGAAAATTGTATGATATGGTGGGATTTAATTCGAGATTTCCACTCTGGGAGTAAGCTGGTGGCTGGGATTATGTTGATCTGTAAAGGCTGGCGGCTGCAAAGGAGCAATACTTTCAATTTCACTAAATTTCATCATTTTTTGTATGGGACTTTGGGATGTTGAATACGGACGGTTCATACAACCTGGCTCAATATGGGTTTCACTTTCGGATGTTGAATACCGCCACGGTTGATACAACCTGATTCCATCAATATACAAGAAGTTGTGGCTCACCTTTTCTTTTTTGACGTTGACGTTCACCACAGCTCGCTTCGGCTACGCCAGGCATAGTTCCACGCACCCGAATTTTCTGGCGTTCATTACTTTTGCTGGCCTCCGTGCGGTTACTTCTTCACCAAAGCAACAAGTCCACCAGAAGCTTCATTTCCCAGCACCGCGTTCTCCAAATTCCGCACCAAGGTCAACAAGCACCGAGAGCCGCATGAAGATCAGCCACGAGCGACCAGCACGCGAGGCCTGAAATGGACCAATTTCAAGACCGCCAAGATGTCCAAATATGGAATGCCATCGAGGCAAAGAATTACAAGCAAGCCTTGAAGCTCGTCGACAAAAGGCTGGCCAAGAAACGTACCGACTATCATGAGGTGAGTGACCGAGGGCGTTGACTTTACCGAAACGTCCTCTGCTACTCTGGCTTTCACTGTTCAAATACGGCTCACGTGACTACCAGTTGTTCAGCTCACTGACAACGACCAAGGCTCTCAAAATCTACATCCGGGCTCTTTCCCCTCAAGTCTCTGAGAAGTCCGCTGTCTTGCAGCATCTAGAAGAGTTGGCGGAGAGAAAAAAGGCTTTCTTGGACTCGACGATTCTTGACTGCTACGACGACGCGTTGGAGAAAGTGCTTTCGAACCCCAGAGAACATTGGGCTAAGATCATTGGGGAGATGAGATGGCAATCAGTTAAGGCTAGTCCGAAGAACGAAGACACGAGCATCGAGTGCTTCCACAGATGTCTTTCTATGAATGACTTGGATCATGCGCGGCAGGTAAGTCGAATTGCCTTTGTCTTCGACATTGGGATCTGCCAGTATGATATCAAGTCAAGCTAGATGCTGAGATCAGATCCTCACACAGATTGCCAATAGCCTCGAGAAAAACTTTCCTAAGACTCGTGACTATGTTTTCTGGAATATATCAACCATGTTCTTGTTCTCGGTGAGTCCTCCTATGGCTGCGAAGATCGAACCATTACCAATAGTCTAGATTCAACCCAGTTGTCCGGAGATGCAAAGAAAGATATGGGGAGGTCTAGCATTTGGGACAATAACCAAGCTCGCTACTGCTACCAAACAAGCTACAGTAAGTCATCACACGTATTATACCACAACATCGCTGATCAAGCCACCTACTCCACAGGACCAACAGAAGCTTCCCCTCCGGGCCATTCAAACACCACAAGAACTTCTTCTCTTGCAAAGAATCACGCAGACCTGTGGCAAGATAGAGCAACGTCTGGAATATCTCCAGGATCCTCTCCTTGGACCCGAGTCTGTGGTTGCCAAAGGCGAATGGGAGCTGTGGAGGCTCAAACTGGAGCTCCTTGAGAAAGCCCAAGAATGGAAAGAGCTTTTTGAAGTTACTGGCTCGTTACTCAAGCGGTCACGTACCAAAAACGAGGCTGGTAATTATTCGGAGGCGAGGTTGGGTGATTGGGTAGTCTGGGAAGCGTACGTCCTCTCTGCAGGTCAATTGAAGGATCGAAAGTAGGTCTAAATATCGTTATTCTGTAGTTGGGTACTGATATTAGCGTAGGGCTACTTCACAGACTTGGATAGAAGTCAAGGCTCACTTAGATCCGGAATGTGGAATTGACAAAAGCTGGAAGAGGAACGCATCTTTGGCCCTGGTCAAGATTACATTCGAAAGCTCTTCACCGTTTTCGGAAACTACCCAAGAGAATGGCGGCTTGCCACACCGAGTTACTGCCAGTATCGGGTATCTGCAAAATTATGCCAGTGCTAGTACTGCGTACAATGATCTCAGACCATTCATCGGCAAGATGAGCCAGGAGGAGAGGAAACAATTTATCGGAGCCTTAGACAAGGACACGCTGTTTGAAAACGGCGAGAAGTCCCAAAGTGTGAGTCTGGAAACGCTACTGTCCATCTTATATTTGTGCGCTACTATGTATGTCAATGCTTACTGTGACTAGCTTGCAACGGCGCGTCAAATCACGGAATCGATCAACATGACTAAGTTGAAATACCTCCTGAAATGCAGTCTACCTGAGCACGATCGGACACAGAGTCCAGAGAAGAGAGATGGAAACACTGAGTTTACATGTATTTCCTGCTCAAAGCCATGTGGATTAAGCTGCAGCCACTGTTTACAAACTGTAGCGCAAGAGTCCATAGCCTCGTACCGAAGCGCAATCAACGACGATGGGCGCATCACCAAAGACCTTTTGAGCACCGATAGGCATCCAGCAGATGATTTCGCCGTCCTTGCAGCCACCACCTTGATCAGAATCGCTCTGGTAAGCTCCGACACCGGCTCCGAGCCCCTGAAGACCACAAGATCCAGCTATTTGTTGCAAGCTACAGTATTGCTTGAGAAGGCCTGGACACACTCCAAATCCAACTTCCAGATTTCCTTGGTGCTAGTCCGCCTCTACATCTACCTTGGATGCGGATCCCTAGCCATGCGGTCGTTCCAGCGTCTCGCGCTCAAACAAGTTCAACTGGATACCCTCTCCTACATCCTCTTCGATAGGATATCAAGCTTTCATCCTCACCCGTTCACGCATTACCCCGATGGGATGGCCAAATCCATTACTCCGATCGAGCAGCTGCGGAAACACCAGAAGCTCTACAAAAGTGCGCAGGAGCACGTCGTCAAGAACGTTTCGCTATCATTCAAGCACAACAGCTACAACTCTATTTTTGAGATCAAGGAGGTGGAGGAGACTCTGTCAAAAAGTCTGGCAAGGGTCATGTCTGTGATTGAAAGCAGAAAAGTGGCTCGTCTGATGGAGCCGAAAACTTCGTTGACTGAAATCTCGCAAAGGTTTGACATTCTCGGTAAAGGCGCCCTCAAAAATTCCCCTTCGCGTCAGCCAAACTAAAACCATCCAGTACCTAGCACAGAAGAACCGGCAACCCTATTCGCCGACACAAACGACTACTCCACCTTCCCCAATTATGAAAGTGCTTCAGGGCCCTCCTTCGAAGAACTCTCTAGATTTGTGCCAGCTCCATCCGTAAGCCCCCTTCCTCATCTCCTTCTTCTTCGTTCTACGCCACTCAATTCATAACGTTAATGCGACCCAGAACACCCGGTACCGACTCGCCCTTGCCACCTCCAAGCTAGCCCTTATCACCTCCCCATCAACCTCGAGCGGTGAAGCAGCGTTGCTCCAGCAATGGCTCAAACAGTATCTCGCAACCCCAACTCCAAAAATGGGAGCCAAAGACTTGACAGTCGCTGAGACACTAGCTCAAGCGAGCTATGATGCGTTGGCACATGTCCTGCATACCGCGTACGATAAGGAGCTGAACGTGGAGCCGGATGTGAAGGGAAGACTGGATGGGTGGAACTCGGATCTGGTTCAGGCTCTTGAAAAACAGCTCAAGTTTGTGCATGAGATGGAGGGCGTTGCTCCCCCGCTCCAAAGCACACTGCACGCTCTGTATACATCGCATGAAGTCGGCACTGCTGCTTTGAGCTTTTCCGCGTTCATCTCGCGCCAGGGGAAGAATATTGTTTATGAGAAGCAGGTGGAGGCCAGTCAGCTGGTTAAGGAGGTTGCGGAGAAATTGCTGGCGGCTGTGGAGGAGAAGTGTAGGGGTGTTAAAGGAGCTGTGGATGAGGGGGGGTGGATTGATCGGGTGCTGGAGTGTGTAGTGCCGGATGAGGATGGGGTGAGCAAGGATGTCGTGAAGGAATTGAAGGGGTTGGTGGATGAAAACTTCATGGAGGCGTGGGCGGGCGAGGTTGTGGAGAGCTGGAAGGATTCTGTTGTTGGACTGGCGCTGCTCAAAGTGGGTTCCGCTGCAAGCGTGTCTTGATTGTCTGTGGTTGTCAAGCTGGGGGTCGAGGATCTTGGACTACGAATGCCAAAGTCTCACCATTGCCGGGGATTTGGGCTTTCCCGGCAGGTCCACAATCAGCTCTAGCAAGCCCACTGGGATCTCGATACTTCACTCCCGTTGAGAAGCCCACGAACATCACGGTCATATTCTTCGGCACGGCACGTATTCCGCACCGATGAGGCAGTGCAATCACATCATATCCTCCTCCGCCGCCTTCCTCGCTTGAATCCTCGCTAATATTTCTCTCCTCTCCTCTCTCAAAGTAACAAACACCCAGAACCACGTAATCATCTCGAAAAAGGCCCACGTAAACAGCACTCTATTCTTCAGTCCTTCCCCCCACCCACTCGCTTGGTAGGCGGATGAGCGCGAGGAGGTGTAGAAGGGCGAGGTCGAGGAGAAGAAGTAGGAGTAGAACGTTATGAAGAAGAAGAGGACTAGGCGAACGGGCGCTGTAGAAAGCGCGGGTTTAGCTTGTGGACAACATCGAAAATGGGGGATGGATGGATGTAGAGAGGGAGAGACGCACCTTGCGATCCCCAGTGGTATTGCGAGATCTCCTCGGGCAGGGAGATGGCGACTAGATCGGTGACCCCAACGACGAGGAGGACGGCCGCGAGGAAGGCTAGGGGTGCCGATTGGAGGTCAAAGGAGCGGGAATGGGGCTGTTTGGAAAGGTTGGGGGAATCAGCCATCTCTCGTTCCGTTTTCGTGTGTGTTCTGTGTCGGGGGGGTTACGTACCATGCTCATTGCTTCGCCGATTATGAAAACTAGGGTTTGGTCTGCGATCGTCGACGGAGAGGTGAGGAAGAAGAAGGCGAGGGTAATGTGGAAGAGGGAGAGGGAGGTGATTATTGTTGCGCCGGAGATGATCGCCATTGTGCCTTGGAGCTGATTACTGAAGTTGCGCGATATTTGGGAGGTCAGATGGAAATGAAGCAAGATAGTCGAGTATCTGTCGTGAATTGAAATAGAGGAAATAGAAGGGTGAGTCTCACAGCTTGATCGTGCCGCCGTGTCGGGTGGTATAGCCAAAAAGATCAGTTGCAGGGATAAAAATAAGGTTGATCGTTTCCCCGAAAGCCGAGCCAAGACCCTCAATTTAGGGGTCCAAACAAAGCTGGACGATTTCTGCGGCTAGAGCAGTGCTTGGTAGAGAGAGCACCCCTCTTCAAATCCCAAGCTTCACTCGCTTCCCTCTCTAGAGCTTGGGAAGATCTCTACCCAACTCAACATGGCAGAACCGAAGCTGCACAAGGAGAAGCATGTCAAGTACTGGCAGCGCTGTCTCAAGTCCCTCCTCCCCACTCAATACACCAGCACCGATTCCTCGCGCATGACGCTGGGCTTCTTCATCCTCTCCGCGCTGGACCTCCTCGGCGCAGGCGCAGAGACGTTCCCTGCGAAGCAGCGCGCTGAAATCAGAGATTGGATCTTGAAGTGCCAGCACCCGAACGGTGGGTTCTGCGGGTCTCCTAATCATAGGTTTCCGGATGGGTGCTATGTTGATGTTGGGGAGGGGAGGAGGGTCATGGATCCTGCGAACTTGCCGGCAACTTTCTTTGCGTTGTTGAGTCTGACCTTTGTGGAAGGCTTGGACGAAGTGAGGAAGGGAGATGCGCTGAGGTGGCTGAGGAGTTTACAGAGGCCGGATGGAAGTTTTGGGGAACTGGTTACGCAGGAGGGGGCTGTGGAGGGAGGAAGGGATATGAGGTATTGTCTGACGGCTGTGGCTGTAAGATGGATTCTAAGGGGCGATGAGGTGGTGCTTGTGAAAGAGGAGGATATCGATGTGGAGAGATTGGTAGACCATATAAGAGCTGGACAGGTACCTTGAAGTGCTGTTCGTGGAAAAATCTGGGGACTGACTGCTGTCAGACATATGATGGTGGCTTCTCTGAATCTTCTGAGCATGAAGCACATGGTATATATGTTACCCTTAGGCTTCGGAAAATTTGGCTAATGTTTTTATTTTTTATCTTTTAGCCGGCTATACATATTGTGCCATAGCAGCTCTCTCACTGCTGAACCGCCTACCCGACCTATCACTTCGAATGCCTAAAACAGAGGATCCAAAGAGTCCTAGACCAGTTCTTACGGATCTCTCTTTGACTATTCGGTGGCTTGTGTCGAGACAAGTAGGGTATGAAGATGAGGAAGACACGGACGAGGATGCTGAACCTATAATAAAACCGGACGGTGTGTACAAGGAGAAGAATTTGGTAACAGGCTTCACCCTCGAAGACACTGAGTTCGTTGGACTCAATGGCCGTTGCAACAAAGCTGCCGATACTTGTTATGCCTTTTGGGTTGCTGCTTCTCTCAGTGTACGTTGTGTTGCCCTTCAGCTTGAGCTTTTGTTGAATACCTTGACTTAGATGCTTGGTCAAGACGCAGCCCAAATTCTGCATTCCGTGGCTATACGGCGGTTTCTGTTCGAGCAGACTCAACACATGATCGGGGGGTTTGGTAAAACCCCGGGCGCACCACCAGGTCTGTCTCTTCTTCCCTCTTCACCGCTGATTGGATTCTAACATACTACCACAGACATCTACCACTCGTATCTGGGTCTTGCAGCCCTGGCAATCATGAAAGAGCCCGGCATTAAACCGCTCGATCCAGGACTTTGTATCAGCCTGCAACAGAAGGATATCATTGGACAGCTCCGGAAGAGCGCTGCAGTCCCGTCCAGGATATACTGGAAGCATGGAAATGCTTTCTCAATCAGGGAAGACGATCCCGACTTTGAACAGATTATGGCATCCAGCGAAGAGCCCTGCCACATGTGAAAAGAGATAACGGGTGTAGCATCCACATATAGCATCCACATATGGCTGGAAGGGTTGGTTGATAGGGTTGCGACGTGGCAAGCCAGGAACGCTCACGAGAACGGTAATCTGGAGCTACCATCGGGGTCAACATATTTCAGTAATGGTCAAACAATGCTGCATCTGTGGGAATGACATTTTGATGAGATGGTCGCTGGATAGCCAGGAGACTTTGAAACGGGCCCTCTATTGGAGAGCTCCTTGAAGACCACCGATTGGACCGGTCGTTATTGCCCATTAAAAACTTAACCACAACATGCGATTTCTGCTATAGATACTGCTTTGCAGGTCTCCACGAGACACGAACAAGAAGACGCTTTCTCTCGTTTGAAGAGCCGAGCAGCTAGTTCTAACTGAATAAAATGCGGGGAAAATCAAAGAAATAAACCCGCTAGAGCACTCACCGGCTTTTGAGTGGGTTTTTTTTAGTAGATACTTCGAGCTTTTGAGCATTATGTGAAATTTTGTTTTCTTTTCCAGACTTTTTACCGACGTTCTGTCGCTTAGTTCCACTATGGCGGCAAACGCCGAGAAACGTCAAGCTCGGGCCTTATAAAGCTTGAACTTGAGAAATTCAATTGCGTCAACCGTGAGATAGTCTCAATTCAACTTCTCTGATACTTATTGGCCCTCATAATGCAGCTTCTCACAGCTTCAAGATTGCTTCTCCTTGCGAGCTGGGCCGTGACAGCCCTCTCAATCGATGGGCAGGAACCTCTCCAGTCGGACTCCGGTTCTCCATCCATCGAAAGCTCCTCCACCAAAGCTCTCCTCAAGCTGCACAAAGACCTTATCACCCACGCATCGATTAGTGGTGCCGAGGAGTCTGTCGGAAAATACCTCACCAAATACCTTGAGAGCAAGAGATTCACCGTCGAAGTTCAGGAAGTGCAATCCAACCCACCTCGCGCCAACATCTTTGCGTACGTGGGCAAGACGCGCAAGACGCGCACCCTCGTCTCCTCGCACATCGATACCGTCCCGCCGTTCTGGAAATACGAGCGCAGAGGCGACGAGATCTGGGGTCGGGGGAGCGTAGATGCCAAAGGCAGCGTTGCGTCGCAGATCCTCGCCGTCGAGGACCTGCTTGCCTCTGGCAGCATTGCAGAAGGCGATGTCGGATTACTCTACGTGGTTGGCGAGGAGGTCGGCGGCGAGGGGATGCGCAAGGCGAACGATCTGGGCTTGACATGGGATACCGTTATCTTTGGGGAGCCGACCGAGCTGAAGCTTGCGAGCGGGCATAAGGGGACGATGGGGCTGCAGATTAGTGCGAAGGGCAAAGCAGGACACTCTGGATATCCTGAATTGGGCAAGAGTGCTAATGCGATGTTGATCCCGGCGTTGCATGCGTTGCTGAGTTTGGAGCTGCCATCGAGTGAGAAGTACGGGAATACTACTCTTAACATTGGACGTATGGAAGGAGGTGTGGCGGGCAATGTTATTGCCGAGGATGCCAGCGCTGATATTTTGTTGCGCATTGCGGATGGGAGTTTGGAGGATATTCAAAAGGTAATTCTCGAGACGATGGAGGAGTTAGGGCAGGAGCTGGATGTCAGGTTCACGGGAGGTTATGGACCGGTTTATATTGATAGTGATGTTCCTGGTAGGCCGATACACTCTTGTACAAGCCTTGTTTATATGGCTGACAATATTGCTCTAGGTTTTCAGACTATTGTGGTGAACTACGGCACGGATATCCCACACTTGAAGGGGGACCATAAGAAGTATCTCTATGGCCCAGGCACGATCATGATGGCTCACAGCGATCATGAGCACTTGAAGGTGTCGGACCTAGAGAATGCTGTAAAGGGCTACAAGGCTTTGATCGAGCACTCGCTGAAGTAAAAGGTGATCATTTATTTGCCATAGCTACTTAGACTGAGAGCATCTCCTATCAGGAACAGAGTAGTGATCCATGATCATTTGTAGGATCGTGATGTGATGTTGGCCCTGGCCAACATAGCTTGGTTGGTATCGACTAGCTGACCCGGAGCTCGTTTGGCGGGGAGATGGTGAGATCTTGCTGAGGATTTTCAGCTGCATCTCGCTTCTGTTGTTGACTATGGACTGAATTCGCTAATCATTGCAAGTGACCTAGCAACTGAATGCCCGAAGGGATGGTACGGAATATCTCGATGCTGGTGGTGGAGTCACGACCATTGGAGACATGGCCAACCAGCTTCTGAAGTAGGAAAGGACCGATCTCAGAAAGCGACGGAATTGTTTGACACTAGGGATACTTCAATATCTGAAAGTATCTTGACCAACAAATTTCTGTGAATTCTGTTGCTGTTTATGCCCAGGTAGCTTAGCTACTTTGCTGCCACCCAAAAGTACTCATAATCTCTAGCACAATGTACAAGAGAAAGTCAGCAAAATAAGAATCTTCGCTAGATAAATACAAGCAATTCGAACTCTTGTACTAAGGGGGGGTAATGATCTTGTCAATTTGCTTCGTTGAGTAGCGGGCTTTTCAAAATTTCTTCAAAATCTCGTGCCCAATATACCGAGGAGCCCCTTCGCTTCTCGTACTTGCTGATGTGGTCAACGTCAACATTTACACGCTTGAGAGTTTCTATCAAACCACCTTCTCCGTCCGCAGACATGACAATCCCTACCGCGCCGTCTGCCGTCAAGCATTCGATATCTGTCCCCGAGTCGCCAATGTAGACGAACTTTGACGTCCGGTCTCTATACTCATTGTCGGCATCCCAAAATTTAAGCAACTCCCTCGTCGTCCCAAGTTTTGCCTCTGAGGTTGCAATAAGGGCCCCCTCATGCGGACCTCTTAACTCTCCTGAGTTCCCCGGCCAGTTCGCTTGTACTTGCACATTCCCGTTGTCAACACCAACCGCCATCAAGACGCTACGAATGAAGTAGGCCGAGAAGTTCGCCGACACGATACCCCAAATCGCTCCCAGCTTGTCGATGCCGGCAACAAAGTCCTGAAATCCTTTCCGGGTCTTGACCTCGCCTCCCGCAACCGCTTCCCTCCCGAGTTCTGGCCAATCTTGGACGTCAATGTCCCGAAAAATCTCGGATGCGCTCACGCGCCCGAAACTTCTCAATTCGACGGCCGTCAGACTCCTCATGTACTCGATTTCCTCGTCAAGGGTTCTGCGCTCGTGCCCTGCTGGTCTGTACTCGGCCACATGCTTGGAGTAGTCCTCGTGGTACCTCGCAACGAGGTCCTGCAATGCCTTTGTCAAGTCCTTTCCCTTTGATTTCTGGAATTCGACTGCGAGTTTGCTTAGCGTTGAGATGGTGTCTTTGGTTGTGATTGTCCCGTCGAAGTCGAGGACAAATACGGCGGGCGAGGATGAGGTGTCCATCGGGCTTCCGGCCGGGCAGAGCAAGAGAAGGAGGAATGCAAACAGGAGCAGTCGTCTCCCTTCCAGAGACCGGTCGGTCAGCTGACAGCGGATCAAGTTTTGGGATTTGTGTCTCTGTCTCACTGGCAGCGAAGTATCAGTATCAGTATCAGTATCACTGGCTGCTTTACGGCGTTACGGAGAGCGAGGGCTCTGTCGTTGCAACTCGGTCCAATTGTTGCTAGCGGTAGCGCACAGCGGCACCAACGTCAACCAGAGATAAGCTTAAACGTGTATCCGTTCCTCAGGGGCCATGTTGATATCAACACAGGCTACGCATAGTCCGTAAGTAGCAAATTCTCTCATCGCCCCCCACGGCACGGGGGGGGAGGTTTTGACGAAGGGTGGCCCAGGCGATTAAGCACAGGCTATACTTAGGTTTGTGTTTCAGATAGAGCCATCTTCTGGAGAGGATCCAGCAGAGTTTAACACACCTGCAGTGGGTTTGCTGTTGACTCTCAACATTGAAAGAAAATACCTCAGAACCGAAGGCTTAAGGATCCTGGATACGGTGCTCGTCGGGTAATTCCAATCGGAACCCCAGTATCGTGTATTTCCACGAACTTTCACTCGCACTCGTCGTACTCGCCGACTGTGCCGTCTTTCACATCGTATCCTGTCCCTGACAGATATAAATATCCAGCAAACTCAAATGCGAAATTGCCGTGAGGGCCCCAGGACCGCACGTGCCAGCCAATATCCGGGCCGTATCTACGCTGTACAGAGCGCCTCTTTCTCCTTTCTCTGTTGTTCTTTGAGACGAGACGAGAAGATACAGAACTTCCGACCCGCTCACGATACTCACCAACTCACAATCCACAAATCGCTACATGCTATTTCATGTCAATAACGACAGCTTTTGACGTAAGCGCAAGAAGCTCTCCGATGTGCCCATCGTCCATGCGACAACTACCAGCACCACGTCTCCATGCTCTCAAGTGAACCCCGCCATATTCCTCCGCATCCGCTGACGACCCTCCTCTTCTGCAGACACAGTAACGGCCGGCATCTCCAATACATTCATTCCTACGAGGGGTCCGTCGCATAACGGCAAATATCCATCCTATCTCGACGACGAGGACAACACCACCAGACGACAACACCACCACCAACATCGGGCGCCTGGGGCAACACCGATCTCTGCGCAAAGAAGGCCCTTGTTCTCGTCCAGCCAATTATTCTACACTCCGCGAACTACAAAGCATACGATCGCGACTAAGGGAGGATTTCTACACAAGATCTTTGTTGTTGGTTCAAAGGCTGTCGTGTTCGTCAAGTCGGCTCGGCTTCACATCCAGGGCGGGTGAGACGACAGCGTCAGGAACGACCAGGCAGCGCCTACCCTCTCCCAAGGCCCAAGGGTTTCATATCTTCGGGGGATCTCTGTTCAGAAGCCATTTTGAAGCAGCCACTACTTCTGGCAACGGGCTTTGAGTGGCTATCTGAATCTGCTTAGGTGTTGTCGCGCTTGCATAGCCTCCTTTACACAGCCACCCGGCCTTGTGAGGCTGACAGCTTCGAGGAACCAGCTTGACGTTTGTTTCTAAGAACAGCAACCGGAAGTTTTGGAGGCATGGATCAGCAGCGTGGGAGGTCCCCGTCCGCTGGACGCCAACAGCATCAACAGCATCATACAACTCAGAATCACTCGCCGTCGCCGCAACCTTTCCCGGGTAATCCCTCGCTAGGACCCGGCTTTCAGACCCAACTCCAAGGCAACGACCAACGGTTCATGAACAACAATTTAAATCCTAATTCTGCATACGCCAATAACGAATTCATGAATCAACAAACACAACCCTTCCCCCAGGGCCGCCTCGGCGAGTCGCCTTACATCCCGGCCACGGACTTTATGCAACAATTCAAGCAGGAGGAGCAGTCATCCCCGTACAATCAACCGCAATTGGGTAGCTTCACTCAGGACCTGATGAATGCCAGTTCGAGCTTCAATGACGGTGACTTTTCCTTGTTCCCGGCAAATCCAACCGAATACGACCCCTCATTCTTCCCAAACGACCCGGCTTCTGCCTCCAGAAATCAATCTGTGAACCCGTCGCAGATTGATATGTCGTCCCCTCAGAATGCGCCTACACCACCCAGCAATCTATTGCAACCCGATTCGCACTCTCCCGGCTCCATGCACAACTCTCCCAACATGAATGGAAAACAGTTTCAGTCGTCGCCAAATCACTCTAGGCATGCTTCACTGGGCCCAGAGAGCGCCGCATTTCCTCATGGACAGAACTTAGAATGGAGTATGATGCCACCTCAGTTCACCACTCACAGAAGGACCCCATCTGAATACTCGGATGTTTCTGTTCCTTCTGCTCACCATTCTCCAAATCTTGGTCACCACGATAGCTTCGACCCGATAGATCCACGACATTCGCCAATGCAGAGAGCAGAGGATAGCATCTACGAAAATGTGCTTGGAATTGGAACTTTCTCTCTGACCGATAATCATATTCAACATTCAGTAAGCCCGGGACAAGGGTTGAGTCCTGCCCACAGCCCTGCCATCTCGCCTCGAGCTATCCCTCAGACGCTGCCGTCTATGGGCCAACCAAATTCCATGTATTTGATGAACAATAACGTTTACGGTCAAAACAGCATCTATGATCAAACTCAACAGGAAGCATTTCCGCAATTGCCAAATGACATGGGCCAATGCCAACAGATGGTACCAGATATTAACGTCGAGTTTGCGCCAGCCTCAAGACAAAACAGTTTCGAACCACCAAAACCATCTCTGGATCAAGACGCCTTGACCCCCCCTGAGAGAGGTATTTAAATCGAACTCAAAAACGTGATTTCAACTAACATTCTTAGGTCGCCGTCGTCGAGCATTTACAGATCCGAACAAGAATGCTACGGGGGTGCCAAGACCCAGTGCACCTTCAAGTGTGTCACCTTCACTCGGAAATGAAGTTGCATCTTGCTCGTCGGATTCTCGCTCGCTATCACCAAATGACCGGTCCGGGACAAACTCTCCGACCAAGCGTCGTCAGTCAACATCTTCGCTTCCAAACCGAGACTACATTCTTGGCCTAGCAGACCCTGAGTATCAAGCAACAGCCGCTGAAAGTGGAAATACAAAGCGTATTCAAAAACACCCGGCTACATTCCAGTGTACACTTTGCCCAAAACGCTTCACTCGGGCCTACAACCTACGGTCTCATCTACGTACGCATACCGATGAACGGCCTTTCGTATGCACAGTCTGTGGTAAAGCATTTGCTCGGCAACATGATCGAAAACGACACGAGGGACTGCATTCTGGGGAGAAGAAATTTGTCTGTAAGGGAGAGCTCAAGCAAGGCGGCTCCTGGGGCTGTGGTCGTCGCTTCGCTCGCGCCGATGCGTTGGGTCGGCACTTCCGTTCCGAAGCCGGTCGAATCTGTATCAAGCCTCTTCTGGACGAAGAAGCCATCGAACGGCACCGAGTCTGGAACGAGCAAAGGATGCAGAATATGCACAACATGCAGCAGCCACAACCGTTGGGTCTCGATCAAAACGGTTTCCCTATAGACTCCAGCGGTAACTACGCCTTGCCTGCGGCGTTGTTGGCTCAATACCCTGCCCTAGCAGGATTGAGTTGGGACTCGGGACAAGGTGATGCTGGACTTGACGAAGATCCCAATCGGAGGAGCAGTTTCGATGCCTCCGGCTCAGAATACTACGACGAAGATAACGAAGGTGGCTATGCATCCGGACCCGGACCTCCACAGGGCTACGTCCAACCACAGATGCACGACGGATACAACGGTGGCTACAGTAGCGACATTGGGGCCCGCTGAACCCAGGGCATGAATGGATGAGCTTTTTCTGACGATTGGGCGCGAAGGTAATTTTTTGTTTTTGATTTACCATGGAGGCTTTTCGATTGACCGGATCTGGGATTTCAAAAAAAAAGACTTTTTTCTGGGCGCATTCTAGATACCATTTGTTTGCTCTCTGCTCTGCTCTGCTCTGCTCTGCTCTGCTCATGCTCATGCTCATGCTCAGACTGGCTCTTGTTTTTTGTTTACACTGAGCGGCGGTGGCGGCGGTGGCGGCTTTTTCCTGATGATGTTCGTCAGGAAATGGAAGTCCCCTTTTTTTCTTCCTTTCCCCTCTGTGTGGTGGTCATGTGTTTGCGTTTAGTAGTAGTAGTCTTTAGATGATGATGACGATGGGCTATAATGGCTCTTTCTAATGAACATTTGATGATTTTATTAAGAGCTCTCTCTCTCTCTCTCTCTCTCTCTCTCTCTCTGTCCCTCTCACCCCGCCCCCCTACTCTCTCTCTCTCCTCTCTTCCTAGGCAACATATGGTAAGCTTCAGAAAGAAAAGTTACACATCCCAAGCCTCTCCGACTTGGAGAGCTGGATCGAATCGCATCCACGGGTCGTCGCGTCCTGGAAGGAGATCATGCGCTGTTGTTGTTGTTGCACTCGCATTGTGAAGCAATGCGAGGCTAATATTCAATAAGCTGGTTTGTAGATAACATGTGACTCTCAGCGACATCCTTTTTTCTCCAGCTGGTGGAAGAGAGACGCGCGTAAAGTAAGTAAGAAAGAACTGGAACCAAAAAAAAGAGAGAGAGAAAAGAGGAAGAGGAAGAGGAAGAAGAAGAAGAAGTGAGAAACATAGGTTGTCACTCATTCCATATATTTATATCGCAGTCTACATTACCCCCTTACTTATATTCATCCATTTTTTTTAATATCCGAGCAAAGCCCCGCCTAACCCCCACCAAAGATAAGTCTCGCTTGCATTTCAGGCGGCGAAAGACAAACAGACATCCAAACCATTCCATCCACCACACCACAACCACACCGCACCACCTCTCGAACGCAGTTGTCCCTCTCTACCCTACATCTGAGCCAATACAGAGCAGATCAAGACCAGAATCCCATTCCACGCAGCCTCTCCAAGATGTCGTGGCAAGGTACGTTGAAGCGTTCCGTCCCGCAACCCCTCCTTGAGATGCTCGCCCGCTGACTTGGGGCTTTGCAGCATACGTTGATACCAGGTACGTGTGCCATATCCTGAGGGAGAGGGAGAGTGAGAAAGATATGTAGAGATGGAATGATATGATAAGGGGAGAAGAGAACAGAGGGCTGAGCTGATGAGGGGTACAGCATGGTGGGCACTGGTCACGTCGACAAGGGAGCTATCTACAGCATTGCAGGAGACAGCAAGTGGGCCGGCAGCGCGGGCTTCGAAGTACGTCTATACCACCTCCCCTCCGCATGGACCGAGTCGAAACCGCCTGCCGTGAAAAAAGAAAAAAAGAAAAAAAGAAGAAAAGAAAAAAGAAGAGAGGAAGCATACAAGACTGTGGAAACCAGGATGAAGAGGATGATGCTGACGATACACTCCCAACCAGGTCTCAGCAGCAGAAATGAAGGAAATCATTGCCGGGCTCTCGGGCTCTGTCGACAAGCTGTACGCCGATGGGCTGCACGTCGCAGGCGAGCGTTACGTTCTCACAAAGGCCGAGGAAAGAAGTCTCTACGCCAGAAAGGTACTGCTGCTCCTCTCCCCATCCAATAATCTACCCCCATGCGTTTCACACATTTCTCAATCTTCGGAACCTGGATCGCTGCTGAATTTTTTTCTTCTCTTTTTCTGTGCAGGGCCGCGAAGGTGTCGTCATCGTCAAGACCAAGCAAGCCATCCTCATCGCCCACTACGGCGAAGCCATGATCGCAGGCAACTCCGCGACGACCGTCGAGTCCCTGGCCGACTACCTCATCAAGCTAGGCTACTAGGCGCAGCTCCATCTGTGCGTGTTGTATGAGGGAGGGGCTACCTTCTGATTCTATTTTCGGGCGCGGTGTAGGCAGGTAGGTAGGTAGAAGATGATGGCGAGGGAGAGTAGCCGGGATGTGCATATTCGTATGGTATGGGTGTTCTTTGGCATTCAACAGGGTAGATACTAGAAAGGTATCTTTTGGTATGATTGACGGGTGGTGGTGGCGATGATCGACGGGGTTGGGGACGGCTCGAGGATGTGGATAGCCTTGCAGACGACCTATGGAGGGGTCAGGGGGGGAGGGAGCAGCTTGGCATAGGCGGATGAATCCATGACGTTTTACTGCGGCCTTTTCTTCCTTCTCGATGGTGATAAGGAGTGAGCGAGTGAGGCTGGACTGTGCAAGTGTGCTTGTGTCTTAACTTTCCAGCCTCTAGAAATAGGCAAATCAGGCGTAGACTGGGAAGGCTGCAAGAGGTCTGGAGCCTCTCCTCTGGGTATATATTTAGAGAAATCTCTCCACAGATGGCCAGGCGAGGAAAGGAGCATCTGCTCCACGGCACCTCCAGCAGTACATAGTCAGTTCGGACCTGTGGCGTCTGAGCCGAACCACCGACTCCCAACTCCCCAAGATACCTGCTTGTATAGCAGAACATATCCATCTATCCCATATCATAACACCCATATCATAACAGCTTCCGGTCCCATCGTCCCAACCACCATAATGTTATACATCATGTATCTCCCTAATACGTTCCACCCTCTCTCCCTCTCTCCCTCTCTCAAGTTAAACTTCCTTTAGAGCATTTGTCCACCCCCTCAGACCGGCAGCGACTGCCCCCCACCGACGCCCATCCGATCAACCAACACCCCAATCCACGGGCCCACCAAGGGCACATTCCTCGCAAAGCCCGCGACCGTACCCAGGAAGTCTCCAAACAGGATGAAGATGCCGTAGAGCTCCACGAGGAAGCCGACGAGGGCCCAGCGCAGGAGAATCAGGGTGAGACCGGCGAAGAAGGCGGCGGTGCCCTTGAGCTTCTGGCGGCGCGCGAAAAAGAGGGCTGTTTTCTGCGGGCCAATGATGATGGTGAGGCCGAGGAGGAAGAGGATCTGGGTGGAGAGGCCGGTGTTAAGTTATGGGTGTGTTGAGACGAATTGAGTGGGGGAGGAGCAGGAGTGAAGGGAAGGGAGGAGACGCACGTTGCCCATTGCGAGCCTACAAATGGGTTGTTAGTGATGCGTGATGAAGGGGGAAGGGGAGGCGTACATAGCTCTATCGAAGAACATAAATACGCCTGCAACGAGGAAGAATCCGCCTATTCCCACCGCACCGCATCAGTGAGTGAAGCTACCTCTGCTGTGCTGTTTGCCGCAGCGCATCAGCTGTGATGCGCAGCTACCCACCTCCTGAGCAGAATGCTACCCCAATCTCTACAAGATGCATATGTTAGCCTGCTATCCGTTTATAGAGCATATAAGCCTCGCAGTCCGTGGCAGCTGGCGGCGCATGCAATTGCATCTCTTCCTTATTCTCCCAGCCTCGGACACCAGATGCGGATCTTGTTAATCTTAACAGAAAGTACACATACTCTGCGAATCGGACAGCCACATGGTAGGCATCTTGGCTTTAGTCTTCCTGGGTTGTTAACGGAGGATCTTGGGGGATCGTATCGTAGGATGGTAGAGGTTCAATTTGGGTGCGATAAGAGAGGAGAGCTGGCCTCGAAATTGAGACACGCTCAGGGTTCGCGACTTTTACAGTGGTCCGAGCACAAAGGTTTTAGCGTTCGGATTTTCCCGACGGAAGAACATTTATCCTTCTTGAACACCATTTTTCACGGATAGCTGCAGCGGTAACCAGAAGCGGGACTTCGCCAGCTCTCAAGCCCAGCGTGGACGTCTTTGAGAGCTTCACATGTGCGATATCATCTGTGGCTGCTAGGGTTTTTTTACTTGACTCTTTTAAACAGTACCTTATATTACAAGGCGCTCCTTAATGGATGAAAAGCTGGTCTCAAAGACTCGCAAATTGCCACGACGACCAAAGCTCCTGCTCTGGTAACTGAGATTATTGTTCCATATGTTCTCGGTACCCCGTCATTCCCAAGGCATACAATAAGGATATTGATCGCGATTAAGCCGGAGCACCTTCTGGAACCATTGGTCGAGAGAACTTTGGCGAGTTGAATGCGCTTGACTTTGTCGGTCATACAAAACTGCTCCATGATTTTCATATCAGATGCTCGATTGCTGCTTTTTTTCTTCTCTATCAAGAATTTCTTCAGCTGCTCGGATGTCAAGGCTCAGAGGCTTGTTGGTTTGGAGAGAGGGATGGGGATTCCATCGATTCAGCATACTTGTGGTCTGAAGGCTCTTGCCATCGGCAGCCTTCATGAGATGGATCATGGGTGTGAGGACCCGGCAAACCAGCTTAATTCGACCATCTTTGCTTCAATGTCCCGAGCTCTGGAGAACCATGTGCCAATTCGGGCTGCCACCCTTGGGCTCACAAAAACATGGGAAATCGAAGAACGCTGTCCATCATAACTCCATCCGTAATCACTGCTACCGTCCGTTCCCTTCGAATTCCCCGTAAACTCCCAATCCCGTATTCCGCCCACGATCCCCTCCTCACTTCAACACCGTATGCGCCCCTCTGGCCTCCAGATACAGCTCAGTGACACCCTGACCCATCCCCCTAATGACCCCAAAAACCTCCTTATCATGATACCGCAACCTCGTCTTCGGATCCGTATACGGCGCCGCCAGCCCCGTCACATCACAGTAATGCTTAGCATGCGCCATACTCGGCGCGCTCTCAATATTCGTATACGTCGCTCCAACGCCTCCTCCCGCACTGGCCCCTGCCCCTCCCATCGCCTTCATATTCCTCTCCCTGACCAACTTCGACAGGTTCCTCGATGCCTGCGCTAGATTCGGCTGCTGCTGTGTGGTAGTAACGGGAGTGGATTCCGATTCCCCATCCACGGACGCGGACGTCGAGGAGGAGGATTCGACGGCGGCCGGGGTTACCGCGCCGGAGTTCTCGGTGGTGGGGAGGAGGGAGTTGGAGACTTCTTTGCGGATTGTGTCGCTCAGGATGGTTTTGATGTTCTTGTTGCGCCGCTGCGAGGGCTTCCAGTGGGGGTTACGGAAGGGCTTGGGGATGGAGTTGATGTCGAGCATCTCGAGGAGGGCTTGGTGGGCGTCTGCTTCTTCGGAGGGGACTTGGGGCGCCATTTTGTATGGGTTGAGAAGGGGAGTGGGTGAGCTTGAGGATGTAAGGTTTTGGTTACGAAATATGGAAGTCTGGAGACTGATCCCTACCTACCTACTTCTGAAGAGCTTCCCTGCAATCCCTGCAATCGAGCATAAACTGCCTTACTCAGCTTAGTATGCTTACTGATTTATCTCACATTAGAGATAGATGTATTGATCATATACGCAAGATTCTATTGTCTCATCGGAATAATTGAAGCCTTAATTAGAATCACCATAGAGGATTTGGATTTGGACAAGCCATACAGGTGATATACGTAGGTAGGTAGGTTTAGTGACCAAGTAGCTGCACGTGATGTTGATTACGGCTCTTGAAGCCGCTTCGTGAGACGCGCTCATAACACTGCGACGATAACACTTCTAGGAGTCAAGATGGTAAATGATCGCCATAAACCTTGGTGATATTACTTCTGACTCTTGCACAGGAAAGCCCTCACGAGCATCAACAGAACTTGCTACTCGGTCGGATCATCACCAACGTGGTATGTACCCAACTCATATTTCTATCCTAAGTCAGCTCCTAATCTTCAACAGGAGAAACTCAATGAAGCCATCATGCTTTTGAACAAGAGCCTTCAAGTATGATCTGAGCCGCTTATATCACTCGAAGAGAGCTCAGAGATCTGATGGTTCTATAGGAAATCAACATCCAGAACATGAACGTCGAGCTGGTCGCTCAAATGTTCAAGAACTACCAATCGAATGTGCTCTTCCATCTAGAAGGTAAGCTACATACAATTCTCTCTGTTTGAGGAATACTGAAATTTTGAAGCGACGGATGGTCTCCAAGATCCCTCTTAGCGGTGTAGTGGGTTGGGATGGGTAATGATGGATGGATTTTGAAGGAACTGAGATTTGGCTCTTAGATTGTAGTTGAAGAATTATCAACATGGAGAAATGAGCTCTGAAAAGTAAAGAAAAAGTGATGGGTAAAATATGAGATTTCATACACAGTATTTTTCAGAACTAAAGTTGATCGCTCACCCCTCCCAAGAACAGCCTTGCATATTTGGGAATCACCGATTTCAGCCTTGTGTGGTCGCAGCCAGCCATGAGCTCAATCAATACCGGCAGCTATCTAGCTGCCGAACAGACCAGAACTCTGATCGCATTTCTCGGCCAAAGCTCCAAACAAAAACCTCAACCATGATATGACCACCGACTCCATCCCCAAATATACCTACCAATGGCGCCCTCAGCGACAGACACCCAAGCTCTTGTAGTAGAGCCACAAAGTGCCATCCCACCACCACGCCTCTACGTACCACAAGAAGCCCATTATGCAGGATTCATCGAAGTCCAGCAAGATGGATACCGCCAGGCCAAGTCCCAAGGTTCGCAGAGGGCCGCGATTGTGATAGATAACGGTACGTTCCAACTTTGCAAAATTATCCCTTGAAAGCGCACATATCTGTCGGATCCAATACTCACACCATTCCGTTATGTTGCAGGCTCTTCGGCAACCCGAGCGGGCTGGTCCTTCGATGCCTCCCCCCGCCTGAACATCCTCCCCATCTACTCCCGCTACCGCGACCGCAAGCTGGGAAGGACGTACTCCTTCGTTGGCGCGGATGTTTACGCCGACGCGACGGCGCGTGGACACATGCGGAACGCGTTTGAGGCCGGCAGTGGGATCGTTAGTAACTGGGACGTGATGGAGAACGTGCTGGACTATGTCTTCATCAAGATGGGCGTGGATGGGCAGAATGGGGTTGATGTGCCAATTGTGATGACGGAGGCTGTGGCCAATTTGCCGTACTCGAGGAAGAGTGAGTTTTTTTTTACACGTTTCGTATGCTTTGAGTAGTGGATCTCACCATATACTGATGTTGAACAGGTATGACGGAGATTATATTCGAGGCCTACTCGGCCCCATCGCTGGCTTATGGCATCGACTCCCTCTTCTCCTATGACTACAACGGTGGCAAGACAGGCCTCGTAGTATCCTCATCCCATAGCGCTACACATGTCATCCCAGTCCTGAATTCCAAAGCCATCCTCACCCAGGCAACCCGTCTAAATTGGGGCGGCTCCCAGAACGCTGAGTACCTCCTCAAGCTCCTTCGCCTCAAGTACCCTGCCTTCCCTGGCAAGCTCAACTCTTCTCAGACCGAGTACATGGTCAGAGATCACTGCTATCTCTCCCAAGACTATGACCAAGAGCTCAAGAGCTACCTGGATTGGACCGGTCTAGAGGACCGCGACCACGTGATCCAGTACCCTTACACCGAAGAGGTTATCATCCAGAAAAGCGAGGAGGAACTAGCACGCATCGCAGAAAAGCGGAAAGAGAGCGGTAGACGACTCCAAGAGCAAGCTGCGAAATCCCGTCTGGAAAGATTGGTCCGTAAGGAGCAAGAGCTGGACTATTACAAACACCTCAAATCGCAACTCGCCGAGCAAACCAAGAAAGAGATCAAGCGCCTCCTCGAAGCCGATGAGTTAAAGGACGAGGCTGCTCTCGATAAAATTATCAAGGAGCTCGACAAGTCCATCCGGAAAGCGCGCACCAAGGACGTCGGCGGCCCGGAAATCGAGGAGGAAGTCGAGGAGCCTGACTTTTCGCTCCTGGAAATCGCAGATGATCAATTGGATGAGGCGGGGCTCAAGCAGAAAAGACATCAGCGGCTGATGAAGTCGAATCACGAGGCGAGGGCGAGGGCCAAATCCGAGAAGGAGAGAGAGAAGGCGAGGGTGGCGGAAGAACAGCGTCTCGATAACGAGAAGCGGGAGACTGATCTTGAGGGCTGGCTGATAGCACGACGGGCAGCGCGCACATTGATCATCCAAAGGCTCAAAGATCGTGATCGTCTCAAGGCCGACCTTGGGAATCGCAAGTCATTAGCGAGTCAGATACGCATGAAATCCATCGCCAACCTCGCCTCAGATAACCCCACAAAAAAGCGCAGGAGAGGCAATGACGACGACAATTTCGGCGCGAACGACGACGATTGGGGCGTGTATCGCCAGATTGCGACTGGCGACGGGAGTGACGACGAAGAGGAGGAGGATCTGGGGGCGACGCTGAAGGACCTGGAGAAGGAGCTGCTCGAGTGGGATCCGGAGTTCACGGACCAGCACACACTGGACGCACAGTCAGACTGGACGAAGTCGCTCATGCACGCCTTCCTCCGCGGACCCCGCCCCTTCGACCCCAAGTCCCAGCAGGAAGTGCACCAAGTCCACCTGAACGTGGAGCGGATCCGCGTCCCGGAGATCGTGTTCCAGCCGACCATCGCGGGCCTGGACCAGGCGGGCCTCGTCGAGATCGCCGCTGACATCCTGACGCAGCGCCTCAGCGGCGTCGGGAACCAACGCGACTTCCTGAAGGATGTCTTCCTGACGGGAGGCAGTAGTCTGTTTCTCAACTTCGACGAACGCTTGCGCGAGGGTCTGAGGGCCTCTCTCCCGGCTGAGGCAGAGCTGGGTGTGAGGCGGGCGAAGGACGCCGTGATGGATGCTTGGAAGGGGGCGGCGAGGTGGGCGGGCAGTGAGAGGGGGGTTAGGGGCTGTGTGACGAGAGAGGAGTACGCGGAGAAGGGGGCGGAGTATTTGAAAGAGCATGAGCTGGGGAATGCGTACTCTTAAAAGGCTGAAGGGGAGGGGGTAAGGATGGGAGTTGGCTAGGAGGAAGATGGATGTATGTATGAATAAAGAGACGGACTCACTCAGTCAACTAACTCGCTAGCTAGAGCAGTAACAGCAGTAGCAGCCACAGCAATGGAATATCACATCATCCCATCTATTCGTCTATTGTTCATTACCATTATCGAGTGGGTCCGAGTCCGAGTCTAGATTTTGGTAGGTAAACTATAGGAGTGGAGTGGGTTGGAGGGAAAGCAGCGATTCAAATGTCATGGCAAGCAAGCACGGAGGAGGGAGGAGGGAAGAGGGAAGAGGGAGATAGATAGATAGTTTATCTTTCGGTAATGTCACGTCATGTCAGGCGGGTTTTCGTCCCCTTGTAGTCCGTATAGGCATGTGTGGGTGTGGATGTGCCGCTAGCAATAGCATAGCAATAGCATGGCATATCATATCATATCTCGTCTGTCTCGCATCCATATCTAGGATACTCGCCATGAAACCGCAATGGTTGAAGAAAAGGGGGGTAGGTAGGTAGGTAGGTAGGTAGGTAAAGCAATAGCAGACTCAACGCCGAATATCATTCATGACTTCATGGGATCGATCGAGCAGTGCCGACTTGCCCTTGATCCGCTAAACGCCGCTCGCCCATCCTCGAACGCCAAAAGCCTCAAGACCAAGCAGACAGACAGACAGACAGACAGACGCAACCCCCCACCCATCCTGTCTCTCCTACATCATATCGCCATGCTCGTCGGCAGCCCATCGGCCTGCATTTGCGCCCTCATCTCGTCATCGGCCGCCTGCTCGACGTTATGCTTGTACCCTTTATTACTGCCCCCATCATCCTCGTACGGTCTCTGACCCGCCTGCTCCTGTTCGTGCTCGTATTTCAAACTCTCACTCTGGCTCTGCAGACTCGCGGCAGCGATTTCCTGCGCCGCACTCGCCTGTAGCGCCGCCATGGGGGCCATGGGGGCCATGGGCGCGCCCTCGTGGCGCAGTGGTTGTAGTGGAGGAGGAGCCACTTGCTGCTGTGGGTGGTGAAGGTTCACGTTTGGCGGCGGCTGCGGGTACTCGCCCTGCGACTCGATGAGGCGCGATTGCAGGTGGATGATGTACTCGCGCAGGGAGTAGTTCTCTGCCTGTACTACTTTTAAGGATTCTTCGAGGGAGTGGAGGTCGCGGACTTGCTCTTCGAGTTTCTTGATATAGCCTTCTTTGCGCTGGCGGAATGCGCGCTGGGGGGGAGTGTTAGTGCTAGTGATAGTAGAAGTATGAGAGAGGGTAGTAGATTGAAGTGAAATGAATGATGTTAAGGGATACAGAATGAACCGACGCGATCGAAATAGAGGCAACGGAAGTGAAGGAGAGGAAAAGAAGAGAAAGGAGGGTAATCAAGTCTACTAATCAAGTACATAGATGTACAGCAAATAGATGTTACGTAAGCTGGTGATGAAGCGGGCGGAAGGGGTTGATGACATGAGAATTGACAAAGCAGACGGTGTTAAGTAGGTAAAGGCAAAGTTTAACGAGCCGTCAAGCGACGACCTTTCGTGAACACCAAAAATCACAATCATTCCAACATACCTGAGCCGCTCTGTTCTGCGCAGCGCGCTTCGATTGCGAGAGCTCGCGCTTGCCGCCCCTACGCCCGTCGCCCAGGCTGTCGTCGCCGCCACTGTCGTTCGCATCCCGAATTTCTCGGCCAGCGCCCATGCTCATGCCCATACCGCCGGGCCCACCGCCGATGGCTGGGTCGATGTTGTGGTCGTGGTCGTGGGGAGAGGCGCTGCTGGAGTGGTGCACGTCGCTGTAGCCATGAGGAGGTCCTTGGTGGGCATGTTGTTGTGGTTGATGATGTTGGTGGCGTTGCTGCTGGTGTTGCTGTTGGTGTCCCTCTTGCTGGTCCTGCTTGCTAATGTTTATGACGGCCGCCAGCTGGGCTCTCAGGTCTGGCACCGACGCGAACATCATGTCAGCAGGTAGATCTGGGAGAGGGAGGGGGAGGGGGAGGGCCGATGGAGCGGACGGAGCTACCATTATCAGCATTCAATTCCTGTGAGGGAGAGTCAGTCAGCTTTTGATGGGTAGCCACGGGCTGTGTGGAATTGATCGAGTGGACGGCCGACACGCGACGACGGTATGATTGGATTGCCCGTGGTTATATGGGCTTGGAGGTGAGGGCAAAGAGGTGGGCAAGGCATCGCGCATATCAATCCAATCCATAGGGCCGTCCGACGTACCTGATTTGGGGGACCAGGCGCTGGAGCTATGGATTGCATGTTTGGTTGGTCCAGGTCCAAGACCGGGACAGGGACGGGACGGGACGGTACGTGAATATCGGTTTGAATGTTCCTTGAGCATAACAATCCAAGAAAGGCGCCGAATCACTTTATTTCGTGGTGAAGCCGAGTCGAGCCGGGTTGGTTGGTTTGGTCGAGTTGACGGCCCAGATGATTTCATCCGATGTGATCACGTGATGGCACTCAGTGGGTGCGGCGGAGAGCAGGCGAGGGGTGGGGTAGGGGGTAGGGGTGGGTATGTAGGTAGGTAGGTAGTAGGTAAGCAGGTAGGCAGGTAGGTGCAGCTAGGGGTAGGTACTGGAGGTAAGTACGGCGTAAGGTAGATAAGGTAGATAGATCAATCAATAGAAATAGAAGCCAGTGTATCTATCAATCCGTATACGTGCCAAAATCCATGTATCCGTATACCATCCTATAGCGAGGAGACGTAACAAGTGATTAATAAGAACTACCCGTCTGTACTCAAAAGGGGGTGGGGATGGGGGTGGGGTGGGGGTGGGCCTTGCTGACACATCTTTCCGTCACTTGACTGCTTGCTTACGAGATATTCTGCTTACGAGACCGAGATCATGATTACTAAGCACTTGCTGACATAATCTACAACCTCTATCAACCTCGCCACCTCGCCTATTTCTTTCAGAACTGCGATTTCTCCCAGACACGCAACAAGTACCACCGCCTCAGCTGCTAACTGCCAACCTCTACAACTTGGGGTGCTATAGGATGACTGTCTCCTCGAATTGAGGACCTCTTCTCTTCTCTTACTTATTTCTGTCCATTTCTTCAGTAGCGGAGACCAGATCCAGAGGTCATCTGCATATTTTTATACATACTGAATATGCACGTTGGCATCATGAACGTCGAACTCGAACTCAGTACTCACAGACTACAAGCTGGCGCGTGAGCTGAATCATAAGTGAGCCCTACGTACTACCTAGATACGAGTTGTATTACGCACGGAATGTACTACTAGCACAAGATGATTTTCTGCGCCTAGTAAGGGTTTTTTCATCTTGTATTAATTAAGTTGGTTTTTCACCTCGTGGACGGGATGGATCCGGAACTTTATAGTGTTGCGAATCGGAAGCTTGATATGTCTGGATTGACGGCTGGGCTGGGAGCTTGAATCAACTTCTTCGTACTACATAGTATTGCTGCAGTTTACAGTGTACAGTTTCTTGTGATTAAAGAGATATATACAAAGGGGTATGTATAAGTACGCGTTCGAGAATAGGGCTTTGTCTTGAGTTTCCTACGGGAGTGGTGTGTTCGTTAAGCCTGTGAGTATAGTACTTGGAGTATTTACTCTCCATACCTTCTCACTCTCCTTCCTCTTCCTTTTCTTCTCCTTCTCCTTCTCCTTTGATTTTCGTCTCGGCTCGATTCCGTTTGGTATTGTGGGTGGTGGAGGGGGAAGTGAGTTTCGATGGTTTGGATAGAAAAGAGAGATTAGGATTGAAGAAAGAGACACGGGCTGAAATATTCATGCTGACAACTGGTGTGTATTCAGTAAAGATTCGTACACGGCGCAGCTCAATACGAACTTCTTCGGCGCAGTGGCCGTAACCACCGCGCTGCTGCCGTTTCGCGTCCGGAGGACAGGCAGTATCGCGTTTACCAACTCTCGACGGTAGTAAGTCAGCTGTTCATTCCCGCCACATCTCAACCCCGATCCATCCCCTCTCAGGTGTCAATGCTCCCCTATCAGCCCTCAAATACAATAGTCAAGAGCCTGTTCCACTCGCACCCTCTGGACTGAACTGAACCCTTTGCTCCTACACTGAGGTCGCCGCCATTCCATACGCCGTCAGCAAATACGCGCTCACAGCCTACACGCTCACCCTGCGCGAGGAGGTCGCTCAATGCGGGATCCGCGTCGTCTCGTTCGACATGGGACACTTCCGCACGACCCTGATCAACCCGGGCCGGGTGAAAGCAGATCTCAGCAAGGTCATCGTCGTAGACGACTACAAGGATATGGTGCGGATAGTGGCGGAGGGGAATGGGGAGATGGATGGCAACCAGGTGTATTTTCATCTCCTCTTTTCTTACCCCTCGCTTCCTTCTCTTTTTTTGTCTTCGCCATGTCAAGTCTCAACCTAGACCTTATGTTTGTGGACAGCGGCTGCCTACTTTTGCTTGTGTCTGTGTGTGTAGCTGGGTAACCCCGAGCTCGGCATCAAGCGCATACTCGACGTCCTGCGAGGCGAGGGCATGGCCGCCGGCAAGCTCCTCCCGGCGCGGGTCTCCGTGGGCAGCGACGCGGCGGACTTGATCCGGGAGAAGTGCGAGGAGAACCTCCGGCTGGTCGGGAAGTGGGAGGCGCTGGCCCAGAGTACGGATTTCGATGACCCGAAGAGGGGGCCTTGGGCCACGAAGGAGTGACCAAATACCCGATTATTCCTTAAGCATGAGTTAAGTAATCATACTGAAATGAAGAGAATCCACGCTTTAATTATTTTATACTTCTTTGTCTTCTTCTTCCTCTTCTTCCCGCTCTCAAACCCACAGCAGAAACAGAATACAGAATTTGATTGTTGAAAAGAAGAAGAAAAGGCCAAAAGCAAAAATAAAAACTCGCATAAGGCTTAAATGTAACCCTTATCTAGGAAATAGAGATTTCCTCATCATTTCCATTTTTCGTTATGTATTATTTGCAAACGACAGTTGGCGTTTCTCTCTCCCTCTTTCTCTCCCACTCTGTTACTGGGGAGTTCCTACTGAGGACATAGCTACCTACACCAGCCTATTTTTTCCATATCTTCAGTACCCTCAGAACATTATGGCCTTCGACTTCAACAAACAAAAAGGCATTCCTCTTAGCGCCGATAGCGTTTGTCAAGTGGCCCGAGTGTGGCCAATTTCGGACCCTGCCGGCTGGCCTACGGATTTCCCTTACGAATCTTCAAACACTCAAAAGACGTTTCTTCTTTGAATTTTGAAATGGATGGGCTTACAAGTGAATGTATGTTAGTGCCTTTGGAATCTTGGAAATCTATGGAGATTTTGGAAGCTGGCTAGTCTAAGGCAGACCTAGCTTCCAAGTATGTACTTGTAGAAAAGCGTTTGGTAACGCTAAAACAGGCCTAATGCCAGAAGTGTGTTTGTAAAATCGTTTTAATCAGCTTTAAACATCGTGGATGGCTGAAGGCAATCTGCTCAGAGGCTTGAGATTTTGATTTTCTTTTATTATACAGCCAACTTATACTACGGTATGCCCTTCCTCGGACAGAGTTCCAAAAATTTATTGCTTTACACTTCAAATATATCCTCACTTCAGGGGACGGAAGGGGGTTAATGGGAACGGGTATCCGTAGTATCGATCCGTTTGCAAGAGAAACCTCAACCTAATACAAAAACGCATGCTCAATCTCAAGCGCAAATTTACAGCCATCGGTCAAATTTCAAATTAGTACCTGCCTCCAACCCAGAAATGGAGTTGCAACTTACAAGACTTCACCTTGCTCTGTGCAACCTTCAAAGCTTCAAACGGCTCTTGCCTCCCCTCACTGCTTGAAGCTTCTCTTTGTAGTTAGAACGTGCTCACATAGCGCCTTCCTCTCACACTTAAAAGGATACGCATCGCCGACTCCAACCAAAGTGTTCTTTTGCAACATCCCCACCACCTACCTGGGATACCAACACATCCCAAGTTAAACAAGAAGACTTCGACATGGTTTCAGGGAGACCTGGGACCCCAGTGGAGAGAGCAGACGGATCTCTTGTTTGCAAGTACCATGGGCTCGTCTTGTGCGGGCGCTGCATGGTTGATTACAGCTTCATACTAGATGAATTGAGGGAAGAGAAGTTTCAAACGCCTCCAAGACAGGATGATCAGGACAACAAGAAGCCATCCACAGCCAGTACCAGCGGTCAAGGAAATTTTCCCAGCGATACCTCATCTGCCACTCAAAGCCTCCCGGTCCGATTCCAGCCTCCTCTAGCCAGCGATTGTCCCCTTACCCTCTTCACCTATGGGGAAAGCTCATCCTTCCACCGCTTTGTCCGAAAGTCGAACCCCAAGGAAATCCTCATCTACACTGATGGAGCTTGCCTGGACAACAAAAAGACGGGATCAATGGCCGGCTGTGCGTTTGTCATCCGTCCAGGCGAGCCTCTCAGTTACGGACGAGTGGCCTTCCGTCTTGAGAATATGGGTCCACATGGAACTGTAGAAGCGCAAACCCGTAAGCGTGCGGAGCTTCGCGCAGTCATCGGTGCTCTACAGTTCCATCCCTGGCATGGAGAGGAATGGAGCCAGATAGTAATTGCGACGGACTCGCATTACGCGGTGAATGCCGCAACACAATGGGTGAGTTCATGGGAGCGAAATGGTTGGAAAACGTCGAAGAAGCAGCCGGTACAGAATCGCGACCTATGGGAGTTGTTCCTTCGGGAGATTAAAGGGCTTGCGGAGAAGGGCGTGAAGGTCCTGTTCTGGCACATACCCAAAGATTCTAACGATGAGGCACATGCTGGGGCAGTACAGGGGGCAAAACTCAGGGAGGTTCCAAGGTTTCTTAAGCTCTCGGGGCTCACCACTGGCCGGCCTGAACTGGATTGGACCTATACTCTGTATGCCCTGGATTGATGATGCGGAGGGAGGACATGCCTTTACAATGCAAGACTTGATGGAGCGAGCACAAGCAGCCTGAAGGCTGGAAGCTTTATAGACTCCTGTATCCGTAAATTATTTGGTCACTCAAGCGGCTACTATCCAGGGTCACGGGTAATGCACATCAGCATGAGGAATATAGGTTTCGATCGGGTTACATTTGGAGAAGACGATGGGCCGGGCATGGGGTTGGCGATGAGTGTTGAAAATCCTCCAAGCATCAAGGAGTAATTGTAGTGTTCAGACCATACGTTGACAAGTCTTCTTGACCTTGGAGATGGAGTCAGAGTATTAAAACTAGCATAAGTACCTGAGAGCGATTCGAAAATATGTATTCAAAGTATACCATAGTCCTTGACGCTACGACCAGTAGGCCGAACAAAAGCTTTTCAATCACCCCGCTGCCCACGGGCCAAAGTCCTGTCCTGAGCCATCATCATACATAGCGTCTACAAACCCGAGCACCTGCCCACCCCCAATCCTTTCAAACCCTGAGAATAGGGTGGTGAGCCCATTTAAAAGGTTTTGTCTCGCAAGGCTCACGCTCATCAGCCGACTTGGTAGGGAGTGATAGATGGGGCCTTCACAGGACGCGGCAAAAAGAGCTGAGATCCCAAGAGGGTCCGAAATATGGCTCTCTCACCTATGAGCTTGGGAGGAAGACCAGACCATACAAACCAAACCAAGCCACGCCCAAAGGAAGCGATGTCGAAATCGGCCAGGCATGCCAAAAATAAAAAAAATTTATGGAGCTGGATGGTGATGGACGTTGAGTGAGGCCTGACTGCGAGATGCTTTACATTTTAGCAAGCGCCTGGGAACTTTTCGCAGACGTGATGACCAAACTTAGCTTAACCATTAGGTAACAAGCACGCCTCTGAATGAGGTCTGGTAGTCAGTCCAAATTTTTTTTTTTGCTCACTCACTTATCCTTTCATGGATAGATGTACTGAGGTTGCTTGAGTTCACTCTCTCGCGTGAGACCTTGATTGATCATAGCATCTGATCAGATCCCATACTAGAAAGTTGTACGTCATTCGTGAGTACGGCATGGGACGCTTTGGATGTTCTGTATCGAACATACATTAGTTTATCTCCTCGAAGTCATGGAGAGGCGATCATGATACATTTTCGAGTGAACGCGGGGTGTTGATCTTGACGATCGATTTAAGCGAGCTTCGTTGATTAGTAAGTAGAATTTTATCAGGATGACCACTACTATCTAGCACCAGGAGAGCCGGCACGCAAGGCTTTGAGACTGTTATAGGCGGCGATGGTATCAGCTCAAAAGGTTGAAGGGTATAATGTTTGAAAAGTTGGGGGCGCGATTGAGGATGTAGTTTTCAAGAGTTGATCGGACCACGTGAACGGCATAGTCGATGGAGAATGGTGCCAAAATACTCAAAACGAACGCGACATGGTGCGACCTTAACCGTGCACCAATAAGCCAAGCTGCGCCAATAAGCCAAGCTGCGCCATTAAAGTGAGCTGTCGGCTAGCTGCTCTTTGTCACACGTTCCATCGATCACGGTTAGATGCGCGCAACAACCATCGGGTCTGAGCGAGAAGTGCTACGAGCGTGAGAGAGCCACGAAGCAGCATGAATTGAGAGTTGAAACGGAACGTGATCGTGTAAGAAAATTTCGGATTTGCAGGTTTTTGAAACTCGGCACTGCATTGGCTTCGAGCCCAGTCAATATACTCCGTACACAAAGCCATAATCGATCAACGAAATCGTTACAGCGTGTGTGTTGAAGATGGAGCCGAGACGATCTTGCGGTTGATATAAGCATAGTAGATTAATGCAATTCTGGGGATTCTTCCCTAATGGGATACCGCAGAGGCTTTGGTAGTGGGGCTTGTTGCTGCAACTTTAGTACCGTCTGTTCGGATCTTGGCCCGTCCGGCCGTTGATTTTCCTGACTTTCGGTACGACTCCATGTTGTAGTATTTTCCCGTTACCCGAATACCGAAACCTACTAGCCATTACTCGAGTAATGAACTTCTACTAAACCTTGCCAATAGCGTTCGGCCACGCAGCTATAAGATAGTAAATTTATCTTGTATTTAAATAAAAGTTTAAGGCAGCTAAGTATGTATGGTCGATGTAATGAATGTGTATAGTCGATGTAATAGTAGCTGAAATCGTTACAACGATTCATATATGTAAGCTTGGCGTTTCCAGCACTACTTACGATCCCCCTCCCAAAATGAGAGACGATAGTATACGTAATGTTGCAAGGGCTCTTATCAGGCCTTGAATCATTAAACTTTTTGAGTACGTAGCGATTGACGTAGCCTCGGAAAGCATCTTTAAGCAAGTGTTTAATCTGTGCAATAGAGTTGACAGGGCTCTGAGCCATTCAGAAACCATTGCTCTACGATTTAGAAGGCTAAATTGGGTCCGTCTTTTATTCAGGAGGGGGGACTGTACAGAGTAGACGGGCACCGGAAAGTCTACTGCAGAGGCGTTGTCAAGTTGTAATCGATGCTCAAGGAAGGCCAACTCTATACTAGATAGAATCTGAATCGATTGATGTTTTTTTTTATTCCGATTGGCTTAAAACCCTTATGTACTCCACTATCACACCCTGCTGTACCCCCTGGAATCGGCCCACAAAAGACCCTTCCATCATCGGAGTAACGGATAAGTGGTAGACTTCGATGGACTTTAATAGAACGTCATTCCTTAGACCGTGGTAGTAACGTTCGGCTAGCTGTCCATTACTCGAATAATAACCGTTACTGGAATAATGGAGGAGTAGCCGAACGGGCTGTTAGGATCACGTTGGGAGGGCTCAACTCTTCAATCCCTTGTTTTGGCTCTTCAGTACCATTTCTCCAAGGGTCCTCAACCCTTCAATCCCATGTAAAGAGATAACACAACCTTAAAAACTTGCACAGAGTTGCGCGGGCCGCTGCCATTAATGTCTAATCTCTGTCTATTGACTGATCAGTGCGTTCGTTGACTGCGCAAAAGGCCAGCAGGAGCGCACGCTACATTTCAGTCTGCCAGACGCAAATCAATACTACTACTACTACTACCACAACCACTACTGCTGCTGCTGCTGCTGCTGCTGAGCAAAAGGCCAATTGATCTCGAAACTACGCTGGAGCCAAAATTAAGAATACAGGCAGTGCGTCGATCTTGTGGAGTCGATAGCGCGGGTCGCGCGCCATTCTGTCAAGTTTTTACAGAGTAGGTATGGTATGTATTGGAGGGAATCAATCCTTCCCCAAGACATCGAGTAGAGTTGCACAGCCAAAAGTTTTCAATCTCAACTCTAAACCCCCTGGTGACCCTTTTCACGGCGTAAAAGCGTAAATCTGAAGTAATGACTCGAGTGTAACTGATTTTTGTGAAAAGAGTAGAAATTGCGATAGAATGGAGCTGTTTCCAGATTTTCGAAGAGAACAATCATGATTGTTAGCGACGGCTATCCATTAGAGTAGAATCACAAGGTTGGTATCGCTTTTCCAAGAGCGCCATTGCTTACAAACTTGTATGTAGCCTTCAGATCCAACTCTGATAAAGAGCATAGCGGCGGTAAGAAAAAAATTAAATGAAAAAAAAAATTTAAGGAAAAATCAAGACGTTGATCTTGGCATTGGCGTAAGCAAAGAAGTACTTGGATGCCTTTTGAAAGAAAAACATCCAAGGGGTGCTTTTTCAGCGATATTGATAGGTAATCCACCGAACTTCCCTACTGAGCACGAAAATTTACGCAAACCCCGCTTCAGGGTATGATGCGACAAACCACCGTGCTACCGAGCTTACAAGGGAACCCATCTCTTGCACAAGTTCAAAATGTTACAGAAGAATATTGGCGATAACTGCGACAGCTGGGCGAGGCTAGCAGCCGGAACGGAAGGGATAGGGGTAAACCCAATCTTGCCTTGGCCTGGGAGTACATAAATAGAGAGAAAGATCCCATTGTGCCCATCATCAAATCAACTCACATTCACTTCACTTCAAGTCCATCACATCAAACAAACTATCGTTACCACCGTCCAAAACCTCGCTCTTCATCACATCCAAAGCTCAAGATGCAATTCTCAATCATCGCCGTCTTCGCTCTGATCAGCGCCGCGTACGCTCAGCCGCAGTATGCATGCCAGGCTGCAGATGTAAAAGCCTGCCAAGAAAAGGTTAGTCCATCTCACATAGCGAATGAGTCTGCTGAGTCTCGTGCTAATAAATATACATAGTGCAATGCTGCTCAAGGTGGCAACTATGACTGCGTCTCACCCGGACCCAGCGGTTGCTTCTGTGGTTAAATGGGGGCTGTTACTGTCCTGATGCTACGTCGAGCTGCGCCAACGTCGCCAGGGCTGGATAATGAAATGCGAAAAAGAGGCGGTTAGGAAATCGGGGGAGGGAGGAGATGGGGGAGGCTATCACACCGTGTACCTTCCACATGTAAATCGTTAGCAAGATCTCATCGTCAATACACATCTTTGCTAGCGAAGAATACTCCTCAACTTTTCTTCTACTTCCTTTCCTCGATACTCGATGATTTGAACGCTTTTCGAATGATTGTCTTGGCTCTAAACACTACTATTCCTGCATGTATCACACTTCTCGCTCTACTCTCTCCCGAAGCCTGGAAAATTTATTTAAAGACTAGAAGAGGAAAATAGTACGAAGAGAATGTTAAGGATACATATAGCCGCTCGCATGGTAATTAAGAGGGCAAACAATACGGAAAGAAATTTCGGAAAACACAGCTGGACGTATTGCAATCAAAAGGAGAAATCTGAAACTTTTTAAAGAGCCAACCAACTTTACTAGACGTGGCCGATTCGCAATAGCAGCAGCGAAGAATGCACAGCAAGATGCACCGCTAGAAGAACGCGCTGGCGACATCTTTGAATCCTGTTCCACGGGCCCATTATCAACAGTCAGCAAAAACAGAAGAAGCTTGAGGCTCCTACGAGGAAAGCGGCGAGGGCTGCAAGAAAAAGCCGGAGCTTGGTCACGAAGTGTCGCATTTCCGGAGAGAACGGTAATGCCAACCTACTTGCTCTCGACGATTCTTCTTATTGACGCAGTCAGTGCCCTCGACAGGAACTCAGAAGAGAAGCTGAAGAAGATGGGATCAGATCAATCACTCAACATGAAGAGACCTAGAGGAACGAAAAGGAGATAGATGCAAGAGCCGATGGGTCCGGACGTCCGTCCCAAATAAGATTTTATGCTAAAAATGAAAAGACTAGCTTGGCCTTGGAGACACACAAAATGGGACATGACGTAGGAAATGGAAATAGACATCGATACGTGCACGGAAGAAGACCAGAGGATTTGAAACATGGTTGCAAAAACTCGGAACAAGCAGTTGCAGGAATCTGCATCAGCTAAGTAGGAATTTCAGATCTCAGGGCGAGAACTACTCACTGTAGGATAGGGCTATATCATTCCCCTTCAGAATACGGCTGGCTATACACACATGCAAATGTAAAACCCACTCGATAGAAAATGAAAGGCAAAACCCTCTTCCCCACAATCAATCGAAACCAAGACCACCTCCAAATCCCCAAAACGGTCCAACCCGGTCCGTTCCGTCTCCGTAAACTACCCACAAGATCACGTTCCGCCTTCCCACCAGGCCAGGAATGACTCCCGACATTATCCCGCCCCCACACGCAAATTTTTGCACACACAATATAAATTCTTTTACCAGCACCTCTCAACAAGAAAACCACGATCGCTTAGCTCAGTTGGTTAGAGCGTGGTGCTAATAACGCCAAGGTCGCGAGTTCGACCCTCGTAGTGATCATTTACTGATTCAAAATTTTTGTACAATGAAACACTTGATTTTGCTGCTTTTTGTCATGCAGGCTAACTTCAATTCAGTCAGGGTGTGGGGCGGGGCGGCTCTGGGAGGATGGATGGAAGAAGTTTTTTTTTGTTCGATTGTGTGTGTGTGTGTGGTGGGGCGACAGGGATCTAATCTACTCTGTACTACATGAAAAAGCAGCGAACATTCGATTTATAGTCATCACTTTCTCACTACGTTCGAATATTTGGGAGGGAGGCACATAGAGACAGAAGTACGGCACGAAAGATCAGTCAAACTTTGCCTTCAATTATTGCTGTGGCGAGGAAAGATCAAACTCTTGATTCGCTATAGAGACATAATTTCACACTGTATCTGTTTGAGCGATCCACTCAGCCAGATCCGCAATTTAATGCACCGACCGCCATCACGCCTGATCATCAAAAGAACAGGAACGAAAGAAAAAGTCAACATGCAAGTTCCGAGCCCACCCATTTGTGTCGCAGTGCACGCCATGAAAAACGCCCCATGCAAAGCTGCTACATCGCCAACGGAAATGACAAAGGAGATTATGAGTGGCCTCGCTAGCCTGGTCGAATTTGGTTTCGTGATGCAAAAAGAGAGTAAAGGATGGTAGCCCGTCTATCTTTCTTTCGGGGGCTGCCATCCGTTCAGATACGCCATAACGCCCATACCAAGAAGTACAACACCAATCATGGAGGCATATGGGGTCGCCTGGTGCGATAAGGGAGTACCTGGTGGCCGCGAGAGAGTGCTGACAACCGCCTTGATGGGATCCTTTACGTCGGACGTGATGCTTCCATTCGGCAAGCTACGTTTCTCTGCCACAAGATTGGCCACTTCGAGCTTGCCATTTCGCAAAATCTCTGCGGATAGTTCCCTGGAAGCTGATCGTGCCCGCTCGGTTGACAACGAGCGTCTCGCCATTTCATCAGATCTGATCTTCTCAACCATCTCAGCCAATGTCTTGCGATCGTTGTCTCGTTCAGACTCAGCAATCTCAGCCCGAAGCCTGAATGAATCCATTTGATCCCGTAGTTGTTGCATATCCTGTAACATTGTCTCCAGTTTTTTCTCAAGTAACAGGGTCGAGTCGCTGATAGCGGTCGGGTCAACAGTATCATGGGTTGAAGCTCCCTCCATCGATAAATCCTCCGGTGACTCGGCTCGTTCCGAAGGTGGTTCAAAGGCTTCCTCTTCGATTGAACCTTCCTCATTTGCTGTCGCTACACCATTCGTCATCGTTCCCGATCGCGACTCGAGCCTCTTGGCGACCTCTTCTGCTTGCTCGCGTGCCTGGCGTTCCTTTTGCAACATTTCCTCGAGATCTCGTAGCCGGGCACCCTGTGTATCAATCTCCTTTTTCGCTGTAGCTAAAGCTTCTACCAGCGTAATGATTTGGCTCGTAGGTTCCTGGCGAACGGGAGAGGCACTAGAATCAGACCGAGGACGTTCCGTATTAGTCCGCTTCAGGGCAGGTACTGGTGGGTCGAGGACTTGTGAGCGCGCAACATCAGGCTTTTCAGGGAGAGGTTGTTGCGGTGGTGGGGCTGGAGGGTCTGAGAATCGAGGTTTACTATCGTTTCGGAAAGATACAGGATTGCCATTGATTTGGCAAAGCTTTGGTGCTTCGATAAGAGGAGCTTTCTCTCTTTCGTTCTCTTTGACATCCTCCTTTGACAATAAAGAGCCGACAAAGCTATCAGTACGTCCAAGCTCGTTCGTCTGTAGACGAGCCTCCCTCATTTCATGCTTTCAATTGTCAGCCATGTCGAGATGAAGAAAGGGGAAGTACGTACAGTAAGTCTCTTGACGATTTGCTCAGTTGTGACAGGGGTCAACCAGAAGTTCATCGGGCGTTGCTGGATCATAGCAGTCATTTGACTACCAGCAAAGCTTGAGGGTGGACCTAACCGAGCGTGGCTGTTCACAGATCCTACACTACCTGATCTCCCTCTTATTTGTAGCGAGCCTTGGGAAGGCAACATCATCGCTCCATTTGCGGGATCCAATTCTCCAAAGTTCATCTCCAGAACATTGTTAGATGCCCCAAGGAATCCAGCATACTCAACTTTTGCAGAAACTTTATGATGTACGACAGTTTTCTGATCTTCGCTGACAATATCTATGCCGAGTTCAAGGTGATCTTGTGTTTGCAGCTCATGAGGTTCTGAGTCTCGATTCTCTGCGGAAAGTCGTGCATTGTTAACAAACGTGCCATTTGAAGACTTGACATCCCGAATCCAGATCTTGCCCTGTCGATCTGCCCAAATTTCTGCATGTTGTCTTGACAAGACTTTGGAGTCGAAGAAGCCGTTCAAAGGGGTAGGTAAAGTTTTCCCATTAGTTTGGCGCCCTATTCGTAGACTATCGGGGTAGAAGGGGACCGTTATGGTTTTCCGCTCAAAGGTCCCATTCATAGAGAGAAGATACAAGACTGGGTTGCCCTCGATGATTGGTGGACCAAGAGGCCGACCCCCATTAAGCTGTTGTGTAGGTGGTTGTATGTTATATTGAGAGGGTACCACTGGAGAGGGAGACGCGGTAGCTGCCCCGTTTGTTGCTAGTATCGATTGAGGCCGCACTGTAGACACCGATATAGGATCTGGTTTAATTGCTACCCAGGGTGCCACTTTCTGGGTCCTCTTTCGAGCCGCAGTTCCCCAGGAGCTGGGATCTTCTGGTGGTGTCATAGGTACTCCATTGAGTTGTGGCGATGCTTGAGAAATCGTAGAAGTCGAGGAGGTGGAGGAATTCGATGATATGGAAGATGAGGAGTTTGCTCGTTGAGCGCTTTTCCGTGGCATGAACATTCGGGTGACTTCGTCGGCGTTCATAGCATTCAGTGCTCCCTGACTAGCACTCCATCCCGAACGGCTGTTCTGCTGAAAACTCGGTGGATTTGCGACCGCCGTCATCTGCAAGGCCGTCGGGATATCGATATAAGTGGAGTTGTAAAGAGCCGTGGTAGGCAATATGGATGAAATTCTTGGGACTCAGAACCTCTCCATGCACCATATCAATACGCCAGCCTTATCGCACTTCGTTGTGAATCCCTTCTTTCCAATACGCAGGCCCGTGTAAAGTTCCTTCTGAGTCTTCGAGTAAGGCGAGCGTGTATTCTGCGATGCTAGGCCGTATTGTGAGATACAATCAGCTCCTCTGTTGCCTTTAACGCCTTGACCCCTAGGATGATGTTGGTAAGCACACGCCCCGACCTGTGCCGACGATTCCTCCTCTCCTTAAGTGTCGATCTGGCTTAAGGAAATCGAGAGACTTGTGTCTGCGTTGTATCAGGTAGGCAGGCAAGCCAATTGTTTGTTGTCGTCGGGATGGTGTCGGAGGGTGAAGATGAGAATGGTTGAAGTTGCCAGCTAGGAAAGTTTGGAGATCCTTTCCTGGCCGTCTCACTGGCGAGGTTCGGCGCACCTATCAGGGACGAGAACGGGATGCGAGCACGCGCTCAAACACGTGAATCTTTACTAGACCTGAAATGGATGTGAGTGAGAAGAGCTAAAAACCGAAGCAAAAGGATACCGAATGTCTTTAACGCGCTAGCAAGACAAAATGGAAGCCCAAGTCGATGCGGATAGAGTCACGTGTGTCAACTGCGCGCTTCTCCGCACTTTGTCGGCCTGGTCCAAGCGTTTCAGCCGCTAGTCAACGCGCTTAATCTACAAGCGGCCGCATGGAATACGGAAGAAGGGGGCTGCAGCCGCGTGCGCCAAAAGGATTTACAGTATCTTCTTCCTCGCTTTTCTTTTTTTTAAGAACTCAAAGCAAATCGTCCATTATTACGACCACTCACCAATATGCCTGCTGTAGGAGCTAATATGGGAGGAGGCCAATCGACCTTTGACAAATGTAAGTCTATCATAGAAGCTAGAGAGTTGTGCTGATGAGGGCAAAAGGGAAGATGGGCGCAATGATGGGTAGCAGTACGTCCTTTGCCTATGAAATGGATCAAATCCTGAACTAAGCTCTCATCTGTAGCTGTCGGGGTTATTATTGGTTTCATATTCGGTATGCTGGTACTCTCAATCAAAAGATAGCTTCCTAACTCTCAAAGGCTCAACAAACATTATGCGCTTTGGTGCGGGACCCAATGGAGTTATGCGGACACTGGGCCAGTACATGATCGGATCCGGGGCAACCTTTGGGTACCTTTCTTGTTCTGCAGGCTTCACACACGGATTAACAGTTATCCTAGGTTCTTTATGTCTATCGGCAGCATGATTCGAACAGATACCGTCTCGCAACAAGCTCTCGAAACCTTTGCCCGCTCTCATCGAAGGGTGATTATCATGCCCCGAGACTCCTATCGACCTAACCGCGACTGATTTAAAACTACAAATGGGAGAGAACAAAAGGATGTATAAAGGCACAAATGGCGTTCTTGTAATTCCTACTGTGAAAAGCTTTCATGAATATATCTGGGCCAAAACGTAGCTCTCGATTCTGGCCAGATAAATTGGAATCGATCCAGGCTCTGCTTATTATAGCAACACACCAAAAAACCAAATACCCATTTCTCTCTTTGGCATATTTGTACTGCCGAGGTGTATAATCTTGCGAATGTTGACAGCCCTTGGTCATATTCCTGGATTCGGGTCCGATATCTCTACCTACAAACCTCATCTTCATATGCACTCGCAGAAATATTCGAGCCCGAGTTCCATGATACTATTTACATTTGTCTCACAACATGTTGTGCATACCTGTGAGGAACCTGTGAGCCTGAGAGGATTCTAGAGACTTAGCAGGGGTTCTCCGTATGCCACTCCTTCGGTACGACCTCAGGACTGACTGCATTCGGGCATTGAAGCGAGAAAAAAGTCTGAATCAACCTGGTATCTTTCCACAGGCCATATCCATGACATTTCGACCATCGCAAAACTTGTTGTCGAATCAGCATTCTGATTGATATCTGAAGCTTGGAGCTGTGTAGTAAGATCCACCTCGGTGCGTCAATGCAAGACGTGCAACGAAAAAAACAAACTATCGCTCATTTTGTATCAACAGCAAGTTCCTCCCGTACTTGTCTTATTCGACATTCATGCTTCAAGCAGCGAGGCTGCCCAGGCGAGTATTGATTACTAACTCAGCTGATATATGGATATCTATATATATATATATATATATCTACAACTATATATTTACAAACAACAAGCCTCTCGATCGTCCCTGCTGATGGCACGCCCGCGCTGGGCCAAAGCCAACAAGACACGGCCACGGCCATACCATATCAAGGATTTGACGGGACGACAGATTACCCATCCCGTCTATGGGTCAAAGCCTGCCTGAGCTCTGCATCGTGAGAAGAGTAAGAATACCCGTGACGGCGGTGACCGCGGCTTATTTCCCGTGAATGGATCATCGAACGAATGGACCTGCTGCTCTTCCGTTTCGATCATCGATGCGGCTCTCTGTCGCCAGCTGATATCGGCATTCTTTTGAGCCTTCTTCCGCGTCAAAGATGCATCGAGGCGGTGGTATCTCGGGCGATGTCGCTGCACATATTTATTCCGAGGCAAGCCCTACGCTATGCAGAACCAGCTGCCCGACATCTGCCAGCATTTGTTCGGGGTCTTCGGTAGTTGATAACGATATTCACTGCTCGGCCCGGAGTCCAGATTCTTTTCTAGTACGTCCTCTTTCCCGGGAATGTCTCATCTCTGCGACCTGGTTCAATATCGACGACTATCACTTTGTCAGTAGGTCTGTACTGCAAGACTTGTGGATCTCGATGCAGCCAGCGCCACTCCATCTAGCTCCCAGGGTTACATCATCGTCTAACAGCGTTCTTACGATTCGTACCAGACTTGAGTCATTAGATTTCCCACCGCCGTTTCATCGGTATCTTTGCAAGTGCGAAGCTTTCATCCGGATCAGTGGACGAGGAGGTCTGATATTTCGTGGATCTCTTGAAACGCTGCATTGACTGCCGTGGAGATGCGACAGTAAAAGTGTTCTCCGTAGGAACATGTGAGACTCGACTCTTAGCCCCGTCCCCTACGGAGTAATTGATTTACTTCACCTACCGTATTGTACTACTACTAGTTATGATTTCGGAGACCACCGACGACGATGTAACGCTATACAGAACGACAACATATCCTCGTCACGAGCGAGATCTATATCATCCAAGCGGGGTGTTGCTGCTCGATCTCTGTTGTCTGTGTGCCACAATACAATGAAGGTCATTTTATGGTATGAGGTCTGATTGTATTGATACACAGGAGAAACTGCTCTCTCCATGACGATCTAGTAAAGCCCTGATGGACTTCATCCAGACTTCCCATGGATACATGACATATGCTACCTCTACCAGCCTTTCTATCCGGTCCGGTCCCCGCGCTCGTAGGTGCTTTGTTGTATCCCGATCTGGTCTTTGCGCTCAGAACCAAACGTGAGCACGTGAGCACGAGAAGTCGATCACAGGATCGGAGCTAAGTAAGGCCAGACCTCACGTTCGAAAGCCCCCAGTCCAAGCGTATTCCCAGTCCCCAAGTGACGATGCTTCGAGCCCCCTTTTTCCCGGAAAAGAAAAGTTGCGTTGGGATCAGAACGTCTGCAAGTCCGCTCTAGTCCTCTGCTAGCTAGCAGTAGTCCGATCCCGAATGGTCTGACCAGCATGCGTACCTACCGTCGATTAGATCGGGCCAAAGTAGATTTGTGTTTCGAAGAATGTCCCGACGCTATTGTGCTATCGGAAGACGGCCCAGATTTGCAGATCTAGGGTCTCGATGGCCAGCCGGACCCGGAAAACGTTGAAGCCATTAGGCCCAAGCGAGTCAAGGACACGGCGATGCGCAGGCTGACAGCAGAGAGGAGAGGCTTCAGCCTGATTGTATCTTCTTCTACACGCAAACTTAGTACTTCGACAAGCGCGACGACCCGAGCGGTGCTCTGAACTGAGCTGAAATGAACTGATGGCAGCCGGGGACTTGTTATAAGTATTGTGCTATCTGCTCATTCATTCTCAATATCTCTCATCAGCTTCTGTTGCATTGGAAAATACAGTCATTTGGTCTATTTACCTCACTCTTTTACAATGTCTTTCCTTGGCAATATCATTATGGGTGTGCTCGGCATAGTCGGTTCTCTGTCGCAGCAGCAGACTAACGGGTGAGTCTTGCCCAGCCCTTTCGTCCTATCATCCTTCATATCTTGTGTTTCGATGTGTATCTTGGAATTCACAATCCAATGTGCTGATATCTTGACAGTCTTTCCGTATGGGGAACCTTGAAATGTCCTACATTTCCACTCTTTTTGAAAAATAACCCTTTGCCCTCGGGCTATCCATGTAAGTCTCACATTCCTTTTTCTCATCCGTGATTTATCAGGACCTTCTGGCTCCGAATTCACACCTTCCTCCCATGCTTCAATGTCGCAGGAGCAGTAGGCTAACTCCACACTTTCTTACAGGGGGCCAGCTTACAGCCACTGCAAACAATCCGTACACCGAGGCTCCAAACACTGGTGTCATCCGCAGCTATGATTTTACAGTTACTCGTGGACAAATCGCACCTGATGGATATCAGATGAACGTTATTCTTGTCAATGGTCAATTTCCCGGGCCCCAAATCGAGGCGAATTGGGGAGATACAATTCAGGTCACGATTCACAACAAAATCACAGGACCCGAAGAAGGAACTGCTTTCCATTGGCATGGATTTCTGCAGAAAGAGACCCCGTGGTATGATGGAGTTCCTGGTGTAGATCAATGCCCAATTGCACCCGGGAACAGCTTCACCTACTCATTCAAGGCGAGCTTGTATGGAACAAGTTGGTATCACTCGCATTACTCTGCTCAGTTCGCTGGTAAGTTTAGTACATCCCCATTGTTATAAGCGGTCTCTAATTTGACATCTAGGTGGCCTTCTGGGGCCCATGATTATCTATGGACCAAAGAATTCCAACTATGACATCGATCTTGGACCTGTCTTCCTCCAAGATTGGTATCACACTGGGTACTCTGATATCGTTGACGAAATCATGAAGCCGGGAGGAAACATCAGGCCTTCCTCGCAAAGCAACCTCATCAACGGAAAGATGACATTTGACTGCACAAAGAAGGTCGCAGGGGACAATTCGCCTTGTACGAGCAACGCAGGAATTTCGAAATTCAAGTTCACTACCGGAAAGACACACAGACTGCGATTGATCAATGCCGGAGCAGATGCACTTCAAAGATTCAGTATCGATGGCCACCAAATGACCGTTATTGCCAATGATTTTGTTCCCGTTGTAAGTTCTTCCATGTCCAGATCTCTACAAATGCTAACTCGGGCAGCAACCGTACAAAACCAATGTTGTCACACTTGGGATTGGTCAGCGGACAGATGTGTTGGTCACTGCCAACGTCGGTAAATCAAACTCCGCCTTCTGGATGCGCTCCAACATCTCTTTACCTTGCTCCACAGCCGACCAGCCAAATGCTCTCGCCGCTATCTACTATGATAAAGCAGATAACAACAAGTCCCCGACTAGCACTGCGTGGGATGTCCCCGACCCTGGAACCTGCGCAAACGACGACTTGAGCCTTACCGTCCCAGCATTCCCTATCCAGGCCGCCACTCCTTCCACGACCATCGCCCAGGAAATCAACTCCTACGTCAACGCATCTGGCACCTTCCTGTGGACACTCGACGGCACCTCCTACCGCGCAAACTTCAACCAGCCAGTCCTATTGCAAGCCGAGACGGGTAACTTGACCTTCCCGCCGCAGTGGAACGTGAAGAACCTCGGCACCAACAGCACTATCCGCGTCGTCGTCAACAACCACTCCCCTGCCCCGCACCCAATGCATCTCCACGGCCACAACATGCAGATTTTGTCCGAGGGCCCCGGCGACTACGACGGCACCACTGTTGTGCGGTCGAGCAACCCGCAGCGTCGCGACGTGCAGATGGTGCGCGTCGGTGGCCACTTTGCCTTCCAGTATGCCGCTGACAACCCCGGCGTTTGGCCTTTCCACTGCCACATCGCCTGGCACGTCAGCGGGGGCCTGTATTCCCACCTAATGGAGAGACCGGCCGACATTGGGAAGAAGACGCAGGTTCCGCTCATCATGCAGCAGACTTGCAAGGATTGGCAGGCGTACACCAACAGAGCTGTCGTGGACCAGATCGACAGTGGTGTGTGAGAGGGCGGTTGAGTTCCAAAACATTTTTCTGTGTATATATATTCATCTTGTGCCCATTTTAGAAGTAGGAGCGTGGGATCAAACTGAGAAGGAGATGTTTGCAAGATAGCCTTTCTGTATCGTCTACTCCCATCGCCCCTATCTTTTTGGCGGCAAGAATTTATCCTTTTAATCATTGAAATAGAAATAGAAATAGGAAGATGGGAAGAGAGATGGGTTACGATGCTCGAAATATAATATCGCTTCCATTCGCGAAACCCTTTCACCATCAACGTGCACACTTTTTATATCAGCTCTTCTAACTATCTAGGTAGCTACTTTCTGTCCCATCATGCTTTCCAGATTTTTTACTTGATAGCAAGCTTTTTCTCGGCAGCCACTTTCTCAGCATCAGGAATTTCGGGCGGAGAAGATAATATAACTTGATACTAAGTATCACTGTCGAACAAACAACCTAGGTACAGGCTTATTAGACTTAAGGCGAGGAAGTCGAGCATGAAGGCAAACATCCCTCTCGCGGAATAAAAGGAGTGCTTTCTAGCTGTAGGGCATGTATGTCCATTTATGATCGAGGATTTAATCGGGCAGTGGATGGAATGTATAAGAGTCTCGCTGAAAAGTTATATTAGGACCGGATTTCAGAATAGTGTGGTGTACAGTGAGCGAGTGCAGGTAGTTAGATTTCAATATATATACGAGTATGCTATAGCTTTAAATGAGTATACACCTTGGAAGTTGATTTGAAGATGAGAGAAGCCGCCATTTGGATGTTTCAACGCCTTCCGAACTGGTTGAATATTATCTATTCAAAGAGAAGCGCGCGGTAGTCATCGGTTTACGTCTCCGAAGGGCCACATTGTTGATGTTTCCGAAGAGTCAAGTTGTCTTGAATCTGTCTGCCCTTAACCAACTTCAAAACCAAGAACATCGATCCACCTCGCAATATCTGAGAGTGAGGTGGCTATTACAACACATCTCTACCTCTGTCTATGATAACTGTGGCATATCTTTTATATTGATTGCATTTTATCCTTCCGGCTACTTCTCATCTCAAAGCTCCACTGTTTGCGTTTGTTTACTCCGGCTGTCATGGACGCTCGACAGGACTCGGATAACTTCCCATGGGATCGTAGTGATGAGTGTTGGGAGGAGGCGATCAAGCAGGTGCGACTGTCGTCTACCTGTCGTAGAATCGAGTCGTTCGCCCAAAGGCTGTTAGGCGATACTGCGACCTTGGCCCTTCCCCTGCTTATTGGTGGCTTCAACGTTCTGTACCCAATTCGATACAAAGGATCCTATGATTCTGATTCATCTCCCATGGCCAACTATCTCGTTCGCCTGCCATGCCCAAACCATACAGCTTTCCGAGAAGAGAAGACGCTTGCGGAAGCCGCCACGACAGTCTTCGTCTCCCAACGCACTCAGCTTCCGGTTCCGACGCTGCATAGTTCCGGTGTGGATCTTGCAATTGGGCCCTTCATTATCCTTCAAGATCTTGGAACTCTACGAGGCATGGGCGAAGCTCTAGAAGCTCTCCGCGAGGATCCTAGCGACACGCCAATCTTGAATCCCAACATTTTCGAGAGCAAATTCAAGAGTCTTTACCGTCACATAGCTGCATGCTTGCTACAGCTTGCACAGCCTACCTTCCCATGTATTGGAGCTCTTGTTGAGACAGAGTCTGGATCGTTTTCAGTACCAGGGCGACCAATTACGCTGAATGTCAAGTATGGTTCAACTATTTAACGTTCCAAGATCGATTTTCCCACCCGAAAGTACAACCTTCCGAGCCGCTGATGATTGGTATGTGGTCTTGGCCGATATGCATATAGCAACCCTCATTTCCCAACACAATGACATGATCTCATGAGAGGATGACTGCAAGACCAAATATGTTGCCCATCAACTCTTCCGCAGACTCGCTAAGCAAGGCCGGCTGTCAAAGTTTGAATTTGCGGACGATACCTGCTCCGCCTCATCCGAGCAAACCCGTACAAATCTGCCAGCACCAGATATTTCGGCTTCTTTCCATCTTTGGTCCGATGATTTCAGGCCGAACAATATTCTTATCAGTGAAAATGACGAGATCCTGGGCGCCATCGATTGGGAGTTCACTTATGCCGCACCAACCCAATTCAGCTTGGATCCACCATGGTGGCTACTACTTGACGTGCCCGAAATGTGGGATGCAGGTATTGATGATTGGGCCACTCTCTACGAGAGACGACTGCAAACCTGGCTCTCAGCATTGGTGGAAGCGGAGCAAGACATGGCCCGGGCTCGTTCCTGCTCTCTGCATCGATGCGAGAGAGTTGGACGACAGGCCGGTTCTGGCTGAACTATGCTGCGAGAAAGAGCTGGGCGTTTGATAAGATATACTGGAAGTATCTCGACGAGCGGTTCTTCGGCGAGCGGGAGAAGGACACGCCTACTGCCAGCGAGTTGTGGAAGACGAGGATACACCTTCTGACTCCCGAGGAGCGGTCGGCGATGGAGCGGATGGTGCAGAGGAAAACGGAGGAGGCGAAGTTTCGAGTTTTGGTTAAGTGGGAGGATGTAGAGGCAAGAGAACTCCTGTCTTCCTTTCTGTTTGACTAGCTAGGCCTAGAGTTGGTCCAATGCCTGTTATCAGAATATATGAGATCTTGCAGTTGATACAACCCTATTACTTCTAGAATGTCCTCAAGGGCTCAGAAAACTAGATAGAGCCACCACTTGAGATATACCAGCCAGAAAACAAGCAAGGAATAAAAGCTACTTTTGGTTTTTCATCCGTCTTACCTTAAATAGCATAAACAACCAGATATCGGAGCTAGACACGCAAAGACATGACCCACTTTGCTTGTAACAAAGATTAATATGAAATTAAAACCATACATATATATCAATCTCAAAGACTCTAAATTCCCCAAGCTACTCTTTCAACCTTTCATAGAAAGATTGTAGTTGAACAATCAAAACTCCATTTTTTTTATCACACGTGATATTCGCGCTACCAAGGAGACGCCCATTACACTAATCGTCGGGCTCGCTTAGGTGGGCCTCCGATTATCTCGAACTCTACAAAGCTGCATGATGCTCGACAACTCCTCCCCTTAACCAAGAAATCAAAACAAACACTCCAAACCCATATAAGCAAATCTCCATCCTACCGCAATCATAAGTCGTCGCCACAGACAACGTCACGCTAAAGGCAAAGCCTCCAACCCTAACCGTGGCAAAGCTCGCAAAATGGGCCAAGAAAACTCCCACGAGCAGGTCGACCCCGACGCTCCGCCGCGGACCCTCACGTCGCGAACCCTCCCCGCCGTGGCGCAGTACATCAAAAGCGGCCGGCCGAAACGCATCGTGGTCATGACCGGTGCGGGGATCTCCACCTCGGCCGGCATCCCGGACTTCCGGTCCGAGAAGACCGGACTGTACGCCAACCTGGCCCGGCTGGACCTCCCGCACCCGGAAGCCGTGTTCGACATCTCGTTCTTCCGGGAGAGGCCGGAGCCGTTCTACGTTTTGGCGAAGGAGCTGTACCCGGGCCGGTTCTACCCCACCGTCTCGCACGCGTTCATCGCGCTGCTGAGCGAGAAGCGCATGTTGACGATGCTGTTCACGCAGAACATTGACTGTCTGGAGCGGCAGGCCGGGGTTCCAGGCGACAAGATTGTCGAGGCCCATGGTAGTTTCGCGTCGCAGCGGTGCATTGAATGCAAGACGGAGTACCCCGAGGATCAGATGAAGGAGGCGGTAGAGGAGGGACGGGTGCCACACTGTGTGGTGCCGCAGTGCAACGGGCTTGTCAAGCCAGACATTGTTTTCTTTGGAGAGTCGCTTCCGGCGTCCTTTTTTCAGCATCGGGATTTGCCCATGACGGCGGATCTGATCATCGTGATGGGCACGAGTCTGTCGGTGCAGCCGTTTGCGAGTTTACCGAGTATGGCCGGGGATGGTGTGCCGCGGGTTTTGATCAACAAGGAGAAGGTGGGTGACTTTGGAAGTCGTTTGGATGATGTGGAGATTCTTGGGGAGTGTGATGAGGGTGTCAGGGAGCTGGCTGATGCGTTGGGCTGGAAGGACGAACTGGAGCAGATGTGGCTAGGGGTTAGAGGGAATGAGAAGGAGAGGGAGGCCGAGAGATTGGGAGAGCTGAGGAAGGGGATGACGAAAGACGAATTGTTGGAGGCAGAGATTGAGAAGTTGACGGCCGAGGTGGATGATTCGCTGAAAGTCCACAAGGAGCACGAGGCGTGGGTCAGGAAGGGGCTTGGTCTGCCAGAGGATAGGGAGGTATCAAATTCAGAGGAAATCAGGCACGAGGATTTGTTGTTGGGGTCATCGGCTGGCAATATTCCAGTCAACACTGAGAAGGTCACCGACGACGTACCAGCAGAAGCACCCAAGGTCGACGCGAAGGCCATTCTCGACACTACATTGCCTCAAAATAGACCGGATGGCAAGTCCGTGGAGACTTCAAGTGGAGAAAATAAGCCAGGCCCCCATATCTGATCGAGCTCAACATCCGAAAGCGAACCTTGGCGAGCAATCGAGATACCCAGCAACCACACACGCCAATAAGAGCCTGTCAAGCAGTGACAGTCCTGTACTATTAGCTCAGAGGAGGTTATTGACGGTGTGAACACGACAGAAATTAATGCGAAGCGCAATTCTCGTCATTGGTTGAGCGAGATGAGTAGATCGGGTGCATGGAATGATAGATTCATAGATAGACATAAGAGGACCGGAAACAAGAAGTAGGTCAGGTCGTCAATCTAAACATCAGTGTCCATGCCCTTCTCATCTCTGATACGTATAGTTTTTTGGTCTTTTGGAAATGAAATTATGGTAGTAATGAAATTGCACCGCTTCTTGCAGCAGATGCATACACGTGGCATTGCTCGAGGAAGGCGAGTGTAAAGGAAGGCCATTGGCCAATGTGCATGGGCGAGTTACAGCCTCACAGATTGAACGCGTCTCTATAATGCTGAGTTGAAGAGATTTAATATCGAGTTATTACTGGACATCGATCACAAGTAGCTTATGCTATTCATAAGAATGTAAAGACACGTGACAGTTTTAATTGCACGCTCCAACCTTTCTTATTTATCGATTGTCAAGCGGCAAGCCGATATGGGTCAAATGTCTCGGATTCGTTCAATTCAGCTGATAGGCATAGGTCTAGTGACATTCAAAATCGATATGCTCAAGACCCTCTCCTCGGTAGCCGGATTATCAAAGCAGCCGAATCTCAAAATCGACGACAATCGAGGGCAGGATCTAGGTCAGCCTTCCTCAGTCCCATCCACGACATTCTAATCTGCGTCTCCCCCAGGAATCCGATACCTTTCATTCCCATTAAGCAATGATTCCGAGAGCCTCAAATTCCAGAGTCGCGTGATGCGTCTGAAGAGCCTCATTCGTCGAGCTGTTCGCCTTCGGATCACCAACGTCTGGACCGCCATCTACACTGCCCTCCATGGCCCCTTCCAGGGCTCGAAGCCTCCAGCAAAGCACATCAAAATCGATGATGAAGAGAGCCAGTACGACGACGACTCGCTTTACTCACAACATCAATCATCTCTCTACACAATGTGGCATATTTTGAGCAGCCCCATATCCGCACCCTTCATCACTCTCGTCTCCTTGATCATCCTCATCATCCTCATCACTTGCATCGTACACCTTGTCTACAAGCCACCAACACTCATCATCCGCATGCTGCAACACCACAACCAAAACGTCATCTTCCACGTCCCGCTTCTCAGCTCTCAACGCGTCGTGGCCCTGACTATCGACGACGCACCTTCCTCGGAAACGGGCAAAATTCTTGACCTGCTGAAGGCTCACAATGCCAAAGCGACGTTCTTCGTCATCGGCTCTCAGGTTGCGGAGCACCCAGGCGTCGTTGAACGGATCCACGCCGAGGGTCACGAGCTGGGCAATCACGCGTGGACCGACGACCCCAGCTTCAAGCTCCCGCTCACCGAGCTCTCGCGCCAGATCAGAGAAGTCGAAGCCTTGCTGCCGCCAAATGAAAATGGTATGAAGTACTTCCGACCAGGGTCAGGGTGGTTCAACGCGAAGATGCAGAGGACGGTCGAAGCACTCGGGTACCGCCTGGCTCTCGGCAGCGTCTACCCACACGACCCTCAAATCCATAAGCCGAAGTGGAATGCGAGGCATGTTTTGAGTATGGTGAAGCCGGGGAGTGTGGTTATTATGCACGATCGACGGTCTTACTCGGCAGAGCAGCTAGGGTTGATCTTGCAGGGGTTTGAGAAGGATGAGACTAGGAAGTGGACGGCTGATTCGCTGGGTGGCTTACTGGCTTTAGCCGAGAAGCAAAATAGACTTGTGTGAGGTGTAGCTTGGATTATGGTCTCTCTGTTATTTGGTTTGGAAACCCGTGAGGTTCTTGCTGCATTGCCTGCGTGTTTGCGACTCATTGACTCATTGTTCTGGCTCTTGCATTCGTAAAAGGAGGGGCGTTATTGGGCTCCCCATATATTTTGGTTGTCCAAGACTTTGATTTTGAGGCTGCATTGCTGGTTATTCTTTGAATTGATGATTCTAGCAACTTTTTTTGACTTGTTCGCCGCCCTGAGTTCTTTGGTCAAAGCTGCCTGCCACATTGCATTGGGGCTTTATTAAGGATAAGTCGCTCAAGAGAGAGAGATTTATTCCTGATTTCTATTCCTCCCTAGATTTCTGCACATCTGAATCAAACCACCTAGTCATCCATAGCTACTGACTGTACATAGTCCAGCCTGCAGATTATTGCCTTTTCCACAACTCCACCTAGCAGGTCCTTGTCCTCGTCTATTCAGCGATACGCGCTTGACCCACGACCATCTCGCCTACCGTTCCTCGGCCCGACGGTATCCATCAAAACAAACCGCCAAAACGTAACTCTGTATATTTATTTTACTGCAATCAACGACTTATCTTTTTGCTACCTATCTATCTTTCTTTCGAATTGATCCAAACCAAACCAACCCCACCCCAAAAAAGGTAACAAAAAAATAAAGTAAGAGTTTCGTGTTTCTATTCTTTTCATCGGACGACGAGGGAGGTGAAGAGGAGCCTAGCTTAGCCCAACGCCCGACGCTTAGACAGCGAGAGATTGGATGGGTAGATAGGTAGGTGTATGTATATCTTTGCGTCTTTCTTTCATCAATCGTTTCTTAATGGTAATTCAGATTTGGAAATTCGTCTCGAGGAGAATATGGTACGCGAGGGGGATTGGGGGTGGAGTTGGGGTTGGGGTCGGGGTTGAAGAGAGAGAAGAGAGAGAAAGTAGCCTAAGGTGGCGTTTGATAAGTCGAGGAGCACAAAATCTTCGAGACGTAAAACGTGAAATCGAAACCCTGAATAGTGAATCCGTTACGAGATTGATACTGCCTCTTATTCCCCATTGCGTTTGCTAAGCCTCTCAAGTCTACGGCGCTTCGAGGGTCCCTCTCAATCGTAATGCCGAGGATCGTTCGTCCTACCTTACTTATCTTGACATGGGATGGGGGATCCGTAGCTTAGCATACCTAGGTTCAGTTCGGTTCATCGTTGGACCCGCATTCCTCTATATACCGGTACTACTACTATTCGGGAGATGGACAAATCAAAGATGAACTTTTTTTTCCCTCGCGTTTCTTACAAGACAAGGTTTTTATAGCAAGGTCTAATAACTAACGTGGTTATACCAAAATCCGAAAAGTCGAATTCCAATGGAAGACTCGATACTGTATTTATGGGGGACATGGAAGAGAAACCGGGGGGGGGGCAGTTTCTAGTTTAGGAAGGGATTTTCTCAAGGCTGCGAAGTTTCAAGGTTGCAAGGTTTCGAGGTTCCAATTTCTAAATATCTTTTTTTTTTTTTTTTTTTTACCAATTTGCTGATTCGGTCAATTAGAAAACCGAAAATATCCTCGAAAACAGGACTTGAGAGAGGTAGTTGCCAGACGCGCCCTAACACCCAGCAGAGCCAATCCCATTCCATTCCATTCTATTCCGTTTCTTCTCTTTTCCGTCTCTTCTCCTTCCTTCTCCTTTTCCTTTTCCTTTTTTTTTATTCCTTTTTTTATTTCCTTTTTTTTCCCTTTTTTTTTCCTTTTTTTTCCTTTTTTTTTATGGAAAGATAAGAGATAGATGGACGGGATGAATATTGACGGGTAGGTATGATGCGGCATGAAAACAAAACAAAACAAAACAAAACAAAACAAATCAAGCAATTGATAGATTAACTGAGGCTATTAAGCTTTGTTAAGCAAGCAAGTAAGCAAGCGATCGATCGATCGATCGGGTAGCACGAGGAAGAAGGGAAGGTGAGGTAGGGTAAGGCGAGGCTATGGAAGGGAGGGGCTCTTGTCTGATGATTGATTGATTGATTGATTGATTGATTGATTGATGATGGTGATGTTTTCCCCATTTCGCTTTATCCCCTTTTCTTCTCCACTTTTTCTGGTGGTTGTAGTTATCATTTTAGTCATCGTTCTAGTTGTCGTTCTCGTTGTCGAGATTGTCGTGATTCAGACTTGAGTCCTCCCCCCTCCCCCCTCTCCCTCTCAAAGACAAAGCCGGCGCGGTTAAATCCAAATCATAATCCGAACCTACAAGGAAAATGACTGTCTCTCATCCTTTCTGTCCATGCTTTCTAGTCAGTAAGCTAGCAGCTCGACTTCTTGAGATTTGAGAGCTGCTGATGACTTACTGCTGCTATGCAAGTAAGGTAGGCATAATAACAAAGAATACGTGCGTTGGAAAAAACATGTAGGTAAGCAAATACCATTAAGAGAAGAGAAGAGAAGAGAAGAAGAGTGAGGAACAGAAAAGAGATCACAAGTCTCAGAGGAGATGGAAATTGAAGAAGTAAATCTCGCAGGGGCCCATACATACAAGGTACATACATAGATACATAGTATTTATTGCCCTGCTACAACAAGTCGCCGTGAAATTTTTGGGGGGGATAAAAACGCTTTTCGCCTTTCCTTCTCCTTCTCCTCTCCTCTCCTCTCCTCGCTGTGGCTTATCATTTCCCATCTCTCATCGTCTTCTGCTCCTCTTTATTTTCCAGCAATAAAAACACACCTCACCCCCACTCCCCCACCAAGCGGCATCAGCTCTGCCCTCATCTCCCGCCCCGCCCATCCTCCGGCACCTTATACTCCAGCTCGAACCACCAGCACGCGGGGTGTATCCTCCCGCGGCAGGTGCACGTGGTCCACCGCCCTGCTTCTTCTCTTTCTGCTTCTTCTCTTTCTACTTCTTCTTCGTCCGCCATCGTGCTGCCCGTCTCCGCGTCCCATATGACGATTCGCGGGGCCTCCAGGCGGAGGTGTCCCCGCTTCTGCTTCTTTTTCCTGCCCTCCTCCTGTGCAACTGCTGCAGCGGCAGCTTCCTCCTTCTCCACCTTCTCATCCATGGCGGTATCTTCCCTCTCATCCATGTCCGTCGTCATCATTGGGTCTTTCGCGTCGTCGACGTGCGAGAAGAGAAGCGTCTCCTCTTCCTCGATCCTCCGGTAGTTAGGGATGGGCCCCCGCCGCCGCAGGTACAGCACGGCGCCGATCAGGATGACGAAGGTGAGGAGGAGAATCGAGGCGTCGAGGCAGAGGGCCACGCGGTAGGATTTGGGCAGGACCCATTGGGGCGGGGGGCTCGGGGCAGGAGGAGGGGATTGTGGGGGTGCTTGCGATGACGGCGGCCGGGTGTGGAAGGGGGAGGGGACTCGTGGGAGGATCATCTTGATTGAGACTGGTGGATGGACGTGTGTGCGTATATATGTGCGTATGTATGTAGGTATATATGTCTGTATTCACAGAAGAAAAGCTGAGGGCAGATGTCAGCTTGAGGTCGTACGTGTGTAACGGAGTTGCACCTACCGGGTATAGAGCTCGAATTAACAATTATAGAGACTCCCCTGCGTGTCTCTATTTTGGAAAGGAAAAGCAGTGGGAAAACAAGTAAATGGAAGAATGTGAGGACTGAATAATCAGACAGCGAAGGTAGTTGGAAGACGTAAGAAATGCAATCGTGAATGGAACAGATCAAAGAACGTGAGGGCAGACAGAGATAGAGAACGTAGAGAGGAGCTGGGTATGAAAAGTAGGGAAAGACAGGAGGAGAGAGAGACGCGACGACGACGACGATGATGATGAGACACGGCGGTAGTTGGCGAGAGATGGCCAGGAGTGAAAGTTCGGACGGTGCAGGGAATCATGCATACTTAAGTATGTTGATGAAGTACCGTCGATTCCCAGGATCGCCCCCAGTCCCCCCAATTCCCCCCCAGTGCCCCCAGTCCCCCCAGTCCCCCCCAGCTTGTCGTCGTCTCGTCGGATATCGCTCCTCGGATCGGATCATCTCAAGCATTTCTCAGACAACTCGGACTCTCCACCCAAGAAGATTCTGCCACCTTGCAGCAGAGGCCAAGCCCTGTTTCGGGATGGCGGTAAGCCCGCAGCAATATACTTGGTGGTACCGCTTCTATAAATTATGAGACACGGACACCGTCGAGCCTTGGCCAGGGACTCGTACAGATACGGCTGGCTGCGCAAACACAGGAACCGCCTTATTCCAGAGCCGCGTTGGTATCGGCGTGTGCCATCATAAAATAGAATTCCGTGGTTGGTTGTATTTTGGGGTTGAGCTTGAGCTTGAGGTTGGTTGAGCTCGAGGTTGGTTGAGCTCGAGGTTGAGGTTGAGATTAAGGCTAAGGCTGAGGCTGAGGCTGTGGCGGAGGCCGAGGCCGAGGCTGTGGCTGAGGCTGCAAAAGTTGAAAAAGGAGGTCCGGAGGGATAAGAGGCCGCACGGGGACTTGGGCACTGGAATCGGGGAGCGAATTCGACCTGCCACGAGCCATGGTTTGATTTGGTCTTGGCCGCAAGAGCTTACTCGTATCGTCCGTCGTATCATACGTACTACCATCATGCTACTATCAGAGGGCATATCAGACGGAGGCGAGACGGAACAAGGCCTCCATTCATGCCGAATACTGGCTGACATGGACATGGAGACGAGACGACGACGACGAAGAAGCTCTTGCATGAAGAGAGAGGAGATGAGAAACTCTTGACAATCACGCATATGCTCGTGCCAGCGTCACCTACGCCCCGGCTCCCAGCTTTGCTTTGGTACATCGATCCTCCTTTCTGTTCTTACAAGTCCTTCTCCCCAATCGGCGTCGGCGCCTTCCACACTCTGCCACCCTTCGTCCTCTTCCCCCGCTTGACGAACTTGCTCGTCCCTCTGTCCTCCTCGATCCCCTCAAACCCCCCCTTGCCCATAATGATGTCAAACTTGTTCTTCCGCATCTTCTTCCCTCCCTTACCCATCTTGCCATCTCGAATCCCCTTCAACTTCCCGTTCTTCCCATCCTCGCCCAACCGTCCCAGCCGAGGGGTTCTGAAGGTCCTCGTCTTGGCTCCCAGGGCCCACAGATCTCCCCAGCTGGATTTCCGCGCATCGCGATAAGCTGTTCGACTGAAGCTCTTCGGCACGGTCCAGCGTTCGAGCTTTCCAGACGGCGTGCACAGGTCCAGGGTCACGTGACCCCGGCGCTTGAGACTGGGCAGGATGATGCGGGGGAGCTTCAGGGGATCGAACTCGCTTAGGACTGCATGGCCGTGGCCGTCGGATTCAGATTCGGCTTCGAGATCCTCGTATCCGGCAAACGCTTTAACGGTCGCCTCCTCGCCCTGTGCAGCACTTGGCGACGATTTGCGTGCGTCGTTTCCTCGGCGCACCGCAATATAACTGAATTTGGAGTCTTCGTGGTTGCGAACCTTGGCTCCCAGGATACTTTGGAGGAAAGCTGGGCGAATAAATCGTTGGGGGAAATGGCAGAAATCTTTTCGTCCGACGCTGAGTCCGGGGATGGGGTACATGGGGCACTTCTGGTGGTTCGTGCATGGGGCAATGATCATGCCTTCTTCCTTCTGCAAGAAGCGTGCGTGCTCGGACTCAGGCGACTGGATTTCGTTCTCAATTTCTGTCTCGCCCGGGGACGAGATGTGGGATTGAAGGAGAAGATTTCTCGCGCCTGCGATTGCTTCAAATCCACGAGGCAAGCCCTTCTCAATGAGGATGAGCACTCCTCCGTTGGGATCGAGGAGAGACCAAAGGTTGTGGACCATGTTCTTGCGTCGGAAGTCTTCCTTCAAAGGGAACAGGGTATGAGGTGCGATGATAATGTCGTAAGTCTTCCTAGGCTGGTTGACGTTGCGGTCCAGATGCAGTGCTGTCGACGGAGAGTGTACGTAGTCTGGCAGCCGAGGGAGGAAGATCGTGTTGTCCAGGAGTTTTGTAATTCGAGTCCTTAAGGCGGAAGAGCCGGTCAGGACAGAGGTCTTACCATAAGGGGCTTGTTCGCCCTCAACAATGCCTTCGTCCTTCATCACATCCCACTCGGCTTGTAGAATCTCTCGCCACGCGATAGCGCCGGCTCCAGCACCACCAGCATCCAAAATCTTCGGCCCTTCACCGCCCTCCCTAAACATCAGATCCCGGACCCACTGGCGACCCAGACGCTTTCGTACCTCTACCAGCGTGTTCATGACAGCGGCATATGTCCCGGGCATGACCGCGCCTAGGTATGCATCTGCTTCGATCTCGCTCATCTTCTGCTGCGCAGCATCCAGGCCAATGTGTTTTTGTGGCAGAAACTTTTTTGAAGCCGGCACGGACGATGAATACGGTAAACCCTTGCCTCCAAATACCTTCTCGGCTGATTCAGCAACATGTTTTATACTTGTGCGTCCCAGTATTTCGGTGATGGGGGCAATGAATGTCTCCTTTGGCAGAGAAACCGTTGTTGGTTTCGTACCTGATCGGCCAATCAAGGTACGGGGGTGTGTTCGAACAGAATCGGAGCTGATCCAGGCACCATCTTCCTCTTCTTCTTCCTCTTCAATCTCCTCCTCCTCCTCCTCCTCTTCTTCGTACTCTTCCTCGACCACCTCTTCCTCTTCTTCCTCAATAGGCTGAGCTAGTGCGGCATCCATATCCAGCTGTAGTCGTGCAATCGCGTCAACCTCCCGCTGGTTCCTACCCTGGACTCTGACAGCATTTCCCTGAGCTTCTGGCTGGATAGCCACAGCTTCCTCTTCCGGTGCAGACGTGAAATCCTCCAATACGCCTCCTTCCAACTCAGCCTGACTGCTCTCTAGCATTTCTGCCACCTGCTCCTCAGTGAATCCGTCTTCCAACAATGTCTGAGTCGTCAGAGCACGAAGCATCTCCTCCTCAGAATACCCCTCTCCACTTCCCAATTGCGCCTCCTCCATTTCAGCAGCTGAAATCTCCTGCTCCGTCGTGACCGTATTCTCATCCCTCGCAGGATAGCCCAGTCCCGGATCAAAATCCACCTCTTCATACCCCCCCAAGTCATTCTGCCTCAACAGCACATTGCGCGCCCTCTCCGGATCAAACCCCTCCTCACTCCCGTACAGGTATTCCAGATCCTCGGGCCGGGTTTCCCGCAACGGTGGCCCGTATAGACGCTCGTATAGCACGTATTCCTCGGTCGATAGATAGTCCTTGGGAAGCGTCTCTCCAAACGTCTGTCTCGCCTGCCGTACCACTGCCTCGATCCCGACTGCTCCCATACCAGACTGTTCTGGCAGGTCCTCCCTCACTCCCTCCTCTCCCCGTAAGCTCGTGGTAGAGAATGTTCTGAACGCAGCGGCATTGGGTCGATATTGAAGGTTACGGGGCCCATGGGGGAGTCGTGTGCTGCTGTATCGTGCTCGTGCAGCGCTCGTCCGCGGCGCGCAATTCGTGAAGCCATTCTCAAAAAGCGACAGGAGCTGCAGACGACATGACAGGCATGCCCTGGGTATCTTTCGGGCTGACAGCATACTTGTTGCCCTCCGCAGTGCTGTCTGTATGGTGGTGTTGTTATCCAGGAAATTTTGGTGGAGCTTCCATGTACGATAAGTAAGCTTCAACCTCAGGCAAGTCACGGGCTTGGAAACCAATCAGACTTCGCGCGAAGGTCAGAATATATCTTCGACATCACTTCTTTCTAAGAACTTCATCTCTTGCGCACTTTTACTGGCATGCCTTTTTGTATTCGTGCTTACTTGCTTTACAAATCGATTTAATCGATTTATGAACAGGAGAATCAGATTTGTCTATCGACCCAATACCTGCTGCTCCTTTGCTGCTTGCGTGCATCTTCCTTCCCATTTGCAAGGAACCTAGTCATCTTGGGAATTTGCGTTTTTCCTTCTACTACGTACTACGTATATTCAAATAGATATATGTTTATTTTTCACTTTCCTCCTGGCCTGACCCATCAGTCATGCCTGCTACCTGTTAAGATTTACTGTAATTGGCTCTCCTTGTCTACCTGTAACGAGGTCTGATCCTGGCAGCCCTCCGCAAGCTTTTGGGCCAGAGGACCCTGCTTCGCCCCGGTCGTAATGCAAGGCTGCCTTTCGAGGCCTTTAACATTAACGCTACATCAATTTTCTATAAGAAATAATCGCCGACTGAAAGGCTGAAAGGAGGCCCACCTAAGCGAGCCGACGATTACTAAGGTACGTACGCTTCAAAAGGAGGTAAAGAAAATATACTACGTAACGCTTCAGCTCGGCCGCATGCTCAAACTTATAGCCCTCCGCAAGCTCCGGAGTAAGTTTCCCGGACTTCGCGGTCAAACGATGGAGTATAAATCCCGTTTATTTTTATAAAGACTGATTTCTCGACTTTGATGTTCTTGCACGGACCTCTCATACGTGATACCTTAAAGGCAGGTAAGCGGGTCATTTGAGCGATCCTCTGACCCTCTTATATAAAAAACGGTTGTTGGACCGTTTGAAATCAGTATTCATTACAAATCAAGAATAGTTTACTTTTTTGATCGTCCCCGAGCTTGAGACCATCTTATGGCCGTTTTGTAGCCGTCCCCGTCCAGATTTTCAAAACACGTTCATTAAGGAATTCGTTTCAAATATTTAAGATAATCTGATGCTCGTTCTTAATAAAATACGATTCAAATATAAAAACCCTTTTTCTAATAGTGTCGTGTTAATAATTATCTAATAAAATCGATGCCAAAATATTTCTCGGTATCGCTACTATAGCTTACATATCAACGCTTTAAAAGATTTAAAATCGGAATCGATTGACCTTTGTTCCCACCTGTTAACACGCATACTAGCGACGGTGGTAGCTGAAAGGAGGTTGTTGTTGTTGTTGTTGTTGTTGTATTTATTAACGTCGGGCGGGTATCCAAAACGCAATGCTTGGACCCTGGGGACCTCCCATGGGGTACGGCGACGTGCTAAGTAGAGGAATTATATACAAAGTACTATCTAATCGAGAGTAAAAACCACGTTGAGGAAAACCTCTCGTCAAATAGCTGGACACCTGTAAACCCCTTAAAAGCAATTCATAGTGATGTGCGTCGAGTTTTCTCTCGACAACTGTCGAATATGTATGGCCCTACGGGCGGCCTCGATCCGTATAGTACAAACATCGTTCTCTTTCGTCGTAGAGCTAAGAAGGCTCGCGTT